TTTTTTTTTTTTTTTTAGGTTGCTCTTCAGGTTTCTTTGGACATGTAAGTTTTGTTCAGATTTCTTAATTTACGCATTTCAACAAAAAGTTTTAACAGCTCGTTTTTACTTTTTGTTTTATAAGAATCTGACTTTCAAACTTCAAAGAAGTCGAATGCCCTGGTAAGTTTTAGTTGCTTCATTCAAATATTTTTTTTTTATAAAAAAAAGTTATTAACTTTTTTTTCATTTTATAGGAATCTGGGTCTGATTTCGAAGCATAGATCCCTCTTTCGAAAGATACTACTACCCCAAATTATTAATATTAAATATTAATATATTTTATTTATTTTTAATTTTTTTTACTATTTTATAGGAAACCGCTTCAATTCATTACTGAAATCTTTAAAGAAATTTTTAAAGCACTTTTGAAAACTTCTCTAAACAGTTTTTTAAAATGGATTTCTAGATTTTATTCCAATTTTATTTTCGATTGAATTCTAGAATAGGTAAGCTTTTAAATCACTTTTTTAACGAAAAACTTTTTAAAGACGTTAGTATTTAATACATTTTTTATTTATTTATAGGCCTTCAGCTTTCAACTAATCTTAGGTATGTCTCAGAAGAATTTTTAATATTTAGAAGCTTTTAGCAATTTTTATTTATTTATTTATTTTTTTGTAGGAACTTTAACTTCAGATTTTCAAATACGTTTGAAAGAAAATTTTGGATTATTAGTGATGGTAAGTTTCGAAGTTTAACTTCAAAATCTATAACTTTTTTAATCAAAGAAACAGTTTACTGATTATTTCTTTAATTATTTGTAGGTTTCATGCTTTGGGTGGTGGATATGGTCATTAAAAGGCGATTTTTGAAGTTACTAATTCTACTTTGAAACTTGTTTTTTATATAAAAAATGGTCTATTAGCTATAATATTTTTATTACACTGAATATATAATATAACAATAATGTAACAATTGCATAATTAATTAAAAACTATTACAAATCCATTATAAAATTATATAAATGTATTTTGAAATTAATTACAATTGTATTATAAATTTATTAAAAAAAAATTATAAAACTATTATAAAATAATTACAAAACAATTACAAAACTATTGTAATTTTTTGACATTATTTTGATATGAAATTATAAGCCTAAATAACATGGTTTTAATTGTTGGCATAATGCATTAAAACTATATAAAAATAGTATTATAGCTATATCAAAAGCATATCAAAAAAATAGCTATTTTTAGCAAGTAAAACCATGTTATCTAGGCTTATAATTTCATGTTAAAATAATGTCAAAAAATTACAATGGTTTTGTAATTATTTTATAATAGTTTTCTAATTTTTTTTACTTTACTAAAAATAGCCAATTTTTTGAAATATTTTTTATAGATCTAGATACAATGGCTTTCAAAACAATTGTGCAATTATTTTGTAAAATTTTAAAATATATCATATTTGAGGTATTTTTGAGATTAAAATATTAAAATAATATCAAAGTTAATTATATTATAATAATAAAATAATAACAAAAACATTAAAAAATTATTGTGATATTATTTTGAGTTATTTTTATAGACCTAGATACAATATAATTACAAAATAATAGCAAAAATATAATAAAAACATTTTGATGTATTAAATGTATTTTTGTAGTATTTTAAAATTATTACAAAATCATTTTAAAAAATTGGCCATTTTTAGTAAAGTAGCTATATATTTAGTATTTACATTACTTAATGTTATCATTAACAATTTAAAGAATTCATCTGGATTATCAAAAGAAAAAAATCCTGAAAGAAAAATGATCTACTTTACTAAAAATGGCCAATTTTTTGAAATGATTTTGTAATAATTTTAAAAGGATTTTATAATTTTCCGCTATAGCGAAGTTCTGCTAATGTCACATGACTCGAAGATCATTCCTTTTTAGGAAATTGGTGTAACCAATTTGCTCTATTTTTTGTCAAAAGTAAAATTTTTTTTTTAGGAAATTTGTGTAATATTATATGATTTGACTGGAATTACAGAACTTGGCCAGAATTAACCATGTGACAAATAAGATGACAAATATAATTTTTTCATTAAAAAAATTCTAAGTTCAAATAATACTTAGTAATTTTTGAAAGCTTGAGAGTGTGATACAGGGTAATGGTTTAAACATTACACAAAATTCCCAAAAAGGAAATTTTACTTCTGACGAAAAATGAAAATTATTTATGCAAATGGATTATACAAATTTCCAAAAAAGGAAATGATATTTATGTCATGTAATACTAGCAAAACTTCGCTATAGTGGAAAAATTTTAATTTTCATTTTAGAATTAAAAATACTACAAAAATACATTTAATACATCAAAATATTTTTATTATACTTTTGTAATTATATTATATCTAGGTCTATAAAAATAACTCAAAATAATATCACAATAATTTTTTAATGTTTTTGTTATTATTTTATTATTATAATATAATTAACTTGATATTATTTTAATATTTTAATCTCAAAAATACCTCAAATAGATATATTTTAAAAATTTTACAAAATAATTGCACAATTGTTTTGAAAGCCATTGTATCTAGGTCTATAAAAATATTTCAAAAAATTGGCCATTTTTAGTAAAGTTATCTTTGATTGTTGATATCACTATGCCTAGTAATGCTAAAATAAAGTATATTCTTACCTTTCAAATGAGTTTAAAATTATTTGATTAGCATATGTGAATGCCAAGATATTAATGAACTTGTTAATTGCATAAACTGACATAAAGTNTAACTCAAAATAATATCACAATAATTTTTTAATGTTTTTGTTATTATTTTATTATTATAATATAATTAACTTTGATATTATTTTAATATTTTAATCTCAAAAATACCTCAAATATATCTTAATATATTTTAAAAATTTTACAAAATAATTGCACAATTGTTTTGAAAGTCATTGTATCTAGGTTTATAAAAATATTTCAAAAAATTGGCCATTTTTAGTAAAGTACGACTCTTTCTTTATTCTTTGTCACATAATTAAGGTTGCTTATCTAAACCTCTTCAAAATCTTATGATTAGTTTTGTCAAAATTTTACTATAGATTTATTATAGTTTTAGCAGAATTTCAGCAGTTTCGGCATTTATAATAAGTTTTGGCAGTTTCGCCTTTCTCCAAAGTTTCGCCAGTTTTTTGATATAACTTTAATATAGTTTTGGCAGAATTTCGCTTTTTGGCGAAATGCCATTTTGCCTAAACCCCTAGGTTTCAGCAAGCAACCTTACACATAACTAGCTATTTAAATGACTCAAAAATGGAACCAATTGAACCTTTGTACGAAACAACATATTATCAAGGTAAAAAAAAAAGTTTTTAATAAAGGAATACTGAAACTCTCTTTTATGGAGTTTTTTTGGTTAAAATATAGATATACCAGTTGAATCTGCTTATTTGTTAGATAGAGATAACTTTAAAGTTAATTAAGGTTCGTATAATATGTGTTCCTACCTAGTAAAATAAAAGAAACAAAAGCTAACTTAATATTTAATACATAGAACAAATAGAACTTGATAAAGAAGTTGAAAGTAACATAAATATTCTTATAGGCCTATTTTCGAATGGAGCTGGAAGTCTTAACTCAATACAATATCCTCTGCTAAGTCAACCTTTGGAATTGTCTGTTGGTGCACAATTTAGTTCTTGGGAAATTGCTGAACATTATATAAAAGAGTATGAAAAGCAGAAGAGGTTTGTAGTTAAATTATATAGAGTTGAATACTATAAGCTTCATTTGATAAGTTTTATTAAAAGATTGTATTAGAAGATATAGTTATATGAGATTAGGATTAGATTAAGGTATAGATTTAAGATATGGGATTAGAGTTAGGATTAAGGTGTAGGATTAAGGTTAGGATTAGAATGCGGGATTAGGGTTAGGTTAGGATGCGGGTTAAGGTGCAGAATTAGAGTTAAATTAGGGTGTGAGATTAGGGTTAGGATTAGGATTAAGATAAAGAATTAGGGTTAGTTTAGATATTGGATTAGGAATATATAGACAATTTACATTCAATTTAGTTTAAGATCAGGCCAATCAGCAAGATTTAAACGTAAGACATAATTATAAAAATATTAATTATAATGAAATGATATATACATTGTAAGTAAAATGTGAAGCTGGTACTCAATTAACAAATACTGATTCAAATAATGTTGTAAAATTATCAGATGGATGTGTATATGATGTTGATGATATTAAAGATTCATTAGTACATCATGGTAAAGAGTAGCCTAACAAATAACTAAAAGTTTTTAATAAAGAAAATGAAGTGAGTGTTAAAAGGATGAAGTATACATGCCACCTAAATTATTTTGGGCTGCCATAATTATAAGTAAAATCCCAAATTCAATTATGGCATCCCAAATTATTTTGGCACTTTACATAGTAAATTATATATAAACAGAATGAATTATAGCATACCAAATTATAATTATGACATCCCAAAATAATTTGGGCAGCATGTATAGGATGAAGCATACTAATATTAGTTGTGAAAAAGGAGATATTGAAGTAAACGGTAATACTGGAAAACGTAAATGTGGTACAGTATATGTCATAAAATAGAACACTATGCTTCTAAATGTCCTAGTAAGGAAAATGTAAAGTATATTGCTTTATTAAATAATATATAGATAATGTATAGTGATAATGTATGGATAATATATAAATAATATATATATAATATTTAAATAATCTTATAAAAATTCAATAACAAAATATTATTGTAAAATCATGTGATTATATTAAGGTGACGTATAATATTTATCACCCTAGACGACAAATACTGAAAATACCTGTTTATGTAATTTTACATAAACTTTTAAGATAAAAATTACTGAAACTATATTTTAAGATATAAAAAAAATATAAAGTTCCTTTTTTTTCCAATAATAAATTATAAATTTTTTAAAAATTGTTCTTAATAAGATTTATTTTTCCATTTTATATATGAAATTAATTAGGTAACGCCTCAGGTGTTTTCACCTGATCATGTGATTTATTACGTAATCGCCTGATTTAATTATTAAGCTTTCTGATCAACTATTTTGATTTCCCACAGTTTATAATTTATTTCTTTCTTTTTCTTCTACTTTAACCTTTCTTACATTATAACTACCTAATAATGAATGTAAATCACGAAATTATCAATTCTAGCAATAAAGAAAATGAACCTATTAATGAATGTTTTGATTCTAGTGATGAAGAAAATGATTTTCATTATACGATAATTACAGGTGCAAAGTTTCATACTTGAAAAGAACTTGAAGTTTATCTTGAACGATATGCTTTACAGGAAGGATTTTCTTTTAAAAAAACAAGAGTTGAGTATTATTTGCATCAAAAAGAAATGAAAGGTTTAACAGCTGATCAGAAAAAACTTCATGTTAAGCGAAGGAAATATGAGTGTACTCATTCTGGTAATCATGTATCAAAGAAGATTATTAATCTTGATAACCAAAGGAATAGAGGAAGTTACCAGGTCAATTGTCCTTGGCATGTTAATGCAACTAAACCTAAAAAAGAAAATACCATAGGTATTACATCTGTTAAACTTGAACACAATCATGTTATGAATCCATTAATTGCAGAAATGGCACCTAAATTTAGAAAATTTACTTCAGAAATGATTACCGATGTTGAATTTTATGTGAAACATAGTATATTTAGCACTACACAGATATATCTATTACTTCGAGCAAAGTATCCTGAGCATCCAATTTTAAAAAAGGATCTATATAACATTATTCAAAAAGTTAAGGTTGAGCAAAAGGAAGTTGTTAAAAATGATAGTGCAAATTTTTTACATTATCTTTATGGAAAAAAACAACAAGAACTTGAATGGTTCTTTGAATTTCGCTTATCTGAAAATGATCGAAGACTAACATCATTAATCATGATGTCACCTGATCAATGTTCTTACTATATTAGATTTCACGAAGTCTTAATTTTTGATTGCACAGCTGGAATAAATCGTTATGATATGGTTTTATGTTTATTTCTTATTGTTGATAATAATACAAGATCACGATTGATAGCAAGTGCATTGCTAGAAGATGAAACAGAAAACTCATTTATTTGGGTATTACAACAACTTAAAAAGGTTTCAAGTGATGTTTATCCTCGTGTTATATATACTGATTATGACCCTGCTATGGCAAATGCTATTAATTTTGTTTTTCCAACATCAAAGCACAACTTGTGCATATTTCATATTGATCTTAACCTTAAAAAGAATGTGAAACCAAAACTTGGATTGCAAAAATTTAGTGAATTTCGAGCTGAATTTTTTTCATGCTGTAATAGTCTTGTTTATGAGATTTTTGAATCAAAATGGAAAATTTTAATTGAAAAATATTCTGAAATATCAAAATATTTGAAGCGGATGCTTGAACCAACAAAGGAAAGTTGGGCTACTTGCTATATAAATGAAATTTTCAATTGTGAAATAAATAGCACTCAAAGAGTAGAATCCCTTAATCATCTACTTAAAGCTGCTGTCCAAAAAAATTTTCTCTTATATCAACTCGCCAATGAGATTCAAAATATACTCGATAATGAAATGAAATATGAACGTATAATCAAAATGAGAAATATTTTACCTCGACAAACTTTGGATGATGTACCTTCAAAATTTTTTGTAGGTATTAATGAAATTTGTAAGGAATTTTTAATTCCACACATTCTTTCAGCAACACAAAATCAGATGAAGCATTCATTTTTTTACGATGCATATTTGGTTGATAAAGATACTATTCAGCAAGTAAGTTAGGTTTTAGAGTAGCTTTAGGATTAGGATAGCGTTGAGTTATGGTTAAGGTTAAGATTAGGATTAGAGTTAGGGTTAAGATTAGGTTAGGTTAGGGGTTAGGGTTAGGATCCGTTTAGGATTTAGAAGGGAATTTATTATGAATTGAAAAATTTTATATGGTTGCTAATTTTGTTGTTTCTTTTATTTAGGTTGATAATACAGATGATAATGAAGGTTTTCGGAAAGATGATTATGATGCAACACAAATATTACTTCAAACTATAATCAAAAAGATACAAAATTTATTAATTGTTGAAATTTGGAAAGTTCAGCCAGAATTGTCACAAACAAAATCACATTTCGTAGTTTTGATGGCAGATGGAAGTTTTTCTTGTATCTGTAACCTTTTAATATCATATGGTATTCCATGTAGACATTTTTATAGAGTTCTTAGAAAGAGTTTACAAGCAAAATTTCATATTTCCTGCGCTGATATCAAGATTCGAAATTAAATATTGATGATAAAGAAATAGCTTTATTAGATGTTATATCAATTGTTGAAGATCATAATTCTTCAGCAGTGGTTCATGAAGAAATCAATTTTAATTATGTTCATCATGTTTGTGGTGAACAAGTTAATACAGAAAAGCTTCAAGGAATCATTTTGGCAAAATCAAAATATGGAAAAGCATTTGGTTTCGCAAAAAAGGCTTTGGACTTAACACAAAAATTAGATTGTTATAATGAGTTGAATGGTTACTTCAAACATATATTGAAGAAAAGCAACAAGAATTACTTTGTAATCAAACAACTGATGAAAATACTGCAGGAAATCAACAAGAAAATATTGAATGTTCTAGAGCTCTGAACGGGTCAGGTCAACCCAGGTGACCCGATGGGTTGACCTGAAAAATTTGGGTCGGGTAGCAAATTTAATGACCTGACCTTAGGTCAGGTCAGTCACAAGTCGGATACCTGACCCGACCCATTGACCCGATATATTTTGAGGCAATAAAAAACATTTCGGCATTTTTTATATATAAAAAATGCCAACCCATTTTTTTTGACCTGAATCTGACGTTTGTTCATAAAAATAATAATAATAAACGTCTTTTTTTAATGAAAAAATGTTGAACCTGACGTTATTTCATTAAATAAATCAAAAAAAATATTTTTTAATGAAAAAATACCGAAACTGACGTTATTTCATTAAATAAATGAAAAAAACGTTTTTTAATGAAAAAACGCCGAACCTGACATTATTTCATTAAATAAATCAAAAAAATATTTTTTTAATGAAAAACGCTAAATCTGACGTTATTTCATTAAATGAATAAAAAAACATTTTTTTAATGAAAAAACGCCGAACCTGACGTTATTTCATTAAATGAATAAAAAAAAATGTTTTTTTAATGAAAAATTGTATAACCCGACGTTATTTCATTAAATAAATCAAAAAAAGATGTTTTTTTAATGAAAAAAAGCTGACCCGACGTTTTTCATTAAATGAATTAAAAAAATGTTTTTTTTTAAACATCAACGGGTCGGGTTGGGTACCTGACCTGACCCGATATAAAAAATGTTTTGGCGTAATCTAATATGTAAAAAAATGCTGAAACGTTCTTTTCCACAAAATAATTGTAAAAAAAAACGGTTAGAGTTTTTTCTTATAATTTGATATATAAAAAACGCTGAAACGTTTTTTTTTTGATCTAAAATATCGGGTCAACAGGTCAGATTGGATACCCGAACTGATTCGTGATATTTAGGTCAGGTCATCAAATTCGTGACTTCTCCTCGGGTCAGGTTAAGTCAATTACCTGACTCTATCCGATCCATTCGGAGCTCTAGAATATTCTAATCCAATAACTTCAAGATGTCGTGGACGACCCCTAGGTCGATACTTAAGTGAAGGAGAAACTTTAAGACAGAATAAGAAACAAAAGAAAACTGAAGGCAACTTAGAAGTTAATAGAAATGATAAGAAGGAAAGAAAGTGTAAAGGGTGTGAAGGTACAGGTCATGATTTGCGTAATTGTAAAAGAAGAATCTTTAGTGAGAAAAATTGATGAATTATAGTTGAAACTAAAGTAAAAGGATTCTTAGTGAGAGTAACTAATTAAGGAATTTATAATTGAAATTGCATTGTAAAACTGTAAAATTATTATGTATTCATATTTAAACTTTTAAATTAGCTTTTAATAAAATTTATTTCAAAACATCGCAACTACGCCTTGATCACGTGATTTATTATATATGGTGGTAAAATCACCACCAGTGATAATTAGAAATTTTCTTTATATATATGAATGCATTTGCTATTAATGATTAAAATTCTTTTTTTTATTATTATTTAAAATTAAACAAAATGGTATTTAATATAAATTTTCAGATAAAGTAAATATTTTATTAAAAAATTTATATTTTCACATTTTATATGATTTTATTATTATTTACATTATATGTATATAAATGTATTGTTCAATATTTAAAAACAATATTCAAAAAGTATAATATAAAAGAAAATTCAAATTGTTGATTAAAATGATTTGCATTTAAGAGTGGTGTGGTTAAATTATTTTCTTCACATTATGGTTGCACTTATAATATGATAATGTAATAAGTTAATTATAAAGTGTCATATTGATCAAAAGTTCAGAATTAAATTCTAGATCAAATTTTGGATTTATCTGAGATGAAATTGATTAATTTATATTTCATTCCAGATTTTATTTTATATCTAATCTATATTTTATCTTAAATTTGATTCACATTTTATTTCAGATTAATTTTTTAAGTTTCACCAAAAATTACATTACATCCAATTATCAAATCCTGATTAATCCATATTTTATTACAGATTTAATCAATATATATTTCATTTTGGATTTAGTTTATATTTTATCCTGGATTTAATTTTAACGATTAGTCTAGGTTTAATAATTGGATGTAATGTAATTATTGGTGAAATTTAAGTAATTAATTTGGGATAAAATATGGATCAGATTCAGGATAAATATTGGATGAAATATAGGAAAATCCAGGATGAAATATAGATTAATCTATTTTTACCCCAGATAAATCCAGGATGTTTAATTCCAGACTAACAAATAATTACATGTAATTTATTCTTGAACAATCCTGTATATACCCAAAGTTTATATGCAATGGAATAACATCAAATTTTTCTATTGTAAATTAGAAAGTACTCATTGATCAGATTTACATAATGCAGTCATATTAACATTAAAGATCAATCCTTAAACCATTTGCAAATTTGATTAATGAACTTTTTTATTCATCTGAACAGAAATAAGACAGAAAGTTTACCTGCAATCCCCAAGATTAAAATCTTCAAATGAGATAGATCAATTGTGTTTGTGAACAGTTGTCTTTATTTACAAGTAAATTATCACAAAAATCTGAATCTCCTAAAGATACTTTTTATAGTTTTTTTTTCTAGTCAAAATATTTTGTCTACAGATATATCTGAAATCACTTTATCTCTTGCGTTAATATAATTTTTATATCCTATATGAAATAGAAACAAATGTAGGTGAAATGCAGCATTAGATAGTATAAAAACTCTCATCTTATGTGTTAGAGCTTGAAATGTTTCCCTTTAAGCTAACTTTTTTACATTCATTTATAAGAAAAGTACAATTTCGCTTTGAACTTTTATGCTTTATTGATAGAATATACTCTCATTCTTCCTGTAATTAAACTTTTATCTCTACAAATCTGATATTTCCTAATTATAATGTTTTATATAAAAAAAGTATAGCTCACAAATTGAAAATTGCATACATTGTTTATTTTCTAAATTTCACGCAGCCTTGTTAAGAAAATAAATTAAAGTTATTATTAGGGTTACTGCTAAAACCTTTAATATATCTATATATATATTGTCCATCACTAGAATCCGCTGGTAAATTACTGGTATAGTATTCTAATTTTTGTTCTATGATTTGATTAAGATTTTTTAGTATATAATTCAGGGATTCAGCCATAAATTTGTTATTCCTTACATGCGGAAATTTCCATCCACTACATATTTTTGTGTTTTTCCAATCAAAATCATATTTAGTAAAAAATTGTGGTTCAAAAACGATGATATTATATCCATAATATAGTTGTGCAAAATTAATGTAAAGTTCGCACAAGAAACAACATCTCTTTGACACTGCTATAAACACTCTACGTTTAATTTTCTTGTCGATAATTAAGGAGGCCAATATGTTCATTTCCGCATGTAAGTATATACATTGTTTAACGTTATCACCGTCAAGTGGTTGTTGTTTTTGTGTGGCTTTATCGGTATATACTTTACTGATTCTTTCCATTATTTTAGGCTTTTTCGAACACCTATACATGAAACGTTTATATCTGTCTTCATCAATAAACCTTCTGATAATATTTTCCCACGAATATATGGGCTGATTTTTTATGATAACAGGGTTCACTCTATACACTTAAACGTTAGAGAATAGTGATTTATATTGTATATTACGTGCACATTCTACAATACCTATAGTAGAAGCCATATAAAACGACACTTTCTTAATATGTCTTAAAAATTCTGAGGGAATTCTAGACTCAATTTTAGCCTTTTTAATTTTCTCACAATACTCTTTACAAATTCCAGATATTGTGATAATATTTGTATTTTCTGCATTGCTAACCATAGTAACCCTAACTGAAAGAAAATCACTGAAAAATTTAACATGTTCATTATCATCATAGAATTCAATATCATCATGAAGTTTTTTCAATCTAGATTTAAGTTTAGTAGAGCAGTAAATCGTTACAGCCTCAAGAAAATCTCTTTCGTTATCTTTTGATATCACAGGAGCATTTTTTGATATATTTTTCAGATATTTTGTAATATTATCAATATACTTATTATCTTTGTCGAGCCAATCAGAGTTCTTAGAAAGGTAAATTTCACAGCGACCTTGTAAAATTCTTAACCACACTGCAACTACCTCTTTATTCCTTGCAAGTATTGTTGCTAAATAGTAGGAAAATATCTCACGATCAATCAAGGCAGGTAATTCTTTATTTGCTTCACCAACTACAAAGTTGATACTTTGAGCAACACATTCTTTACTATACAACTCCTTCTCAAACTCTTTCACTTTCTCACGCTCTTTTAACTCTTTCTTATGCTCTTTTAACTTTTTTAATTCCCTTGGAGACATTCGAGCTACTTGACTGTATGATAGGCTTGCCATACTTTAATTAAAAACAGTATTCTACAGAACAAGCGATGGTCTTAAATAAATTCTATTTGACCCCTATTGGAGTAGTAATGAGTAATCCTGCATCCGTAGTGTAATTGAATTTTACTATTTTTAGTAACAGAAACCTGTCCCACCTGACAAATAATGTGTAACAAATAGACAAAAAAATTTCAAAAGTATTTTAAATCGCTGAGATAAATATAAACAACACGTTTCTTACGGTTACGTGACATGTGCCAATAAACATCATCCCAGTTACACCACGGGTACAACGTATATCAAAAATACGTAATTATGACATAATTTTTTACACTGTTCTCTAGCCACCTCATTCACTTGCTAATCATGACCTATAAAAGGCTGAAAGGTCATACTAAAACTCTACTGATGAGTCATAATCGATACTAAAAATTTGGGCAGCTGATCACGTGTAATCAGCACCAACGAAAAATAATCTACACTTCAGCACTTAATTAAACATTGAAAAAACTGAGAATAAAACAACTTAGGAATTTCTTAGTTTTTTTAATATATACCTATTCTTTCTTTAACAAAATTTTTATTGACATTAGTTGGTAAGTTCTTTCACTTTTCGGACGGAAAAGAAATTTTTTGTTGTTTTTTAAGTATGTTAAACATTTTCTTTCTTTTTAGGAGACTGAATCAAAAACTTTCTTGGCAAAAATGCCTCATACTAAAAAACCTCATGGTATCAAATATAGTAAATCACGAGCATTTATTCGCAATACTGAAATTCCAATACTTCAACTGAACAAACTTATGATTCAAATCCTACTGAATTTAATTTGCAACAAAATAATTATGATGATGTTAATAATGATTTTATTGATAAAAGTATACCTGTTGATAGTGATAATAGTATTTATAGAGAAAGCAAACTCGTTTGAATAAATCCTGGCAGTCAATTCGTGTTCAACTTAAAGACGCGTTAATTGAGTTGAAAAGTCAATGTAATGTTGAAGAAAATATATGTCTTTATGTAAAATGTTATAATAATGAACTATTTAAAATAATTACAATCGATTGTATTTATTTTGAACGTAAGTTATTTGTTATTTGTAAATATTTATAAAAATTTTATTAATTTATTTATTTATTTATTTCTAGATGAAATTAAAAAACAATTCAATTTGTATAATTGTGAACAGTCTAATTTGGCAGTTGCATTAACATGCAGAGGATTATTTTCTGCTTCTCCTATAAATCCATTAATTGCATTTGAAATAAAATTATTAGAATTTGCAGAAAAACTACTTCTATTAGCACAAATATTATATGAAAGTTTTTGTATTGCTTTAAGACATATTCATGATAATAAAGTATGTATAAATAATTATATTTTATAAATTTTAATATTTTTTAACAGTATTTAATTATTAATGATAAATTAAAATTTATAGCTTAGTAGTCATAAAAATATTTATAAACCTTTTATGTTTACTTTTAGACAATATATATTAGTTAAAAAAGAAAAAATTAAGTTTTTAACAGAACAAGTGGTTAAGAAACCTGAAGTTTTCTGTCCTGCATATCCATTAGTAAGTATTTATTGATATTCTTAATATAAATAATTATATATACTTATCTTATATCTTTATTTTATTTAGAAAAATTCATGTAATTCAGGTTCTTTAAATAGATTAACTGTATGTTTTGATGGATGTTTTCAATTAAGAAGATTAAAAATTGGTGGAAATGATAATACAGAAGAAGATTATTATTCTAAATATTTTATGGATGATAAATTTTTTGATTTTGAAAAATTATATTTACAATATTTACAAAAAGAAAGTTCTGAGGTAAATTTTGATTAAAAGTTGAATTTAAATTAAATATTAAATAATTAATAATATGTTAGGAAAATGATCCATGTATGAAAGCTTTTAAGGAAGCAAATGAAAAAAATTCTAAAATACTTTCAAATGCATTGGATATTAGTGGAGTTGTTGGTAAAACATGTAAACATGGAATTCCAATGAAATTTTTAAATATAAAAACAGGAGAAAGGTATTTATTTTTAAATAAATATTATATTATTAATTATTGTTATATTATTAAATTATTATGGGTATTGCTAAATATCACCAGTGGTAATCGTTACTACATGTAAAATATTTTTTGAATTTTCAAAAATTTTTGATTGTGACATTATTCTAATTATAATATAAATATCATTACTATATATAAATTTATGGGTAGAACAAGTTTGCCTTAGATTATAAAGGCTGTTGTTTAGATAGTTTTTGAGAAAAATAGGAAAGTTTAATTTTATAAGCAAAATACAATTTTTTGTTTTAAAAAAGATTTTTTTTAGTCAAATTTTCAAAATTTTAGTGTGATTAGTATCTACTCAGGTTTGTTTTACACATTTATTATTTAAATTAAAATTTTTGAAAAAAAAATTATGATGTGTTTTTTAACTCTGGCCAAAATTATAATTTTCAGCCAGAATTAAATAGTGTGGTGATAATCACCACTGGTGATATTTAGCAATACCCAATTATTATTATTATTATTAGATTAGTATATTTTTTATTTTTATTAAATAATATTTTAGATGAATTTGGATTACAAATTAATGTTATGTATGATATTGGATGTACAATGGCCAAACATTTATAATATTAATAATTAATATAAATATATAATTAATTTATTATTAATATTTTTAATATTAATAGAACAAACTAAATGAAACATTTTTACAATTAAAAGCTAAAGATGTATAGTATGCAGTTTCTGTATTTCATGCTTATGCTCATGAAGCTTTTTGTCAATGTATTTATCATTCAAGAAAAAGAGAAGGGTTTGGTCTTACTGATGGTAAATGGTTAGAAAGACTTTAGTCATATTTGGGAAGATTTACAAAAATTACTACTCCAAGTTACCGTAAATTTATACTTTCATTAGCATTAGATCATTTTGCAGAAACCAGAATTCAAAAAATTAGTAATTATTTATAATTTGTATATATTTTTATATATTGATAACTTTATTATAATTGATTTTTAGGTCAAACATTAATTAAACAATATCAGCATGCTTTAGAATTAAAAGAAATTTCACAAAAAGATTTAGAAAAATTAGAATTGCAAAATTATTTTTTAGATATTATTAAATCATCTTAGAACAAAATTAAAGATGATTTAATTAATCCAAAACATCAACCATTACCTACTGTTTCTTCTGATATTATTTTTGAAAAAATAATATTAAAAGAAAAAATTGAATAAGTTAGTTAAATTTTTTTTATTTTATTTTATAAATATTTTAAATAATTATTTATAATGGAAAATTTTAACGCTCATCCTAGATGAAAATCACCTAATCACGTGATTTAAATTTTTGTGATTTTGTTTAAATTTTTTTTATATGGAAAATCTTAAAATTTTAAAAGTAATTTAAAAAATTCTTTACATTTTTATATAATAAAATATATAAATAATTAATTGATAACATGTAAAATTTTTTTCTCTTTCTAATGAATATTTTATTATAATTATTAAGTAAAAAATGATTAACTTTCATTAGAAGTAACTGTGTGAAAAAAAAACACTTATATTTTCTCCCAAACCTTTCATCCACCATAGGACAGCTAGTCTTTATATAGTTTTTTCCGAACCCCTTAAAAAATTTAAAAAAATGCATTGCACTGTTATACACTTTCATGTTCGCTCTAATTAAGTAATTTGTGACGCAATTAAATTATAAATTAGTAAATACACATATATACATTATTTTATTGATATTAAATCAACAAATACCTTGATGAACTTGTATATATCCATATACTACATCTTGTATTTAATATCCATATACTACGTCTTGTATTAATATCCATATACTACGTTTTGTATTAATATTTTTGCATCTACCTTCTACCAATTGGGCATTTTTTTTGGTAATGTTCAGATTGACCACATAAAAGACATTTTCGCTGTATTCTTATAGTTTGATTATCATTTATTTCTGTAACTTCTCGTATTGGAATTCTTCTTTTTGACAATTCTAATACACTCTTTAATCTTCTTTTAGAAGGAGCTCCCCAAATTTTAGTAACATTAGGATCAGTAATCTGATCAATTAAATCTTTTTGTAATGAAATTATGTTAGCATTCTGTGCAGCTCTTTCTATACCATTAATTTCTTCTAAATTATCATCATCACCAACTTCCATACTTCTTTCACAGTTTGATGCAATAAATTCTTTTAATAACCGAATTAATTCACAATCACTATTAGTTTTTAAAGCAATATTAACAGCTGTTTTTGCTGTTGAAAATGCTATACCAAATCGATTTCTTTGAGAAGTATTTTGCTGATGAATACTTTTATTATCATCTAATCCTTGAAAATGTCGCATGTTTTGAAGTGTAAAATTAATTTGATAAGATGATAATGATGAAGAATTATTATTTGATTCTATTGCAGTAAGAATTGGCGAATTTTTAACGTTACCCTTTAAGTTTGTTAAAATACTATCTTTATACCATCTATTTGGTATAATACTAATATGAAACTTCGCTATACCTGAATATAATATAATATGCCAAAAATGTCGACAAATTATACCTTTAGTTACACTTTCCATACATGTACAAAGATGACTGCCATTATCTAATAATATTACTAAATTTTCATGTTTTGAAAGTCCACCTACATGACGTATTCTCCATGTTTCAATAATATTTATAGAATCAATACCATTTAAAAAAGATTGTAATATTATTTGTGGTTCATCAACTACATCTTCTATAAAATAATTATCAACAGTATCAGATTCTAAAACCTATATATTATATATAATAATATAATAAATAAACTTAATTAACAATAATAAAATACTATGTAATTCAAAAAATAAATTTAATACTTACATTATCAAATGATAAAACTAGTTGACCTTCATAAGTAAGTGATTGAGAAATTTGAAATCTTTGACAGGATAATACAAGAGGCGTTAAAAAATGATTAAGAATTGCATCAATATTAAAGAAAAATTGTGAAGCTAAATGTGGTAATCCAACCGTTGTTTGTTGTGCCTTAAGGTCAACTAATTTACAATATTGAGATTCATCATCATGTCTTTTATTGATTGCTTTTTCAACATCACAAAGAGAACTAGTACTATTTACTGCCCTTTTAATAATACCATTAAATGATTTAACGCTTTGAGTACTTTGAATACCCGCATTGAATTGAAATGGTGAATACGATTTGGCCTAACTAGAACGATTAGAATATAATACTTTAGTCATATATGAACAGCTTTCTGGAAATGTACTCATCATAACTTTCCAATGTTGTTCAAATAACTCAACACTTAATGTATTTCTACATAAATAAAATGCCTTACTAAAAGATGGAAATGCTTCACCTAATTTGTTTTTAAGATGTTTGATAATATTTTGCCAAATATGAAAAGGCAATAAAAGTGCGGTGTTGTTGGAAAAACATGAGATGTAGCATTAATTAAACCAGGTTCTGAATCCGTCCAAAATGCTTTTGGAGTTGTTTTATCAGTTGCTTCCATTAAATATTTCAAAATCCAAATATATGTTGACGCCATCTCATCTAGCATTAGCTACATTTTGAAATTTTCCATAATTATCTCTCACCATAAAGACACTCAAATACATATTATATTTGTTGGTCTTATAGGTATTATCATTTAACACCATATAATGGAATCTTTGATATAAATCCTGTTGAAATGGTAATATCCAAAAAATACCAAATAAACGTCTTTCATTGCCAGAATGCCGAACAAATACCTTCCAATTTGAATCTTCAGTCATTTTTTCAAAAAGAACATTAAGTAATAAACCAGAATCAAGGTTTTCATCTTTATTATTTCCATGTAACTTGTAAATTGAATTATAGACGTCCTGTTTGTGAAAAACATGTTCTGGGTATTTTTTTTAAGAATTTCTAATTGTACAATAGACGCAACTTTGCAATCTGTAAAAAATGCTAAGTCTTGCATCATGTCATCATTAAACTGTCTATATCTAGCATTAAGATGAGCTATTTGGGTTGAGTTTAATTCATGATTATGGGAATCTATTAATGTTGTACATCTTATACGTTGTTCAGTTTTTGGTAATTTAAAATTACAATGCCACTCACAATTGGTTTTGTTAGAGTTACGCAAACGATGTACATTTTGATTAATTATTTTTCGACCTTCATAATTACCATTTAAGGAACAACGAAATGATTTACGAAAGATAATAGAATGATCATTTATGTCTTTATCATTTCGATATATTTGATAACCAAATCCTCTTTCCAAACAGTAATTATACATAAACTTATCAACAGACATACAGTCATCAAACATATCTCCAATATGAAGATTATATTAATAAATAGGAAAGTTTGAATTATTATTAGAATAGTTAAAAGTATTAGTATTATCAATAACTGGGTTTATAGGTTCTACTTCTAGTTCAATAAAAACATTATCGTTAGGAGATATAATAGTATCTTCTATGTCACAGTTTACACCACTTTCAATAAAAAAGTTTGGTGATGATGTAAGAACATCTTCAATATCTTTTGGAAAATTTATAAATGATTCCCAGTTCAATTCCATTATGGTGAAAGAGGCGTAAATATAAAATATCACCGTGTAAATTATCACATTAATATTAATAGGGGTAATAGTAACTTTACAAGAAAAAAATTTTTACGCATTTGTATCAATACAAATGTAATACAAAATAAGGTGAAAATCACCCCAGGTGAAATAAAAATTTTTAATTATTAAATTCACCTAGGGTGAAAAAATTTAAAAATCACCCAGGGTTAAATTAAATTTTTAATTATTAAATTCACCTAGGGTGAAATTAATTAATTTTTATTAGTAAAATCATCTAAGGTGAAATTTAAATTAATTCAAAAAAGTAAGTTGATTTTCCTAATTTTGTAATTCTGTCGTGTCTTGCTGCTTTTTACCTTGGATGCGTTATATTTTAAAGTTTTTGGTAAAAATTTAGTTTAGCTAAGAAAGGTTTGAAAGCTAAATAATGATGATATACTATAAATTAGTATTATATATTAAAATATTTTGAATGTAGTTAATAATTTAAATGCTGAATTTGACAAACCTTTTTGAAGCATTGGACTTCAAAATATAAATCATATATTATCCTATTTTATAAAGTTATTGCAAAGATATCATTTATATTAATTACATTGAATGTGCTGATGTGAGTTCGGATTTTCAAATATATAAAATATATAGAAATGTTTACATGTTAAATAAAGTAATTAATTTTATTTAAAGGATTTTGTAATTATATTATTAGGATAATGTTAAAGGTTTATTAGTTTTTTTGTATAACTTATCTTTTTTTTTTTGTTTATTTTAATTAGAAATATTTTTAACATTTTTTTTTGTAGTAAAAAATAGTGATATTTCTATATAAAGTATACCATTTAAAAATTTTTTTTTTTTATTTATTTAATAAGTGATCATACGATACAACAGTGCAAAATTTCTCATTACTTCAATCTCCAGATTATTATATATATGTGATTATAACCTTTCCTATTAAATATAGTTCTGGAGTACTATCTATATTATATTATTAAAATTAAAATTTTAAAAGTGAAGGACTTTAAATGTTTTAATTTTTCTAGTTTATTACATAATGAATATATACGATTATCATCACTTACTGAACTTTTTTCATACATAACCCATATGGTCTTATATTTTTTTCATCTGGTGTGATCCAATATGAATATTTACCATCACCCGCCGGATCAGCCTTCTTCAAACCTTCAGGGTTAACTCTATTCTGAAAAACTACCTTCCAATTACAACCTTCATGGTAAAATATACTAGAATAACCTTCAGCGATCCCAACTTCAGGAGTTGAGTAAATTCCTTTTCCATAATAAAAGTTTACTCCTTTACTAAGCAAATAACCTTCATTAGCAATAGAATTAGCAAAATTTTTATCGGTGCCATGATAAGAGACTGGCCATTCTTTGGAACTAAAACCAACGGAACCTAACCATTCATCATCATTACCATACTTTTTAACATTAAGAGCGATTCTTTTCCATCCATAAGGTCGTTTGTATTCTACATTTCCACGGATATATTTTGTTCCATCATCTCGTAGATTCGTGAAGTCATAATCATATTTGGGGTCTAAAAAATCATCATCTATAACATAAAATTCACAACCCCCGAGTATTCGAAATAAAATATGAATAGTATCACTTCGTTTGATCTTGTAAGATTCTAGAGTTCTACTATCATTCAATATTTTACCAGAAAATCCAAGACGTATAGGTCTATGAATGTAAAGTTTTGCTTGAATTGCTTGTTTCAATTCAAGGACAGTTATATTCGGAGCCACGAATATTGAATGACTTTTCCCAAAAGAAGCTTTGACAAAAATTTGAATTGGTTGCGGAGGTAAAATATTAATATCAAGGATACCTTGAACTTTTTTATTGAAAAAGGAACATCTATCAACAACTTTTTCATCTTTTTCGTCATCTTGTCTGGAACGTCTATTACCATTTTTTTCATTTTTTTCATCACCTTGTCTGGAACGTCTATGAACAACCTTTTCATCTATTTCATCTATTTCATCTATTTCATCACCTTGTCTGAAGGAAGGTTTTTGAACGACTTTATCATCACCTTCTTTAACAAAGGAATATTTATGAACTAAATCAAGGTCTAAAAATTGGTTAGGTAAAACGTCTAAACCATTAGCTACGCATTCACGATATGTCTTTACAGGATGATTAATTATGGAAGAAAGAGCTGCGGCAACAAGTGATAATTCAGACATTTTCTTTCTGATTCAATATCTTAATTTTTCTTTTTTTTTTCTTATAAATACTATTTATTACTACTACTCATTATAATGATCATGTGAAAAAAAAGCGGTAAAAGTTCTATCAATCAAATCAAAAATATTGTAATTAATCTTTTTTTGTTTGTATACTTATTATATTTCTTTAAATATACTAGCCATTACGACATTGACAAATATTTGGTTATTGATTGAAAAAAAAAAAAATTTTTTTTTATATTAGAGTTTACATTTAATTACCATAAGCGTAAACAAACGACAGCGAGAATTTGAACGCGTAATCATTGTTATTAGTTCTTGAAGCTTCTTTATTGGTTAAAAATTACATTATTTTTGATCACAACATATAAAGAACAGAATTGAAAGAAAAGACATCCAAATATGTTTATATATCCATCGCAAAAATCAATGATGATCGCACCAAGTAATATCTTATTATTGTATAATGAACAATGGGTTGTTGTAAACCTATTATGTCATTGTAGGCAAATCATTTATAGCCAATTGCCACGCCGCTAAAAACGAGAATTCTTGACCTGAAACTATGGACAATTTCGGCCAACATTAGTTATCAATAATAATGATGCTCAATTTCGGCAATGTTTCAATGTGGTGACTCTAACCAATTTTCATTGTTCTAAAATGATATAGATTAAACAAGATTGTCATTATCAGGATCGATGATCAAATTTTCTCCGCAAAAGTTGCTCTAGTTTGAAAGAGAAACCTATGTTAATCCTATATTATAGACTCATTTTTTTATTCAAAATTGCTCGCTTTATTGTCTGTAAACGAAAACACATAACACTATGATTTTTTTTTTATTGTCTATTCCTTATATATATATATAATTACCAAAAAAGCTAATTGGATAAATGTTCTTGCGCAGTTAATGGAGGTTAATTTAATAGATTATATTTACGATTTATTCCGTTTTTTTTTCCGTTTATTTAATGCTTTAATTTGCGTAGTCATTAGTCGATGAAAAATTCTCACGATCAAAGTTACACAAAAAATTATTGATTATATACTCCCGAAATATGTGTGGAAATTGGTATGTAAGCATTGTTTTTTATTTTTCCGAATATATTTACACAGTTCACACCACACGACATATAGTTTAAACCAAAACGTGGGTAAACAATTATTGCTTTATTGATATAAAATAGATTTCAACTCATAAATCATTTTGTTTTGTATGTCATTCACACAAACCCTAATCAAAGATCAAGAAAAAAAATATTAAAAATTTGTTAGATAATTGATTCATTCGTAACTTTTGACGAGAGACAGTCAATCACGTTACTGTGGCGTAGCAAACCTTATTCATTGACACCCGTTATACAGTATCTTATCATCCACAATAGAAAAGAAAGCTATAAACCTTCCTGACATTACCTTTCAAGAGATTACTTGTATTGTAAATTATCATCACAGCCACTAAGAATATTATAACTGAGTATCATCATACAATCGATCTGGAAAGAATGTCTTTCAACATTGGCAGCACACTCAAATATGTTTAAATTACGAAAAAATTGTAAATCAAAAAAATTGCTCATATTTAAATCAATGCTATTAGAATAATGGTAAATATTTGTTTGATAATATACCAGATTAGTAATTTTGGCTGGTATAACTCCAGAAAATTTTTCAAGTTTGATGACCTTAAATTTCTTATAAGAATAAAAGTTTTACGTGTACTTATAGATTTATTATTTCACTCTGCAAGTGAGTATCTAAACAATTACATTATATTAGATATTATTTTTGCTTAACCACTATCCTTTTTAATACAAAAAATAATCTAAAGTAACATTACTATTATTAACTTCCATAATAAGTGATTATTAAGTGTTCTAGAATTTTTTAAGAATTATTTTTTACGTAAATTTTCAAGTATATCTAAAATTTTACCCGTTTCAGCATAAATAATAAAAGCAGAATGATAAATTACACTTTTAAAATCGTCCATATCATACATTATTCTAATAAATTCAGGGTCCCGAATTTTCATTTCTTCAACCCAGAAATTTTGAAGTAATTGATTTTCTTCAGATTTTTTTTTATCAGAATCTTCAAAAGGATTATCAGTTATCCAAACAGGAAAAGTACAAAAACATTCTAATGGATAAGAACCCGAACATTCCCAATCAATTATACCAGTAATATTAGTACTACCATCAACCAAAATATTTGTATAATGAAAATCACCATGAGTTAATATAAAAATATCATTAACATTATTATTATTATTATTATTATTGAAATATTTTGGTACTAAAGATAATAATTCTTCATAAACAGGAATCCATTTTTTTTGTTCTTCTTCATTAAAATTTTCTTTATTATAAATAATTTCTTTTTCAATAGCAGCAACAATATAATCATAAGTATTATTAAAAGGTCCACGTTTAATATTTAATTCAGATCTTTTTTCACTAAAAAAAGTTTCTTCTGTAACTTGACCTATTATAAAATCTTTTATATTATTATCATAAAAAATTCCTCCAATTTTTGAAAATTTTTGATTTTTAAGTATACATTGTATATTTATTATTTGTAATAATATATTTTTCTTTTCATTTATATTATAATTATTCCATACATCAGATAATGATATACCAGGTAACCTTTCCATAATAATATATTCTTGTCCAACAAGATTTTCTTTATTACTTTCATAATGATAAACTTGTGGTACTCTAATTGAAGTTCTTTCTCTAACATATTTCATAACTGCGACTTCACTTTCAGTTTTCCAATATGGATAATCTGGAAATGCTATTCTTCCAATATATTCATTATCATCTTCCATTTTTAATATAAAAACTTTATGAAATCCCCCTTCCCCAAGTTTTTCTATAGAAATACAAGATTTACCAAATACGTTTGAAGCGATTTTTTTTAAACCTTCCAAATTATAATCCAAATCAACTGAAAATTCTGAAGAATTTGAAGAATTTGAAAAATTATCATCATCAATTTCTTCTTGTTTCGACATTTTTTTTTTTTTAATTTTGGATTTTAGATAAAAAGTGAATCAAGAGGAGTGATAAAAGGGGAGAGAAAAATATACGTATATATATATATATATATAATTTTTTTTTGCTGCGGATATAGTTTATTACATAACTATAATTCCCTTTTAGTATATTATAGTTAAGGGTTATTATTAAAAAAACTTAATATGCAACATATATATAAATTAGTTAAATAAAAAGGAACGCCCTCTTTTTTAATTATTCAAATAAGTAAAAATATCACATGTTAGAAGTTTCGACTACATCCTGTTTGTTTTCGTATATATGTATATTATACACAGTACATATATGTGGGAATTTACTGTAATATACTGGATACTGGATATACAGTTATACAGTACGGTTAATTAATCATCATTTTTTATGCTTAACTTTTTATTTTGAACATCAAATGATTTTGCATCATTTTATAAAGATATGGTCATATGGATATTTTCGACAGTTTTCATTTTTATATTTTAATTATCAGCCATTTTTCCCATTATTGATTGATTATTGATAATCAATTGTTAGTAATGTACAGTATATATCCGGAGTCTTTATTCCAAAAGTTAACTTATTGATATCCTAATTTTGTAAATTTTAATTGAGAAAAAAATTTAGAAAAAAAAAAAAATGTTAAATACATTAAATGCATTAACTATATTAAAATATGTTAATCATGTTGAAATATGTTGAAATCTAGAAATTTAACATGTAAATCACGTAAATTATTAAAAAAATGAAAAAAATACAATGATTTTATGTTATCGTAACGCATAATCTTACTTTCTTTTGAAAAATTCCTTTTAAATGAATTCATTCTATATTAAAATCGGTTTGGGAATTCCGAAAGATATTTTATAAAGAAAGTTTTCACTATTAAAAAAAAAAAAGGGTTCTTTATTACTTTTTTCTTTTCTTAAAAATTGCTATCCTTTTATTTAATAATTGAGAATGCCTCCTACTAATTCAAAAACAAAACATCATTGTCCTTTATGCAAGAAATCATATAGAACTGGTATTTGTCCTAAACATCAATTATTTTGTGAAGAACATCGATGGACCCATTTGACAAATGAAAAATGTCCTAAATGCAAGGAAGGTAAATTTCATACTTATTTATTTCTATTTATTTTTATTTTTTTTTATTTTTTATTGTTTTTTTTTTTTACCTAGGATTGAAATTTTGATTAATTTAGCGGATGAAAAGAAAGCAAAAGAACAAGCGGATAAGGAAAGAAAAGAAAGAGAGGAAAATAAAAGAAGAGAAGAAGAAAGAAAAGAAATAGAAAGAAAAGGAAGAGAAAAAAAAGATGAAAAAGAAAGGAAAAGAAAAGAAAGGGAAGAGAAGGAAGAGAAGGAAGAAAGAGAAAGAAGAGAAAAAGAGTTAAGAAAAGAGGAAATGGAGAGAAAAGAAAGTGAGTCAAGGAAGAGAGATGAGAAAGAAAAGGAAGAGAGGGAAGCCAAAGAAAAAGAAAAAATGGAAAAGGAAACAAAAGCAAAGGAAAGGGAAAAAGTTAAAAAAGAAATGGAAACGAAGGAAGCAAAAGAGATAAAGGAGAAAAAGGAAACAAAAGCAAAGGAAAGGGAAAAAGTTAAAAAAGAAATGGAAACGAAAGAAGCAAAAGAGATAAAGGAGAAAAAGGAAATAAAAGAAATGGAAAGAGAACAAGAAATAAGTGAAGAAAAAAACGAAATAGAAAGCGAGAGAGAAGAAAATAGAGGAGTAGAAAACGGAGAAGAAGAAAACGAGGAAGAAAACGAAGGAGAAGAAAACGAAAAAGAAACCAAACAAGAAAAGGAAATAGAAGAAAAAACAAAAAAAGTACAAGTAGAGAAAAAGTTTGTAAAAAAAGGTGTGATGTTAGATTTGTCGATAGATTCGATAGATTGTATATTTGAATTAATATTGTAGTTTTTACTGCGGTAATGGGCTTTTATTCGTGATATAAATTATTTGTAGTTATAAATTGTGATTTTTTTACTGCGGTAATTGTTTTTTATCGATCCAATATATATATTATTTTCATCTATATTTCAATAAATAAAATTATGAAAAAAATTTGGCGTTATCCAAATTAGGTTCAGTCACATATTACAAAAGGAAAGGCGTTTGTTTTTAGTGCTGGAAAAGTTCTGTACCGCAGTAATTTTTCCGATCATATAGTGATGCGGCGCAAATCGTCATATCCGAAGTCATTTTATCGATCACATATTTAGAAGCTTACAATCATTGTTCACGTGCACTGTAAATCAGTCAATCGGCAGTATTTAATAATTATTTAATAATTATAATATTATTCTTTATTTTCATGATCAAAAAAAAAAAAAAGTACTTAGTCGAATTTTCTCTTTCCATATTTCTTCTTAATATTATGATTTCAGTTATTTTTTGATTAGTTATTGTTAAAGAGACAAAATAATTTCCATAAATGCATTTCAAGGTTCACGTTTCTATTTTGTATAGGTAAATACGCTTTGGTTTTACTCACCTCAAAAGATTCAAACAATTAAATAATTTGTAAAATAAAAAGTACAAAAAGAAACAAAGATCTTAAATCAAAAAAAATAATCAAAATGAATCCAGCAACCACCGTTAAACCAATTGTTATCGTTGCCTCCAAAGTGACAGAAGAACCTATTAAACCTAACAAATCAATGTTTCATCATGTAAAGTTGCACAAAACTTTTACATCTCGGTCAATTAGGAATATGCGGGATTTTAATGACTGATATTTTTGTTAATAGACATCCAATATTGAAATCAGTATTAGCAGCATTAATTTCTATTGGTCACTGCAATATTCCAACTATAACTCAGTTATTGGATGGGGATATCGGTCTTCAGCCAATATCTCTATTTCCCATCCAATAATTATATTTAATTTAAATTTATCTGTATTTTATTCTATTCATTTTTATATTTAATAATGGTATATATTGTACACTGTTGCTGGAAATAAGATGGTCATTTTTGAAGAACCAGAACTTAGGGCTTAGAGTAGTGTTACGATCTGTTGATCTGCCAATCTGCCAATCCGTAGATTTATCTGATTCAAAACCATCTGGATTGGATCTGGATGAAGATACAAATGATTCATCATCTACTATTTCTGTATATAAATCCAGATCCATCCGTTTGATTAATACTATTTTATAGTAACAGACCCATCCAAATGGTTATCCAGATCATCCATTATTTATGGATCGGTCATCCAGATTTTTATATTGAAATTCATTCAGATGGACGTCCAGATCATCCATTTATTTACAGACTGGATTAAATGGATGACGAATCCATCTGGATCGTAATACTAGCTTAGAGAAGAGGAGAGATTAATGGTTTGAACTTCCTTGATATGACAAGTAAAGATTTTTGAGATTATAGTATGAAAGGAGAACCTACTATGACCCTCGTAAAGTTCACTAAGGAGTGCAAAGAGAAAAGTTGCACTCATTCTCCTTGTACAAAACTAAGAAAGAGTTGAGTAAGGTGTTGCGTAAGTACGGAATAAATAGCAATAATATAAAAAAAATTCTGCCCTTTAAACCAGAGTAGACGAGAAGCTAAAGCAATATATAACAGAGGTAAAACGCAGGATGGGAATTATAGGTTCAGCAACATTGCAACAAGTGTTAAAAAGGTTATGGAGGTGATCGTGGATCTGTTAAAGGATAGGGTAGAAGTTGATGGTACCCTCCAGATAATAAGAGGCAAAGACAAAAAAATTTATTAAGGAATGAGCATGCAGATTATAGGGTAGAATTCAGTTATGTACCAGCAAGGCAAAGTCCTGAACTTTTGTATTAATTTTTGCATGCAATAATAAAAAAAATGTGTGAATTATTTACGTGATAACATGATTTTTATTATTAATATGCTGACTATTCATTAGTGAGTTTGAGACGAGCTCTGCAAAATTTTAGGTTATTAAAAACCCGTGACAAAATGTCACAATCATCCTACTGTCTAAAAAAAGATGAAGCTTTGCACAATAGCCATTCAGATTGAATTTTCATTATCTCACAAAATGCGATTAATAAAAAATTTTTTACACATGACAATAATTATAACGAAATATCATTCTTTTTCATAACCATTGTGATATTATGGATTCTTAGTTCCAAATTTTGACCTGAACGCTCATGTGATTTTTGATCGTGACCTTCACAGTTGCACCTATGAAACAGGGCGGACATCCTTATATCACCTTGCCGATCATTTGCCGATCTTATAGTAAATTGGGTGATATCAGACTTTAAAGCTTCGGCCGAAGTTACAGAAGTTTGGCCGAAACTTGAAACTTTTATGGGTCATAGTTTAACTGATTTAAAATCAATGGCCGAAGTAATCATTCCTAATTTTAGGTAATCAAGAAGTTATGGCTAAATTTATACTTGCAATTATATTTGTTATAATCTATATAATAAATAGAAATTTTCAAAATGCAATTTCTCAATCAATTTAGTGTAAAAATTTTATGAAATTACTATCAAAATGTTTGTCTTGACGAGATGAATCTAAAAAACTAACAAAAATTAAATTTTAATCACTGGTTGTCACAATATCATTAAAATAATTTAATTTTCTAATTATTATTAAAATTCAGCCCATTTTTGGGTTTTAGTTAATTTTTGGATTTGAAAACATTAATTTTCGGACTTTGGATGAATTTTGATAACAAATAAAATTTATATAGTTAAATTTGCAAAAAAATGGTATTTTTTATGTGATAATATTAAAATAGATGATCGGCAAAATGATCGGCAATAATGTGATAATATGAGGATGTCCGCCCTGTTCACCTATGATGTGATAATGTGATAACGTACTGTACATATACAAAAATACGAGCTAACTTCTGTTTATTTTTTCAATGAATAATCTAATTATATTTTCCATAAGTTGCATCTCAATCATCGATTGAAAATAAATATTAATTAGACAAACATCAAGCAAGTAATTGCATGTAATTTATTTTCAAACATTCCTGCACATAGTGTCAAATTTTTTCTATTGTAAATTAGGTGATCAAATTTACGTGATGCAGTCATATTAATGTTAAAGATCAATTCTTAGACCATTTACAAATTATATAAAAACTCTTTTATCTGCCTGAACAGAAATAAGATGGAAAATTTGCCTTTGCAATCCCCAAAATACATCAACGATTAAAATCTTCAAATGAGATAGATCAATTGAGTATTTATAAATAAAAACTAATCAGTTAATATGGTCAAGATATTTTGTCCACAGATATATTTGAAATTACTTTATCTCTTACATTAATATAATTTTTTATATCCTATGTGGAATAGAAACAAAAAGTGGAATAGATAGTAGATAGGCAAAAAGTAGCATTAGATAATATGGAAACTCTCATCTTATGGATTAGAGCTCAAAATGTTTTTCTTTTAAAAACGTCTGCTACTCAAGTTTTACTCTATTAGTTGGTACTAACTTTTTTACATTTAATTACAAGAAAAGTAAAATTTCACTTTGAATTTTTATGCTTTATTGATAGAATATACCCTCATTCCTGCTTATCTCTACAAATCTGATATTCTCTAATTATAATTTTTTATATAAAAAAAGTACAAATTTGCTATTTATAACCGGTGGTGATTTTCGCCGGTGGCTGATTCACATGATAATAATAATTAATTATGCACCACAAAATAATAAAATTATATTATAATTATAAAATGCAATAAAAATAATAAAAATATTAATTAACAATACAATGCTAATACTAATACATCAAGAAAATCGCTTTAAATTTAAAGAAACTTAATTCCCAAATGCTTTAATGATTTGTAATGCTATTCATATTCTCCTTATCAACCTTGTATTTTGCACAACTTCGAATATTATGTCCTTTATCCAAACAATAACTACACTTTTTAGACGAAGTATTTTTAGTAGAATTTTCTTCTATTGATGATTTATACCTTTTTGGAGGTCTCCCTTTCGGTCTATGATATTCTGGATTAGAAATATTATAATTGTTATTGGTATCCAAATTGGCCAAAGGTATCCGGCTATTTGATTGAGTTTCCATAGATAAATCTTGAGTTTCTTCTATACCAAATCCAGTACTATACCGATATTTCATATTGAATTGCATAAGCATCCCAATAAATTCTGTTATAGCACCTTCTGATACTGTGATTTGAACACTTGTTTTTGCTAATGACATTGCAATACCAAATTAAACCTTTTTATTAACTTTTTCTCTGATAGCTGGTATATAAATATTAGTAGGTCTGATTTGTTCAATATATTGCAAAGAAACATTTGCACTAGTTTTCATTCTCTGAGTAATCACAACATTTGTATCAGATGGAATTACTTCAAACCAATGATTATTAATAAATGTAATGTGAAATACTGCCTTGTTTGACTGAATAAGGACACAATACTGATGCCTACATAGCATACCTTTATTTATAATACAGTCAACTCTCTTTATAGTCACACATTTGGGACAGTCCATATTTGGTGATTATAAAGAGATGTGACTATATAAAAAATTTCTTATATTAGTACATCATAATTCCTGTCTCTTATACACATCTAGATGTGTATAAGAGACAGTTATATAACTGTGATTATAAACGGTTCTTTTTAATATAAGATTTTTGAGGATAGGTGTGATAGTGACTATAGATAGATTGTGACTATATAGGATAAATTTTAATAATAAAGTGTTTTGAACATTCAACTGGTGTGACTATATAGTAGAATGTGACTATAACGGGAGTGACTATAGAGGGAGTTGACTGTACTCATGCAAGTACAAATTGATGATGAATCCTTAAAAATAACAACATAATGTGGTGTAGTAGGTGATGAAGAAGTAGTAGCAATATAAGAAAACTCCCATAATTTTTGAAAATCATTAACTGATATGTCTAATATAAGCTCATATAATCGAATTTGTGGCAAATCATATTTATGCTCAATTATACCACCAAATGTTAAATTAGATTCCGTGACCTGCATAGAAGATTAAAAAAATACAATGAGATTTTTTCATAACTCTAATCCAATTCCTAATCCTAAACACTAATAAACAAACCTTAATAAACAAACCCTAACCAACTAACCCTAACCAACTAATCCTAACCCTAACTAACCTATCTAACCCTAACTAACCCTAATCCTAATTTCTAACTCCCTTATTATCAATGCAAAATTAACCCATAAAAAATAACTTACTTGATTAATTTCTATTAGAGTTGTTTGGTATCATAATAAAGACTGTTCCATCTGTGCACGTTGAAAAGACAATGGAATAGGTGATAAATGAGCTTATAAAATATTATTAATTTCTTTAAATATCGTATTAAAAGTTGAAGGAAGTCCTACTGATGGATTTGAACCATAGTGCATATCATTAAATCTCAAATCAAATTGAGTTTGAATGTAACTATTTCTCATATGATAAAAATCTCCAATAAAATTTTTGACCATATCACCATGAAGCTTACATCTGGCTTTCTTTTTTACATTCTCCATAATATGATAAATACATAATAGATGTTGGGTTTGTGGGTATACTATTTGAACAGCTGCAATCATTGCTGGATCTCCATCTGTATATAATAATACTATAGGTTGAGTTTGTGTTACTTCAAGTGTACATCATAAGATCCAGATATAATCAGATGTAGTTTCATATTTAGTTAAAGCCTGGGCAAGAATTCTTGTTTTAAAATCACGATCAACACCAACAAATAAACTGAGAGCTATTTCATAACGATTGGTTTTAGCTATGTTGTCATGAATAACTACATCATGAAATTGTGGCCAGAGTTCATTATGTTGTTGACTGGTCATCCAAAAGAGACCTGTAAATTTATTAGACTGACCTTCTAAACGTGAAATGACCATAAAATCAGGATCATTATCATGCTGTCTTAAAAGATATGAAAATAATGTGGATGCATCAGATTCATCATGAGTTTGTACACCTCGAAATTTGTTAATGGTATTATATAAATTTTTCTTACAAATACGATATTAAGGAAATTCTTTAAGAAGAAGATCATATTGTTGACCAGCTCCTAATCGACCATTAAGTGTGTAGTGTTCAATTTTATCTAAAATTGATTGTAGAAGACGTAAATTTCTTGGTGCTAATTCTATCTTGGTGTCACATTGATGATTATGAATGTTAACAAACTTAGTAAAACATATTTCTCCTGTTTGCTTTCCAAGATAGAAGCTAACCTGCCATGGGCAGCCCGTTTTACCAGAAGTACTATCATGATGTAAACCAATATTTTCCACCTTTTTTGGTTTATTAACACCAAATTTCCAACATTTAAAAACATGACGCTGAACTATAGACTTATCAACGGGATCAAGGTCTAAACGATATTTACTTACAATAAAACTATGGTGTTTTGTATACGCGTTAACTCTATCTTGAACCATATCCCAATCATTAAAAGAATTACCAACATGAAATTCTGATGGGTCTGATGGGTCAGAATATATATTATCATCATCATTCGCTAGCTCATCATTTTCAGCAGACAATATTTCTTCCTCTGAGTTCTCGTTAACTTCATTAATGTGAAAAATGAGTGGCTCCATTAAATAATGTTGAATTTCGTCCATATCTAAAAAAAAAATCCTAATATTAGCACTTGGAACATAAAAATAATGGTTAACTTTCTTGGAAATATAATTCACCTTTAGAGAGGAATGTTGTTTCGTTAAGATCCTTTCATTTACTGTGAGAAGAAAAAAAAGTCTAATTGTCCTGATTTCTAATTAATAATCAAATTAGTTACACGATCAGTATATACACAAATCACGTGAACCAGCCATCGGTGAAAATCACCACTGGTTATACATAGTAATTTTCAAAAAAGTATAGCTCACAAATTGAAAATTACATATATTGTTTATTTTTTAAATTTCATGCAGCCTTATTAAGAAAATAAATTAAAGCTATTATCAGGTAAACTGCTAAAACCTTTAATATATCCATATATATATTGACCATCACTAGAATCTGATGGCAAACTATTGGTATAGGATTCTAATTTTTTCTCTATGATTTGATCAAGATTTTCTAGAATATATTTCAAGGATCTGACCTTAAAGTCATTATTTCCATCTGCTACATATTTTCATAAGTTTCCAATCAAATGCACATTTAGTAAAAAGTTGTGGTTCAAAAACAATGATATTATATCCTTGTTCTCGTGCAAAATCAGTGTAAAGTTCACACAAGTAACAACATCTTTTGGACATTGCTATAAACACTCTACTAAAAATTTTTTTGTTGATAATTAAGGAGACCAATATATTTATTTCTGCATGTAAGTATATACATTGTTTAATAACATCATCACCATCAAGTTGTTGCTGTTATTGTATAGCATTATCGGTATATACTTTACTGATTCTTTCCATTACTTTAGGCTTTTTCAAATACCTATTCATGAAACATTTATATGTCTTCATTAATAAACCTTTTGATAATATTTTTCCATAAATATATGGGCTGATTATTTATGATAACAGGACTTACTTTAAACACTTGAACATTAGAGAATAGTAATTTATATTGTATATTACGTGCACATTCTATGATACCTATAGCAGAATCCATATAAAATGCCACTTTTTTAATATGTCTTAAAAATTTTGAGGGGATATTAGACTCAACTTTAGCTTTTTTTACTTTTTTATAATACTCTTTACAAATTCCAGATATTGTGATAATATTTGTATTATCTGCATTGCCAACCATAACAACTCTAACTGAAAGAAAATCACTGAAAGATTTAATATGTTTATTATCACCATATAATTCAATATCATCCTGAAGTTTTTTCAATCTAGACTTAAGTTTAATAGAGCAGTTAATCGTTACAACCTCAAGAAAATCCCTTTCGTTATCTTTTGATATCACAGGAGCATTTTTTGATATATTTTTCAGATATTTTGTAATATTATCAATATATCTAATATCTTTGTTAAGCCAATCAGAGTTTTTAGAAAGATAAATTTCACAGCGACCTTGTAAAATTTTTAACCATACTGCAACTATCTCTTTATCCCTTGCAAGTATTATTGCTAAATAGCAGTAAAAAATCTCATAAATATTTAAGAAAGTGAATTTTTTATTTTCTTTACTGACAGCAAAGTTAATACTCTGAGTAACATATTCTTTACTATACAACTCCTTCTTTTTCTCATACTCTTTTAGTTCTTTCAATTCCTCTGAAGATATTTGAGCTATTTGACTATATGATAGACTTTTCATATTTAATTAAACACAACTATTAATAGTATTTTACAAATCAAATAAATAATGATTTTAATAAGTGATGATCTTAAAGATAAATTTCAGCAAAATTTAGCATAAGTGAAAATGTGAAATTCTATTTGATCCTTATTATTACACAATTATTTATATTAAATTTACAGTAGCACATATATCAAAAATACATAATTATAATACTAATTAAATAAACTATCAATAATACTTTTAATATATAATCATTTTTTAGTTTGCTAATTTTTGTTTTCTATACTCTGATCCAATTTGATTAATACTCTGAATAAGTCAAGTCAAGTCAAGTTATATGTAATTTCAACCCAACTTGTATTAAATTAAGTCAAATCAAGTTGAGTTAAAATTATAGAAAAATATAAACTTGACTTGATTTATAACACTAATTAAATAAACTATCAATAAACTTTCATCATATATAATAATGGTACTGATTCTATTTATATATAATTCAAATGAAAAAACAGCTTTAAAAAAAGGAAAATCTTCAAAGTGATCTCTTTAACTTTAAAGATTGAGTTAATAAATCAAATTTAGTAAAACTAAAAACTTTATATAATCATTTTTTAGTTTGCTAACTTTTGTTTTTTATACTCTGATCCAGTTTAATTACTAGTACTCTGAATAAGTTAAATCAAGTCAAGTTATATGTAAATTCAACTTAACTTGTATTAAATCAAACTGAATAAGTCGAATCAAGTTAAACCAGATAATTTTTTCAACTATACTGATCATTTCATGATAACCAATTCTACAAAATTCCATTTTTATAAATTTCAAAGATTTTTCATTTTAAATTTTATATGATATAACATAATTTTAAAAAAGAAAATTCCATAATTTTGGCCAGAATTTTAAGTTAATTTAACTTAACTTAACTTAACTTGATTTTATTAAATTATTAACTCAACTTGATTCAATTTAATTGTAATTTTTAATTTAATTCAATTTGACTTAACTTGTAAGTTAACTCAACTCATTTCAAAGCACTAAGTCTAATTTAGCATTTGAAGGTTTGGCTATAAAAATAATAAAACACATACTTTATAGGTTAAAAGTTAATTTGTAATTTACCGATCATGTATAATATATGCATATAAGCCACGTAATTGATTTTTAAGTTAATAACTTCTAATTTTTTTATATTCTTCGTAAATCTCAAGAAACCCATAGTGATTCTGTCTTTATTAAGGCTAGTTTCATTATAATTAACAATTTTACATATTAAATATTAATCATATAAAATATACAAATAGTTATTGTTGAAAAAAGAAAAAACTCTTTCCGGTTATATTCATGACCATTTTTTCTTCAAATAATTTTTAATAAAAACTTTTTATTTTCGCTTTATTTTCTTTAAGTTATTTATTATTTTCATAAACCTTTTTGTTTTTAATACCCTTTCATTTTAGTATTAGTAATTTTGCAAAAATCCTTGACATGAAGGCAGGATAACAAAAAGTTGGACTGGAAGTGTATAAAGACAGAACTAAAAGACAGAACGTATTCAAGCAATATAATATAAGCAATAATACTATGAAAACTACTATTTGACTTCAACGAGTATACGGTGAAAGCCTAATTACTGAGAACTTTGTTATGTATTTACAATAAAATAACCTTACTTCAATGGACTGACGCTTTTTGATATTTTAGATAAAGCTATCAAGAAACATGTAACAGCTTCACAACGACTTAAGCACTTTACTAAATAATAATCCAAATTTGACATTCAAAAGTAAGTAATCAATTAATGAAAAACTGAATATAATTATTAAAATAGCTCACTTTCTTTTCCTAAATTGATATTTCTTTATGCTTTCTCACAATCCATTCCTTTGCGACATTTAATTCTTTTTTATTATTAAGATATAAAATGATATTATTGCCTTTCTGGTGAATCCAACTGAATAAATTTAAATTGGCAAACCACTCCACTATCTCTTTATCTTCAACTATAGTATCACAGCTGATCTCAAAGGTATTTATTTTATTATAATTAGAGCTCCTAATGAGTCGAGTCGAGTCGAGTTACGAGTTAAAAACCTTAATTTTAAAGTACTTTTTATTAAGTTAGAATATAATTAAACGAAAATTTACAATTATGCGAGTCAAAATGCGAGTTTATGCGAGTCATTTTCGGAGCTCTAATTATAATAATCAGAATTGGCTCCAGTTGCGTATACAAAAAACTTATAATATATTTCAAGTTGTATGTAGTGTATTTTATTATTACCTTTTAAGTGACCTGATACCCCTATAGGGAATAGAAGTGTAGAAAGCTTAAATTGATCTAATACTCTCACAAAAAACAAATATTTTGTACAAAGATCAGTATGTTCGTGTATATTAAGTGAATTTAATATACCCAATTTCCAGAATCTTGATCTTCCATTTGTAATCGATAGCTTCCAATAACGTTCCATAATAATCGCCATCTCTGGCAATTAAAACTAATATATCAGGACTTTCTGTGTAAATCATTTTAGCAATTTTAAGTGTAATGAAATTGTTAACACCTTTTTCTCTGCCTACACAATTTTGTCTAAAAACTTTAATGTCATCATCTGGCAGGATTTCAGAACCTATAATGATAGGGATATTACTTAATTCATGATTACCCACAATTTTTTTGAAGAGTAAACCATAATCAAAAATGATTTGATTGTAATAAAAAAGGTCGTTTAGGGGTTTTGTATAGCATAATGAGTATAATTTTTCTTAAATTGTATATTATAAAATTTAATATATTTTTGTTCTTTAAGCTTTATTTTACTTATTTAAATACCTTTTTTTTTAATACAATACTTATATAAAAGAATATATTGAGCTAACTTTTATTATTTCAACCTACTGATTGAACTTATTAGTAAAATATATATATTACTTTTAAATGTATAAATATATGTAAATTTTTATGGGAAAGTGCTTTTTTATGCTATAAAATTAAAATTATTCTCGAATATACAAATGTGGTCTGAAGATTTTGTGCCAGCTACACAGAAAAAAAAGAACTTTTAGCATAAGTTATAATTGCAAAAAACAGGGTGCGTTAACTAAATTTATTATGACTCACTTACCACTTGCACCAGGTTGCTACTCTATGATAACATGAATGTATTTTTTGGGTGAGTTTGACGATAAGAAGCAGGAAAGAAAAGCACAAGAATAAAGTAAGTATTTGGTATTATTGGCAAATATGGCAGAGAAGATAAAAAAAAAATAAAGCTTTTTACCTCTTCAAATTTAATTAATCAGTTTTCTAATCTCTTTAGCTGATTTAAGAGCTATTCCGATACTTAAAAGGTCATCTCGTATTAATTCAAGGAGAGTGTTACCATCAACCTTATTATTATATATTTTATTGATCTCAATGTAAAGTTGCCTGCCTAAACCTCTCCAAAATTTACGATTAGTTTCTCCAAAATTTTACTATAGTTTTATTATAGTTTCGGCAAGGTTTTAGTAGTTTTAGCATTTATAATAAATTTTGTCAGATTTCACTTTTCTTCAGAGTTTTGCCAACTTTTTAATAAGACTTTCATATAGTTTTGGCAAAGTTTTGCTATTTTGGCATTTTACCAATTTGCCTAAATCCCCTAGTTTTTCCAGCAACTTTATTTTAGTGTCATCAAGGTCTAATCTGTCTTTTTTCTCTTGCAAAAATCCTTTAACTCTATCTCACTTCCATCCATTAATTTCTTCAACTGTTGGGAGTCTAGAAGCACTTATAGAAGTACTTGTATTTGCAATGCTGTGGGACATGGTTATTTTATTACAAAAAACAAATGTGGTAACAGTTGTACAGTTCAGAAAAAGAAAAAATTTGCTGAAAGAGTAACACAAATAGAGGATATATTTATGAAAAATCGATTGTCACACAGATTGGTGTGACTCATTAGTTGAAAACGATAATGAGTATGATATAACCTTAAATGATTATCATACAAATGAAGTAATTATTGTGTATATATGTACTACAATAATCAATGAGTAATACCCTCACCCCTCAATATTACACAAAATTAATTAAATTTATCTGGTGATTGTTATAGAACATTATTACAGAATGTAAAATTTAACAAAAAATCAAAGGGTAAAAGTGAAAACAATTGTGATTGTAAACAATATACTACAAATAGATTTATTATTCTGTTACACTGGATTCAAATACCCCATGTATAAAATTTTATTATTCTGTAACATTGGATCTAAATACCCATCACACTCCTATCACCCATGTATAAAATTTATATAGTTCTGTGATACTGGATCCAAATACCTCATATACAATTATTTTTATATATATTATATATACTAATACTTCAATTTTATATCTTTAAAAGTCTAAATTATCATGTTTTTTTTATAATAATTAAATATTTTATATTGATTTTTAATTTTTATTATTTAAATTTAATGTACTGTAAGCCAAAATCTTTATAATTTTACTTATATTAAATTAATACAGTACTTTTTCAATCAAAAAATCTCATAAATTATATAGAATAATATATGTAATTGTATAATAATTAAAAGTTAACTGTCAATAGGATAAAATAATTTCATAATCATTTTTTTAACAAATGAAAATTGGTAATTTTAAAATTTTAATATATATAATAATATAAAATATAAAAATTATATTATGTTTATCCAAAACTTACATATAAATTGTAGAAATTAGATTGAAATCTTATTAAAATGTGTAAAATGTAAAAATTAAAAAAAACCTAAATAATAATAAATATTAATTAAAAATTTTATAATGTTTTGTTAAATTTAGAATCATTATATACCTCTATTATTTGTACAAATGAAATAATATCACAATAATAGTCTTTGATATGCTGGTAATATTTTCCAGCTGAAGATTTAATAAACATATACATCAATTCTAATTTGTAAATGTAAAAATTGTAATGAGTATATAGAATAATCTAAATATAAACCAGTAAAAACGTGAGCTTACCATTTCTTCTAAATTTTTTTTTTTTTCATTTCATATCTGGCGGTTTTTCAAGAACATATTGCATTTCTACATATCTTTGTGCATTATCATCATCTTCAAAGGTTAATAAATAAGCTCGCTGGTGAGATTGTGATGATAGTTTAGTTGGTGGTAATACGACTGATGCTTTGTAAAAACACGTTGTACTGGGATATAAAGCAAGTACTGTTGTACTAGGTGCAAACTCTTGTGATGGACGAATATCAGAAGGATTTGGAATCACCATAACATTTTTAGCTGGAACAAAAAATCGTCTGACGGGAATAATATTATTAAATATTAGAAAAGTATTTTTACGATTAACAATGATAAAACTTACTCTCCAGGACGATTTGATGCTTCGTCTCTATCAGCGTCTTCAACTTCATAACTATAAATTTTAATGAAAAAATTTATGCCAAATAACAGAACATGTATATTTTTTTAACATATAAGAATTTTATAAATTTACTTTTTTGATTCTGGTTTGTAACTGACAACAGTTGCCAAAATCCAATTTTCTTCAATGTCTTTAAATTTGGGCTGTTTTGCCGCGACCTATCACAAATAAATATATCATTAGATTACATTTATTCGATAATAAACATTTTCATTTATATGTGATATTACTTACATTACTTCCATTTTTGATTATGTTGCCACCACTTTTACATTAATGAAACAGAAAAAAAAGATTCATTATAGTGAAGACAGAAAAAGATAATTTAAACAATAGATACTTCTTATGTTTCTTGATTTTAGAACTACCACTAACAACAGATTCTTCACGTCTTTTGCGTTTGCTGTTGCTATCGTCTGCCACTATTGTTAATTAGTTAAAAAATTGTATAAATAAATTATTTTCGTGAATCTCACATACATTGTGGAGTTTGATAGTCTTTTGCAGAATGTGATCCTAATGCCGTCAAATTATCAATATCCTCCACTATTGTCTTACAAATTCTTAACAAATTGAAATGCAAGGAAATTAATTAATTTATTGTTTTACTTTAAAATCAATCATGTTATCTTACCTATCTTCACGGTTTGCTTGTTCAATTCCTTTTTTATAAAGTTCTCGTAATTTTTCCGTTGTTTCCTTGGTTAAAGTGCTACCTAAATAATCAAAATAATTAATTAATAATTATAAATATTTTACGTATCAATCAAAATAAGTCTAATATTTACTTTGTTTTTCGTGTAAAGCATTAATCTCGGTAATAATATCATTCCCTTCTTCCTGTATTTTTTCTAGTTTATTAAGGTTGGTATTTATTTGTCCCATTAACCTTTCTTCTTTGTCCCCATAACTGGAAATGGATTCCCTTCGCTCCATTATAAGAAACAAAATTTAGCGTTTAAAAAAACAAAAATGTACAATTATATATAATATAAAATTTTGTGAAACACCTCGGCTGCCGATCGGAGGTGGTCATATCATAGTTAAAAAAAACGCGTTAATCATTTAAAATGATTAATGATTATCGGAAAATTCTTTGCCGGCAGGCACATTTTAATTAACTTTTGTTGCTATAAAATTTAATAAAGCATTCCTCCACTGTATTGGTTAAGAAAGAGGATCCTAAAATTTTTTAATGGTGGTAAAAAAGAATGTGTCTATATCTGCGCGCGCCTGTACGGCATTCCCTATCACGTGAATTTTGCCAATATATTTCATGCATAGGAATTTCCATTCGTTAGTAGGCAAACCTACAATGTCTAATACTTCTTTACCTAGCTTTCAAGATCTTACCAAGCCGACCGTGAAAATACCATGGCGTAAGAAGGGAGAGGGTGGTAAAACCTGCTCATACAGAAAAGTAGCGCGCGGCCTCAATCTTGAAGGTAAAAAATGATGATATTTTTGAAAGCAGAGACTTAAACGAATTTGTCTTGACAATGTTTCCTTTCTAAAGGATATTGTAAAAACAAATCTTGTGAAGCTTACAACAAACATCGTGTTATCATCAATTGGGGTTATAAAGAATTCGTTTACATGTTGAACGAACATGAATGTTTTTGCCCACTTTGTGGAAAATACGTCACACCCATTACTTGCGGCTTCACTGACACCTACTGGAAATACAAAGGGGTTAAGAAAGTGAAAGGTGAACCCCCGGAGAAAGTATTTTGTGGCTGGCAATTCTCTGCTGATGATGGATACACTACATTTCTTGATGAAGAGATGGTATTATGGGAGGGTCTCACAATAGAAGTCCTTAAAGAAAATCCTATAATTTCCCTTCTTCAGAAAGAAAAATTTTTTTAGATATATGTACGTAGTTTGCTATATCAAAGTATGATACAGTTTATAATTGAGAATATTTAAATTTCGATGTAATAATTTGTACGTTAATTTTCTTTAGCACCAATAATTTCTTAAATAAAATCGTACATGAAATAAAAAATAAATTTTATTGTTTAATTTGTAAATGATAAATTAAACATTTTTTTTTTTTTTTATAAATAATATTCGTATGTACATATATACATTATAAGTTGTGAACTATATGTGTCTAATCTTCTGAGAGCAATTAAATGAATAGTCATTTAGAAATTTCTTAAGTCGTTTATATAAAATTTCTTTTTATTACTATTGAATTTCATTAGTACATTTCGAATCCGCTCTTATTTTGTATTTAATTATGGTGCCTGCCTGCTATTAGTTAAAGCATGGCGAACATTATTAAATTCAGCAATGGCTTTATCGTAAGCATCACTAGAATGAATATGAATTGTAGAAGATGATGAACTTATTTGTACGCTTTGTTGATGATGTAACGAGGACGAGGAAGAAGAAGATGATATAATCGAAGAGTCATCTGATCTAAATAATAATTCATTATCTTTATCACTAATAAATGATCCAAGGCTGGTTACCGCTTCATTTTGTTGTAAATTATGTGCCGCTACTAATTTTTCAGTAGTCTCATCTTTTTCATTATCTTTTGAAATACGAGCTTTTTTTGTAAGCACAGGAATATTTTGTTTTGAAGCAACTCTTCTTTTTTGTTTTAAATTACGGAAAGGATCCCTACATGCATCAGTATATAACATTGTTGAATCAAATATTTTGTCTCCTAAGGTAAATTTGACAAAAAAGCGTTAGTTTTTTTTCAAATTTAAAATTCCTCTTTTCTGTTGAAATTACTTACCCGAAATTTCATATAATCTTCGGATTTCATCAAAAGCTTCATCAATAGTTCCCCTTCTTATTAAAATATTTTGTTGAGTTTCATTATTTTCTCTGCAATTAAAATATTCTACTAATTTAACTTTAGTTTCATTAATTAAAGAAGTAAAATCACCCATACGTTGTGCTTCAGCGTAAAGCTTTGCTGCATGAACATGTTTGCAAACATCACGAAACCTTCCATTCCATATAAAGTCATAACACATTAAACATTCTCCTGTTTTAATGTTCGCCATATAATACCCTTCTTGTATGACAACTCCATGTCTTGCAATAAATCTATTCATCATGACATTTAATTTTTCCATAGTATTCTCGTCTAATGAAATTAATTTGCCATCATATGATGATGTTAGTGTAAGTGGCTCATCAGTATGTCTTTTAACGTAATAACAGTACGGTTCATCTGTTGGTTCAACTAATCCTGACAGGAAATAAAATCTTCCAAGATTTAAATTACGAATTATATCAGCTGGTTTTTGTTTCTCGGAATTATCATCTTGATGATCTAATGGTTGTGAATTAAAGAATGCTATTAATCCGGCATTATCTTGATTATCTCCGTTAGGTAGATTATCTGCGTGTAAAACATCTCTACGTAATTTAACTCCAAAAAGCCTTTCAAGGAAAGCTAGAGGGGTTAATTTACCATCAAGCTGAACAATAACCCTTTTCGTAATCTTTTCTGTGAGGCTATTTGTAGTCATTGGTTTTCTCAATTTGTCCGAATTCTTTTCGGAATATTCTCGACAGCTATCGACAATCATTGCACGCCATTCATCACTTATCCAATTTGTTTCTAAATCGTCTTTGATAAGATTCTTTTGTGCATACGACAACGGAAGCGAATCAATAAACACTTTAAATAATCGTGCCATATCAGCTGATTCTTCCTCTGTTCGACTCCTTCCAATTATTTTATATCCTAGCGCAATTGGATATCTATAAATAAAACCACCAGATTAATTTGATAATCGTTACGAGAAAGTACGTTAAAACATTCTCACCTTAATACACGAGATACATCCCATGCTTTTAATTTCTCTGCTAGTTTTTGCATTAGAAAAGTCCAAGAAAGACAAGTATCAGTAACGATACCATCAAGTGCTTTCTTTATTGGAAGATATTGATCGATCATTGCAATTGGATTCCATGGCTGCTCTTCTGAACATTTACGTATCCTTTTGAATCCCCTTTCGTTAGGTAAATCTTCATAATACCAAGGGTGTTCACAATCCTTACGGTTACATGGAATATTTTCCCTAATAGCGGTAACTGCATAACGTACAGGTGCTTTATCATCTCCATTACTCAATGCTATGATCCAAAAAATAGGATAAAAAATAGGATGATAAGATAAAAAAATGAATAGGTCAATTTATACGTTAAAATAATTCGAACAATATAAAAAAAAATTTACCAAATCCTAATGGAGTAAGATGACCGAGATTTGTCTCAACAACCATCGTCAAAACGGTTGCTCGTTCCATATTTAATTCATTGTTTCCATCAATGCAAAAACAATAGTGACCATAGTCCCTTCCATTTTTCAGCCATATATCATCGGAAACAATTAATTGATAATAACGTTCGGGCGAATCTTCAGGAGCAGATAAATCAGGAGCATGATAATATAAAACATGGCCACGAGGTTTTAATAAATCCTGAATATAATTTTGAAGAACTGTCCAAGGACCTGAATTATCCCTCACTCTACGATCATCACGTATAATAAGTCTTTTAAGTTGTTTATTATTACAAATATCTCTATTTTTAACAACTTCCTGACTGAGATCAGCTTCAGTTGCACCTTGTTTAGAAACCAAAATTTTATTTTTAACATCATCAGCAGTCCAACGATCAGCTCTACGACTAATTATAATTTTATCACGAGCAGAACGTGTAAGATTAACTCTAGTCACCTGAGGTTCATGAGTTATAAGTGCATTTGGGGGTAGATGCCAACCTTCAATTTTAATTTTTAACTGATGAGGAGATTTAATCCAAGAAAGTCTGGATTCAGATACTACACGAAGTCTACAACGATGCCTATCATTGCTATTTTTTAAATTATTAGGTAAATTTGCATTTTGACAATCAGGATTACATTTACCAATTCCTCCGCATAAATGTTGACAACTATTACCATCACCGGCACAATACATTACCCAACTCCAACATAATTTATCTTTTGCTGTTCCAGCTTGAATTTGTTTAACAAATTCTTCACCTTTTTCTGTTAATTCAATAATATCGTCAATTCTATTTGTTGATTTTGTTTTACCACTTGATGTTGTCCATTCAACATAATCAACTGCTCCTTCAACTCTTTTGATTGTAATAATTCCTTCATTAACGAGTTGTGGTGCTCTCAATCTACTTCTTGCTTTTAATCTAATATTTTTTAATAAAGGATGTTTTGATATATAATATTCCGCAGCACGTCCAAATGGTACACTAACTGAATTACCATCTTCATTATATTTTATAAGATGATCGTAGCTTTCCATTGTTTAGTCATTAAAAATGAGTATCAAGAACGATACTTAAATTATGTGTAACCTTTAATAATGAATGGTTAATAAAATTTGGTTTTAGAATCCAATAAAGTGAAAAAAGTGAAAAGTGGGAAAAAAATGTTTCTGCTTACAAACATATATGTAAATTATTGAATGTATCAATAAAGTATCATTTATGGTGTAAATCTTGCATCAATAAGGATGCTTTTGCGTCAGATGACAACTTTTAAGGTTCTCATTTTACATACATGGCGCAGCAATAAGAATAGCGTTACACGCTTGTGTCATTTAGAGATTGATACTAATTACATGACTATTATTATTATCTGTTATTTGTATATATATTAATCTAATCTATTTTATTAAATAAATGATATTTACAATGGAAATTTTAAATGTATATGTACTGTATTATCGATTTATCGTAGCTACAAAACATAGCACATAACTAATGTCGAACTGTATCTTAAATTCATAATTGGTTAATAATAATAATAAAAAAATAACGTAAAATAAAATAGAATTTCTTCTTGTTACCTACACGTTATCATAGTTTTCTAATCTATTTCCTATTGCTATAATTGCTATACGAATTAGCTATTAATATTCTACCCTAATATCTAATTTAACCTACAATATTAAAATATGCATGTAACTACAAAAGTAAATTGATAGATAACATGCAAGCGAAATAAAAAGAACCTTCTACCTTTAAAAAATTATTCAAGAATTTATAACGTATGTCCATGATGTTTACAAAGTAGAACTACGGACTATTCATCTGTAAATAAAATATAAACTATGCGATTAAGCTTTTAAAACCACGATTTAACATGACTAATTGAACAAAGAAATAATAGACAATATTTGTTCGTTCCTAAAATTTCTTAAATATTTCCATTTGAATCATATTATCATGTAAATATCTTTATCAGTACCTAGCGTTTTAACATGCAAAATAAGAGCAAACTTCCCAAAATTTAAACCGCAATTCATGCAAATTAACGTACTTACTTGTTACAATTCCTTCCCTCCAAGAGCAACAACAGCATCAGCTTCTTTCTCTGCTTCAACCCCATATCTTTCACGTATAAATTCTCTTAATCTCTTATTCTCGTTCTTGGCTTGTTCAAGTCGAACATATGAATTAGAACTTTCGAAATTTGATGATTCATTGTTGTTAAAAATTGTTGAAAAAAATATATTTCCCGGGGATAACGGAGTTTTCGGAACCGAACAATTGTTCCATATAGACTGTTTGTTTTTTTGTTGTAATTGTTGTCTCGAAATAAACCGTGACTGAGTTTCTTCTTGTTGATTATTTTGTTGTACTTCTGGAAAGGAAATTGACTTATCTAATTTTGGTCTTTTTGTTGCATTATAATCAATTTTATATTTTGAGTCATCAATGAAATCAGATAATTTATAGGGATTTATGCTATAATTCGCACTAGAATTATTATAATTATTATATTCAGAATTCGAAAAATCTCTTGAAGAGATTGAAATCGAACGGGCTGATCGACAATTAATTTCAGGTTGTTTATGAGATGCTAGATGTTTTGGCGAAGAATAATGGGCATTTTTTACAACTTTTGAACTAAATCCTCCCATATTTTGATAGAGATTTGTTTGATTTGTATGAAACGCGTCGTCATTTGAAGATTTTCTCATAACTTTTGACTCAAGATTATCTTCAATTGTCGCCGAACTTGATTCGATATTAACACCTTGCCTCCATTGTCGAACTTTTTGCTCTAATGGAATAAAGTCGTTTGACCTACTTGCTGTTGTTTGATGATAAGATGGATTTTTTTCACTGATATCGCTAATTTCTTCAATATCGACTTCGTTATCATCGGATTCAATAACATTGTCAGAGTTTTCGGATTCTGAGATATAAGGATTATTTTGATCCTTGGAAGATCCTTTGAAACCTTTAGCATGAGGGTTATTAGTTTTTTTAAGGAAATTGACCTCTTCATTTTGATAATGAGTAACAGCGATGAATGTCGTTTCTTCAAAGGTGAAAAAAGTTTCTTGATCCTCATTAACCGAATGTTTAATCATTTTGATTCGAGGCCAGTATTTATGGAATGAGGTAAGATAAAAATAACCCGGAGGGAGTGACGAATTGTTATTTATCATTGAGTCACGCTTTTTTGTTGACAATGAACTTGGTCGCAAACGATTGGTAAGTTTAATCTTTGGGAAGTTCACGCCAAAATTCATCCAATATGCGCCTAAAAATGATTTATAATATTTATGAAGTTTTTTTTGAAATGAAAAAAGTTAACAAACTCGAGCGAACTTTTTTACCTGACTGTGGAGAATCTGGATGAGTAAAAGGATTTCCACAAACTGTGCCAAATTTACTATCTCGTGAATTAGAGTTATTTGATAAAAATTTACGTTTATCTGGTCCTATAGAAATCCAACGTCCTTTTTTAAACCTATACCGATCTCTAGATACTTGAGCAAAATCCATAACAAACGAATAATTTACGGTAGGATCTAAATTCACGGGGTGAAATTTTAATAAAGGAAAAATACATCTACCCGCCTTTGTGATAATCATTTCGTTATTAACGCGATAAAATTGAGACCATAAATCAGAATTTACAAGCAATAAATCCGAAACAAGAGATGGAGAATTAAGTGTCGAAATCGTTGTTAAGAGAGGAAATTCAAAGGAACTTTGAAATTTTGGTAAGGAAGAAATGGAATTTGAAGTCTCTTCATTTTTGAGACTAGTTATAGATGAAACTTTATTGTTATCCTCGGGAATGAAAGTTTTGTAAAATTCATTATTCATTTTGTCAGCTACATTGGTATCTGCAGTTATTTGATCAAGTGACATTTTACTTGATTTACGTTTATTGGAAGATAGAGAAAAATACGATGTTTCTTCTCGAAAAGAAGTATTTAAAGATCCTATTCTTTGAACTTGTGAATAATTAGAAGAACCAAACTCATTATGAACAAGATGATGGATTTTCATGATTAGTTCAAAGATAAAAGCTGTAGATAAAAAAATGCGACGAAATATTTCATGCGGTATCGTTCTAATATTGTTTTATGATATTATTACACTTTTTTAAAAAATAATATAATAAAGAAACGATAATATACTAAGTATTTATAAAAATTTTTTTTCGAGTTTTATGGATACATGACGGTTGAAAATTATGCAAATGGCCATTCCTGTTGAAAAAATTTCTATATGTAATAATGGCAATTATTTAATTTCCCGCAAAAAAAAATGGTGTCATCTAATATGTCACTGATTAATAATTAAGCGTGTTGAATTTTTTTTGTGGAATTTTAATCAACTTTAACGTTTGTCTTCACGTGACTTCGATTTTAGATCCTTGATCTAAGAAAAAAGTGGGATGATAGATAGATCCGTCCAATAATTTTTTTTAACTATATGCGATTAGTCTATCGATTTATTTATTCACTACTCTATTTTTAATTAATATTCTCTTTTTTGAATTCCTGCTTGGACTATTTTATTATCTAATTTCTTACTTTCCCTTGATTCTCTTCAAGCAGAATATTTCTTCGTTAGTTGGTGGAAAGATTTTTAAACTTTTAGCAAAATTCTGTAGCTATGGGACCTAGATTCTTTGTTGGTGGTAAGTTCTTTAAGATAATGTTATATTTACATTATATATATTAATTATTATATTCTCATTTTTTTAAGGTAACTTTAAAATGAATGGCACACAAGCCTTTCTTAAAAATCTAATTGATAGTTTAAATTCTAGTCAACTTGATAGGGATGCTGGTCAGATATTTTTTTTTGTTCATATTGATTTTGTTAAGAGGTAAAAGGTCGTTTATCTATCTGCATCTTTCATATAGAAGTGGTAATTGCACCGCCATCCCTATATCTCGATCAATGTCGCAAACAGGCTAATAAAGAAATTGGAGTTGCGGCTCAGAATGCGTTTAATGCTAGCAGTGGTGCTTTCACTGGGGAAATCAGGTATATACCGATGATATTCCGAATTTCCGATGCTTTAACACATTCAATACACGATCTTATATGTATTTACCTTTTAAAAACGATAGCCCTGAACAATTAAAAGATCTTGGTATCGAATGGGTTATTCTTGGTCATTCAGAGCGTCGCGAAATTTTCAAAGAATCAGATGAGGTATGTTAATAATATTTTTTTCATTTTTCTATCTTGTTGTAAACATCGATATAACATTTAATTCTTGACGGATTTGTTAGTTGATCGCTTTAAAAGTAGCATTTGCATTAAAGACCGGTATAAAGGTAATCGCTTGTATCGGAGAAAAACTTGAAGAACGAGAATCTGGTAAAACATTTGAAGTTGTAACTCGACAGCTTCAAGCAATCGCCAAACAGATTAACGATTGGACAAATGTTGTGATCGCCTATGAGCCGGTTTGGGCAATTGGTACAGGAAAAGTAGCGACACCTAAACAGGTATTTATTATTTTAGATTTTTTTTTTCACGTAATTATAACTTTGTAAGTATACTTTTTTTGTGATAGGCCCAAGAAATTCATGAATATATTCGAAAATGGTTAAAAGAAAACGTATCAGAAGCTACGGCAGAAAATACACGCATTATCTACGGAGGTAATAGATCAAATAATTTTTAGTAAATTTTTTTTTTATTCTACTCTGACTTATTCATTTTATTTTAGGTTCTGTAAATGCTTCTAATGCTACAGAACTTGGTAGGATTATTACTACTTTTTTTTGTATATAGAAAGAGTAATGTTCTAATTAAGTTATTTGACCTTTATAGCAAAACAACACGACATCAATGGATTCCTTGTAGGTGGTGCATCTCTAAAGCCAGAATTCGTTAATATTGTGAATGCCCGTATTTAATTAGTAATTGTGACAATTAATTTGTAAAAGTAATATTTTATTTGAACTCATTGATTAATGAATGTAATAATATAATAAAATATATTACAGTATTTGAATTAAAGTATCTCTGCGAATTCACGGCAAATGATTAACACTTCAGCTTATAACATCTTAACATTCATGGGCTAATTTGTTTAACAAATTAATAAACAATCTAAATGTAAAATACTCGCAAATGTCATGCTTTTCTAAAAATGCTATAAATCCCTTTCTTAGCTGAACACTGTGAGTGGTATCCGATGAAATATCGCATCACAATCTTGGTATTTCGAAGCATCCTATAGCAAGACATTCAAGTCGACACGAAATTGGACGGAAGTCCTACTTACAGAAAACCCTTTAATAATTAATCATTAAGAAAGAGTAAATTCTGAATGGAATAATGTAAAATTGTAAATCCATATTCTTTCTAATGATTCTTTTTTTTTAATCGATAAATTTCCACATTTACATTGCTAATATCATTGTCTAGATCTTTAGAAATTATTTTTCTCAACCTTTTTTCAGGAATTTTAACAACATTAAATCCAATTTTACATGCATTTACAAAAGTTTCAGTAACCAATGGATCTCTTCTTTCCAATCCGCAAAAAATAATAGATTTTTCATTAGCTAGTTCATTTATACATCTGACAAAATGATGAATAAGATCTAAAGAATATATACAATCAGTCGCAACAATGTAATCGTAAGGTGGTGTAAATTCCGGAGGTTGCAACTGTGTTATAGTCCAATCCAAAACTTTTACTTGTGCATTTAAGAGACAACTATTTTCTTTCCGTTGTTGATTTAATATCCACAAGTTATATTTTACATTATCTCGAAGAATATTTATTACTACATATTCTAAATCTGTTAGGGTCGTTTGTAGGCCCATAGAACACATAACTAAACCCAATAAACCACAACCGCTTCCCAATTCAATGCACTTCTTATCATTTAATGAATCATTGGAAGAACGTAAAAGATATTGCATGTATCGAGCAGTTATGATTGAAGAATCCCATATTGTGGTGCCATGATTTAAAGAATCATTTTGTTGTTTTATAGATAAAATAGTACCATTAGTAATTTTGAATTCATAAATTTTTTGTGAATTTACTTGTTCCTTAATTTTCATTTTTAAGCACTAATTTTCGAAAGAAATTCACAATGTTCAGATGATAAATCACATGGAAAGAATAGGTCCACTAAACTTTATTATTTTGCGATGAATTCAAAATTATGAAGAAAATACTCAAGTGTAATACGTATATTACATATAATAAAATTTTAGTTCTTTTTATCAAATTCGAACAGAAAAATATATGACTTTCTTTGCGGCAGATTTCAAATTAGGTTTTGTTTTTTATATCATATGATATAATGAATCATGTGATTTATAGTTGTTACGTACTACGATTGTTGGTTCGTCATCTTTAGCACGTGCTTTTATATCAATGATGGAGATTTTTTTCACGTATTTCAAAATTTCAACTAATTTACATTCGTATTGTATTCCTAAAACATTATGGCTGGCTCTTATGATCGCGGTATGCTTCCCTAATATTATAAGATAACTTTTTTTACAAAGCCAGAAGTTAAACTAATAATATTTTGATGAATTTTGATAGCGTTGACTGTCTTTTCACCGGACGGTCACTTATTTCAAGTCGAATATGCTTTAGAAGCAGTGAGAAAAGGAACGTGTGCGGTATGTATTGACAAAAATAAATGAATACGATTCATTCTGAATAATTCTTTAATGGAAAGAGGCTCCAAGAGTCGCGTTACAATTTATGAAAATCTATCAAGGAAAAAAAAATCATGTTAACTTCTATTTGTATCAATATGTGTAGGTTGGAATCCGAGGTGAAGATTGTGTAGTTCTTGGTGTGGAGAAAAAGTCTGTTCTTAAATTACAAGATCCTAGAACTGTGCGTAAGATTGTCACCCTTGATGACCATGTATGCATGGCCTTTGCTGGTATTATTATTTGATCATTTTTTGTTTCAAATTTTTTATAATTGAATGAATGATTTATTTTTTGAATATCTTTTGCTAGGTCTTAGTGCGGATGCAAGAGTTCTTGTTAATAAAGCTAGAATAGAATGTCAAAGTCATAGACTCACTGTGGAAGATCCCGTTTCAGTAGAGTATATCACGCGATACATTGCTGGAATTCAACAGGTATGTAAACGATTAGAAGATTAAATCAAAAGGGTTTGATTATTATAATATTTTTTATTTTAGAAATACACACAAAGTGGTGGTGTTCGGCCTTTTGGAATTTCAACACTTATTATTGGATTTGATGCAAATGACAAAGTACCAAGACTTTATCAAACCGACCCATCGGGTATATATTCTGCATGGAAGGTAAATTTGGAAATCTGTCATAAAATTATCTAACAGTACCACACGCATTTATGATACATGTTAAAAATGAAACATTTCTTTATAATTTTGTTTAGGCGAATGCAATTGGTAGAAGTTCAAAAACTGTTCGTGAATTTTTGGAAAAGAATTATAAAGAAGGTTTGACAAAAGAAGAATCCATCAAATTAGCGGTTAAATCTCTTTTGGAAGTAAGTTCTTTATTACATATAAATTATTGCAACTAATCTATGATCTTAATCAGTTAATATTATGTTTCCTATTTTAGGTGGTACAAACCGGAGCGAAGAATATCGAGATAGCAGTTATGACAAGTGATAGTGTGGTCAAGGTTAGTTAAAATGACTAAAATGACACATTTTTAAAAAATTATTAATTTAATGTTCTAATTCTCGAACCCTTTTACTGAAAGAATTTGGAAATCGAAGAAGTTGAAGCTATCGTTAGTGAAATTGAAAAGGAAAAAGAGGCTGAGGCAGAAAAGAAAAAGAAGCCATCAACTTCTACTGCTCAATAAATAAAAATTCTTTTTATAAGATGTATTTTAAATTTATGTGTATATTTTGTTTCTCGAAAAAAAAAAACTAATGGTGTTAAATAAATTAAATTTGACGAACAAATTATTTGTACTTTATAAATTAATTAATTAGACTTAAAATTTTAAATATTTTTTTTAAATGTCATGTGAAATTTAAAATATTTGATAGAGTACATTAAAAAAAAATATTTGATAGAGTTAAAAATCATCAAGAAAAATTAATTAAATGAGTAAGCAAAACAATGGCTTCGATAGTGTAGTGGTTATCACGTAAGCTTTACACGCTTAATGTCCTCGGTTCGAACCCGAGTCGAAGCAGTTGTTGTTCAATTTTTGTCTTTTTCATTATGCTCCCCGTGACATTGTTACACACCTACTTCTGTCCTTACCTAACCTAATACTAAACCTACTAAACCTAACAAATTTAATTATTAAACAAACAAATAATTATTTAATTATTTGCAATCTTTTATTTTTTTTTTCGGAATATTTACAGTAATAAATGTTTTGATCTTAAACCAAAAAATCCTCATATAAGTACAAAGTAATAAAACAGCGTAATACATATTAATACTTTATCAACAAAGAACTATTTTAGAAAAATTTGAATTTACTTGTTAAGGTAAAATTCGTCGTTAAATTCGTCATTAAAATTCGTCATTATAATTTCGTCATTAAAAATTCGTCATTAAATTTTTCGTTATACTTGGGAAATAATAATCCCCTCCTTTCCTATCTTATCTAAATATATTTGTAGAAAGAATACTATGAATTCTATATATATCATAAAAAAAAAATCCCATTGTTAACTCTCTTTTCTAATTTTTTTTTTTTTTTTTTTAAAAAAAAAATATATATATATAATAAAAGAAAAATAAACCGTATAAAAAAAGGTTCTATGAATAACGATAAAAAAATATATATATGCATGTATATATATCCTAATCACCGACTCATCTATAAGTCACCGCTCACCACCTCGTATTAATAATGTTGTTATAAGTATTAAAAAAATCTTTCGATGTTGGTGCGAGTAAAGAATTATCTTTTGGAGTTAATGGACAATTTAAAGGAGAACTTTCATTACACAGACTCTCCAGATCATCTGTGATCAAGTCAATTATAGTACTGAAATCGACTTCCAACTTTTTTTTATTCAATTCAGTGTTCACAGCTCCAACAGCTGACTGAAAGTTCACTCTGGGCCAAGAGCAGTTGTTTGTTCCTTGTATATGAACATTATTATCTACATATTGATAATTGAGTAAGAACTCGAGCCATCGATTATATTCTTCCTCGCTAATGTAGATAGAATTGTCTAAAATATACAAGAAATCCCGTTCCATATTGCCTAGCAACTCTAACGGTATTCCTGACATTTCGGCCCATGATTTGTTGGAATATGTAGAATCTTCGAGCCATTTATGTGACAATATCAATCCAACTACAAGCAGGACAAATTCAGGTTCATAAGGGTATATATCAAAATCTTTACCACTCAATATAATCCTTTGAACGTATTTAAGCATTATTACTATAACAGGGCCCAAACAATCTGTAGATTTTATAAGCTTTTATTATTATTAAAATAATAATAAATAAATAAATAAATAAATTTTAGATTTTGATATTTAAAAAAGTATGATATAATATAACAATTACCTACCTTATAGCCAAACTCTTTAAATTCTTTGAAATTTTCATTATTACTTGACGATTTTTCTCTTCGTGGTAATTTTGGCAACATTTGCCAGATAATTTCAGTTGCAAAATCGGCCCATTTTGCATGTATATCTATATCGGGCTTATCATTATCTATTATTGCTGCTGCTGCTTCTGCGTTAGCTTCCTCTTGTCTTTGTCGTTCCAATAATTCTGGATGAAGGAACAAAGAGCAATAATATTGCTCTGGATTTGGAAAAGACAATGAACCATCAAATAAGATTTGAGTAATAGGACCAAAGTTCACCCTTCGATTATCTTTTGCGATCATATATTTGAAATACGGAAAAGACCACCATACTGGTGAAGAAGCAGGTAAGTTTTGAGATAAAATCGAATTATGAGAAGCAGCTGGTAATTTCAAAGAGCTCCAAATAGATGAGTATGTAAAATTTAAATATGAAGTATGCATTGAAGTTGGAAATGAGAACCAGTAATCCTTTGAGATAAAATTGGATTGCAACTTCAAAGATGAATTTGAACACCGCAAATTTGGTGATGATGATAAAGAATCTGTTGAAATTGGCGATGGGAATACTATTCTTGCATTATTTTCATAAAGAACATTCGGAGATTCTGACGAGATTAAGTCCTTAGTCGAAATTAAATTATATTTCATGAAATTTTGATTTAAGAGATGAGTAGCAACGAGGATACTTGAAATAAAAGCAAAAGAAAAGGGTACTTTGAAAAATCTAGTAAAGAATGAAAATGAGATTTAACTCTTTTCATTTATTTTCGAGCCCTTTTTTTTTAAAAAAAAATCGGACGGAGAGTACGAAAGGACTTTCAGATATACCGAATAACGAGTATAACGATGGTGAACTGTAACTAACGCAAAGAGCTGTCAGTCACGAATCAAAAGTTACAAAAGTTTTTAACGGAGTGTCTATAAGTACTAAACCCGTTTGGTAAAAGAGGCCCAATATTAAATTTTTTATATCTAATTATTGTTCACCTTGTCATTCTGAGGAATCCTAAAATAGGTTAGGTGGAAAAAAGTGTCATTGTGGACTTTCTAATCTATCACGTGGTAAGACAGTTAGATGCGGCATAAATATATTGCGTAACATTACTTTTACAATGCTATCTTACGTCGTTGTGTGAAAGTTGAAATCATTTTAAGTAACAATAACTTTCTAAAATATTTAAATGATGTAGATCAAAAGTTCTGATTTGCAATATTTAAGGGTAAATTCTATTTTAACTAACCAAAATTTGAGGCTGTCATTCTTTTTGTGCGACAAATTTTTTCAGCCACATCTAAAAATACTTGTATGAGCTTTCCAAACACTTAACTCTGGCCGGCACTATAAGTTGAACCCGGCTGAAATTAAAATTACATAGGGGAGCCATTATTACTACAATATTATTCATTCAACAATGACCTCGTCACAATCGTCACATGAAATAAAAGATGCACAAAAACACTTGGATATGTCATAATTTGACAAATTCCTATAAATACAACTATTGGATTATCATATCGGATAATATTTTATCTTTGTGAATTTTGTGAATTCGATCGATTTTAATTGTACAGATTAAGAACGATATTACTAACCATAAAAGTCTAAATCAGTTTATAAATTATTTATGACTATTTCGTTTAAATTGTGTCAAAATGTTTTTTTATCCAAGATTCTTTTTAAGGGGAACTTAAGCTTTTCTTCAACAGGTAAATCATGATTTTGAATTATAATGGATTATATTCCATATTTATTAAAAATTTATAAATTAGCAATAGATCATAAATCTTATCTTTTAAAACAACCATTAATGATTTATATTCATTGGCCATTTTGTAAAAGGTAAATTTGCTTGTATCTTTAATTTTTTATTAATTTTGCTGTACGTATTAAAATTTATACATATATGTTTAGTAAATGTACTTATTGTAATTTTAATAAGTATATTAACCCAAAACCTGATCATGAACGAATGAAAAATTCTTTAATTTCTGAAATAAAGGATTATGTACAAAAACATGATATGAAAGGGAGAATCATTCATAGTATTTATTTTGGAGGTAGAATAGATTATTAATTTCTCTTTTTTTCATTTATTAATGTTTTAACTTTTTTTATAAATATTAATCGTTTAGGAGGCACACCAAGTGAGTGGTATTCTTTTTATTAAAAGATAGATAAATCAATTTACAATATTGCTTATTTACAATTTTATAATTTTATGCCCAAATGATTTTAGGTTTAGCATTGGTAAGTTACTATAATTATTTTTTTAAAATTTTAAATTTCGTTTAATTTTCTTTTATTATTTATAGCCATCTACTTTTGAAGCAATTTTAAATACAATTGCTAATGAATTCATATTACCTTCTAACACTGAAATAACTATGGAGGTAAGATACTGTCGATACTGTTAATTTTACATCAAGAAAGTAAAATTCGAAATCATTTTAAATTCTTTAATATAGGGAAATCCGACGGTACATATTTTTATAGATTCTTTTAGTAAAATACTTAGTGTATTTTTACTTAAAATTTTCTTTAGTCAACAGAAACGGGAAAATTACAAAATTTTCATTCAATAGGAATAAATAGATTGTCACTTGGTTTACAATCTCTTAATGATATGGAATTAAAAAGATTAGGTAGAGATCATACATCAAAAGAAGCCATTAGTGCAATAAAAGAATCTATTAAAATTTTTAGAGAAAATGTTACTTTTGATTTAATGTTTGGTAGAGAAGGACAAACTGTTGATGATTGGAAAGTTGAATTGAAGGTATTAAATTATTTATTCTGCTGTTAGAAGGAATATAATTAAAATATTTATATATATACTTAAATAAAAACTAGAATGCATTAGAGATAGCATCAGATCATATTTCTTTATATGAACTTACAATCAAAAAAGGAACACCGTAAGTCATAATTTTGTTTACTGCATAATTTATTAATTTCATTAATAATTTTAAAAAAACTTTTATAGATTATATAAAGATTTTATTAAAGGAAAATTTAAGAAACCCTCATTTGATAATTTAGCAGATTTATATAACATTACACTAGATATTACAAAGTTATATGGATTTCAACAATATGAGGTATCAAATTTTCAAAGAAATGAAAAATACAGTAAACATAATTATGGATATTGGAGTGGATTAGATTATTTAGGTATTATTATTAAAAGGATATATTTATTAAAGGAAATACTTGTTTTAATTATCCTTTTTATAGGTATTGGACCTGGAGCTCATGGGAGATTAACAGATCCAAAAAATAAAATGAGATATAGAACTATTAGGGTTTGTTATTTATTTAAATATTTATTTGATTATTTATCTGAGTTTTATATTAATTCATTATTTTTATATTAATAGAGATTATATCCTGAAAATTGGATGAAACAATGTGAAGAAACTGGAGAAGGGTAAATAAATTATTATAGTAATTTAATTTATTTGATTTTTAATTATATATTTTATTAGTATAGCAAAATATGAACAAATGAATTTAGAGGATATTAAGAATGTAAGTTTTATTAATAAGTAAGATTTATTGTTTATTTTGTTTTTGTAATAATTTAATTTTTATTTATTAACTAGGAACTTATATTATTTGGATTGCGTACAAGAATTGGAATACCAAGAATAAGATTTAAAAAATATTCACAAGGTCAAGAATTAGAAGAGGTAATTTTCATAAATTAAATTACTTATTTTCAGATGTCTTGATGATAAAATTATTAATATATATTTCATAAATATCTTTATATAAAGTATTTAAATATGGATCAAGTTAATAGGTTTATTAAAGATGGTTTTTTAATTTGGGAGAATAATAATATTGAGCATAATAAAGGATGGATTTTAAATGATTTTGATGAAGAGATACAAAATGGTGGATTAAGACCTACTAAAAAAGGGTTAGCTGTAATTGATGAAATAGTTCCAAGAATAATATATTAATTTATAATATTTCCAATAGTTAATATATATAAAAGTAATTATTTCATTATATGTCTATGTGCTATGTTATTAATTATTTGTTCTTTGTTCCCGAGAACGTGCCACGCTATAGAATTTCTTGAAACTTCAGGCAGATAAAGAAACGTTCAGAGTAACGACGAAATCACGCCCTTAATTGAATAATTTGTCCTCGAAAATGTACTATTCGTCCGTTTCTTTCCAAATTCTTATGAGATTAATAGATATACAATTATTATAGGTTGATTATGTCGATCATGTCGATCATGAATTAGATTCTGATCATGTGCAATGCGCAAAATGTTCACATGATAGATCGATAGATTTTTTTTTTTTTTTGGATTACGAGCTAAAAGATATTTTTAATAAAATTATTGTTAAGATGGGTTTAGCAGGACCGAAGATAAAACAAAGGATACCTGCTGATCCTAGGAATTTGACATGGAGTAATGGTAATGATAATCTTTCAGTAATTTTAATTTAATTTGGTTTTAATTTATCTAATTTAAATTGGATAGTAATTCTAAATGCGTTTACACTATTTCTACTTTAAATTAGACAAAACTCAATTTGGTTATAAAATGTTATCAAAAATGGGTTGGTCACCGGGAAAAGGATTAGGTATAAATGAAGATGGAGAAAAAGAATATATTAAACCTTCATTCAAACAAGATAATCTTGGTATTGGAGCTACAAAGAAATCCATTGATAATTGGTTAGATAATTCTAGTGCATTTGATAAATTACTTAAAGGTTTAAATGATAAAATTCAAACAACAGAGAAGGTAGAAGAAAGTGATGAGAAAGAAAAAAATGGGAGAGTGAGTGAACAATACAATATCGATGATAAACCGAAAATTGATAAAGTTGAGTCCAAGAAAAAGAAAAAAAAGAAAAAAGAAAATGGGGTTAAGAATAAGGATAAGGATATAATATCAATATCTAATTTACAACCATCTTCATCTTTATCAACGGTTAATAATATTAGTAATTCTAGAAGTTTATATACAATTCGTATGGCGTAAGTAAATAGATAAAAAATCTGATTTATTTAAAAAATGCATCTTTAATGCTAATAAAAAAAAATTATTATTATATAATATATAATAAATTATAGGCATCGAGCTAAATTTCTTAAAAGTAAAAAAGCAGCTGTACAAAATTCCGATAGATTAAATGAAATTTTTGGTATAAAATCAAGTAAAGATTCTATCAATGATTGTATCAACACGGGAAGTGTTAGTACAACAAAAGATATTACAATATCATCCGGTTTTAATGAAGAATCTGGTGCGGAAAATTTTAAAGATGAAATAGGAAAAGTTGATATTATAACTAAGGTCAATGGAATAAGCTCTCACGAATATTTTGCTCAAAAAATGAAAGGATTAAGGATTTCAGGAATTAGGAGCGATGGTCTAGGTAAGTCTTAAAAAAAAAACATTTATAGTAATTTTATTATTATTTATTTAGTAAAATGTGATTTTTTTTTATTAATTAATGTATTAAATGATTTCTAGCGAACTATGATAATAAGACTAACGATGATATTGACGAACGACCTAGTTTTAGTATGAATGATGAGCAAGACATAAAAATATCCGACAATTCTTCAAAGTCAACAAATACTAATAAAAAAAGGAAAATTAATTATGAAATGAATGTTGATTTGTTAGTTAATGATAATGATAATAATTCTAGTAATGATAAATCAATAAAAAGAAAGAAAAAAGAAAAAAAAAAGAACAAAAAAAGTAAGGAATATGATAGAAAAGAAACTAGAGAATATAGAAACGAGACTAGAAAGTATAGTAATTACAAAAATGATGGCAAAGATAAACATAAAAAGAAGAAAATACACGTAGATAAGGATAAAACATTATGACAATAGGAGTTTGGATCTAATAAATGCATTTGAAAAATTACTAGTTAATAACATCTATTGTAACTTGATCGAAACTCATACAGTATGGGTTAATGACAAAATCAGTATCGATAGCATTAATTCCTATTGTGTCACCGTAGTATTCCTATTGACTGTCAGTTATTGGATGTGAGGGATATCGATCTTCGACCGATATCTCTATTCCCCATCCAATAACTAATGAAATAGAAATCCAAACAATTTTAATAAATTTAATCCGTGATCTAAGAATCAACTACAAATTCAAATATAATTTGAGATAAATGCATATATATTTCTTCTAATAATAGAGAATCTGACATTGCGTAGGAAAAATGCAATAACTTGGCCTAAAGACATGAAATTACCACCATTAGATGCGTCTTGACAAGGCGAATCCGATGAGCTAAATTTCATCTTTTTATGGTCACTAGATAAGTTATCCTTAAAAATTTCCAATTTTTAATTTTCAAATTCAAATTTCAGCTATTAGGAAAATAGTTTTTAGTGTTAAAAAATTTACCGGACTTTTAACAAAATATAGCCAAATGAAATATTTTTATGATATAATTATTGGTATATTGTGCTTTACTATGTAAGTTGCACCAAAAATTATGTGACTTGCGTCTTGCGGATCACAAATTAACAAAATTAACATATTTATGCGTATAAACATAATTACCATAATTACATAGTTAACTAAAACTTCACAAAGGTAAAAATACATCAGACAGATATTGTGATTAATTGTGTGATTTTGTAGAAATTATATTCGATATACCAATAATTGTTAGCTAGTAAAAGAAATATTAAAAAGAAAAAGGCCAAGGCCGAGATTTTTTTTACCTATTGTAAATAAAATGTTTTTACCATAGTTTCATAGCCTATCTGCTAAATATCATTTTAAATCAACGAAAATTTATTAGTTAAATCTCATCAATGAAAATTATTTAGTCATTTAAATATTTCTACATTAGTTATAGCAAGTTATGGTGATATGATGTGTGTCAATTTTATTAAATGTTCACGCAATAAAAAAATAAAAATTGGTATTTGAATTTTTTTTACTCGTTAAACTTGCAACAAAAAAAATCTCTTGTCATGAATACTATCAAGCTGTGTTGCCTGGTTTTGGGTGACTCTCCCGACGAGAGAACTTTTGAAGTCGATATTAGAATAAATGAATCTATCAGCAAGCTTAAGGATAAGATCAAAGATAAAAAACAAAACACATTTCGCAATATTGATGCTGACCAGCTTGATCTCTTGAAAGTTGAAATCTCTACTATTGAAAAAAATGAAAAGCTGAGCATGCTCAGAGGGAGTGAGATCGATGTCACGAAACTTGAAGGAGAGAGCTTAAATTCATCAAGAACGATTGTAAAATATTTCCCGGATCAGCCTCTCTATGAGTATATTCACATAATTGTCAAACACCAATCTGTGTCATTTGGTTAGTAACATTGATTGTTATTGATTATGAGTAATAAAAGAAGATGGTTTATTTTTTTTAGTACAGATGTTTATATTTATTAATCACATGATCTGCATTTAACAATTGAAGCACGTAGTCTTTACTCGTACCGTGCAGAGCCAGGCCAAGCTGTGAGAGAGTTTTGGAAGGATTTAAAAAACATAAAGATTAATGATGAGAATAATTTCATTCAGCTGTCCAAGGATGTCTACTTTCTAGGCGATATAACCCAAGGTTCTATTCTGTTTATCCGTAAATGCTACAACATCTTGGGTCGTGCCATCCTTAATGACAATAACTATGGGCGTTGGCGTATAATTGGCGATCCAGGAGTTGGAAAAACCTTTTTTTGCTTCTACTTACTTCATCTGATTGCACAACGAAACGAAATGGCTATATACCACAAGGCTAACAAACCACCAATCCTCTTCTGTAAGGAAGATGCTTCAATCATTTCTATGAATGAACTCAGAAGTTTTTCAGGAAAGGTATGGTACATCACGGATGACCTTGAGGATGATGAGGAAAACATAAGCTTTAGAAAAATTATGCTCTGTTCTACTTCGTTCCGATATAATGACAAGAGCTTAATTTTTGACATGTGCCGTGAGTTGAAAAAACGGTACATTCCAGTTTGGTCTTGGACGGAGATCAAGTCATGCAAGGATAAGATCTTCAGTGATCTTGAGGAAAGGACGCTTTGGGAATTGTATGGGAGTCAGTGTGGAGGAATTCCTCGGTCTATCTTGGAGAGGAGAAATTTTCAACAAATACTTGACGAGATTGATGAGAATTTTTTCGATCGCCCTAAATTCGCACGTAAACTTTTATATATCCATTCGGAGGAGCCTTATAAAAAGCCTAACTTATCGTTCCCGACCGAAATAATTGGTTCTAAGGCGACAGAAAAACTCATGAAGTGCTGCAAAGTAAAGTTGATTAATTTCTTGAACGGAAGCTACAAACCTGATGGTTTTCAGTAAATGTAAAATATTAATAAAATGAATACTTCTCTGCTTCTTTATGTTTTTCAGTTGGCGATTTTCTTTTTTAATAATCAAATCATGTGATAATAAATTACTGCGGCTGCGGAAGTTTCCAAGAAAATCTTGGCCAAAAAAAAAAAAAAAATTGCCGAATTTTACTAACTAATATTGATATTGTAATAATATTGTATAAATTACATCATAAAATAATGATGATAATATTACGTATTTTAACTTAGTCTATATTGGCGTTTTTTTTTAAAAAAATATAAATAGGTGTTTTTGTTGCGATTTATTCGAATTGTAGAAAAAAAAATATATATATTTCAAATCAATAAATTAACAAAAATGGCAGAATATAGTTCTTACGATATTTTTGCTTTACTTATTAGTATATTGCTTCCTCCTTTGGGAGTATTAATGAAAAGAGGTTTTCGTGGTGATTTTTGGCTCAATATTCTTTTAACAATCCTAGGTAATTAATTATTCCAAATTTTATTATTTCGGAATTGTATAAATATATTTACGATTTTACGATTATAGGGTGGCTTCCGGGATTATTCCATGCATTTTACGTAATTTATAAATACCGGGATGACCCAGCACATGGAACGCATGGAACGCATGAAACTCATGGAAAACATGGAACGCATGGAACGTATGGAACGTATGGAACACACGGAAAACATGGAACACGTCCCCAGAAAATAATAATTAATTCAGATAATAATACACCACCAATGTCAAATAATCAACCACAATCACAATATCACCACCAATCACAAGATAAACCAAATTACCAACCAAATTATCAACCACAATATCAACAGCAGTACACTTCCCCATCAACACCTCCGCGTCCAATGAATAAAGATAAGGGTAAAGATCCCTTTCATGATGATAATCATGCAGGAACTTCTAACGAAATTCCCCCCGCTTATGGTGATCACAAAAACGATGAATTAAGAGGGGAATCAAATCAATATTATAGGGATGATAAGAAAGTCTAACAGAAAAACATTTATAAACAATCATTTATTAGTTAAAAAAATATATATATCATATATAATATATAATTTATTTTAAATATGTGTTAATTAATATGTATTTTTAACATAAGCATCTTATTTATGTCTTTTTTTTAAAAATAAAAAAATATTAACATATTTATTGCATCTACTTATTCTTACACGTATAATATAATAAATAAAAACGGTTTTCTTGTAATTTGTAAAATTAAAATTTATCGTTAAATCAAATAAAAAAGGAGACTAATGATTTCTATTATTTAATTATTGAATAAAGGAAATTATAAGTCTTATAACAAAAACAATGAGACATTGATAACTAAATATGTACATCTATTAATTATTTATTATTTATTTTTTATCGGCGAACAATAGATTTTAAGAAAAATTCTTACCAATAACAATAGTTCATGGGTTCATATGAAAATTTGAAATAATATTGACTTAAAAAAAATTTTACTTCTTTTACTTCTTTTAAACAAAGCTTGTTATAGTAAAAAAACATCAGTAATAGTTTGTTATTTCACAATTATTTTGATTACCGCATTAAAGGAGTAACACGTAATGAGTGTTCGATCAGAGCTGAGATTAATTGTTATAAACATTAAAACATTATGAAAATTCATCTATGAGCTTAACAGTAGACTATTTTTTATTTAGTGAGGTAAACAATTACTCTGTCTTTTAATTGGATATATATATAAATGAATGATTTAATATAAATATCAACCTTTTTCACGCCTAATAAAGTTTTTATTGTTTTTATTCACTTTTGTTGACATTTTACCTTTTTTTTTTTTAAAAAAAAAAACAAAAAAAAAAAATATGCAATATCATCATAAAGACTTTATTCACGTTAGACATACGAATGAAGGTCATCCTATCTCATATCGACTAATTTCATCTGGTTGGGCTGGTTATCATAATCTGACGAGAGGGCAAATAAATGAATTTTTTATCCCATCTTTTCTCACAGTAAATACATCTCCGGCTTGTGACGTGCTTCTTGTTCCAAACACCCTTGTGTTACCACCTTTTGTCATATCCGGACATAATCATTATTGTAATGTGAGAGGCCAATTTACATCCTCCAGGACTTACTCCTTACATTCACAACCACAACTACAACCACATGAAAATCGAGAACAGTTATCTTGTGAAATCAAAGATGCGTCAAACAACAATGAAAGAGAAAGAGCAGAATCTTTTATTACTGGCGGTAATCCTCATCTTGCAGATCTTTGGCGTGAAATTAATTCATTTGATTATGAAGCGTTTGTAGAATCAATTGAAGGCAATTATCATGATAATGTTTCTGCTGATAATAACGCGATGAATAATGTGCAACAAATTCAAACATCTCATTTATCACCTCAGAAACATATATCTATTTGTAAATATGAAAATGTTACTGATGAGTTTGTTGATGTTAAACTTGAAATCGAGAATAATACCTGCTGCTCGATTACAACAGAAGAATTTATTCTTCCAAAAATTGAACAAGAGACTCTTTCTCAAAAAGAATCACAGAATCCTTTGATTTTAGATACAAAATCACCGGATATTTCTGATTCCTCTCAATCCTTGCAAGATTGTGTTTCAAGCAATAATTCAAATAGAAAGATAACCGTTCCTTCACCGTCAACTTCACCACGTTCTTCTCCAACTTCATCTCCTCACTTAAATTCAATAAAATTTGATGAATATTTATATGATGCACCAAAAACATACGAAGAACCATTTAACTCGAAATATCGTTATAAATGTACTGTACCTTCTTGTACACAAAGATTCAAAGAATATCGTTCATTAATGTCTCATCTTCGAATTAATCACGGTCATCATGGAAAAAATATATTGGATCATAGAAAGAGAAACGGAAAAGCAATGGTACAGTGTGCGAAATGTCAACGTTTCTTTGTATCAAAATGGTATTTAAAGAAACATCGAAAGTTTTGCCATGAAAATGGTAAACAAGGGGAATGGATTGATTGTGAATATTGTCAAAAATCATATTTAACAGATTGTGAACGTAAAAAGCATTATGCTAAGGATCATTCTGATAAGATTAAAGAATTATGGGAACAGCAATGGTGTTAATTTCGGAGAGTAGTATTATTTATAAATATTGTAAAGTAAAAAAAAGCTTATAATTAACAATTGTAAACAACAATTAGAAGGCAATAATCTTTTGCAGTCGAATTTTTTTTAAAAAAACCTGTTGAACGTAAGAAATAAAAATATAGTAGTAGTTTATAATTTCATCACGAAGTTAAAAAGATACAATACTTAGATTTATAATAAATCAATAAAGATATTCTTTTTATTTATATATTACAAATGGAATAAACTTATTTTATAATAAAATATATAGATACGGTATAAAATGTGGTAAGATTATATAGAAATTAAGTAGTAAAAGATTATCCTATGTAAGATACACTGATAACACTTAGTGTTATTAGATTAATTTATTTTAAATACTTTAGTGTCCATTATCACTTTTTTTTTTTTTTCTAACTTTTTAAATTAAATGTGTAATTATTTTCATTTAAACTGCGTTACGATTTCTCCATGGTAATTGGAATCTCTTTTTTCCAGATTCAGGACGAACTGAACCATCACCAGGACCAAAATGACTATTTCTATGATATCTAAATTGGAATAATGAACCAACGATAAAGAAACCAAGCATGCCAGCAAGCATAAGATAAATCTTTGTATTTGTAGTATAAGGAGTATCATTATTTTTATCCAAGAACGCTCTAACAGATTGAGCAAAACCGGTTCTTGCGAATAAATCAATACCCAAAATTATAGCATAAGCACCAATAAATGCTGTTGCTAATATGATAAGAGTATTCTTGAAGAAACAAGCCAATAACAGACCAAGTATTGTTAGTGCTACAATAAATACAATTCTTCCAGCATTGTTATGAATTAAACCATCAGATCTCCATGATAAAATGAATAGCGCGAAGGTATAACCGGCGAGTGCACCTAAAAGCCAGACTGCTAGTGTTGCACAACACATGAAAATTAAACCAACAACGAAACCAATTGCGAGCGAAACTACGAGAAGGATAGTTTGACTTGCTGTGCCATTGAATCCTCCTGCATTAGAGATGGCAACCCAAGCGATTATTGCTATTTAATAACAAATACCAGTAAGTAAATTATTAATCTTATTTTAATTTTTTAATGAGATATTAAATTTATTTTAGTACTTACTGCCAACGTAAAATCCGATCAAGAACAATGTAAGCCGATAAACTCTCCTGCCAAAAAAACAGAAAATTATACCAGTAACAATTAAAATAACACCAGTAACAATTGCATGTGGTGTTAGATTCCCATTTTGTTCTCCTATTCCAAAAGTGGGATCATTATTCTGAGCATTAATACTTAATGGAAATAATATTCCGAATAAGCTCGTTAAAATTAGCAATATGTTTGATTTACTAATCATTTGTTTATACATAATTTTTTTAGTGTGATTAATTTATTATTATTGAACTACTTTTTTTTTTTAAAAAAAAAATAATTTTTTTTCGCACTTGATTTTTCAGAGGAAAGAATGACTCATTTATATACTTTTACTGAAGAAAATTTTCACTTATTAATATTATTGCCATTATGGCGCAAATGATACTCTTTTAAATCTTGGCCGTTCTTGGCATAAAAAAAATCACACTGCATAAACATTCAAATGATTTTACGTCAATTTTCCGTAAGTTTATATTGATTTTGAAATATACCAAATTCGGGTTTTCATATATTTTTTTTTTTTGCGTCACTTGGCATAATGGCATCACAAATTTAGAACAATCAGCACTATTTTAAATATAACCCGGGAAAGACTACGTTACATGTTACATTTGGAATGTTGTACATTTTTGTTATTTATAACAATATAAATGATTTTCAATAAATAAATATATATATTCTTATATGTTTTTATATGACGATATCATTACCAATCGTTAATTAAACAAGCGTTAATTGTTGCGTCAGCAGATGTACATTTCCCACCTTGATCCAGAGAAAAAGCCCAGTTATGTTTTGTACAAATAAGTTTTGAACCGAGGATAACTCCCTTTTAGGTATTTAAATAAATAAATAAAATAAGATTTAATATGATTAATTTGCTTTTAAAGTTAATTGAAAGTATAACTAAATTGCAATTTGTTAGTGACGTTACCCTTGAAGCTAAATCTGAATTGGAATGTGGACACCATCTATCAACTTCATAAGCTTTTCCATCGGAAGTTCTAATTCTTAATCTATTTTCTATTATCAATCTATTGGTATTTTTTGAGTCATTATTTATATTGGTATTTTTAGAATCGTTTTCTCTAGAATCTTTTTATAACGAATTAAAATTAATAAACCTGTTATATAAACAATGAAAAAATAAAAAAATAAAAAAAAAATAATTATATGTTATTTATTTACTTGAAGTTTTGTTACTCATGATTTTTTTTACTGATAAGAATAAACAAGTATGGGTTAAAGGGTATTCACTTTTATATGCCAAATTTGTACTTTTAAGTCAAACCCGTGATATAAGGTTTGTGTATTCCTGTTGCAGATAGAGAAATACTTATTTAATTTTAATTGGAGATTCTTTGATTCTTTAGAAATCTTTTTTATCGGGACCTGCAATCCCGCTTTTCATTGTTATATTCTCAAAAACGGTTAGTTTTAGAGAAGATCTCGTGAGAAAAATTTTGTTTTATTTTTAGAATGGATTAATAACGAAAACTTGGCTTTTCTTATTAACAATACTAACTTTTTACTTGTACTCACCTGTTTCATTGTTATTCGTTAGCTTTTCAAAAGCAGTTAGTTTAAGGTCAATTTCGGAGGCTTGGCGCAAATTCCCAAAGATCAGCTCACTCAACCTATTCACCCTGTCTTTTGGGGGCTTATCCATTGCATATCATTTCTACGAGGTTATGATGACCAAGCAATTCTCTATTGTAGATGATGGTCCGGAAATGGTCCCATAATTTAAGCCAGTCAAGATATCTGACGCACGCAATCATAAAAAAAAAGAGGAAAATCTGGGAAATCTTGTGATTTCTCATAAATTGTGGTTTGCGCTTGGATCACAAACCTTTTGAAAACGGCTATAAACTTGCAAGACGAAAACTTTTGATCAAGAAGTTGAGTGACCTTCCTACCTTTTATACTTGGCTTAGCAGTCGTATTCTAACTTTTTGTATATAATGCTGGTCAAAGTTACCATAATTCTGTATCAGTATGAAATTATCTCACGTGATTTTATAATATATTTATAATACACCCGGAGGATCGATCGAAGAATTTTTCATTCTTTCTTTAACAAAAATGACGCAACTTCCATCTCAAATTACCCCTATTTATGCAAATAATTTAACAGAAAAACAACTTGTAATAAATCAAGAACTTCCAATATTATTGAATAAAAGGTAGAAAAGAAAAAGAACAAAAGTTTTTTTTTTTATTAATTATTTTATCAGTCAATTAATTAATTAATAGTAAAAGATTATTTTTGTGTATAGTAAAGAAGAATTAGAAGATCTATTAAATAGTGATGTGATATTTGATACATTTATGGAGAATGTGGAACAAGTTCGAAATATGAAAAATTTACAAGATGAGATGAGAATGGGAAATGAGAATCTGGCAAGTAAGTACAATAATTTAAAATATTTATATTCATTTAATTTGTTTAATAAACCGTTATTTCTATCATTTTATAAAAGGAAAAATATTATCTCAAGAAGAAGAATTAATCAAATTACGTAATAGTGTTGATGGACAAGAAAAAGGTTTGAAAGAAATTTATTCAAATTTTGAAGAAAAACTTAAAGTTCAACAGGAAGTTTTAAAGGTATTCATTATTAAATCCTTTTAAAAAAAAAAATCTAAGAATTTAACCTAAAGAAAAGAATATCTACTTTTATAGAGATTTTCACCATCAATTCTTATAACAAAATTAAAATCTGAAACTCAACAGTCAGATGACTTGAGTGAGCAAATGGCAAAATCATTTTTAGATGGAGAATTAGAAGTTGATGATTTTTTAAAACATTTTAGAGAAGTGAGAAAAGTGTATCATTTAAGAAATGCAAAAGTGGAAAGAGTCAGCAAACAACCCGGAATTTTAGGTTCAATTTAGATTAATTTTATTTAATTATGTCTATTAATCATATTATATTATTCAATCAATAACTTGTATTAAATGGTAATTACTTTTACCTGTTCTTATCACACAAACAACCCCATCTAATAAATCATCTTCAATTACTTTATGATGAGGTTCAATTACTCTTTGATTATTTAAATAAAGTCCTCCTACTTTTATCAATTTATTTGCTTCATTTCTTGATTTACATGCACCAGCTGCAACAGCAACACGATCAATCGTTCGATTTACAATTTCATTACGATGAATTGGAGTTAGTCTTTGTGAATCATGCAAAAATGCTTCAATTAAATCATGTCCGCGTATATTTTCTAGTGAATCTCCGAATAATACTCTAGTAGCCAATTGCGCTTTTTGTAGTCCAGCGACTATAATAATATTGGAGAAGAAAAAAAAAATTTATTTGTTAATAGAGAAAAAATACAAATTAAAAAGATGTCATTGTTATTTTATACCTCCATGCACAAATTCTGTTATCTCCGAAGCTAACTTTTCCTGCCCTTTACGTTCTTCTGGAGATTTCTAATAAAATTTAATTAATTTTATTATTACAAAGTCAATGCGATATCTGACTTTATGTTCAAATGAATAATATTCACCATATGAGTTTTCACAATTTGATCAATTTCTTCCATGCTTAATATTGTGAACATACGAAGATATTTTTCTACATCAGCATCAGCTAGTTTCATGAAATACTAGGAAAATAAAGCTAGTATATTAATTTTAAGAATTAATTAAATATTTTTTTTTCTTAGAAACACTAAAACCTGATAAAATTCGTAGGGGCTAGTCATCTTATCATCTAACCAAATTGCATTTCCTGCAGATTTACCGAATTTTTCTCCAGTTGATGTTAACAGTAAAGGTATCGTAATACCAAAAGCATTAGTATTTTCAGTTGTTTCCAAGCTTTCTGTTGTCGTTTTTATAGAATCTGTTTTCTTTTTATGAATTAAATCGATTCCCGCGGTAATATTTCCCCATTGATCACTTCCTCCTAACTTGCACAAAAATTAGCAAATAATTAATTAATTACATAAGACGTAATAAGTGACTTTACCTGAATTTGACATTGATGATAATGATGCAGATGCCAAAAATCGTATGCCTGTAATAATTGATATGAGAATTCCGTAAAACTTATTCCTCCAGTATTTTCCATCCTTAACTTAACACTAATAAAAAAAAATTTTAATTTAATTTCTCTAAACTCGATAAGAACAAACGATTGGCTTACCTATCTCTAGCCATCATTGTTCCAACACGCGCATATCTTCCAATATCATTTAATAGTTCCAGTGCAGACATTTTCTGAAACCATTTCAAGTTATTTAAAATTATCACATCTAATTCATCTCTTATTTTAAATCCACGTCGTAACGCATACTTTTTTCCATTAATAAAAATTTTTCGAATTTGATTATCAATCGCATTAGCATTTTTCTCAATCATTGAAAATGATAGAGGCTGGCGCTCAGTATTGCGTCCGGATGGATCGCCTATTGAGCCAGTCGCTCCTCCTATCTGATTTATCAATTAATAAAGAGACGCAATCAGGATAAATAAATAATTGGAATGGTAATAATGATTGGAAAACTACAGAAGATCAGCAAAATAAAATAAAATAAGAAAAGTAAAAATAAAAACAAACCAAAGCAATAGTGCGATGTCCACGAACATTAAAATGTAATAATCCGATTAAAGTTAACAAATTTCCCAAGTGTAGACTTGGCGCAGTAGGGTCTACGCCACAATAGATAGTCGTTTGATTTTTCACTCGATTTATGATATCGGAACTTTTTCCAAACAAAAACAAAACAACACAAAAAAGGAATCATCAATCAAATGTTCATTATCTAATGTAGAAATAATTTTTCGAGATAAAAATAAATGTAACCTCGTCAACGCGTTAATCAAACCTCGTTTTTTTAATTCTTCAATAACATTGTCCTCAATTTTTTTTGTAAAACATCGAATCGATATATTATGATATGATCCGTGATAAAATGGATAAAATTTTATACCTTTTTCACATGAGAATTTAGTGAATTTATTGTAGATGTTTCGAAAAATTATTTTTGATTTCATCATATTTGTTAAAAAAATGATAAGATATGCACATGAAATTTCAGAAAGAAAAACGATGACCGAATAATGAACAAATCCTTTATATTATTATTATTCATTTACGCACATCTGTTGATCCCTCCCACTTTCCACTTTTGTCACGTTCTCAATTTATATAAAAAGGGGTCAAGGATCCAGATCTATTTGATCTTTTGAAATTGAACTTTCCAAAATATCCAAAGTATATGCAAATGCCCGAAAGAAATACTACAATGATTAATGCTTATCGGCTTGAATTAGAAGCTGATGGATCACTTAGTAACGATAAAAGTTTCATAAGGCTCCCACCTCCTATTAATCCTTATATATTACGATTTAATATTCGTGCAGGATCATTTGCTTCCCATAGAGGAATTCTTTATACAAACTATCCGATAGATGGGTACATAATTATAGATCATAAGAATTAATAAATTTCTTATTTTTGAATTTTAATTTTACTTTAATTTTAGTTCTGAATTCGATAGAAACAAATTTCATTCAAAAAGGTAAATATCATTTTTATTAAAATTCATCTTTTTCACAAACTTCTTTACTTTCTTTTTAATGATCTTTTTTTAATTAAATTTACGAATAGATTTCCGATTGAATTTACGAAACCTCTTAATATTGACATTACCATTCAAAGACCAGGTGCTTTTGAATTTTATGTAGAATATAAGGAATTAAATTCAAATTTGATAAAATCTTCTACCAAAAGTCATTTTGTGGTCGATCCGTTGTTACATGTCGGTACACGACGTCGGATATTTACACCCGAATTAATTTCCTCAGAACCAACTACTCCGATTCCTATTGATGGTTTGGTTATTCAATCAGTTCTGCCAAAACTCCTTGGAAGGTTTTCTGAATGGGACACTCACATGAAAGCTATATCTGATCTTGGATATAATATGATTCATTTTGTACCAATGCAAGTACGTGGTGAATCCAATTCTCCTTATTCCATCTACGATCAATTATCATTCTCGAATGATTTATTCGAACCTGAAGATCGTTCGAAGGGTCCCGATGAAAAAATCGAAATTGTAAAAAAAACATTAAACAAAATTGAACATGAATATAAACTTTTTAGTCTTTCTGATGTTGTTTGGAATCATACTGCTAGTAATTGTGGATGGCTTCAAGAACATCCGGAAGCTGGTACGTACATTTGATTATCATACCATTTGACTATTTTATTTATATTGTATGTTTTTTTTTCGTAGGATATAATTTAATTAATTCACCTCATTTAACTCCCGCCTTTGAACTTGATACTGCTTTACTTGAATACTCATCTAATCTTTCTAAGTTGGGATTTCCAACTAGAATGAATAATGAACAAGATTTGGAATTAATTATTGAAGGTGTCAAAGAACATGTGTTAAATAAAATTCGTTTATGGGAGTTTTACGTCATAGATGTTAAAGAAGCTGTGAATGAGTTTAAGGAAGCATTAAACAAGCCATGGCCATCTTCCAGAAAGGACATTGATTATTCTTCTCTATCATTTAAAGAACAAGCAAAATTATTAGCGGATAATGCTCTTTATTTTAAAGGAGCTTTTGGTCAAAGATTTTATAAAAAGATAAATTACGAAAGTTCTATTTCATTTATTCTCGGTTTAATTGAATCAGAAATAATAAATAAATCTATTGATGATGTTGGTAAGACCGACGCTAACGAAGATGATGAGGTATCACTTGGTGGTTTGATAATAGACGAAAAATCGAGTACTTCAGCTGAAAAGTCAATTTCAAACAAAACAGATGTTGAGATAAACGGTAATGAAAAGGAAGGTATTGAAAAGACAAATCCTGTTAATTTGGTTGAAGATAAATCAGGTATAAAGATCGAGGAGAAACAGAAATTGGAAGAGAAATTGGATGAAAGATCAGTACTAGTCGATAAATTTGAGAAATTCATTAATGAAATTAATCTACCTTTCTATGTATTGTATGATGATGATGTCATTGCTATACTTGATAACTTATGGAATAGAGCCAAATACTTGAAGCTTGATCCCCACGGACCTAAACAAGGTGAAATCGGTAGAAAGTAAATATTAAATTTGTTTAATTAATTAATTATTTTTTTGTTAAAAAAGGGATATTCATTTATAATTTCTCTTTTGTTTAGAGTCCCAATTGTTGAACGATATTTCACACGAATTCCGTTAAATGAGATCACAAAGAAACATCCAAAAGGTGCATTGGCTGTTGTAAATAATGGTTGGATATGGAATGCAAATCCATTACAGGACTTTGCAAGCAATGGATCTTTTGCTTATTTACGAAGAGAAGTTATTGTATGGGGGGATTGTGTGAAGTTACGTTATGGAAAAAGTAGAGTATGTTATTATAATTACACCTTAACTTAAATTTTTATAAATCCAAGTAATCCTAAAATTTATCCCCTCTTTCAAAGGATGATTCTCCGTGGCTATGGGACCATATGACAAAGTATACCGTGCAGCTTGCTAAATTATTCCATGGTGTAAGAATTGATAATTGTCATTCTACACCAATTCACGTTGCACAATACCTTCTTGATGAAGCACGTCGAGTACGTCCAGATATGTACGTAGTTGCTGAATTATTCACAGGTTCAGAAGAAACGGATATCAAGTTTGTGAGAAGTATTGGAATAAATTCGCTTATCAGAGAAGCTATGCAAGCGTGGGATCCGCGTGAATTAAGTCGTTTGGTACATCGTCATGGAGGAAAGCCTGTCGGTAAATATTATATTTAAACATGATTTTTCTCAATTCCAATATTTAAGTTATGTTAATAATCATATATTTATTTATATTGAAGGTTCTATGGACACTGAGTGTCTCACTAGCGTGTCTATGTGTAAAGATCTGGATGGAGAATCAGACGTTCAATGTCTTGTTACACCCCTTTCAGGATCAAAACCACATGCTCTTTTCATGGATTGTTCTCACGACAATGAAACACCCCATCAAAAACGTATTGCAGAAGATACTTTGTCAAATGGTGCTCTTGTAGCCATGAGTTCATGTGCTACTGGTAGTGTTAAGGGATACGATGAAGTTTATCCTGAACTTGTAGATTTAGTCAAAGAAACCAGACCTTACGCATTATACGAAAAACCATTAGATATCGGTATTGGCAGAGGTAATTTTAATGAGTTATCTTTTGATCATATTTAATTTATGAATCAATAATAAATTTAAATTTTTTTAATATTAGTTAAGAAAGTGTTGCAACACTTACATACCGAAATGACTTTAGATGGATATATAGAAACTCATGTGCATCTTGAAAATGATGTCAGTATTTTGTAATAATGACATGCGTCAGATGTCGGTTAAAAAAGGGGTTGATCATTTTGTTTATGTGCCGATCACTATATCATTTGTAATTGCATGCGTGATTTACATAAAAAACCTCGAATTTGGTTAAAGAGCAAATTCCCCTGTTAACTGACGCGCCCATTATTTGCAATTTTCAACTAAAATTATTTATTATTTTTTTTTTTTTTATTTAGTATATTAGTGTGCATAGGGTACATCCTCATACTCACAAAGGTTATTTATTAATTGTACATTGTGCATTCTCAACAAACTGTAAGTTTACTATTTCATTAGTTTATTATTTCATTAGTTTATTATTTCATTAGTTTATTAATTAATATTATAATTTTTCTTTAATAGCATCTTTTATATCTCCTATAAAACTGAGAGGAACTAGGACAGAATTAGTTTTTTCTACAACTTTAAAAGTACATTCTCGTAAATTTACTCCACGTAAAGACCATCTTATCGGACTTTCTGCTTCCCTTGAATCGCTTAACGGTCCTAATTTGCGTAAAATTTCTGATGATCAAGGTTATTATACAGAAGTAACTTTGCCGAAAGAATTTCCACCAGGTAGTGTCATGTTATTGAAAACGTGGGTAGATAAACAACACAATGGATTGGATGAATTTTTGACATCAGATGTTGAAGAACCTTTTCGAGAGTTGGATTTAGTTGATTTGAATATAGTTTTACATCGATGTGGTGGAGAAGAAAATGATGTTACGCCCGGTCACAGTGTTTATAATATTCCTGGGTATGGAGATCTTCCATATTGTGGCTTAGAAGGTTTCATGTCAGTGTTGAGTCAGGTTATGAAACATAATGATTTGGGTCACCCATTTAGTTCTAATTTACGTGAAGGTCATTGGGCTTTAGATTATGTGACAAACCGACTCGAAAGGTATGAAATTATTATATAAGTTTAATTAAAATTCTATAATCGTAAAATTAGATTAATTTATTATTAGGTATTTGGAAATTTCACCAAGACTTCAAAAATTGATTAATTGGTACAAAGAAAGGTTTGATGCAATTAAAACTGCACCAAATTTCCTAATTCCTAAATATTTTGCACTTGTAATAAAAACAGCTTATGAAGCTGCTACAAAAAGAGTTTTAAAACAATCATCACCTTTTGTATACGAAGGGGGACCATTTATTCAATCACTTGCATTATGTTCTGTACAGATGTATGGTACAGTACTTTCAACTGGTCTACACCCTACAAAAATTGGCCCATCAATGGCTGCTGGTTTACCCCATTTTACTTACAGGCATATGAGATGTTGGGGGCGTGATGTTTTTATTTCGTTACGTGGTTTATTTATTACTACCGGAAATTTTGAAGCGGCAAGAAGACATATAATTGGATTTGCTAGTGTACTCAAACATGGATTAATTCCAAACTTATTGGATGCTGCCCGTCGTCCGAGGTATAATTGTCGTGATGCTTCATGGTGGTTTCTTCAATCAATTCAAGAATATTGTAAATTCTCACCTGAAGGATTAGAATTTCTTAAGACATCTGTTATTCGAAGATTTCCGAAGAATGATGAATTTGTTGAAGCGGATGATCCTTTGGCTTATAAATATGAGAGCACTATATTAGAGATTATTCAAGAAATCTTAGAAAGACACGCTAAAGGAATTCATTTCAAAGAATGGAATGCAGGTCCCAATTTGGATCATGCTATGACAGAGAAGGGATTTCAAATTGATATTCAAGTAGATTGGGGGACTGGGCTATTATTTGGTGGTAACGAATTTAACTGTGGTACATGGATGGATAAAATGGGTGAATCTGAAAAAGCTGGTAACAAAGGATTACCAGCAACACCTAGAAACGGTGCTGCAGTTGAAATTATCGGGATGTTGAAGTCCACTTTGAGATGGCTTACTGAATTAAGTGAAAAAGGACATTACCCTTGGAAAGGAGTTGAACTGGGAGGTAATTTTTGAAATTGAGGAAAGGTATATAAAAAGATGATAATAATTTAACGATTTTATATTTATAGAAAATCGACACATTAAGTTCTCTGAATGGAATGATTTAATTCAACAATCATTCGAAAAATGTTTCTATATTCCTCTTGGTAAGCAAAAAAAAAAAGAAATTTTTTTTTTTACATTCAATTATTTATGATTACCGATTTTATTTTAGATCAAGTTGATGATTCGAAATATGAGTTAAATACAAAATCGGTAAATCGTAGAGGAATATATAAAGACACATACAAGGCTTCAAATCATTATGGAGATTACCAATTAAGACCAAATTTCCCTATTGCGATGGTAGTGGTGAGTACAACACTTTTAAATAACAATACATTTTGTTCTTTTACTTACGTAAACTTTCATAAATTTCAGGCTCCGGAATTATTTGATAATCAGCACGCATTGCAAGCCTTAAATACAGCTCGTGAAGTGCTTGCTGGCCCATTGGGTATGCGTTCATTAGATCCTAAAGATTGGGCATATCGTGGTATTTATGATAACAACAATGATAGTGACGATAAGTCAATAGCTAAAGGATGGAATTATCATCAGGGACCTGTAAGTATTTCTTCAATATGGTTTCTAGAGAAATTTGGTATTAACTAGTCCCAACTTATTTTGTATAGGAATGGCTATGGTGTACTGGATATTTCCTTCGTGCTTATTTATATTTTGATATTCGTGCTGGAAAAGGGAAAGAAAGTGTACGTTGTATTGAAAGTATAATAAATTTTTTTATATTATTTCTAATATTTGGATTAAATTTTATAAATAGCCTCATGAAACGATCTATGATATAACACAACACCTTTTACCGCATCGTAAAATCATTGAAACAAGTCCATGGGCAGGATTACCTGAACTTACTAATGCAGATGGTGCAGAATGTCATCATTCTTGCCCTACACAAGCATGGTCTTCTGCTACTTTATTGGATTTATTTGATGATATAAAGAAACTTGAGAAAACTTTTAAATAGTCAATTTATTTATTTATTTATTTATTTATTTATTTATTTACTTATTTACTTATTTATTTACTTTTCTACTTATATTTATTGTTCTTTCCGTATAACGAAAAAAAACATGATAGAGGTATATTTATGGTAAAGCTTGATGTAAAAGGACTACTATTAATTAATACATTATTACAATAGTGCATTAAAAAAATTAAAAAAGTCAAATATATTAAATAGAAATAATAAAATGCGTGAATCTGCATTGACTGTACAAAATTAAGGATAAATAAATATGAAATCAAAATAAAAAACGTTTACTATTACTTCTAAATATTATGATTTTTGAAAAAAAAAACATATCAATAATTGCATTGATATAATTTTAGATTTATATGAACTTCTTTTAAATACTCCTAAGTTAAAAATAACTCGGAATAAAAACTGCATAAAAAATATTATTATTAAGATTAGTATTTGAACAAACAAATGAATAAGTAGCTAAAAATATAATAATTTATGGAATAATTATTACTCACTCTGAAATAGAAAGATTACTTTTATATCTATGATACATTTCTTCAATAAATTGTCTTCTCATAGCATATCTAAATAATAAATAAAAAGGCTGTTAAAAAATAATCTTTATTTAAATGTTTTAGATAATTGCATATAATCATTAATACGAACGATCTATTATGATGTGTCTCTGTCAAATTCTTGAATACTTCGTGTGCTGATATTGTTGTGTTCCTTACGAGTAAACCCAAAGTGTGTCTGCTAACAATCATGCCGTCAACTAACGGACCAAATGACTAAAATATTTTTCATCATTAAATAAATTTATAGTCCGTTAATAGTATGATATAACTTTTTCTTTACTTACCAAATGATTTTCAGCTAATTTTGCGGTATCAGCGCTCCAGCTAACTCTACCCTTCCCTCCTTTCTTGTCACCTAATCCACTAATCGTTCCTTGATATGTAACTATAGGAATAACAATCCTTATCCAATATAATCCAGTATTTTGCAAAGGGTGAACAAATATATATACAAAAACTGTCTGTCCTATTTTTTGAGGTACATTAGACATAGACGCTATATCTTCAATCCATGCAATACATACTAAATCATCCACTGTTATATTTTTAATTATGCTTGATAAAGATTCCATTGATGAATCAGATAATGGTGTGTGTATTAAATAAGGAACATTAAATATTACTTCAACAGTTCTATCGGCAAAGTATGGAGTTGTTTTACAAAAAGCTGAACTAAGTTTAGCTTTAAATCCGGAATGTGTACTAATAGATACCTAAAAAAAAAAGATTTAAAATATTATAATTCCCATATTATTTAACTCACAAGCTAAAAAGTAAAAGATTAATTACCGGCCATCCCAAACTATTCAAAAACTTTTCAAAGTCTTCACTAATTGTAGAAGGATTTATAATTTGATCATATTCTACCGCTCCTGATCGAACATAGTACACAGAAGCACTAACACAATCCCGTCTAATAATGGAATAATATATGTAAGTTTTAACATTAAACTAAGAGATCTGAGTAAACTTATCAACATACTCGTGTAATTGATCTAATTTTTCCAAATCATTGACAAGCTTTTCCGAAATTCGTAGTGGAATCATACGATGTCGATTTTCTAGTGATAACAAACCCATTTGTGACATGAATAAACGAAATGCTTGCGGACTAAATTGTATTATGGAACATTTGAATTTGTGTAGACGCAAATATTAGTGAATTATTCTACATATTACTAAATTAATTGTTAAAGTACCTTGATAAATTCGAATTAGATCCGGCGGGGGTTGCTTTATAACTAAATTTAAGATATTAAAATTAATGTAATAATAAAAAAACCTATTCCGGAATATCAAAAAAAAAAAAACCATAAAAAACCATAAAAAGTAATCCACCTCTTACTTTTGATGATTCATTAACCGTTGTTTTTCTTCTAATGATCGTTCCTCTACTACTTTTTGTCTCTGCGTTAACTTTTTGACAGCATTATAAGCTCTCCAGCTATCGCTCCCTTCTTCAAATATTTTGTCAACCTTTGGTATTTGATGTTCATTAAAACTAACAATACGAGGAATATTTGAACGAAAACTATTATCTTGGTGAGTTTGAGGCCTATGTGACGTAGTAAATGCACGACGAAGTGACGGTAATTTCTTCTCGTAATTGTCATTTTCTATCGTGCTTTGTGACGAATTTTTCTGGTCATTATCATCTATCTGAGTTTTATAAACCATACGTGAAGTCCATGAATATTTTCCCGTACTATCACGCATAACTATAATAACTGAAGGGCTAGAATCTTCTTCACTTGATTGTTCTCGAAGATAAGATTGTGGTATCGAGGCTTTGGGGGTACCCGGAGATACAGGTGATGCTGGAGTTTCGGTAGCCGTTGGTGTAGCATATGCATCAGATGACGATCCTGGAGAACTTGGTGTCCGCATATCTCCACCAATAGTCCATGAAAAATGTCTAGGCATCTCAACAAATCCAACCAAAACCCTGCTATCAATTAAAAAGTATCTAACCAATTCAGGTATTGATACCCCATCAGATTCTTTCGAATCAGACAGTTGTTTCTTTGCCAATTCTAAATCACCATTGAAAAGGGTCGATATTCTGCTTGGTCCTATGTTATCACCCCATGCAGGAAAATTTCCAAGATAATTAACGAACTGAGCCATTGCAATCTCAGCGGCAATTTTGACAGCAACTTCACCCTTCTTCCCATATCGATTTTGGCCATTATGGTGAGAAGTATTTTCACTATGTGTGGCTGTATTCTTTGATCGAGGTGCAAAGAGCTTATTTGGAGTTGTTTCTCTTCGGTTCTTTTTTTTATCGTTCGAAGGATTCGAATGCGATGAACCCTCATCTTCATTATTTGGATTTATAGAAATCCCTCGACTTATTGTCGCTATAACAGCTTCATGACAATCACGGTCACCAACTATCCATTGTCCAACAAGAATCCAACGCATCATACAGTCATATGCGCGCTCAACTAAATAATACGTTAAGGACTATGGCACATAATAATAATAAATTTGAGAATAATTAAAATAGCAATAATAATAATAAGTATCACCCTACTAACCAATCCTCCATAACCTCCAGAAAGCATCATATCAATGTATCGCGAAAAAGCCAACACTAATTCTCTTGCACAATTCTATATAAGTAATCGATAATAAATAAATTTATATATTGTTTCAGATATTATAATGAAAATGCGTACCTTACTATCTCTCTGAACATATTCATATAATCCAACAAAATCTTTTAAAACGTCAAAAGCATATAATGTGACATCTGATGGAAGATTCATAGTCAATACCTTTAAGATATATCAGAATAAGCAAAGTTGTTTTTTTTTTAAAAAAAAAAGAAAGAAAGATAAGAAAAGAAAAACCCTGCATAAATAAAACTAATTATATATATATATATATATATATGAAAAACCTTTTCTTGAATTGACTTTACTACGAGTCCAACTAAACCAGGACAGAATGCCACATCTTCTACCACATATACGTTAATTAAATGAAGAATATATCTAAGATTATAAGATGACCTTTCGGTTTTGAGTGATGTTAAAAGTAGTTCAAGTATGTAGAATTTAAGCTAAGGCGAAAGAAAAATGACAAGATTAAACAAAGAAAACATTGTCTACTAAGAACATTTTTTTAAACTATATGTCTTACAGTCGTAAATGGTTCCGTTGAATTTTTGTCATTTGTGTCACCTCTATTATCTTCCTCAGAATATAAAACTCGTATCTATCTCGACAGAATACAATAGAGAAAGAATCAGTATAATCAAAATTTTTTATTATGAATTAATCGATGATACTTACAAGTTCATTCACAACAATCTCGTCAGGATCATTATTAACAAGTTTATCTCCATTCTGATGTAATCCCACATTCCAATTTGCTCTTAAAGAAACTTTCTCAAAATGATTGGGCAAACACATTATTGTGCTTGCAACTCTTATTGCTGCGAGTCTCAATTCATCCAAAGGTATGTCAGTTTCGAAGTTAGGTGCCAATTTGGGTAAAATCATCTTAATGCCCACAACAAAATCAGGTACCATCATTCTGACGCCCTCTAGTTCTGTAGCAAAAAGAGACGTCGTGTTTATCAAAATAACTGGTAGGCAACTATCTGTACGTAGACCTATTATTAAAGCTTGATAGAATTGGGTAACGTAGTTTCTTAAAAACTTTTCCCTTCGTTGAGGAAGACAAAATATTCTACAGAGAATACCGTAAGCTTCTGCCCTTCCTTGTTTAGCACCCAAATCTGTACGATTTATCGAACAAGCTTGAAATAACCAAGATCCAAACATATGTAATATTGTATTACCATCAGGTATTGACATAAGAGAACCTTCAATATCTTTTTGAGCAACTTTTTGAACACTTGTCTGACCTATTGTTTGAAATGATTCAATGATTCTTCCAATTCCAGAAAGTGCCAGAATAAAATTCGTTGATGGTAATGTACATGGGTTATTTATTAAATAAACCATTCTATACCAAGCAAAATACACAAAATCTGCTGGAAGATCTAATCCAACGTTATAACCACCCACTGAAATATTCACCATTTCTGCACCTTCTTTCTGTCCATATAATAATCTCACAACTCGTTGCGTTAGAGCTAAGGTTGTTGCATTCCATTGTAGTATTGATTGTTGTCTGTGAGTCCATTGATTGAAGCATTTTTTAAATATGTCCCACATTTCAACTTTCCGAATTTTTGATCTCAACCACAACTCAAAAAGTACTCTTAATAAGTGTTCACATAAATCATCTGCCATAATACTGGCTGTCTTTTTCTCAGGATTTCCCTCTGAAATTATCAGTTCACGTAATAAGCAATCTGTGATTCCCAAAACTACTTTTAAAAGAACAAGCCAAGTTTCTTCAGAAAATTGAGGACCCAAAGTGCGTCCTGCCATAGTCAGTACGATCAAAACACCCTTACATAATTCAATGTGACGTTGTAAATATGTAATATGTGATGGTGCTTGATTAACTGAAGTAGGAAATCCTGGCGTCGTTGGTGTCGATGATACAGATGGAGCATTTGAACTAGGTGTTCGAGGTTGGAACAACAGTGAATAATGATGAAAAATTGTCTAAAGAAAAATACAATTATTAAAATTTCATTCAATTAAATAAATATTTTTATCAAAAACACAAATCTCAAACCTGCCAAAATTCTTGTTCCTCTGGTCGCCCTGTTGCATCTCTAATAGCAGCGGGTCTAAAATTAGGTTCAAATAACCACTGTGAATAAAGTTCTTTAGAATGTGATGTTATCCCCATTTCTTCCAATGGTAAGGCAAATCCTTGACCAATTGCTTCCATAACCCATTTTACGTGTGTTGTTGATGACAGAAGATTCGGATCATGCGCTGTTAATAGTGTCTGTGTTATTTCTGATATAAGTACTTTTCTAACGTTTAAGGGAAATTTTGCGAGAACATCGGTATCTAAAATAACCGATTATAAGTATTTTTAAAATTAAAAATTAATTTTATTATAATTCGTAAATCAATTTACCAGGATTATGTTCGAGTAGTTTTAACTGAGAAATCCATTTCAAAAACATTGCTTAAAATAGGATTAGATAGAAATCCTCGAAATTCACATCAATGATAAATCGGGCAAGTTTTTAAGTGGATTTAAAGTGATAAATTATAATTGATATAAAAACTTCTGTAACATTCGTAACAATGATAATACCTTTTGCAAAAAGAAAATTAGAACAAATCAAGATATAAATAAAGAGTTTTTATTAAGTATGAACATTACCAGCTTTATCATAAAATCATATGGTTTTCCGATTATTTATTGTTCTTAATTCTTATTTCTCTTCGACAATTCAAACAAGCAAATAATTAGATAGTATAAAGAATTTATTATAATAATGGCTAAAGATAAATAGTGAATAAATTGGTATTCAAAATTTAAATTGAAAATCGAATTTGTAAATCGAGATTCCCAAAAAAAATTCAATTATATTGTAAGTTTTTTTTTTTCGAAAAATATAAACTGTCAAAGGAAAGATTTGATTTTCTTAGGCCGATCAATTCGTTAAACCATTTGTACAAATTAAATTCTAAATCATTACCCTGAAAAAAGGTAGGTCACAGGATCACAGAACATGTTGTCTAACTCGCATACGGATCACGACATCCATTTGACCCGTCCAATCAAATTTGATTGGATAATCCCAATAAACATTATTAATTTTATTCCCCAACTTTTTGTAGAAATAAAATAAAAATTAATTATAAAAAACCTACTAGAAAATCTATATTTGCTCTTTAGTAACTACGAATGCTGATGAACCTGAGGAGTCACAACAATCTCCCGAGTAAAAAATTTCAGATATTTTAAGGTCATATGAAGAATTTGTGGCGAGAATTCACAAATTCGCGTCATTCTGTAATTTTAAAACGCGTTTGGGTAAAGTAGGTCATGATAAAGAAAAAAAATATTATTAGAAGAATCATCTTATGTTCACGTGCAGGTATCCCTGAAAGTAAAGATAAAACTGATTTAAGAGATCGTAAATCTCGCTGTAATTGTCCATTTTTTATTAGAGCTTCACTTGATAATAATAGTGGACTTGGCATATTTTAGCTATGAAATTGGAACATAATTATGAGATGGATGCTCTTAAACACAAAAAATTCCTTGGTAATGAAAGAACAATTCACCAAGATCGAATTATAGCTTATCATCAAGCAGGCTGTATATCAACTACCCGCTCAATCCTTAAGCAAGAATGCAAAAATTCAGAAACATGGATTTATAGCGATATTTATAATTTTATATATCAATTGGTGGTAAACAAGAACAATGTTTTTTTTGAAGCAGAAGTGCCCTAAAGCAACTTGCAAGAGAAATCGATGGATTTGAATATGAAGTAAGAGTTGATACTAATACGAATAAATTACTCCAAGTAATTTGGATCAAAAACGATATTATAGTAGATTCTTAGATGTCATTGTTTTTTGATAATACCTATAGTTAATAAATTTAATATGCCATTTGGAATTTTTATTTGGAGTAAATATTTATGTTTTGTTGGAACTTATAATGTGTTGAGAAACCATAGACAGTTTTGTATATTTTATATGGACATTTAATGCTTTTCTTAAATTGGTTAATAATATTCACCTAAAGTGACACTTACTGATGAAGATAGAGCAATTTCTCAAGCGATACAGATTACACTTGGACAAAATACTAAGCATGTTTTATGTATATGGCATCTTTGGAAAATGTCACCAAAAAATTACTAATATCCTGGGATCAAAAATAATGGCGTGAATTTACCAAATCTTTTTACGAATGTATAAGAGAGTATGAAGTTAATAATTTTATGATTAAATAGCAAAGTAAGGTTTCCGGATTCAAAATCACATTTAGAAAGAACGGATAAAATCAAAGAAAAAAGGAAATCTTGCTTTAATAGAGACACTTTCTTAGCAGATATGACAAGTACACTGGATAATCTATGAATACTTTGATGAAAGATTATATGAATGCTTCTCATTCACTATTGGATTTTTAAAAGCAGCATAATACAAACAATTCATGATAATATTACTTTTAAAAAAAACATTTCCACTTGAATATCAGGCATCCAATTAGCACCAAATAAGAAAGACTATTGGCATCTGATTGGATGCCGATTTGTCAGCTCTAGTCTCTAGACTCGTATAAAAATTTTCAATTTTAAAAAAAATTAACTGTAATCTCCTTTCAGCTTAGAATATTAGGATAATCTAGGTTAAAATTTCAGTTTTGGAATGTTAAATAAATTTCTTTTTAACATACTTCGCGTGATTGTAAATTAAGTGTTTCATCTATATTAATAATTATTATCTGAATTTAGAACGATTACCTTAATAACATTGTTAATGCTGAAAAACGCGGCAAACGCCAAGTTCTTGTTCGACCTTCTTCGAAGGTCATACTTAAGTTCTTGCGTGTAATGTAAAAGCATGGTACATAAATATTTTGTGTATGTGCTTTAAATACATCTATCGGGTTATAACTGGATCTTTGAAAGAATACTGCATGTCTAATGTTGATCATACACATTTTGGTGTTTAAATCGCCTTTTGTACATACCGTGAAAATATTTATACATATATAAAAAAGCAGAATCCACAAAAATAATATTTATTTGATAAATTTAAAAATATTATCGACTTTTTATTTAATTGATCTTTTCTTACTGCAAAGGGCAAATCGACCTTTAGTTAATGAATTTCGCAGCATATTTAAATAGATTTATCGTCATGAGAAATCGATTTACAAATTACAAGTTGGATGAGTTTTCATTAACTGACATGATTGTCCATAGGTAATATTTTTATAAGCGAAGGGCATTCAACTTTGAAATATCTGGTTTATCAGTTCATTGGAAATGTATCCTTTAACAACATTATTAAGGGCTTGACAATCTTGAAAATTTTTTTATTAATTAAATTATACATTCGAATATAATTTAATTTTGACATAGATTATAGAACAATACAGAGATTTCGCTAAGAAAACAACACTTGCAAATTGCAATATGAATTAAGAGAGATTCTATTTAATTTCTACACCGATGATTTTAAAAATATATTTTTCGGAGTTGTGTTAGATTTCTAACAAAGAATTTTATAAAGCTATAATGTGACATTTATCTAGTGTTAAAGAGCTTTATAATAAAATTTTCAGTCTTTAATAATAAGTGGTGTAAATATAAATAATTACGACAACATTAAATATTGTTCGAAAATAAAAAAAAAATAAACGAATCTACGTTTTATTTCTATATCAAAATTACTTATTCATAAGCCGAAACATCCCATAATCTCAAAACTTCATTATAATCTTTCTTTCTTCTTCTCCTGATACTAAAATATCCCATTCCTCTAGGCCTTACTTTACTAATTAAATTTTCTGGATTTTCTGGTAATCCCATTTCATGAACTGCTAATTCTTTTACATTAACTCTAATGTTTTCTCTCATCGTATGAATAGCACTATATTCTGAAGCTGGTAAGAATAGTAATTTGGTGAGCGATAGGCAAGACCTTACGGTTTGAAAAAAATCCTCTGTCCATCTTATAGTCAACCACATTAATAATGGAATTAACCACGATGTGATTAGAATAAATGGAAAAGTAAAAAAACATATTACAAAATAAATTGGGATGAGTAAGATTGTAGAAATAAGCAATTTATATTGAGCAATTTCATCAAAATTATCTTCAATTGGTAGTTTACGAATTTGATATTCTTTATATCTAAAAAAAAAATAGATTCCAGATATATTATTAAGTACAGTAAATCAAATTTGAGGTTATTTGTGTATTAACTCACTTGACAACAATAAATATTGGAGACCATAAAATCCAACCAGGAAATGAAAGGGATGCAAGAATAAATGCCCAAATAATACGTAAATAAATACGGAAGATAAGTGAAGATTTAGAAAGTGGAGTGGGACGACTAACTCTATAATCTTTAATTCCATGTGAATCGAGAAGGTCTTGATATGCCTGTAAGGAAAAGAAGTTTAAGTACATAAACCACAAAAATGAGAATTCAACTTTAAATCACTTACGGATAAATCTCTGGCTAAAATTGCTAAATCAATTCCTTTATGAGAGATTTTTTCATTTTGAACTTCTAAGTTATCTACACTTAATAAATTTCCTGCATCAACCCGTTCTACAATAATTTCCTTTTTATCCAAAAGACTGTTGCCATTTGGAAGATTATTATTATTATCTGAACACTCTGAATTATCATCATCCTCATCGGTCTTAACCTTAGATAAAAGATCAATAAACTTCTTCGTTAATTTTACATATTCTGACAGAGAAATTCTAGTGCCAAGTTCCCCTGCATATAATTTTCTTGCAGTATGAGCAATTCTTAAAGTTTGCCAATCGGGTGAATCCAAAGTATTTGAACGAACAATTTCTTCCATTGTATTGGTTAATTCATTTATAGCTTGCTCACTACTACGTTTACTGCCATCTTCTGCAACTGTTTTTAAGAGAGATTGATGCTTTGGTGTGATAACAATGGGTGGATTGAATTTTACCAGCACATTTGACCTGAACTTTTCACGATGGATGTAAACTAACGAAGCTGTTAGTAAATGAATCGAAAAATCCTCTTTATCCTTGTTACGGGTAAGAGTCTGAATAATGAAAATAATTATAATAAAAATTTTATATTATTTAACGAAAAATATATAGAATTTGTTAAATTACTTACCTCACTCGCTATTACTGCGGTAGCAATGTTAATGATTTTAGATTGATGTTTATTTTACATATAAACATATATATATATATTTTATTTCACTTACGTGCAACTCCGGGTTTGAAATTTGCGATTTGACTATGATATCTGCTGATACCTTCTGGGAACAGACAAATACAATTTCCTTTTTCCAAAGTCTACATGAAAATAAAAAAAATATTATGTTAAATACATATTTAAACATATTTATTAAAAATAACAAATACCTCAACGAGAGTTTCGATAGCTGCTGTATTGTCTACTTTTGCATTATAATCCTATATCATTTAGTAGTTTTAGACAATTTTAAATTTTTACGGATATTATTCTGAATTTCATTATTTTTTTTACTTCTTCCTTCTTTACCTTTGTTCTCTTAATAGGAACTGTACCGACACTCTTCACTAATAAGCTAAATTTATTGTAAAAAAAAATATATATATATTTATTTTATTCTATCTTATTTATTTAATTTATTTTTTTTTGAATAAAATAAATTTTAGTTAGTCACATTGAATTTATTTTAATTATACCTAAAAATATCATTTTTCTTCCAGAAAGTATCTTTTGCTGTCATCCGAATCTTTAAATAAGAGAACATAAATTAATTTTTATATTTATTAATGTTTTCAATATGTTTTCTAACATACCATATCTCTTTTTTCGGGAGGCACAACACTTAATAATAAAATAGGATCGGTTAGAGAATTCGAATGATTTGGACATAAAATCGTAGGACATCCATCTGGAGGTATATTTTCTAATCCATCAACTTCAATTGCATAAAATGCATTAATTGAAACTTTGAATAATAAACGAACAAAACGATATGCAAGCGGTGCCATTTTTTCGTTGAAGAAATCAATCGGAACAAAATAGTCCCTTTTATAATCTTGTGAAAATCAAGTTTGTACTCTTTTAATACTATAAATATTTACTTTTATCGATTGTGTTTGATTTTGATGTATGTAATATATTATCACATTTAAAAATAGAAGGGGGAATATGTAAACAAAACCAATAATTAATTACGGTTATTGTGAATATATTGGCCTTCTCTCCCCAACCCGATAAGGATGTTATTGTACCCATTAGTTAGGAACCGCTAATGCTCTTTTGTTATAATATCGGTACAACAAAATCTAACGGACTAACCAATAAGCTTATTTACCGTTTAAGAATTTTGGTTAAAAGTTTTTTCGATGATGTTTAAAAAATGGGGGACTAATTAAAGTTTAAATATGAAGATTAAAGTTGCACAATTCTCCAGGTGATCGTAGTTCGTAGATCATCAAATCGCGTTTTCCCGCCAAATGACATTATCTGTTTAATATTGGTCGGTTATTTAGAAATAAATTAGGCGAAATTGATCTACAATATAAGCGCAGGGGTTTAAAGTCTTTGTTGACGATTAAAATGTTATTATGAACTATTTCCAACAAGTGTCATGGTTGTTATTCAGCACTCAGCAGTCAGCTATTACAACAATAATTTCACTTATTCTACGAGATTTTTCCGCGGGTAAGAAAATTAAGGTTTAATATTCAAATTAATTAATTATAACTATAAATTTTTGACTAAAAATATCGGTTTGATTCACAAACTAGTTTTTTATTTGCATTTGCGTGACAATTAAGACCTGGAGGTACATTTTGTGATAATGTGTTAGCTAGCGAATAAATAAATATGTTCTGCACAGAAATTTGCTATTAGTTACTAACCTTTTTAGGAAATGGCTGAAATAACATAAATCTACTAAACCATTTTCAGTTAATCATCAAGATAAGTTTTGGAATAGACCGATTTTTGCCGTAAAATTCTATTGATCTACTGTATCATTAATTGTCGCCGCATCTTGTTACAAATAATACACACGCATATATATATATATTTATTTATTTTAAAAAATTTCGTAATCTCGTTTATTTCCTTCATTGAAAAAATGTCAAATAGTAGCCGTGGTAACGGTAACGGTGATTCTACCATACCTATTAACATTCCAACAACTCAAACAGCTCGTCATCGACGAAGAGGAACAGGGAATTTGTCAAATTTTACACATTCTCTTGCTGGTACATTACAATCATGGACAGGAAATTACAGTCTTACCGCAAGGTAATTTAAATATATTGAATTTTTTTTTTTTTTAAAAAAAAAAAAAAAAAGAAAGATTCCCAAAGTTACTCATTTTCAAATTCAGTACGTATATGTCAAACAACATTGTGGTTCCCGCCTCCTTTATTGAGGAAAATTATGAACCAACCGTCACCGTACATGGGCCCGGATCCCATTTCTCGCAAATACCTGTTGCTTTTGGGCATAATCAACAAAATTCTTCACATTTTTCACCTGGAAGGAGTTCACAGTATTATGGATCGTTTCTTGCACCAAGTGTTGCTCCAAATCTACCTCCTCTGACTGAAGACGACGCAATTCCAATTAGACAAAATCAAGCAAATTATTCAAATGACCCTGATGATTATCTAGGAACATCATTTACTAGTAATCGTCATACTTCAATGTGGAGAAATTCAGCAGCTGAGTCTAATCAAGGATATAGGAGACCAAAAATTTCAGAACAGACAACCCCGCTTGTAAGAACTCTTTCGAGAAGTTCATTCACTTCTATTCCAATTTCAGTTATGCAAGATATAAAACATGAGGAAACATATATTGGTTCAAATTTTCGTCAATCTATCTTCAATTCTTGCAATATTTTAATCGGTAAATGAATTGTGATAATTTCAAATCCAAACATCCATCCATATTCATTCAATTCTTTCTAATTACTTCTGTTTACTAATAGGTATCGGTATATTGGCGTTACCACTCGGGTTTCACTATTCAGGATGGGTAATTGGAATATCACTATTCGCGTTTTGCCTGGGTGTGACAAATTATACAGCAAAAGTACTTGCAAAATGTTTAGATTATGAAGAAGGACTTTACACATATGCGGATATGGGTATGTACAGTAAATAATAAAAATTTTCCGTGAAAATAAAATTCGAACTTTTTTTATATCGTACTCGTTAATATATTTCATTACAGGTGCTGCTGCATTTGGACATAAAGCCCGACTTGCTATCTCAATCCTATTTTCACTGGAATTAATTGCATCAGCGACGGCGCTAGTCATTTTAGTTGGAGATTCCTTACATACATTATTTTCGGATACATCAATAATATTGTTAAAGGTGATTGCATGGATGGTTATGACCCCATTAACGTTGATTGCCATAAGATATCTTTCATATTTTTCGCTGCTTGGGATATTAAGTGCTATATCTTTGGTGGCTGTTATTATAATCGATGGATTTATTAAGCATGACAAACCCGGAAGTTTAATTGATCATATGGAAACGGAAATATGGCCATCTTGGGCTTCTTTGCCAATGAGTTTTGGTTTAATTATGGCCGGATTTACAGGTATGCATAAAATAGAAAGTATATGTGTATATATAATTTTTTTCTTAAAACTAATTTTAAACTTTTTTATTATAATAGGACATGCCGTATTCCCAACAGTATATCGAGATATGCAAGATCCTAGACAATATCCAAAGATGGTCAATATAACGTACGCAGTGACAACTGTTGTTTATCTTCTTTTAGCGGTGAGCGGTTACCTTATGTTTGGCAACACTACTATGCAAGAGGTAACTTTGGTTAATTATTTATTCGGATAATTAATATGTAATTTGTATAGACTTATCAATTCTATTAAATTCTATTATTTTTATAGATAACACAAAATATAATGTCAACAGATGGTTACTGGCGTCCTCTAAATAATTTTGTAGTTTGGCTAGTAGCGATAAATCCAATAGCAAAATATGCGTTAACGCTTAATCCCATAAATTTAACATTAGAATTATCTTATTATTCAAGTCCATTCATGGAAGAATGTCTTAACTCTGGCCGAGGAAGACGCACAGCTTTAAAAGTATTGTCAAGAATTTTAGTATCAACTATAGTGGTATTTATTGCAATCAATTTTCCTCAATTTGACAGGATAATGGGAGTTTTGGGAAGTTTCTTTTCATTTACAATTTCAGCTATCTTTCCGTGTATATGTCACCTAAAATTATATGGAGAGACGTTAAACCGGAAGGAATATCTGTTGAATGTAGGCATTATTATTATTTGCTGTATATTAAGTACTTTTGGGACAATTTGGGCCTTTCTGCCTACTGATCATGTTTAGATATGGGAAAACGCGAAAATTAGTGAGGAGGGGGAAATAAATAGATAATAGAATATTTATTTTATAGATTCGAAAAAAAAAATAAAATAACGCAATCCTTGTCAGGACCGGCTCCCGGCACTAAGATGAAGATTATCTAGGTGAATTTTCCAATAAAAGTAATGCTTGGAATTGTACGACTGCATCACGAATTTAGTTATACGTCACGTACGTGAAGAAATTACAAATGGCTAATTTAATGATCGACTTTATACCTTATCAGTCTACATATTCATACATATTAAAACTCGCACGTCTTTAATTATCAGATATTTTTTTTTATCTCATCAAAATGAATGTAAGATTATGTTAACTAATTAAAGGTAGAATAACAATTAATTCCATTAGTATTTTTTTTTATACGTATTATTACCATTATTTATTATTAACCAGATCTCTCCAAATTACGGTTAAAAATTTCAACCATAAACAGGAAACTTTTTATTACGTATTGTTATTGGCGTACAAACATATATTGTGAATCATAATATCATATGAAAAACATTTTATGTTCATAAACTACATCGTGTGATTCAAAATGAATTTTTTATTGGTCATGTGAAAAATAAATATAGTATAAATATCTGGTATTCCATAAACGAATATAAGCTTGTAAGGTATAATAATTCTAATATAAATTATATAAAGTAGTTGATTTTATTATGATTTTTTAATCATGATTGCAGAATTTGTAACGGTTTTGGGAATTATTCCAACTGGTTTAGTGGCTTTTTATGTTTGGCTTTTACAAAGTCGTAAAGGTACTTTACCTATAACAACAACAGACTGTGCATATGATCGTAATAAATATGGACAAATTCTTAATTGGGATAAATATTGTTTATACATTCATGGAAATCCAACATTAATTTTTAGTGGTGAATTTCATTATTGGCGACTTCCCGATCGATCAAGATGGGAAAATATATTAAAAAAATATCGAGCAGGAGGATTTAATTGTATTAGAATTTATTTTCATTGGGGATTCCATAATCCTGATGAAGGAATTTATAAATTTGATGATAATAGAGATGTTGATTATTTATTAAATCTTTGTGAAAAATTGGGACTCTACGTCCTAGCGGCTCCGGGACCTTATATTTGTACTGAAACACAAGCTGGAGGATTTCCATACTGGTTAGCTGCTAAAGATCTTAAGATTCGTCACATGAATTTCACAGGGTTTAAAAAGTATGATAAAAACTTTGCAGAATATGAAAAAGAATGGTTTGAAGTTATATTACCAATTATAGCACGTCATCAAATTACTGAAAAGTCAGATGGATGTGTTATTGCTCTTCAGATTGAAAATAAATTATTCGAAAAATATCGAAAAATTCCATTCGGATTACATGATGAAATGCGTTTTCTTTGTAAAGTAGCAAGGGATTGTGGAATTACAGTTCCTTTATTTACAAATGATAATAATGAATCAGGTTCTTTTGTTGCAAAACCCGAATATGATATTAACCCATCAAATAATTTCTTTAATCGAAAATCATTTGGATTAGATCTATATGGATTTGATAAATATCTTTGTAAGTAAAAAAAAAAAGGTATATAGTTACATATTTTAAAAATAAATAATATATTTATTAATTAAAATGGTTCTTCATTTGTATACAAGTATTTGTGCCGTCGGATTCTTCGGTCTTATTTTACTTTAATATAGAACGGGATCCCAAAAAATGGAAGCCTTGGGAAACCAAAGATGTGGTAAAAGCATTGGATAATATTGAAAAAGTAGTACGAAGTTTTGGCCATGATGCGGCTAAGGTAAATTCAAGTTACTTATATGAGTGATTTTTATTAAGTAAAAAAGTTGGCATATAAAATTAATATATTATTTTAGTCACCTATATTCATTCCAGAACTGCAAGGTGGATGGTATACATCATATAAATCAGATCATACATTCGATGATGTTTATAATTATTATGGAGATCGTTTTACTCGAATTGTTTATGATTCGGTATTAGCACAAGGATGTACTATGCTATCAATTTATATGACCTATGGTGGAACTAATTGGGGAACACTTGGAGACATGTAAATTTAAAATTTGTAATTTTATATAATCTTTTTAAAATCTTATTGAGCGATACTCATACAATTTAAATTTTAGTGATGGATACACTTCATATGATTATTCTGCATGTATAAGAGAATTTGGTTATATGTCGGCTCGATTACGAAATTTGCGTCTTGGATTTTTATTTACACGAAGTTTTTCAGATGTTTTTGCAAAGACCGAACGTGTCAAAAAAAATCCAAATATTACTGCATCAATAAGGGGTGTTTTTAATTTACAAAGAAGAGCCATAATAGATTCGGGTGGCCAGGGAAACGCTGTTGTATTTACTTTTCTTCGAAATTTTTCTAAAACTAAAAATTCACAATTTCAACTTTTTGTTAATTATATGGAAGCTCAAGGAGATACAAGGTCATTTGTAATGCAATGTTACTTATCATATAAGAGCTCTTTTATCGCTTTAGGTAATTATATAACTTCAACAGGACTAAAACTTATTTTCTCTTCAGTTCCTATTCATTTGAGGATTTTACATCCACCAAGTGAAAATGATACAGGAAGAGAGATATGGATAGTTCCAGTTAATAATATCGGAGAATTTGCTTTTGAGGGTGAAATCGACGTAGATGGAAACCTTCGTTCATCAATAAAAAAAATTGGTCATTCTATAAATATTGTTTCGTTTAGTGGTGGGATTGGATTTGCAAGAATTAAACATGCAGGAGATTCAAAAGATCTTTACATATTAGCTTTAGATAGTGATTCTCTTGGCACACTTCATGCAGCATTTGATGAACCTCATTGGGCCCAAGCATGTAATCGATCATTTACTTATTCACCTTCAATAGTTAGTTGGGGGACACAAAATGTGTATTTTGATTTGGAAAATAATATAGTGGAAACAGAATACGGAGAAGACGAAAAAGAAATAACTATACTATCTTTACGAAAGCCGTCCGACCATATTCGTATAAATTCAAATCTGGCCTATCCTCTTCCATTTATTTATAAAAAAAAACTTGTAGTTGGAGATAAATCTTCAGCTGTATATACAACACCAGAATTAATTAATTGGAGCACACGAGTTACAGATTTTTCAGATTTTGAATGGCAACCAATCGATTTAAAGAATGGAGGGGCTATTGAAAATAATTATACATCAGGTCATGTATTATATCGCACACAGTTTTCAACCGTGAAAACCGATAATAAAATAAAATTAGTTGTCAATATGCGACACAGATGTACTATATTTGTTAATGGAAAATTTGCTGGAGGTCATACAACTTTTAATAAGAATTTATTCTTTCCAGGAGCAAAAAATGGGCCTGAATTATTTACATCTTTAGGAGGAAACAAATATGATATTACAGCATTCATTAATAATAATGAGGAAAATAATACTGTAGTAATATTAGTTGATAATTTTGGAATTAGCCGACAGTCTGTCATATACAATGATGTAAGAAATCCAAGAGGATTAATTTCGGCAAAAATTTCTGGATTACAACACGGAACTAAATTTCAATGGGAAATTTGTGGAGTTGATGTAAGAAATTTAGAAATTCCGTTTACAACAAGTGGAATTCCCGATGAACACGATGAAATAGGATGGATTGAAAGTAATATTAGTATTAATGAATATGGAGTAAATCCAAATGAAGGAATTAGATGGTGGAGGTTCAAATTTAAACATCCTGTTGATTCAAAATACAAAGAGATTATAAAGGTACCATTAAGATTAGTTTTATTTGGAGCTTTCACTTCATATATATTTTTAAATGGCATTTTAATTGGAAGATACTATGGTAATGGAGATTGTTCACAACATGACTTTTATTTAATGGATGGTTTATTAAATTTTAATGATGAAAATCAAATTATATTAATGATATATAGCTGGGAACAAGTATTTAGTAAAGATATTATAGTTGAAGTAAGAGGTTGGGAAATTGACGAAGTAAATAAGTCTGGTAATGTAATTAGAATACCAAAAGATGCCGATGATAGTGATAATGATTTGAAATCTTGGATTATTATGAGAGAAAAGATTAAGTTATATTAACAATAAAAAATCATTCAATTTAATTAATAATTTTCATTATAATATTGATTTTATATTAAACAAGAAATATTAGAAAATTAATTTCTTTATAATATATCACATATACGAATTTTTCGAATTTTAATAACTGTAGAACATTACGATAAAGCTATCAATCGAATTTCTTGATATTTTATTATGACGAAGCTGACAGGATGGCTAATTCGTAAAGCAATAAAATAATTTGTAATATTTGACAAAACTCATAAATGCCATTTTTTCTACATTGAAAAATTTTACTTGAGATCAAAAACATCTTGTAAAATCGATCTTTTCTAAATTCGACCTATATACACGAGTGTTACAAACATTGTATGACATGTATGACATCAAAAATTTCAGTAATTTCGATTTATTTAATAAAGATAAAAAAGTTCTCGATTCTATAGATGTTGTTATAATTTTTTTTATTCGATAGACCGGTCATAATATGCTCATTCTTTTAATTCAAAATTTGTTATTACAAAATGATCCTAAATAAGGCTGGTTACAAAATATAATTCCCATCCTTGAAGTTAAATATATAGTTACCTGGTGTTCAATTTTTACTCATTAATGCAGAATGATAGATTTCTTTGTATGGTAATTGATTTGATTTTAATTATTGTTCCTAAGTATAAACCAAAGAAATGTTATTTATATAAGTTGTGATGAAATAAATTCAGTTCCTTAAATCTTAATTATATAATCTTGATACTCACTTTTCTGTACAAACCCTTCTGAATCACAAATTCAACAATAGGTTCAGGACATAATTCTAACAGATCACTTTGAACTTTATTTTGTTCTTTAGTACTTTCTTTGTTCTTTACCCTTAACTCATTTCTTACAATATCTCTAACTCTAGTTGAAGAGATTTTTGCAATTTCATTATCTAATTTGATTCTTATTATTTTCTCCCCTTCAATTCCTATAATTTCCCTAACAATTTCATTCTGATAGAATTGTTCTTCAGCTTCCTCTCCATCATAACCTTCTCTATTTGCACAAATAATGTAATTTGTTTCAAAAAATGGAGCTAATTCCTCCCTCATATTCGTATAATATTGTGGATTAAACAATCGTATTACTGTATCATATCCCATAATAAAGTAGAGTGAAAATTGTCGAGATATATTATCTGAGAAGCCAAAAGAAGAATTAGACAATGAAAGTAATAAGGAAAGAATTCCATGAGCTTTATCTATAAAACGTGGATGTGTAACCACGCCTACCGCTAAATTCTTAAGAGCTGTAAAATGAGTATCGGAAGGCGCAGTTGATTGAATGTGCGAAGCTAAAGTTTCCATCATCAATAATCTATCTACGTGGTTAGCGTCAGATGATGATAAAATTTTATCCGCGTTCTTGGTTGCATAAAGTAATAAACATGAATCAAAAAATTCGAGCCCTTGTCCTTTTATTTGCTGTCGACCTTCTGGTGTCTGTATTATTATAGGTTTATCATTCTGGAAAAATATATTAGTAACAGAACGCACAATTAAATGATAATGAGCATTTGTAGGCGGATTAAAAGAAGAATCCAAAATAGCAATACGAGTTATTTTTTTGTGATCTGATACTGAAGAAGAAATGGGCCAAATTGGGGATGATTTGTACGTTATTTTGAATAAAGGTTGTGAAGGATTCAAGTTAAATTCAGTTTGAAATGATAAAAGACTTTCTTCTATGCTTGCACGGCGAGCGCACATTTCTTTTTTTTTTTTTCCGCAAGATTTTAACACAAACTTTTATTGTGCAAAGTTCAGCGCCGAAAGTTACGTTACACAACATAGTGTTGATCTAAATAATTAAATTGGGAAATTAAATTTTTAAAATCATTAGTAATGCTGGTCAAACTGGTCAAATTGGGTATGAAACGTAAATCCTTATCCGCAGCGAAACCGCTGTGAGAATTTCCGGATGTAATGTCCGATACAATGATAGTAGATAATAGTTTTGTTTGAATACGTAATCTAATTATGGAAGTTAATTTGTACAAATAAACCAAATAAAACCACAAAACTTTCAATTCTATCTATTTCAAGATAGATAAAGGGGAAAATATAAAGAAATCTCATTGGGAGTTTAATTTACCGCAGTAATTTTGAATGATTTTTTGATAAATACTTAATTTGGCTAAGCATATTTTTTTTTTTTTTTCATCGGACTATTTAAATAGCAAATAAATCCATTTTCGAATTTTTTATTTCTTATGTTTGTAAATAACATTACACTCAAAGAATAATAATATTAGATCTTTTTAAGTTTCAATTTGAATTGAAACAAAAATTAATATAAATTATTAATATTTATAATATTAATGAATTATGTCGTCCGAAATTCGAAGAAGTTCCTTGGATAATCCAGGTCACGAAGTCACAAGTGATGATGAAAATGTGATTCATTCCGAACAATCTATCATTGAATCTTTGCCTGGACCTTCTTCCATTCAAGGGATCGGAAACGATGAGGATGATTCAACAGAAACAAGCCAAAATCAGGATTCCCAACAACCACAATCTGAATCATCTAATACAGAAAATATATTTTTTAAAGGATTGAAAACGATTTTTGGCAAAGAAACTGAGGATGGTTCAAATACGCAAGTCACTTTTCATGTTCATTTACCTTCATTCGATTATATTGATGGCTATCCGATTATTGTTGGTAATATCGAGGAGTTAGGCAACTGGGAAGAACCAATTGTTAAATTAAAACAACCGAGTAGTAGTGAATACATGTTTCAATCAAGTTATTGGTATTCAGATCCGATTTCTATACCGGCTAATAAATTTGATAAAGTCAAGTATAGGTATGCATTCTTTCAAAGGAAGAAGAATAAAGATGCAAAAAGTACAGAAGAAGGAGATCTTTATTTTGAAGATGGGCAGCAACAACGACTTTTAACTACTAGAACTGGATCTCAATTTGACATTGCAGCAAGGTTTAGAATTAAAAACCGACAATGTGAACTTCGATCAATTAGAGAATTCATGTTTCTTGATATCATATATGATAATATAACGTCAAATAATCTTGGGGAAAAAATTACAGAATACCAAGAACTTCTAAATCGTTTTGGTGAAGTGACTTTAAGAGCAACAAATTTTGAATTTATCGGATATAATCTTCAAAGATCAAGAGCAAGAGATTTTGAGAAACGTATTTTCTTGTGCATTGTTTTAGGATATTATATTGATTGGAGACAGCAAAAATCTCTTGGTCGGCTTGTCTTACCAAACGGATTCCCAATATCTCAAATTATCGATACTTTAGAAAAAGTTCAACCCGATATCTTGCCCGAAGAATGCCAAGCCGCACTAAACATTACGATGACAGCTGTAATTTATTTAAATATGGCCAATAGAGCCTTTGATTGGTTGAGGCTATTCGAGGTTGCAAGTGTTATCGATTCAAATTTCACTTTCATCGAGGCGATTCAAGATCTTCAATATAATAATGAGCGCATGAATAAATTCTTAAATGAATTTATGAAATCCGCCAAATCTATTGTAGATCAAATTAAGGATGTAGAAATTTATTCTAATATCGGAATGGTAAATTATTATTTAATGCTGTAAATATATTGTTACTCTTATAATTTATTAAACTATTTATGTTCTTTTTTTAGTGGTTATTTTATAATTGCAGATCTCTCGATGCACTTCTTTTTGTTTGGATCAGAGTGATCGATCACACAAAAAGCCGTGATAACCAACTTATTAAACACTTCCTTCATCGTGTTGAACAACTTATTTCTTCATCTCATGCAACAGGTTTGACAAGGCAATTTTCACAAATTCCTACTGAACTTCATGCAGAAGTTGCTGGAATATTTAGAATGCAAGCTCTAACATTACTTAAACACCGTGGTATTGAGTGGAACAGAAGTAATTCAGAAGAAATTCTTAACATACTTAATAATTCTCAACTTAAATGGTCTGAAGATAACTTCCTAGAAGCAATGTATCATGTTTCTGAATCGTCAAAGCCAAACTTACTTTTAATTTTTCCAAACCTATTGGAATATTGGTTTAAAAATTTCAAACCATATTTCAATCCTGAAATTTGTAAAAATTGGTATCATCATTTAATTGATATCAATGGGTCCGAATCATCTATTGCTAATGATCCAGATTTCATCCTTGAAATTTATGAGAATTTATCATATATCTTTCCAATAGTAGGAAATCACGGTGAAATTCTTGAAGAATTGTTAGATGTTGCAGCTAATCGTGTCAAAAATTGTGCTATGTCAAATATTTTGACTGTTACGCCAAAAATTGCAAAGTTACGGAAAGAAATCTATAATTCATATGGAGAAATGGTAAAGGCAATGTTGAAGAAATCTATAAGTAAAGTTGATAATGGCGTGATAAAAATTTTATTACAAGTTTGTGATTGTAAAAGTGAAGTTTTGCATGTACAAAATGAGTAAGTATAGAATCTTTTTTTAAAAAAAAAACGCTGAATCATCTTTATGATCTTTTTATTAATTCAATCCCTTTTTAGATTAAGCGAAAATATCGTATATCATGTGATGACGTATTTAGAAGCTAAAGATACAAGTATCAAGAGTAGTACAAATTTATCAACCGCGATTTTAAATTTGCTCAAAACTTATCGATTTTGGAGTTTAATATTCAACGCAACTGGCCGTGTTGAAAATTTGCATTCACATCCTTACATTAAGCAAGTTCAGGGATTAGTCTCTAAATTTGCCGATGACGTTATTGAAAAGACCATAACAATTCGTTCACTGCAAGAAATTTTTGAATATGATGATATTTTACTTAACCTTTTTAATTTTTCGGATAAGAAAGAGAAAATCACTATGGATGTGACGAAAAAACTTCGAACAAATTGCCGATCATATATGATGAGAATGGATCAATTAAGAACATTTTATGATAATTTTTGTCCAATTGAAAAAGTAAAGGATGTTCAAAAATTTCTTGATGATATCAATAACCGGAATAGTAATACAGAGAATCTCACGCTTAAAGATGCTATGGCTTCAAATCATTGGGATTTTCATAAGAAAAATGTACATTGTGCTATACGCGTACATAGAATAGCAAAGTCACACACATTCCGTAATATTTTCGAAGATATTATGAAAGTAGAAGAAGTTGATTTAACTGTTGAAAATATAGCTCAAACTATAATGCCATCTGTATTTGAAAAATACGATCAACTATGTCAACAGTATAAAGAATGGGAAAAACTCAAATGTTCAAAGGGAAGTGTCCTTTGGAAAAATGTGACAGATATTGAAAAGGAATTAGAGATGATGAAAGAAAATATGCAATTGGGAAATAGTGAAAAATTAATTCAGACACTTGCGCATCTTTCATTAGTTCCAACTCAGGTTGAAAGACTTCAACAATTATCTACAGTTGCAGTTATGTTTAAAGTAGCTCATACTAAAGACGATTGGCTTGAAAGATTACTAGTGATTCTTCGTGACGATTATCTTTGGTTAGGGAAATTAATAGATTTCTTTGACATATTTAATCATTACCTCGGATTAATTGATGAAGATTGCTGGGATTTGATTAAAGAACTATCACAAGCTGGTGACTTTATTGTTTTCCTTCATAAAATTGCTGAGCATGATATTAAAAATTTAATTAACGGAGTAGATGAATCTTCTGATGAACGTCTCATACAGGAAGATACAGTTTCTTCTCTCATCCAAGTCAAACAATTCTTGCTTCCCTTATTGAAAACTGCAGAAAAATCATCACTTGAAGAGTTTTTGGATGAAATTAGAGCTATAACTCAACAGAATGCAAAGTTAGGAAACAAAGTAGCACTTTGCAATAACAATAATATGGCATTACAAAATCTATATAATAGCATTTCAAATAAAGGAGAAGTTACAAGAGAAAAGATCAGTAGTGCAGTTAAGAGAGGAACTTACACTTTTGAACGTGATAATAAGGGAGATGCATGCAAAGTTACCTTATCTTATCCTACAGTTAAGGGAACGAAACAACCGTCTTATACCCTAACTGACTTACATGACTTACGTGGACGTGCACTCTTGATATCAAAACCTTCAGCATCTGTTGATATTGTAACTAATCAAACCCCTGGCGTGGAAACAGAAGAAGTTTCCAAACCTATTATGGACGAATTTGTTAAGCAAGTAGACATGGCACAAGAAATTATAAATCTTTCTACAAAGCTCATTCAAACAGGTCATTTTAGTTATCGTACATTTAAGCGAGAAATTAAGGGTACAGAGAATATGATACAAGCAGTTACTGAATTAAAGGCGCACTTAAAAGAATGGTAATTATATATCTTCTTTAATATTGTTAACGACCCCATGGGGTTAGAGAGTCCTTGTCAGACTATTTTTATAAACTTTTTAATCATTCTTTTTTTTTTCTTTTTTTTTAAAAAAAAAAATATATTATATAGGGAAGAAATTGTGAATAAAGCACAAGAGGAATATTATTATTTAACCTTCTTCCCAGCCCGACATATTTTGACATTCCTCGACTATTTCAGTGTTAGTGACAAAGCAAATGAAAATGCTGAAAAACATGATAATAAAGAACATGAAATTACGGAAAAATGCGAGGATATGAAAGATACCGAAGAACATGAAGAATGTGAAGACATCGAAAAACGTGAAGATACAGAACGTGAAGATATCGAAAAACGCGAAGATACAGAACAACGTGAAGATACAGAAAAACGCGAAGGTACAGAAGAACAAGAAAATGAAAATATTGAAGGTACAGAAATTACCAAAGAACGTGAAACTTCTGAAGAAAATGAAACTACCAAAAGGCGTGAAATTGTCAAGGAACTTGAAATTGTCGAAGAACATGAAATTATTGAGGAATGGGACAACATTGAGGAACATAAAGATACCGAAGAATGTGAAAAACTCATCCGATTTGTAAACAGCAAAGCTAAATTGCCTCCAAAAGACCAAATAACCATTAACTTAGGAAATAATTATTATCAAATTCTCGGAGAAATTGGGACAATATTACAGGGAATATTTGGGACAATTCCAAAGGAAGAACGTAAAGTTGAGAGTGTTAAAGAGCGTGTAATTACAGACGTTGTTTATCCTGGGAAATTATTTGTTGCCGCATGTGATGATAAATTCCTTGTTCCAAATATTATAATGTCATTATATGTTAATCATGGATATTACCCTTTACCATGGCAGTTATTAATATGTACAACTTCTACAACTATGGAAGAGCTTGCAATCTTTGTTAAGAGATGTTTCTTTGCAAATAACAATGGATATGGAGGAACTCTTTTTTGTCTCGCTAATTTGGAATTATTAGATTTTGAGTTACAATATAATTTAGTGAACCTCATTAGATCAATGCGCGAAAAACATAATAATTTTCAACTAGCATTAATTTGTTATCGCGAACAAGGATTACATCATCATATTTTGGACCAATTTTCACAAGATGTTCATGCGACAAATGGTTTAAACGGAGATGCAATGAAAGTTCTTTATCATGAATTGTATCCAAATACTATGACTGTTTCTTCTGAATTATCTGGTCAGGGTAAAAGTGAATGGATTAGACAGTCTAGTTATTCAAAAAAACTAATACCAAAAAGTTTTCTTATTAGCGATGAAGCTGATTTCAAAACACTTGTACATAGATTTAAAGAATTTAAGATACGACCATTTGAAAGCGTTCATTTAAATATTGTATCAGCTGATAATCCTATAGATGTTAACATGTTCTTATTCGAACTTTTAACTTTAGGAATCGTATTTTGTAACATGGATGTTGCATTTCTTCCAGACACGCTCGTATATATTGAAATAGCTTCTACTATGGAACAACATCTGTTTAAATCTTTACCAATTGCAGGATATCTTCAACGAACACATTTAACTTGGGATGTAGAAAATTTAGTAGTTTCTCAAGACATTGACAGTCCAATTCAAGTAATTTGTCATTATTTAAAAGAACTTGGTAATGAAGAGGCAATAAATGAAAAAGATATTGATTTCACAGATTTAGAGCCATTACCTGCTGCTGAATGTAGAGGATTGATTAAAGATTATCTATTTAAACGAAATACAAATGATTCAATAGATGCAAGAGATATCTCATCATATAGGTTCATTGAAATTTTTGTTAATGTATTTGCTGATCAATTAGTTAGATTATCATTAAGTTCATTTTTCCAAGTTGAAAATTTAAAACTTATGGTAGAAGAGAATAATATACGCAGTACACTTGTTGAAACTTTGCTAAATGTATCGAAAGATTTTGCCACAAAGTCTATTGCGACCAAAGCAGCACAAAAAGAAAATATTTCAACCACCGAAGATGAAACTGCAATACTCGGAACCATAGTACAATGGGATGACTCAAATCATTTGTTAGTGTTTTTCTTATCTCAAACACCGGATTCAATCTGCGCTTTATATAGAGACAAAGAGAAAGTGCCACAAAACGTAAAAATTTTATTGAAAAGTCAACATATCGGAGATAAGAGCCTCTGGGATTTGGATGATTATCATACGATGGACACTAGTATTTTATTGTCTACTTTGGAAAATTTAGCAAGAAAGACCATGTACAAACTTGAATATCCTCAATATGCTCTTTCTGCCGACAACTTAATTAAAATGGCTCTTATCCTTTTAAGAGCTCGTGCTAATATTCCCGTAATCGTATGTGGAGAAGCCGGATGCGGAAAGACTAGTTTAATAGGATTTTTAGCTAAAGTTGTTGAAGTAGAATTTCACGCATTGAATCTTCATGCTGGTGTTACAGAAGATGCTATTTTATATTTTATGAGAGAATCTCAAGAAAAAGCGAAAAAAGGAGAAGTTTGGTTATTCTTTGATGAAATTAACACCTGTAATCACATTGGATTACTTGCTGATTTGATCGCTCATAGAATTTTAAATGGAAAACCAATCCATAATAATATACGACTTTTTGCGGCATGTAACCCATATCGTATACGTACAAAAGCAGCGACATCAGCAGGTTTATTAAAACCAAAAGACTCACGTTTTGAAGAAAAAAGTAAACTTGTTTATCAAGTTAAGCCGTTACCTGATCAAATATTGGATTATGTTTGGGATTATGGTGTTCTTAAACCAAAAGAGGAAGAGAAATATATCGAAATTATGGTATCGGAACAACTTAAAGAACTTGGACATAAAGTATTATCAGAATGCTTATTTGCGTCCCAAGAATTTATAAGAACAATTGAATCATCTTACAGCGTTAGTTTACGTGACGTTAAACGTGCTATTACACTTGTTAAATTCTTCATTAAAAGTTTTGAAGATCGACCTCCAATTAAAAGATTCGGAAAAGTTAAAAAATACCCCGAACCCAGTGATATTACGATTAATGTACGTTGTTATGTTATTGCATTAGGATTATCTTATCAATCAAGAATATATGAACAAAATTTAAGGAAAGAATATAGAAAAAGGATGGGAGAAATTTTTAGAAAGCACAAATTTATTATCGATGAGGAAAGATTTAGTAATATCGTAAGAGAAGAACAAGAAGATTATATTAACAGGATGCAATGTCCACCTAATACGGCAAAAAACGAAGCTTTATTGGAGAATGTTCTAGTTATGATTGTATGTATTTTAACCAAAATACCTTGTTTCATAATCGGGGCTCCAGGATCCTCAAAATCTTTAGCGGTGAGACTTATAAGCCAAAATCTTCGAGGATCAGATTCAAATGATGAATACTTTAGAAGATTACCTCAAGTATATTTAATTCCACATCAAGGTTCATCATCTTCAACTTCTGAAGGTATAAACAAAGTATTTCAAAAAGCAGTTGCGTATCAAGAAACAAGTTCAGAAGAATTTCCTGTTCTCAGCGTTGTATTACTTGATGAAGGTAATGAACATAAACTTTTTTAAAAAAATTTTCCTCGTCCGCATTGTTGATAAACAAATATTTTTTTTAATTTTTAGTGGGATTGGCTGAAACGAGTCCATTTAATCCGTTAAAAGTTTTACATTCGTTACTTGAACCAAGCTATCCTGCAGTTGGACCAACTGTCTCTTGCATAGCTATTTCAAATTGGCGATTGGATAATAGTAAAAGTAGCAGAGCATTATTAGTTCAAAGACCAAAGTTTGAATTAGAGGATTTAACGGATACAGCATCAAGATTGCTCATAAAAAGTGAGAATTCTCAAATATCAATTGCATCATTAAATTTACTAGCACAATCATATTTAAATTACGAACAAAATGGACAAGATAAATTGCCAAATTTCCATGGACTAAGAGATTATTATTCTTTAGTAAAAAGTTTATCACAATATAGTAGTTTGACACCAGAAAATATACAAATGGCATTAATAAGAAACTTTGGTGGTGTAGACAATATAAGACAATTAATAGAGAAATATTTTGGACAAGTAATAAGATATTTCAATTCATCAAAAGAATTTAATTATAAACATATACCAATTGGAGATTTAATTAATGCAAATTTAGAAGATAAAGATGCGAGACATTTAATGATCATAGGTAAAAGTGATAGTATTGTAAATTTATTAAATTATCAATTGAGGAAGAAAGGTTTAGATCCCGTTATAATACTTGGATCACAATTTCCTGAAGATCAAGATGACTATTCTTACAGTGTTTTAAGTAGAATCATGATGTGTGTTGAAACTGGCAGACCATTAATTTTGACAGATTTAGAAATTATTTACGGTGAGTATCATCCGGTCTATATCTAATATATTTATATGTTATTAATATTTTTGTTATTTCTAATATAAAAATAGGAAGTTTATATGATTTATGGAATCAAAATTACATTGTCGTTGGTAGTGAAGATGATCCAAAATTTTATGCCAGAGTAGCACTTGGAGCATACGCAAATCCAATGTTATACGTAGCTCCGACATTTAGATGTATTTTAGTAATGGATGAAAGTAAATTAGAAAAAGCTGATCCGCCATTGCTTAATAGATTTGAAAAACAAAAAATGACCATGAACGATACATTAACTCAACAAGAGCATGAATTAGTAGATACTCTTAAAGAATGGACGAAATTAATTTCTACTATAACGGATAAAAAGAATATGTTAAATATAGAACTAAAAGGTTTCACAGAAAAGGATCTGTTTATTGGATTTGATGAAAGCGAGACTTTACAAAGTTTAGTTATTGACGTTAAAAAGAGTTTCCCTGAAGCAGAAGAAGATGAAATATTATTTAAATGCAAAGAGAAATTAGTCAAAATCGCGTCATCCGATGGTATGATTAGAGCCGAAAGATCGAATTTAAATTTAGAAGAAGTTAAGCAATGGAAAAATATTTATTTTAATGAACAACATCATGATAATTTAACTGATCATATTCAGTATTGTCTTTCCGATAATGAAAATTACAATGAAGGGTTTGAAGGATTACAGATCATTATCAATACATTCTCGAATATTAATACAGATATTAAATCACGTTTACAATATATTACTAGCTGCCAAATAGATAAATTATCAACATTCAAGACTGAATCTCAATTTCAAAACAGAATTAAATATTTTTGGAATGAGTCTCAAGATAAAATGCTAATATTACAATGTGATGTTACAACAATTAATGCGGGATGTATTAAATTAGCGAAATTTTTGATTGAACAATATCGTAACGAATATTTACAGAAAATGAGATTACAATCACAATTACAGCAGGATACAGAACAATCAATATCTTGGAGTCTAAAAAATTCACAGTCAAAACAGCCGCAAAAAGATTTGCCTATTAAACACGTATGCATTATTTTACATATTCATAGGGAACAAGAAAATTCCTTAGCATCATTTAATTTCATGTGTGGATGGGATCAGGTTACGATAGAAACTTTACTACCTCAAGAAAAGGATTTGTCACTACTTTTGAATGATAACTTATCAGATTTAATATCAACGGTATACCCATTCGAAGAAATCTTAAAACAAGAGTTATTATGGTGTTTATTATGTCTAAAGTTTCCTTCCAATTTCAAATCAGTAGAGCATATTAAGATGCTTAACGAGAAAATTTACAAAACTCCTGTCTTGGTCAACTTATTGAAGACTAGAACAGTAAATTGGCTAAAGGAACATTCCAATAACACCAATTGGCAATATGAAGTGTCATCCAATAAGAAATTATTATATCCTTATTCTTCTTTTGCGAACGCACTTCTGGCTCACATCAGAAGAGTCATTCGTAAACCCATTGCGAAACTATTATACGCTCTTGAAAAATATGCGGCAATTTATACTATTATTTTCTTGTGCGAAAAAAGTATTACCAACAAAGTTCCTGTCAAATTTGCGATGGAAAGTGTGGAGAGTAGTGACACAATTAAAGAAATTTCGGATGATAATATAATGAGTGATGATGCTTGTTTATTGGAATTTTGGAACAAGATGGTCGATGATGACAATGTAATTTCAATAGAAGGATTAAACGTTGATCCATCACCAGATAGTTATGTAATGCCACATGGAGTATATGAATTAGAATTTCCGTTTTCATATTATATAATGAAAAAAATTGATGATTCTAGAAGAGTATACGAAGAAGAATTGCTATCGTTATATAATAATCAAGAAAATATTGATAAAACGACGGGAGAATTACATACTCATGTAGTAGAAGGGTATAATAAGAAATTTATTAATAATATTGAAAAAAGTCCTATAATTAAAAACTCGCCTATTGCTAATTATCCCGAAAAATATTTTAAGGATTTTATTAATGTTATATTATCTGACAAAGTTAGTAGTGGAGAAAAAGATGGAAATTTGGATGAGAAATTATTGAAATTCATTTTTGAAAGAAGATTGGGAGCTGATAATGTTTTGAATCCTATTAGATTGCATTCATATTGGTGGAAAAATTCTTCATCTATTCTTGCTGAATTATCTTTAGCTCAAATGAGCCCTAATGTTATCACACAAATTGAAACTGAAAAAGAAAATGAAGAAAATAAGATATTGTTGGATGTTGAATTTGAAATATATCTTGTTGAGCAAGTAATCAGAAATCTCTTAAGTAGAATTATTGACGCAAAAGAAGGTGAACATGAAGGACTAAGAAATTTAAGAATAATTGAAAGATGGCAATATGAGGTGACAAAAGTATTATCATTATGTGAAAAGATCAATGTATCCTTTAAATTATATTCATTACAATTGCTTAGAATTTGTAATGATTTATTAGTTACAAAATCAATTCCATTGGGTGATATGAAACGAATAATTGAATATGCTCAACAGCAAAATGCGAACTCTTCTTCCGATGGAGCACAAAATGAAATCATTACAGAAGGGTTTATTAATATTGTTATGAAGATTTTAACTAACCTTGAACTCAGCGAAAATAATTTAATTCCAAGACGTTTATTTATCTTGAGATGTCTTGATATGCTTACATTAGAATCGCCCGTTAGGCTCTATCTTTATAGAGAGACATTTTCTTCATCACCATTTCCAATTATGGGAGCAATTATATCACGTATCTTTGGGACTGAAGAAAAAGAATGTCCAAATTCTATATTGCATCTTATTCAACAACCAAAACAGATCTTACAACATTCAGAAAGACTTGCTACTATCAACGAATGTTTTAATATTAATAACTTGAATGTTTTGATGGCTGCATTAATATGTGATACTTTTCAACAAGAATTTTTTTCAAAATTGGATTTGGTCGCCTTAGTTGATGGATTTAATTCAGCAATTAATGCATTATATGGAAATGATATTCAACCATTACAACGTATTGCTTCGATCGCATTCCTTAAAGAATTTACCAATCAATTCTGGAAATACATAATCAAGTGCAATGAAGATTATCTTCAACCTATTACACATAATTTATTGGAAGCGGAAAGTTTTGATGGTACATTATTAATGGAACAATTTAATAATACGATGTCAATACCTCATCCACTAATTACTTCATTTGGTCTATATCTCTTGAGAGAATTGCGTATTAATAGAGAATTTTCAGGTGATGAAATCAAGAAATTCTGTGAAGCTCAATCAAAGAATCTGAATTGGTTTGATAATTTTAATATAGATGATAAAAATGAAAGTAGATTACCTTTTAATCCTTATTGGGCTGTTCCAAGTTATGGAAAATTAGAAATTGCGTTCACATTATTATACAATGATGATAATCGACCACAATTCAACTCCATCTTTCAACAATATAATGACAAAGCGCCGGATTTATCAGACAAATTAGGACTATTTGGTATTGTAGTAGCTAAATTACATTCTATTAGAGCTTCAAGAGAATGGAAACATAATGAAAATCAAATTTCTCAATACTTTGGACAAAAAATTACTAATTTAACTACGATTCCCGAAGATTTTAAAGGGATACTATTTAATGTTTTGGCAAACACTCATCCATTATTAAAAATTAATGAAGTAATAACAAACAGTGAATTGTTAATTAAATCAGTTATTGCTCATATAATTGGCTTACATGTATTACTTGATCCAAATACCACTCCATTATCACTTTATATGCATAAAATAATAGATGCTCAAAAAACTTTTATTTTAGCGTGTCAATCAGATATGGAGAATTTATTATTTAATGCTATTGCAGAAAGAGAAGGAGTATCGAGATACTCTTGTCAATGTGGGTATAAATATTTAATTGGGGAATGTGGTGGAGCAATGGAAGAAAGTAGATGTCCTGAATGTAAAAAAACAATTGGAGGGTTAAGTCATGTTACAGCTGAAGGTAATATAAGGTTAGATGTTGAAAATAAATATTCATTTGAATCAAATGATCAAAAAGGCTATATTTCCGAAAAAATCAACGATGATATTAATTATACTATGAGGTACCTGACTCCTGTTGCTTACAGGATACTTCATTTAATTGTTCACGCTATTATTGGATCTCAAGCTGCTTCACCAGATTCCATCGCTTTAATCCAACAACATAGTAAGGATTACACCAACGTTGAAGATTACTGTATGGAACATATTAAAAATGATTGGAATGCTTTAAAACAAATTCTTAATTGTTCTGATGAGAATTTAGCTTTAACATTTCACTCATTGATATTAACTCTTGATAAAAATTTACCGTCTTGTAATTCAACGCTTTATTCTTCTTACTCTAGAAATCAATGGGAAACAGCCTTCTCGCAAACAACAGTACTAGAACTTACTCGTAATGTAAATGAATCTGCTGCTAAATTCCGTGCTCAAATAGAACAAAATATGAAAAAAGTTGATGTTAAAAATTCTTTATTAGAAGAATTAATTAATCAAACTAATCTAATGGATGAGAGATATACTCGTGAAAATTTACCTTCATTATGGAGAGTAATTGGTAAAATTGACTACAACAGTTTCAGGGCTTATTATTTTTCCGATCCAAAACACACCGAGAATCATCCTTTCCTTAACGTCTTCTTTAAACATTCAAAAAATTTACATTTAATTAAATATCTTTATCCAATGGTTAAATTCATTCAAATACTGAGTACTAAATTAGGTTATAAAATATCAAGAGATGATGCTAAAAAATTAACTTTTAGAAAATTTATCGAGAACGAATCAAACGATGGCAAAGATAAAGATACTTATGACACGCTCGATAAATATTTTAATGAATTTCAAACATCTTATAATACTATAATCAATATGGTTGAAAGATACCAATGTCATACTTTTAAAATTAAACCACATATTACAGATAATGAAAGCATTGTATATGGATTTATGGAAGGAAAAGACGAAGGAATTTATTTATGTGCAATAATAGAATATTTAATTAATATTCAAAATAATTTCTTAAGAGAAATAATGTTAATTAAACCTGGATCGTGCAATTCTCTTAGATTCCTACAATCTCCATCTTGGGATGTTATTACTTCTTCAGCTGATAATTCTCCTTATATTATTAAATCCATGAGAGTTGATCGTGCAATTGAAAGTAATTTTATTGTTTATGAATGGGACGATGAAATTCTTAAATATTCCCAAAGAAATTTGGAAGTAGGAAAAGGACAATATATTATTTATGATTTGCATCGTATTGAAAGTAAATTGGCTAATACTTTAGTATATAGTAAAGTTCATTTTGAAGGTGGTAATGAACAATTAGTATTAGATCCTTTCCCTTATCATTTAGAATTATTTTCTTCTTCCATACGTATACTTGGTGAAATTAAATCATTAATTCCTCAAGAAGAAATTCCTTCTGAAAAATTATCTCTTATAATTGGTCAACAATCTGTCCCCTCTTATTTAACACTTTCAGCTTCCTTGTCAACTTTAACTTCAAAAGATAATTCTTCTGAATTACTTTCTTTATTAGAAATTTTACTTTGTTTCATAAAGAGAACATCAATTGGGGATGGTAATTTACTTTTGAATGAATTTATAAATCAATGGGTTCAATTATCTTCATTAACGGAAAATTCAAGATTCAAAACGATCCTATCTTATGAACTTCAATTAAAACACGTTGTATCTCTTTATGAAGTTATTGAAGAACAAGTAGCTAATATTATGATTCAATTCATCGATAAGAAATTCAAAGAACCTTTAACGGATGATATGAAAAAGGATCTCGATGATGCTATTGATTTTGAAGGAGGAAACAAAGGAAAAATTCCTGCTGATTCATTTATTATAGCTATGAAAAGATTTATTCAAAGAGTATTACAAGCCGAAAGTGATAAAGAAACTCATCCACTAAATACTTATGTGACAGATATGTCTCTTAGTCTTTGGCCTAGTAATAATGTAATAGAAGAAGTTTTGGATGATAAATTCCCCGATACTCTTTTTGTAGCCAATTCTTTTGCTGCTTATGAATATGTTTTACAGAAAAAAGAGGTATGTATCATTTTATATATATAAATACATGCATTTTTTAAAATTATTATAACCTTTTTAACTCTTTTTTTATAGACATCCAAACCTAAACAATCATACTCAGGAGGAATGAGTAATAAACCACCTAGTTTTAATACATCATCTATTTCAGAAACTACTGCCTCAAGTCCATCACAATCTACTCAGCCTTCTGCTTTTACCTTAAAAAATAAAGGAAAGAAAGTTATTAGAGATGAATGAGTTCTTTTTGTTTATATTGTAGCTTTATTTTTATCTATTTTCAATTTTATATGTAGTTAAATCTGTTTATTATATTGTGTTTCTGTAATTTCAGTTATAAGAAATAAAGTAAATTCAAAATTTAAAATTCAAAATCAGACAGGTTTAATAATTTATCGCAAAAATATGATTATTATTAAAGTCAAGTAGCGAATTTTATTCTAAAGTGTGCAGCTACGGAAATTTGGTGTACTTTTTGTCAATTAGTCTTAAGTTGTACTTCTCGCACAACCAAAAATGCAGTCTCGTCTTTATTATTTTACCGATGATTTGTAGCTGAAACATCTTCAAGCGTTTGTTTTATATTGAACCGAAGGACACGAAGGGAAATTCTTGGGTAATCAAATTCACTCTCATTTTCAATATTGCGCATCTTGTCTCTCGTCTTGGTAACTGGTGACACATTCTCCTTTCTTTAAGGAGTATATAATCAATCTTTAGTCTATTAATCGTTAAATAACAATCAATTTTGTATATCTAGAATTTTTAAAGGAAAAACTTCTTTATTTAATACTAAGATTTAAGTCAGAATAGTGATAGGAAATATTTTATATCCTGACTAACAATATAATAGAAGTATCACTTTGAAAATTTATTAGCGACTTAAGACAAAAAAGAAGCTTTGACGTTTATAACTTTTCTATCGCAGACATAGCAGACAAATTCTTATTAAAATCCATTGAAACAAATTATTTGGTCCGGATATTTTTGAACTTTCACGAATTGAGTTTATATAGTAAATTAAAAAAAAAAGCTCTCTTTGAAGTTTGATATTACATTTATTTAAAAATAGTAACAAATAAAATATAAGTGCTTGGGAAACTTTACCTTCATAATTTATTTTAGGATATTATATCTTTATAATATTTCACATTGGCTAGTTATACTTCAATATTATATTTTTTATGAGCCACTGAAACAAGATTCACTCAATTATATTTCCACCGGTCATTGTTTCAAATTCATCATTTCTTCTATTACCGGAGGTTAACAGGTGACTATTACCTCCGATAAATACTCCACAGTCAGGACACCTATTTTATAATAAGCAAGAATTATTTTCATATTAAGAAATAAAGAATTAATTATTAATTTCCGTTACCTGCTCATTTGCATTGCCCCACCACATTCACCAATAGTATATGGATGACCATTTGGACATTCATACCAGTGTCCTACAAGAATATATTGAAAACAATTAAGTTGGAATGAGTCATAAATTCAAATATCTAAATTAATTCTACCTGATCCAATGAATTCGCTGCTCATTGCTCTGGAAATTTCTAATTTTTCTTGTTGAGATAATTGTCCAGATCTTTCTACTGTATCATGAAATTCATCTACATTCTTCAATAACTTAGAAATTCTCTCTGTACATTGACTTTGGAAATATTCCAATTCGACTTTTGGCAAAACATCATTTAATATTTTTTCGCAATCTTTGCGAATTTTATTACATCTATTTTTGAGTTCTTCTTTATTTGTAGGAGTCACAATATTTCTAGGTAGATTGTTAAAAATAAATCTTCCAAATTGATACTCAAATTCTACGTATTCCATTGAAGCAACTACTAGATGTCTTTTATATAAACTTTCTTTGCATGTCTGAATAATTACAACCAGATGATTGTTGATTGAATCATTTATACTGCTACAAAATTTGATCCAATTTCTTTGTGTTTCTAATACTAAATTTCCAGTATGGGCTAATTCCATTTTAGGTAACTCTGAAACTATTCGAGTTGCTTCATCAAACAAAATTTTTTGAACATTAACGATTTCGAAAAATGCGTCAAGATACAAACGACGGTCGAATTGTGGTGCAATTAAACCAACATCTCGAAGACTCTGTTCAAATCGTTTTTTTTGGTTTTCTGGTGACTCTGTATCTTCTATGACGTTAAGATTTTCCAAGTTATTGAAGAGTGAATCAAATTGAGCTTTAGATTTTTCATTGTAACTTTTATTGGTAAAATGTTTTAAAAAAAAAGAGCTAAGTATTAATAGTCCTAAGATTTTAGTGTTAAACACTATTTAAATTTTACTTACAGACGCGTCACAGCAGCTTCAAAAGCTTTTTTATAAGGTGGATTTTTCGAATCTGACATAATCATCATCAATTTTTGGTATGAATTAAGGAGGTCGCGGACGTGAGTCCTCCATAAGTTTGCGTGTTGTTCCGGAATAAAGTGATACTTTTCAATTTGATAGAATTTCTCGCTCTCACTAACTTCAGATAATGTTTTATTTGTATCCATAGTATTTTTATCGTCGATTTTCTTGTTATTACTTTTTGGATAGGTTCTGTTTCTGAATTTTTCCAATAATTTTGGCCTATTATTCTCTATCTTGTTTATAATCTTTTCCAATGCATCTCTCTGATATTTTAAAAGTAGATCATATTTTGTCAAAAACTTTTTGTTTTGCGTGTCAAGAATTCGTTTTTTAATAGATCGTCCATATCTTTTGCTTTTAATGGGAGCTTTTTTTTTAAAAAAAAAAATGAATAAATAAATAAATTGTATCAAAAGGGTAAACACAAAGCTTAGTTACCTCGACAGGTTGGACATGTCATAATTTTGTTTTCTCCCGATTTAGATGAAAGCAAAACAAGGTCAGTCCAATTTCCGTAATCTCCTTGATAATATTTCTCCATCTCCATATGGTGATCCATTGTCTCCATTGTAAATACATGTCCACAGTCTAAGATAATCACTCTTTCTTTTTCCAAATCAGTTTCAGCAAATGTTTTAAATTCTAGAATATCGATCACTATAAATTTGAAATAAATCAAACATTAAAAACGACAAAATCAAAAAATAAAATAAAAAAATAACATGAAATGAAATAAAATGAAATAAAATAAAATAAAATAAATAAAATAAAATAAAATATTGCATAAAGATTAAGTCTTACTAACTTTGCTCTTTAACGTCGTCAGGTGCACAAATTACGCAAAATTTCGGGGTTGGACAAATTTCACCACATACTCCTGGACACTGGTGTCCACATTCCAATCTTTTTTCGCATCTTAAATCACATGGTAATCGTGAACATGGAGCACCTGGAAGAAGTCAAGATATTTATCAGTATAAGATACAAACAAAGCAAACACTAAAAGGTAAAAAAATCCATACCACAAGATAAAAGGCATCTTCCTTTTCCGTGTGGACAATACCAATCACATTGTTCCGCGCAAGAAGAACAAGGTTTAAAACACTCCAATTTACACGTTGAATGTGAACAAGAAACAGTACACTTCGCTGTGCAGGGCATACAATTTTTTCCTTCGTGACAGACTTCTTCACATTTGTGACCACAAAATAAGTTTCTTTCACATTTTTTTCTACAATATCCGTGTTTATTCCTCTTTATGTAGCCATTTTCATCAAAGATTGGTTCATCCTCGTTGGCTTTAATCGATCGTTTTTGACATTCATTACATGGTGATGAACAACTAATTCGATTTGAAAAGCTTAATATAATTATTAAAAGTATCCTAAAATTTTTAAAAATAACTTACGGATGGTCACATGTGTTTAATTCTCCACATGGTTGCTTACAGATTATGTCATCCACTGATTTATTGCACTTTTACCATAAAGATATTATTAATTTTGTTATTTTAAACAAAAAATAATCGCTAGAAAATTTATATTACCATCACTTCAAGCTTATGCCCACATTTCGGTAATGTTTTAAAGACTTTTACACGACAAAGTACTGAGTTAACATTACGACTTTCATAGCACTTTGCATTTGGATACTTATGACCGCAAGAAGGCAAAGTGATATCACCAATAATTAAAGTGCAATCGCCTAGAGGAACAAAATTAAAAATTATACAGATAGTTAAAATTTCTTCATTTATATTTGTTAAACATAATTAATTTACAAACCACATTTATCTCCGCATGATTTATTACAAGGATGTTTACATTCTGGATGTAATCTAGTACAACTTTTTCTGCAAATGATATCTATATGATCTGGGTTATCAAAATGACATTTATATGGGCCTATAATGAATATGTTAACAGATGCGATTATTATTAGCATGAATCCATGAATTGAAATTTCAAACAATTTCAAATACATACACAAATGTCCACACTTCTCAAGTTTTTTCCCACAACTTCAGATTTTAGATAGAAAAAAAATTTAGCAGTTGTATATAAACTAATATTTGATAGAAAAGGAACTTATTACGTACCTCTCCTAAATGTATCAACACGTAACGAATAATAATTTATTTATTAAAAGGCAAATAATTAGTTGCTAAAAAAGGCAAAAATACATTTAGTAATATTCAAATGATAATCACCAAACATCCTCCATCTGGTGCAAATTCAGCGAACTGTTGGGGGACCTTCACATTATTTCGATTATTGGGATGTTGAGGACATAATATAGGAAAAGAATCCCCAACTTGATTACGGGATCTTAACATTCCAATTACGTCTGCCCACATTTGGGATTTATTAGCCATTAACTCAGCATTACCAAGCAAATACATCCCGTGCTTAGCCCGTGAAAGTAAAACATTGCTACGATTAGTTGACTTTAGAAAACCAATACCACCCCTATCATCTTCCTTTGAAGAATTTCTCACAAGTGAAATGATAACTATATTGGCTTCTTCTCCTTGAAAATTATCAACTGTCCTTAGTGTAACCTAAACAAAATATAAAAAACCTTCTTAAAACGCTGAATTATTTTAATTAATCATATCCCAATTTCATGCATACTTGTTGATTTAATGACTTTTTAGTTGCAATGCTGATATTTTCCACTGGATTATTTTCTGTCTTTTCCTCTTTCCTGTCTTCATTTTCATCTTCCATTTCTGCAAGATCTTGACTATCTCTTTCATCAATGACAACAGTAAATGTTGTTTTTAATGCATCCCGAAGTTTTACCATTTGTCCGAGATATGGTGTAAGCACAGCAATATCATCCTGTTTTGTGTATCCATTTCTAACAAAAAATTTTACTATTTCGATAATCATATCTACTTCGTATTTATTAGAATGCGATTTAGTCGTTAATTCATTTTCGCATTTATCTTCATGGTTACGATGATTGATAAAATACACATTATGTTGAGCACCACGAATCTTAGGATATTTAGTGGTATTTTCACCGTCTTTCAATTCTTTATAGAGTGTATGTCTTATCAAATCGGAAATTTCAATTGCTCTCATACGTCTCTGAGTTAATAACTGAGATTTCTCAATACGAGTGGCTTTGTCGCCCTTAACCAAACGCTCAAAGAGACTTTCATCTAATCCATATTTTTTGCCAATTGATGAATCACAGCTTAAATAGTGGGTGGCGATATGCGGTCGTAATTGATTATGATCTTAATAAATAAATAATTATACATATATAAATATAAAATTTTGAAATATTTTTTGAAATTTCATTATAAAAAAGTAACAAGCAGCACATACCACCAATAAGAATAAGATGTTGCGTAGAAGGTGTAAGCGCTGAAAGGATATGAGCTTCGAGGACTTCTCCAGCTTCTTCGCATAAAATAATCTTAGGTCTAACAGAACGAACGAGAGATTGAAATTTCGCAGCCCCATTAGTAGTCATCCCAATTACGTCACATTCTTTTAAAATTTTTTTTCTCCTTTCACTATGAATATCTTCTATTTCTTTTCTTTTTTCATCATGAATTCTTTGTAGATTTGCTAATGATTCCACATTTTCAAGATTTAACTCGTGTCTCCAAAAGTCATGCAATGCTACGCGTTCAGTTGTAGACATTCTCCAAATATTTGTATTATTCTTTAGTTCTTCCAATGGACGATTGGTTTTGGGCTCTTGCCAATTTGCTAGATAGGCTTGAGGGTCATTTTGTTCATAATCATCATAATATTCTTCATCCTCAAAAAAACTATCACTGTCTTCAGGTTTGTAATATTCATTAAGTTCATCATCATAATTAGCAAGAGCATCATAGACATTAGTGTTCGTATTATTATTCTTTTTTCCTTTACGAAGCTGTTTTGAATCTTCTGTGGCTTTAAGCATAGCTCTAGCATTTTTTATATCCACTCCATGCAACCATTTGTCAAATAATGTTTGATTTTTTGAATCTTTACCAGTTAAATCACATTCTTCATCAAAATAGTCTTCTAATAAGAAACTTGGAATTTCAGGATCTTGGTATCCGAAGAATTTATTATAATGTTCATGAAAATCCACATATAAATAGGAAGATACTTCTTTCCAATCTAACCATCTTAAATTTAATCTTTCTTGAATCTGATCTGCATCTTTTTGAATATTTTCAAGTTCTTGGTAAGTCTTAGATAAAAGATATGATTCAACCCCAACAGGTTTTTCCCGATTCTTAACAACTTCCTCAAGACTAAAAGGAGCAATTTTATCAGATTTAGAGCGTCCTCCTAATCTTACGATGTTATCAATTCCAGCTTTATCAATCAAATGCTACAATTTGTATTTTAATTAATTAAAAAGATATATATAAATAATATAAAATAATATTAAACATAAACATTAATATACAAGATGTAAAATAAAAATACTTTACCTCCAAAAATTGGTCTAAAGCGTGGTTTGTAAAACAAATGACGAGAATCGGGGTAAGATTTACACTACGATTTTCTTCTGCGAGCAAAACTTTCATAATTTCTATTCCTACAACAGTTTTACCCGTGCCCGGTGGACCTAATTAAGTTTAGACAATGGTTAATTCTTACATTTGGCGCAATACTCAAATCTGGCATAAAATTTTAAAATTACCTTCAATTAACGCAATTTCTTTACTCAAAGAAGAAACGAGAGCTTTAGCTAAAAAAGGGTAAATAATAATTATAAATTTTGATTTATCTGATTTATTAAAATTAACAATATTAAATTTTAAATACCTTGTGTATCATCTAAAGAACTTCCATTTACTAGTTCTTTAACAACATTTTCATGTTCATTCGCATTAGCAACATTCAAAAGTAGTTCCTTTTGCTTATCACGCAACAATACTTTTAGATTGAACCGAAATTCTGGAGCTCTTGCATAATCTGGTATATCTACGGTAAAAGCACTTTTGGCAGAAGTATCCTTGACGGACTCAATTTGATTTTCATCATCGACACTCGCCAAGGTCAAATATTTTTCAAAAGGTAACATTGAGTCATTTGTGGATTGCAGAGTTTTCAACACATGGTAGCATGATTCAAGATAAATCCCGGTGCATTCTACCATAAAACGTAATGACAAATTTTGTACTGCATTTTTATTTTTTTGATTCGAAATGTCTTTTAAAGCTAAAGGATAAATAGCGGCATCCATAAAACTAATGTCAATTTCGACTCTATCTTCAAATTTGGCTAGTTGTTCATCATCTCTTTGCACAACTACACCAAAAAATAGGGAATATTTTTGCGAAATTGTTTCTTCTGTAGGTAAAAGAAGGCATACTAAATTTCCATTCATTAATTTTTTTGAATGCTTTTTCCAATAAAGTGTACGCTCTTTCACATTTTTCCCAGAATTTGTTGGTGCGGAAAATGCTATTCGACATGAAAATCCACGTCTTTTGTCGACTGAAATTCTAACAAAACGAGCTCTTGGATAAATATATAAGTCTCCGTTGTCTTGACGGTATTTACCACCTTTTTCTTGATATTTTCTTAAAATTTTATTATTACGATTTGGATCTGCCAAAAATTGCAAGAAACTGTTTATTCCCATTCTAAGAGGATGTAACATATCTTCACGTAACAAACGAAATTGTGAGTCGAGAAGACGTGTTATTCCCTCGGGAAGAAAATGTGGAGCTCCAGGAATATTTGTTGGTAAAAAAGGTGCCCTATCGCTTAAAATTTCTTCCTGTGTAGGAATTATAGAGATTTTTGAAATATCACTGAAATCGTTATTATGCCGAGGTCCTCTATGCGATAATTCTCCCGGAGGATCATAAGAACGTTTTAAATCAGCAAGTCGTGATTTTTCTCTATAAGTACCCAAAGATGATTCATCGATTGAATTTTGTTCATTTAAAAAAGTTCTCTTAGAATGCTTTTTTATAACTTGTTTCACCTTCTTAAATTCTTTATCTAGAATAAAGAAAAAATAATCTCTTCGATTGATATTAGAATAAAGCGGATCATTGGAATTTCCTTGTTGAGTTGAAAATGAATTTTGCCAACTTAATTTGGCGTCTTCTAATCGTTGAATAATGTCATTCATCGCATCATTGACTGCGGCATCTCGCATTCGGTCAAGAAGAATACTACATAATCTTACAATCACCAAGAAAAATTGACCGAGACTATTAAAAAAAAAATTCATTAATACGTATACTTTAAGATTAATGATGAGCTGTAGATCATGGCCATGGTTACGAAAGGGCTGATAAAATAAATAAAAACTTTTATAATTAGAATAACATACGATGTTGGAAAGAAAGAGTGTGGATCGTCTCTAAGTAATTCATTTTGAGGAGTTCGTTGATCATCCACAGAATTTCTCTGAACCAAAATTTCCAACATATAAATTACTTTGTTGTTTATAAAATCCTCCTTTGTAAAAGTAAATATTTATCAAGCATATTAATATTAATTAGAAAATAAAAAATACAAAAATTCAAATAATTAAATATCTATAAATATACCAAATTAGTATATACGAGGGTGTAGATAGCATTAACATTACTTTCCAAAATACTATCAGTGATTCCAGATCGAGTTAACAACGCAAGAAATGGTAAAGTTACGCGCTGGAAAGAAGCAACTTGAGGCATCAATCCTGCGTCAACTGATACAGGGAACATCATAATCTCTCTTAAACGTTGTCTACCATCAGGTTCGGACAGTTTTGCGATAAGATCACTCAATTCATAATCAGAATTTCCAGAAGCAACAACTAAACATGAGTTGAGAAATCGACGAATATGATGTTGATTGTTAAGTTCTTTTTTCAGCAGACGTTTCCACATTGACTGGATTTCATCCTCATGAGGGATGAATACAACTTTATCGCTTCCCTTATATGTCAATTCGGATGATTCAAAATTACCAGAGAGAATTTGAACGTTTTCTCTCTCAACATCTTGCGGATTTCGAAATATTCGAGCACGTTCACTATTTGAAGAGTTATCACTACGTGGACGAATATTGTTATTCGAAAAATTATCACTAGAAGCATCTCTTCTATTATTATTATTCCAACCACCACCTCGACCTCTTCCACGGCCTCTACCACCTCTGTTGCTCATAGTTATCGTTTAATCAAAAAAAAAAAAAATAAGCTCACAATTTTAAAAAAAAATTGTTAAATGTGTTATAAGATGGCTGAATGACTTATTTATATTAAATAATACTCCGGAAAAACTCTATAACATATACAAATTTGTGTCATTTATTTAACTAATTTTAGAAGACAATAACATCTTTGGCGCAGTCAAAAGAATGAACAATATGATTATGGCCATATTGTTACCAAAAATGTGAATATTTGGTTGTTGATATTGAGATAACTTACCAATTTTTTTGAAATTTAAAATTAAAGGGAAAAAAATTTGAACTATATTCAGGACTAAAACCTTAAAAATCGCATAGCATGAATATTTCCAAAAATTAAGCATATAAACACATGTTTATCAGTTATATGCGGTTCGAACACCCGAAAATTTCCGAACATTTAGGTTAATTTACCTAAAAATATGTGTTTTTCAACTTAATCTGACCGAATTTATCAATCCAAAATATACCGAAGCCGCGGTTTAGGGTCAAAACTTTCGGTACAGAAAAAATGCTTTCGTGATTGGAAACAATACATGTCACGTGCTACACTTCCATGATGATTAAAACTTTAGGTATTTGATATTGAGAACTTATGTTTATCATTTATCGTTCAGTCGGTTAGGATGAATACTATGCTTTTAATAGACCGATATTCTTTATTAGTTATTAGGCGTTAATATTATAATCAGCGAAATAGCATTACTGTTGGTCGCCGCAGTATACTTAATGACCGAAACTTGTTGGACGATCTTTTTTATCCCTTATCCATGTTGTGCCCCAAGTTGACGATTGCCCCAAATCAACGATCGGCCTAAATTATCGGCCCATCTTTATAATACCTTAAGAATTTTCAAAGCATTACTTTTCACATATAGTAATCATCGATGATTATCGCCAATTTGGGGCATATTGAGATTTGGGGCACAACATCCATACTATACTCAGAATACTGTGTGCATAATAATATTAGAAGCCTGGTCAATACAAATCCATCGAGTAGAAACTTAAATTATCAGAACATGTAAAAATTTATTCGGGTCAGTTAAAACCTCTCTAGTAACGCCCAGTAGATTGTCACGATAGTGTAAATCATGTGATGTTTGGTTCGACACTTTGCGGAATTTTACAAAGAATGCTAAATTACCGTTACGAAAGTGTTTCTTATCGTATTATTATAATTATTATAATTAATATAATTTTATATATTTGGATTCCATCAAAAACTTTTAAATCTCATTGTACATATTTTTTATTCCCAATAAAATGTATTTCTAGTCTTATCTTTCCATGATCATGGCGGCGTTCATATTCTTCTATTTGACAGATCATTTTCTCAATAAAATTATTTCTAATCATTTTTTCTTTGAGACAAATTAGCAGGATTGTCTAAATAGTAATGAGTCTAAAATAAAGAAATTATTTATTATATTAGTTTTAGTTAACCAGTTGAAAATAAATCTCTAATTTTGTCTAATATTGTCTTGAACTTAATTTTCATAGTTTCGCACTCTTTACAATCATTATCAATGTTTCTATTTTCATCAACATTTCTATCTTCGTCAATACTTCTATCTTCATCAATTTTATCTTCCAAATTATAATGTGCTGGAGAGTCATTTGAATTTTGCTTGTATCCAAGTTCTTGCCAAATCGTATGTCAGATTTTGAAAGTAAGGGATAAGTCTCTTTCTTCGAACTTATACATTAAATAATATTAATATTATGAAAAATAACTAATAGACCAGTTATCTCTATTTAATAATAATGTTTAATAATAATAATAAAATTAATAATAATAATAACGAATAATGAGAAAAAAGATAAAAGTTTCTTAGAAAGCTGCTCAAGTAATATGGTATAAGAGTTTCTTTATGAACTTTGGCTGTGATTTGTTCTCGTTTTTGTCGTTTAGAAACTCTAGTTCTTATCTTTACATGAAGCTTTTATTTCATTATTTCACCATTTCACCTAATAACTCAATGCCATCTTTTGTTTGGTGGCACCCTTTGAAAAACTTTAAATTTATATTCATTTATATAGTATTCTAACATTGTCACACGTTTCGTTTTACAAGAAAAAGATTCAGATTTAACTATATAATATATGACAGATCTACTGGGCGATGCTGTGGTCATCGGTCAGTTAATAAAACAATCCTTAAAATATAAATACAATATTTTTAAAAATTATAACCTTAAACTCATTTTTGAAGTAATATGTTTGAAAAAATAGAATATTTAACTTATTTTATTGTACTAGTTAGCCAAACCATTTTTAGATGTATGTGCAAGGTCGAATTCTCGTTAGGATAGTGACATTATATAACTATAAGTGCCTACTCTCATCTCCAGTAAGATATATGTGGTCATATAAAATATGTACCTAAGTTTTGTATACTCCCCACTCTCTAAAATATTAGCACACTGCCATTACAGAAATTATTAAATTAAATTGTGCAAATTCAATATATCGTCTTTAAATTTCAAAGAACTTTATAAATGTTTTAAAGAATTAGCTATAGCAAACTACTTTAAGAATTTCGCAATGATGAACATAAGGCTCTGCTACCGATACTTTATACTAATCTCATTTTTTTAGTTCTATCCTTTCACGCTCAAGTTTGACTTCTCGTTCCTTTAATATATTTCATATTAAAGTCATGTATCAAATCAGTTACAACTTTAGATTTTTTGAATTTAGTTTGTAAATCTGGTTCTTTGACATTCCCTTGACCTTTAATATCAGAATCTTGTATACCAACGGTGATTCCTGTAATACAATAACATTTAGATTCCTGTAAATTTAATGTTAGATAAATTTAAGTACTGTTAATGATTGAAAATCACATCAAGAATATATAATGCTACATAATCATCTTTTTTTCAGGAATATTAGAAACATTTAGCAAGATTGGAATTTTGTTCAGGAATATTAAAATTCTGGACTAATTAAATTGCTCCCTTTCCAATACCTTACAGGTTTCCAGTACTGCAAAGTATATTTATCAAGGTTGGCATATTAAAACATTTAGTAGGATTGACAATTTCATTAGTTATTAGTTTATATACTTATTTAACCATGCCAGAATATACAGCTAAATACAGTACCGTATTATTGTTACTATTTGTATTGAACAAGCTCATTAGAAGCCTGAACAGCCTGCAATCCGTGCCAATTCCAGTACATCTAATGATATAGACAATACTTGGTTAACAAACCTTTTTATACTGAAGTTTAGCTTCAGATAACTTGTGATCTTTTTTCCATTTTATCTTTTTCCAAAAATTCGTTTAATTTCTTAAGGCAAAAAAAAAAAGTCCATCGCAAAAAAGTCTATTAGTAATTATATTCTTAGCCGAAATATTTCTAGAATTTAAAAAATGAATTTCCGGAAATTTTACTTTTTCGGAAATTTTCCGTTTAACCTATAAGGAGGTGTCAGTGTTAATTATGATAATTTGACAAAATACCAAATATATCAAAATAATAATGTCAAAAAAATTAACCAAATTCGTGCCATTTAAAAGATCGAAAATCGAAATGATCGGTTTAACTTTTTTTTTTATTAAAAGAGGTATCAAGAAAATGACAAATTAATAACGTGATTTATTCATTTCAAGTACTTTTAATATATTCATAGACCAATATTTCTAATATTAATAAATAGTTAATTAAAAATAGTCTGAGAATAGATATTTATTCATCTTCCTTATTACTAATCCATCGCTCTTTAACTTAAATATATCCTGCCATACTTTCCTCCTCAACTATGAAATCAAGTCAGTCGCAACAAAACTTACAGGATATAAATAAATGTATTAATGTAAACATTAACAAAATAATTCAACTTGTTTTTATATTTTAACGAATAAATTCACGCTCTCGAAATCGAATTTATTTAAGTTAATTGAGAATATTTCATGTTGTATCTGCAAAATTGTCTTAAACCAAACAATGATAATGGATAGATCTGATAGATATACAACATTGTAGCACTTGTCTCCTTAAAGAAAAAGAAAATTTTACATTTACACGTCAACAATATCTTTTCTTTTTCGTTATTCATAAACTGGCTTTTCTTCCTTTTTGTTTAAATTAAACAAAAAAAGTTTTGCCGATAATCAAATTTGCTTAATAATAAATCAATAAAAAGCCGATTGATCGTCATTTCATTTAATTTGAAAATTTAAATTGATTTTAATTGACTTACAGATTTTCCAACTAATTTAGTATCAAGTTAAAAAATTTATCGGAAATTGCAATTAAGTCCTATTGGATAGAGGATTGCGATATTTTCAATTTAGGTTCAAGTTTTCGGTGCCATTTGAATCCATTTAGTATTAGTTGGGAACACAATTAATAGAATTATGTCAAATATTCTTTTTAAGATTTTCATGCCGATTATATATATCTATCGATGGAAGAAGTAATAATTTTATTCTTTTTAGAAAGTTCTTTTACCGCAGATGCTGCTTTAATATAAAAGAATTTAAAAAAGAATAATTTTCAAAAAAAAGGAAATATATTATAATACATAACCTTTCGAACTCGTTAATCTAGTGAAAATGGCTGAAAGTTCTTCGTTACAATATAATCGAGGTTCTCTACTTAATCAATCCGAAACATCTATTGAATCTACTGGGTCAACTAAACCGTTGATAGATTCAAGTAACAGCTCAAAAGATTGGACGAAACGGAAGAATAGTTTGATTCTTTTTGTTGTTTCTTTTACTTTGGTGCTTTCTCCAATGTCCGCCACGTAAGCAATAAAAAAATTTAAAAATTTTGCTAATAATTCTCTAATAATAAATCATTAACTTCATTTAAAAGTATATTTTACCCGGCAATCGTTGACATACGCGAATATTTTCAAACTACCGAATTAATGGTTGATGCATTAGGTGAGATATATTAAATTTTTTTTATTTATGTCTTTTATAAGCTTACCTTAATTCCTTCAATTATAGCCGCAGTATTCACGCTTTTCATGGGAACCGCAGTAAGTTCCCATTTACTTCATTTCGGATTCCTTTTTTCACGCATTTATATTTTCTTTGGTTATATATCTTAGCCTCTTTTCTGGGGATCATATTCTGACACATTCGGTCAAAGACGAAAACCGTATCTTATAGCTATCGCATTATCAATATTTTCCTCAATAGTCTGTTTTATCTCACCAAACTTTTGGTTACTAATGTTAGCACGCGTATTACAAGCATGTGGCGCAGCAGCAATGCAGTGTCTTGGTGCCGGTGTTATAAGTGATATTTATTCAACTGCTGGTAAGTGTATCTATAATTATTAAGATTTTAAAATAAGTTTACCTTATTGATAAATTCCGGTTTTTTCACGTATTATAGAAAGAGGTCGTGCATATGGAATATATTTTTTAGTTTATAATTTTGGAGAAATAGGTGGTCCTATAATAGGAGGATACTTGACAGAATATTTTGGATGGAGATTCATATTTTTATTTCTTTCAATATTTGGCGTAATTCTTTTTATAATGATTTTTTTTTGTCTTCCGGAAACTTTACATTATCAGTCAACAAATCTTTCAACAACACTTTCTCAATCTTCTCAAGAAAGGACGAGAACGAAATTCAATCCATTATCATCATTTAAACTTCTTCGTCATCCAAACGTTTTACTAATCATTCTCTATATTTCCAGCATATGGTTAACGACCGTGACAGATTATATTATAATACCAAGAATATATTCTTCTCAATATCATGTTTCTTCTTTTGTTATTGGATTAATATTCTTGGTTCCTGGTGTTGGATTTATGATTGGAAGTATAATTGGCGGAAAATATTCTGATTATATTATATCAAAATTTACATTAAATGAAGAAAAAGAAATTTATCCTGAAATTAGATTGAAAAGTGTTTGGTTCATCTGTATATTAGTCCCTATTGCTTTTTTGGCTTACGGCTGGTTTCTTGAGATGAATAGTAAAATATATTGGCCATTAATCTCGATATTTATTGGTAGGTAATTTGAAAATAAAAACAAATCCTTTTATAAAAAAAAAAAAGATTGAAAATAAATTATTTTATCATTATTTAGGATCATTTGGAACACTGTTTATCGTTAGTATATTATCGGTATACTTAGTGGATTCAAATCAAAATAATTGCGCATCTGTAATTGCTTTAAGTGAGTTTGTTCCTGCCTTTATAGGAGGTTTATGTCAGTTAATATCATTTCCATTACAAAATGCTCTTGGTGTTGGTTGGATGTTCACCCTTTTGGTTGCGATCAATTCATTATGTAGCTTATTAATAATAATAGTATATTTAAAAGGAAATTATTGGAGAATAAAATATAATACAATCAATAGTATTAGTAATATTAGTTTAAATTTAATTTAATACATAATTTCAACAGAATAGTTCTAAATTTTTAAATGATAAAAAATCACTAAATTTTATTTATGAAATAAGTGTACAAATTAATAATTATAGTAGATTTATCCATTGATATATTGACCAAAGTATAAGTTAATTCAAATTTTTATTGTCTCACGTAGTATTTAGGGAATTTTTCAATAAATATATTTTGACAAAAAAAAAATAAATTAAAATTTGAATTATTTTTATCGTTAATTATTTTCATATTATTCGCGATTAAAGTTCAATTAACACATAATTATGCAGGTACAAAAGAATTGTTAATTTACTGTAGATAAAGTGAACAGAACGACTAGATTTATTAAAATAGAATACTGTTATTGTTATTATCATCTTTTAATGATTACGAACTTTTTGTCTTATTTTGAAATACAATATTATTAGGGATAAATGATTACATGTTATAAAGTACAATAATAATTCTGAAAAGTATACATAGAGCGAAATTTATTACGTATTATTTGTTTTTTCAGTATTCGAAATAAGATTTTATCGCAAGTTTTTTTAAATATATAATGACATTATCAGGTTAACATTAATTCGTGAATGTCGAAACTGTTTGGATCGTAATAGCCGAAAGCATTTTTTGCAGAAAACGGATTTTTGGTAATAGCACATCAGTGCCAAAATAAGTGGAATGTTCTAAAAAAAGGTTTCGAAAACCTGCAGCGGATTACGACTGGAAATCCAGAAAGGTTCCGGGAATGCTTTAGTGAATGTTCGACCAATTTTGGTTACGGACATGTGATTACTTGATTCCATTTATAAGTTGGTCTTTTTTACTTAGAGAAGGCAAAGGGCAATATGCAATATATTTATGTTTGTTTTAAGATATTTTAGACGCGAATGTTGAACGATCTCCGAGGGTCAAGGAGCGGAGAAGGAAAAGAGATCGATCTCGGGATCGAATACATTGAATATTTTTAATATTTCATTTATATATTACGCTGTTATTTTGCTATGCATACATCATTCTGCCGAAACTCCTTAGTTTCGCCAAGCAACTTATCACAGATATATTTCGCAATTAATAGTTACTCGGCACTTTGTGCCGAGTAACTGTTTTATCAGGCTTACGTAATAAGTATTTTTTATAAAACTCTCCAACTGATAAAATTATATTAAATAACATTAAATATAACACTTATATAACACTTTAAATAAAACTTTTATTGTATCAAAGGTCCTAAAAAATACAATTAACTAATTACATAAATACCCTATATTACAATTTTAATAAGTAAAATAAATAAATAAATATCACAGTTTTACAATCCAACTAATATTATAACTATATCTATTAAAAATTCCTTCCTGCTAATTTACCAAACTTATCGAAAATGCTTCGCTTAGGCGTAGCGCGTTCTTGTAAATTTTCTGAACCTGGAATATCGATGGTAGTTGAATCTGCTGTTGATGTAGATGGCACTTCTCTTGAAGTGGTAGGAATCTCTCTTGAAGTGACGGGAATTTCCCTAGAAACATTTCCACTTCTTTCAGGGCTAGAAGTTCTAACTGATCTAGTACCTAATATGTTATGATCTCCAGAAGCTATGGGACTAATTGGCGAAACAAGAGTGGAACGACGTCTTTCAGGATGATGATAATAAATCTTATTTGGATTGTTAGGGTCCCTAGCCGCTCTTTTGGTTGCTAATTTGATTTTAGCATCTGCAATTCTCTGATGATAAAGATCTTGTTGGTTTCTTTCTTCTTCTGTTTCACCACGAGGTATATCAACAGATCTAGCTGGAATTGGTTTAGATCCGGTTTTGTTCATTCCCAGTATACGATGAAAAACTCCAAGCGATGAAGCTTCATCTGATGGCACTCTCTTAACGGGAAGCCATAACCATGGAAGTATTCCAACTAGTGCTGGAGGTCCATAATTTCTCATTCCAGTATTAAGTATACCATCATATAATGTCATCGGAGGTTGTGCATAATCAGTGTACAAATCCGGATCCGCATGATATAAATCATCTTCCAGTACATCACGTTGAGAATGACCTTCCTCGGTATCTTCTTCATTAATGGAAGGAGGGGGATTATCAGTATTGACATTAGTGTTTTCATTAGGATTATTGGAATTTTCGGGTGACTTTGGCGTAATCGTAACATCTGCCGTGTTAGTTTGTACTTTATTAAATTCTTCACGTAAATTCTTCAAAGGTATAAAAGCAGCAGCCCTTTCATATGCACCATTGACATAATAAAAGAAAACAAATGTACAAATGAGAGTTGGGAAAACAACGGCTGCTAAATAATAGTTGTTTCTTAATGAAAAATATCCAATCATCATTATTTGATAAATGTAAAGTCCAATAATTATCCTTCGGAAAATCTTTGGCCATGCAAGTCCAGCAGTTTCGTATGGATGAAAATAGACTAGCAATTGAAACGAAATTATAATAAGTTCGGATGTTAAACTATAAAAAATTGAATATTACACATACCATATAAAAGTAAATATTTATAACACATATATCCGAGGAAAAAATATATTGCTCCAAATAGAGTAATTACTGGCCTCAGAGAAGAATAAACGATAACGATAACAAAAATCAAAACCATAGGTGGCAATTCTTCCCCGTAATTCATAAATGGTGGAGCAGATGCTTTGGCATAATCTCTAGGGGTTTTCGAAAAGAATATACGCATAACCCAAATGTAAGCTACTTCTTTCACTTGTAACAAATGAATCGGAAATAAACCAATCCCTTGAATAACAACAAAATTTACAAAAAATGATGAAACCTAATTTTCATATTTAATAAATGTTAATAAAGTTAATGCGATAAATTAATATCAAATGATTCTTCTCAAACTTACTCTAGGTAAAGTTTCAGCTAATCTACGAGGAACCCCTGTCGGATCTGTGATTGTTTCATAAGCTGTGGCTACTGCTCCCGCGATGGAAAAGACTAGCAAAACATTCACCAACAAGAAAAAGTAATATCTAAAAAAGAGATATTGGTAAAATCGTAATGTAAATAAGTAATAAATAAATAAATTAAGCTTACTTCGCAAATGTTGAAAGCTCTATTACACTGCGAGCATTAAATCCTTGAATTATAGACAAGCCTGAATAAAATGTATAAGCGTAAATTGATTTAGTGAAAATATAACGAAAATGTTACGTAATCAAACAAACTTACCAATCATGATTTTTGGTAAAACTACATTGAATAATGATACAGCTAAAGTCGGCAAAGTTCCTTGAATAAAACCTTTAATTATTTCATTCATCTCCGCCAAATGCTCCAACCATGGAAACACTTTTTTTAAGACATTAAGACTCAATAGTGTAGCAAAAACTGAAATGGGACCAGACCAGAAAAACACAAGTAGGACAACAAAAATGTTAATCGTCACATTTCTAATTAAAAATTCTCGTCTTTTAATATTCATGTTATACCAATAACTACACAAAAAGGGAAAGTTAATATAAGATATCAAATAAATTTAATGTAAAACTTTCTAACATACATATCACGTGGTTCAGGCGCAAGTTCTGTATTGCATTCAAATGGTTCTGGTCGGATGAGAACTTGTGCGGCTAATTGCTGTTTAAACAGAATAAATGTTTAGGTTCTAACAAAGAATTCAAAAACCAGTTAAAATATTTACCGCACTAGTTATGTTATCAAAAGTTACGAATCCAATAGGTTCAGATTTATAAGCTCCACGTCTACCTTCTTCAACTAATTCATCATACTTGAAGAAATTTTCAGTATAATATTCAATTTTATCACCTCTTTTAAACAACGATACAAACATTTTTGGACGTTCTGCTGAAACTCTTTCAAGAACTTTAGCTGTGTTAGTATTCGCAGTTTTTGCATCGTCAGCCTTTTCGAATTCCTTTAATGCTTCATCAGGATTATAATTTGGATCTTTACAAGGATTATTCAAATAATCCGCATAAGCCTCTTCTAATTTTTGTAAATACTTTGTTCTTTTTTCAATAATATGCCTAAGTTTACGAACATTACGATAAATTACAGCACTTTCGACTGCTCCTAATTCTAATGATTCATAAAATTCAGCTAAAGCGGCATCAGTTTGTAATCTTTTGGGTATACTTGTCACCATAACAGTCCTTGCTGCTATAGTATCTTTCCACTTTAAATAGTATTTATGTCGAATTTCAGAAAATTCCCGATAATTATAAAAAGTAAAGTAAAATGTTGCAAGAGAGAAAACCCAAGTTAATATTGCATATGATGCTAACACTCCAGGTGACTCTGGACTATCTTCTATTGGTAATGGAACCGGACCGCCACCTAAAGAGTTTCCCCCACCACCATTACCATTTTTGCCTGGCAAGAAATGAAAATATTCAGCTAACAAAATAGGACCAACAACAGCAAAACCAGCAATTGCACAAAACGTAAATAATTTATAAGACATTTTAAAAAATGCAAGAAGCTATATTAAATAAGCCAAATTGATCTTATTAGTGATTAATATTCTTTTTTTAAACATATCAAGTAAACCAATCTATTCATTGTCAACATACCACTGCGGCATCCAATCCAACCCTATCTAATATATGAGATTCAGGCATATTATACAAAGGTATTATCCATCCAAAAAATGTTGTCGGAAGGGGGTCTGGAGCAAGTTTTTGTAATCTACTTCTTGGGGCAAACATTATATTCCATCTGGTTCGAAGATAACAAAATACTAGGAGAGAAAAAGTTCCCAGTGGTATTGCAACCATAAGTTGAGTTGTTAAAAGAACAGATTTATCTGTATAATAAATTGAGAATAATTTTATTATTCTTATTATTCTTATTCTAATAACCATTTCAAAGTATGACAACATTCACTCACCTGCATCATGAGTTATATCACCAGGTGGTCGGTCTGGTCGACCACCTATACCAAATGTTATTTGATTAAAATCCCCCGAAGAAAATTCTGGCTCATTTAAAAATTCATGAAAATCGTTATCTGCCATTTTACAAGAGAAGGCGTTGATTAGATTAAATTGCAATTTACGCTGATTATATATCGGGTTCAATGTAATTTGTCGATCCAAAACATTAACGATAATCTTACAGGCGTTAGTTTTCTTTGGTTGTACATTTCCTTAAAAATAATAAAAAATATTGAAAATCATCATCATTGGCTTTAAAATTGTATATCTGTAGTCTGTAAAACGTCATGTAGATGAAAATCATGTAAAATAAACTATTATTTGAGAACATATTAATAGTGATATGCACAATTGTGTAACTTATCAGATCGACAGATTCAGATTTCAGCGCTAAAAAAGGTGAAGAAAATTTTATTTTCTGGAGAATAGTTTTGATATATTTGCTTTGCTATTAAATCAATTTTTTTGTACATGAAGCACAATTATGTATATATAAATTATAAACTTTTTAAAACCAATGAATTCTATCTTAAAAACAGTACTCAAATATATAATTAACTTGGAAATAAATTTATAGAGTTTTTCCTATAATTCCATCATCCTGTAGTTTCTTAATATCATGTTCTTTTAACTCTAGGAGATTAATAAATACTTCACGATTATGTTCACCCAAATCGGGCCCAGCCCACAAAGTTCCACCTGGTGTGGATTCAAGTTTTGGCGCAAAAGCAGGAACCTAACAAATAGTAACAATTAATAGATATCTATCAACATCAATTATTTAATTAATTTAAAAAATATTTTTGCATACCTTTAAGTCATAGCCATTACTTCTATTTTTTCCAACACGGATAGTTTCAATTAATTTACGTTCTTTAACATGATTATCATTAGCAAAATCTTCAATATTATAAATACTACCGCATGGTACATCAGCTTTTTCTAATTTTTCTATAACTTGTTTTGAAGTAAGAGTTTTGATCCATTCACTAATCGCTCCATCAATTAATTCCTGATATTTTACTCTATCTTTATTCGTCGCAAATTTTTTTGTTGTAAGATCATCTCTTCCCGCTGCTTGCATAAGTCTTTTATATATTGAATCTCCATTACCTCCAATTATAACATATTTTCCATCTAAACATAGATATGCATTAGTTGGTACAATACCCGTAACTGTTGTACCTGATGGTTGTCTTATCTAAGGAGGAAAGTAAGTTGCTTATATGAAAGATTTTTTTTTAAAAAAAAAATAAAAAAAGTTTACCTCACCAAATCGATCATATTCTGGCAAAATTCCCTCCATCATATTGAATATACTTTCATAAATAGCTACATCGACGACTTGCCCCGTTATTAAATTATCACTTGAAGATAATTTATTTCTAGCCAAAAGGCTCATAACTACACCAAGTGCCGCTGTTAATCCAGCAACCGAATCACCTAAAGATATATTTGGACGGACTGGTGCCTGATTAGGAAATCCATTTATATAACGAAATCCTGCCATAGCCTATATAATAAACTAATAAATAAAAAATGACTTCAGCTTAAAAAATAAAACTATTGTTTTTAAAATGTTTTACCTCGCATACTGACGCGTAACCAGGCTTTGCAGCGTACGGACCCGTTTGTCCATACCCAGAAACGCGTGTATATATCAATGAAGGATTCGTTTTGTAAAGTTCGTCTGTAAAATAATTGTCTTAGATAATGATCCAAAAAGTTTTCCAATTGCAAGTAAAAACGGCTAAAAATATACCGGGCCCGAGTCCCCATTTTTCCATAGTTCCAGGTCGAAAATTTTCAATCAACACATCTGACTTGTTAGCTAGTTGACCAACAAGCCTTCAATTAACCAAAATATAAGCATTAATTGTCCCTGGCCAATGATCGGCCGCTCAATTGTGATCTATAAATATATCAGTCATAAAAAATTCATACTTTTTGCCTTCGGCTGTTCTTAAATTAATTTCACAGGATTTTTTATTTCTCGACATTGAACGAAACCATGGACTAACTCCATCGGCATCTAAATGTCTCCATATACGTAATGGATCTCCCAACTTTGGCGATTCAACTTTAATCTAAAGATTTTTTCTGTTAAAAATCTTATAACAATATAAAACAATATATAATCAAATAACATACTACTTCTGCGCCATAATACCTTTAAAAATAAATCGCATTAATGGTAAATATTAATAAAAGAAAACAAAAACAAACAATCTACTATATAATAATACCCGAGAATTGTACCACAGAACGGTCCAGCTATCAGCTATAATTAAAAATAAGAATTATTATAGCAACCATTGATAAGTAGTATATGTGATTATACCTGTCCTAATTCGAGAACACGTATTCCTTTTAAGGGTTTTGGACTTTTTTCATTTTCTTGTGTAATTTGCAATTTCCGCGAGGCTTATCATAATTACAAATAAATTAATTGTATTTTATGACAAAATAAGACATTTCTTTATTACCTGCGAAACCCCTTTTGAAGAAACCTAATTTATTTTTGGAATTCTTTAAACTTAAAAATACAGTTGAATCCAATTTGTTGAGCATTATGGTAAAAAAAAACCATAATCTATGATAACATTTTGATTTTATCAGTAACACAATAATTTTTTAATTGTTGCAGATCGATGGACCGAATTCGAATATTGAACATGGTTCAAAAATATATTATGCAAATATTGAATTAAATAAAATTTCACCATATAATTAATATCTACGATTTCGTTTATTATCTGGTACATTAAAAAGGAAAATTACAATCATTTTTATTATTTAACTATAAATACATCTATTATATAAACATCAAAACGGATTTTAAAGCAAATATATCATAAATAAGTTATAATAAATAATTTTGTTATTGAAATTAAAGTCGACTCTCAAATTCCACAATTGGAGTAGAATCTGACCAGATTTTCTCTCCTTCGAAAGCACCCAGAAGAACATCGAAAATATTATTTGCATAAACAAAATTGATTTCGTTCTTCACATTAACTGGTACATCTCCTTCAACATCTTTTCGATTTCTTGCAGGTAGGATAACTTTTTTAATACCTGCACGATGTGCACCGATTATTTTTTCTTTTATACCTCCTACAGGCAAAACTTGACCTCGTAAAGTAATTTCACCTGTCATTGCCGTTGTTGTTGGTACTTGCCTATGCGTAAATAAAGATACAAGTGCAATTGTCAAAGCTACACCGGCTGATGGTCCATCTTTACCAATTGCACCTGCAGGAAAATGTATATGGACATCTCTTTGAAAGAAAAACGTAGGCTCTGTTTTTGATGTTGTAATCCCCAATTGAAAAGCATGCGCTCGCACCCATGAAAGTGCAATCCTAGCTGATTCTCTGATAACCTCTCCCAACTTACCTATTAAAGTAGATGTAAGTTATACATAAAATCATTTAATAACATAATTAAATAAAGAGAGAAATACCGGTTAATTGAAGATCTCCTTTTCCGGCCATTTGAGTAGCTTCAATAAATAAAATACCGCCGGATCCAGAGGATGTCCATGCTAAACCAGTAACTACACCTGGTCTAGCTGCGCGTTCAGCAACTTCACTATCAAATTTCGTAACCTAAAAGTATGAGCGAAAATGAATGGCAATATAACAATTTAGTAAAACGTTATATGCGTTAGAAGCATAGTTTTGATAAATAAACGTATATTAAAAATTTGATAAATTTTCATACCCCTAAGATGTTTTCAATTTCCTTCGCGGTAACTTCATTATTGTAGTTTTCTAATTCATTTTTATCTTTTGCATTAGCATATTCAACAGCTTTTGCCCTGCATACACTCGCGATCTCCCTTTCAAAATTTCTAACGCCAGCTTCCCGAGTATAACCAGAAGCAATTTTTAACAATACTTCATCCAACATCTTTACATCATCTAGTGAAAGACCATGATTTGTAATTTGCTTTGGTAATAAATGTCTTTGAGCAATATTTATTTTCTCTTCAAATGTATATCCTGGTATATTTATAAGTTCCATACGATCTAAGAGAGGAGCGGGTATTGTGTCAACTTGATTAGCTGTAGCAATAAATAAAACTTTAGATAAATCAAGAGGAACATTAAGGTAATGATCATTAAAAGTGTTGTTTTGTTCTGGGTCAAGGACTTCAAGTAAAGCAGCGGATGGGTCTCCGTGATTGCTCAAATGTCCAACTTTATCAATTTCATCTACAAAAGAGGTATAATTAAGTATTTATAAAATTTTAAACGGTTAACCTTAAATAAAATAATATCTTACCAAGTAAAAATATAGGATTATTAACACCAACACGTTTAAGACCTTGGGCAATGAGTCCAGGCATGGCACCAATGTAAGTTCGACGATGTCCACGTATCTCAGCTTCATCTCTTACACCACCTAAAGAAATTCTATGAAACTTTCGTCCAAGAGCGCTGGCAATACTTTTACCCAATGAAGTTTTCCCAACACCTGGAGGGCCAAGTAAACACAGAATTGGCCCTTTCAAATCTCCTTTTAATTTCAATACTGCTAAGTATTCCAAAATACGTTTCTTAACTGACTCAAGGCCATAATGATCATCCTCAAGTTGTTGACGTGCTTTGTCAATATCTATAATTTCACTAGTAGATTTGCTCCAAGGGATCTCTGAAAGCCATTCTAAATAAGTACGAACGACTTGATATTCTGCTTGGGTCGAATGCATACGCTTAAGACGTTTGAGCTCTCTTTGTGCAGCTTTATTTGCTATTTAATAAATCAAAAGTAATTTTAGCACTCATTTAATTAAGTTATTTTTAAAATTATTTCTTTACCCTCTGGTGAAAGTCCAGCTTCTTTTATTCTTTTTGTTAAATCTGTGATATCGTCGTCTTCGTGTGATGAGTCATCACGTTCTCCTAACTCTTCTTTAATAGCATTAAGCTATACAATTAATAAGTATTAATAAATCAAAAAAAAATATATATATATATTTGTTATATAAAATACTTATTTATCTTACTTGCTGTCGTAAATAAAATTCTTTGTGCTTCTTGCTCATAGTTGAATGAACTTTTTGAGTCACTTTTAAAATCTAAAACAACCAAAAACAATATTATGTCAAGTACAAATACGAAGGATAAAAGTAATAACGAAAAAAAAATACGTTTATTTGTCTTGCTAGGAGTTCAATCGCAATTGACATTCGAGTTTTCAAATCATGGGCATCTAATATTTGCTGTGCAGAAAAATAATGTAAGGTTAGGTCACAAAATAAGTTCTGAAAAAAAATATATATAAATTTACCAGCCTTTCTTCATATGTGCATTCGATTGTGTTAATCAAAAAATCAGTCAACAATCCGACAGGACCATTTTCAATATACTTTTGAAGCTGAATGAGATAAGCTGTCGGAAATTTCAAGTTTTGAAATATTACAAGTAATTCACGTCCGGTTGTTTTTAAAGAATTAGCAAGCTCCTGTAATTCATTATCATCCTTAGAAACAGATGGATCGGGAAAGACAGTCACTTCAGCTTCAAGATATGGTCTTTCAAGAACATATTTATCAATACGAATACGAATAACACCTAAAATAATTCAATATTAAATTATTAAATCCATTTTAAGAATCCAATGGAAATCAAAAATTTTATTACCTTCGATTCTCACTATAAAACCATTAACTGTTCGTTCCAATTTAACAATTCTAGCGGCACACCCAAATTTATGTAAATCTGACGGTTGAATTGATTGATTGAATGTTTCTTCAATAGTTTTTTTTGGTGTAGAATTTCTATTGCCATTTCGTGTCAAAGTAAAAGGGGCAGTCGTTGTGTCTTTGGATTCAAGCTTATTATAAGAGGGTGGATGGACTGGAACACAGCCAATAATATATTTCGACTCTTTATTTTCGGCAGATCTATAAATTCTTTGAAGAAGTTGAACCGAATCTTTGCTAACAACTTGAAGTACAAGCGATGCGCTAGGAAGGAGAACTTTATTCCTGATTGGAATAATTGGCAAAATTTTGGGAACGTCATTGAAAGAATCATTCATTTTGCTATTTTCTAAATGTCAAGTAAGTAAAATTGTCTTTAAAAAAGTTGTTGAATCGGTAAACTAAAAAAAACAGAACCGAGTTTTGTTACGCCCGCTCGATGTTGGCTTAATGCAAATTGTCAATAGTTACCAAATTAGGTACATCAGTGGTACATCTATGATCATAGATTGTAAAATCTTATTTGGAATTTTTATGTGTGACTAGATAGAGGTGTGTTGTAAAATCAGATCGTAAAAAGATATACTTTAGATCGACATATTCTTGCTTTCTCAATCTTAAATTTTTTGATGTCATTTAAATTCGTTCTTTCTCGTTCGTTCGTCAGAAGTACTAATAAGCCAACTCAACAGGTCATTATTTTTTTTAAATATTTCGAGAAATTTACTTAAATATCGTATCAATTTTACAGTTATTGAACAATATGGCACGCAGAAACGCTTCAGCCGCCATAAAGAAACCAACAATTCCGTACCTTGAAGATAACAGTGTTGGACCAATGCTTCGTTATCAAAAGTCTCTCCCAAAGCTTCCTGTTCCTGCTCTCAAAGATACTCTTGAGAAGTATCTTAAGTCCGTTCGACCTCTTGTAAGTTCAGAGGAATACGCAAAGACAGAAGCAGCTGTAGCAGAATTTCAAAAACCTGGTGGAATTGGTGAAGAACTACAAAAGCGTTTGCTAGCAAAAGCGAACAATCCTAATGTGATCAATTGGCTGGAAGATTGGTGGAATGAAGTCGCGTATTTTGGCTATAGGGACCCAATCGTCGTTTATGTAAGCTATTTTTTTGCTTATAAAGACGATAAAATTAGGAGGAATCCTGCTACGCGTGCTGCTGCAATTACTACGGCCGCCTTGGAATTTCGAAGACAAGTTATTAAGTAAGTATTTTTTATCTTTGTTATATAGGAAAGGTAATTGAATTTACGAAATCCTTTTTGATTTAGCCAACAATTAGAACCAGAATATTCAAAAGGGCTCCCACTTTGTATGGATTCGTATAAGTTCATGTTTAATGCGTGTCGTTATCCATCCAAACCATCAGATTATGAGGTGACTTTTGATCCCGCGACCAATAATCATATTACAATTATTCGTAAAAACAAAATTTTCATACTTGATCTTGTCAAGGATGGAATACAGTTGTCAACTGCAGAAATTGAAAGGTATAACACACTTATTTATCTCAATTCTTTATATAAATATTGTAATTTCAAATGGTTTTTAAATAATTTAGTCAGCTCCAAAAAATATATGAATTGGCTGGTAATACGAAAGATCCACCAATAGGAGTTCTTACTACTGAAAATCGCGATAATTGGACGGAAGTAAGTTTAATATACACATCTTTATATAAATTAGTTATTGACCCATACTTGTTCATTTAGTATCGCAAAATGTTCCTGGCTGCGGATCCAAAACATGAGCAATTGCTAAAGAAAATTGAAAGTTCGATGTTTGCTCTTTGTTTAGATGATTCATCACCTATTACAGTTGATGAGATAAGCCGTGCATGTTTGGCTGGAGATGGGCGAAATCGGTATTTTATTTAAAAAAACCCAATTATATTGTTATAAATATATATTTACATTTAAATCGTATTATATCTTTAGTTATTTTGACAAGTCTCTTCAATTTATTGTATTTGAAAATGGAAAAGCTGGGTTTAATGGAGAGGTTGGATTAAATTTATTTATTTTTTATTTTTTTTTAGTGAATTAATAAATTTATACTTATATTTCATTTAGCATTCTTCCATGGACGGTACTCCAACAAGTAGATTGAATGACTTTGTTTGTAACGTGATTGCTAATAATAAAGTTGATCATGGATCTCCAAATGTTCGATCTGGTCTTCCAGTTCCTCAACAATTGCATTTCAATTTGACTAGTGAAGTTCTTTCAGCTATATCAAAAGCCGAGAAAAACTATGATGACCATATCGCCAAACACGACCTTCGTGTATTAGCATATGAAGGTTATGGAAAAAATGTCATTAAAAAGCTTGGTGCTTCACCAGATGCTTACGTACAAATGATCATTCAATTAGCTTATTATAAAATGTACGGTACTAATAAAGCAACTTATGAAAGCGCACAAACCAGAAAATTTCAACATGGTAGAACTGAAGTGTGTAGAACGGTATCTGTTGATTCCGTGAACTGGGTGAAAGCTATGGAGGATCAGAAAGTTCCGGTAATTTTTTTATTCGGTTTATTCTATTTAAGTGAAGATCCATGATCAAGAAAAAAATATTTATTATAGATTGAAGTCAAGGCTGAATTGGGTTACAAAGCAATAAATGCTCATGTCAAATATATGGCAGAGGCCGTAGAGGGGAGAGGCTGTGATAGGCATTTATTTGGTAAATAAAATCATTATGAAATTTTTGTTAACATTACAAGTACTTAATGATTACATTAATCTTGAATCGTTTCTTTAAAGGACTTCGTATGTCTTTGAAGTCTAATGAAAAGAAACCAACAATTTTTACAGATCCAGCTTATGCTAAATCAACTCATTGGAATCTATCAACTTCTCAATTGTCATCAGAATATTTCCAAGGCTATGGATGGGGAGAAGTATATTGATTTTAATATTTGTAGTACCGTTTTTGCTAAAATTTAATATATTTATTAATCACAATCATTGTAATATTCATTTAGGTCGTTCCTGATGGTTTGTAATTGTATCATTTGTTTATTTAAACCTAATTTCAACTAATCACTTATAATGAATTTTATTCTTTAATAGGATATGGCATAGCTTACATGATTAATAATGGTTCGTCAAATAATCTATAATTTTTAGTTATCTTATTGTTGTTATTTATTATTTTTTTGTTGTTCAATACTTTTTTTTAGATTCTTTAAATTTCAACATCGTATCTTTGCGATTGAATAATGATGTTTTATGGCATTATCTCAAAGAATCGGCAACTGAAATGCGGCAGGTATTTGAATATGCACAAGCAAAAGCAGGCCAGATTAAGGCTAAACTATAATATGTAAAATTCTTTTTTTGCCGATTATTATTGTATTTAAACCGTTGATATTATGTAAAGTATGTATTTGTATTTATTATTTAGACAGATTTAATTAATTTGACTGCTATTTAAAAACTCCTTTTTATTCTACTTAAGAAATGTTATATTTTAAATAGAATAACAATAGCAAAAAAAATTATTTATTTTTATGCATGAATTGGCAATAAAGAAACACAAATAAATAAACAAGCAAAATTCTAAAAAAACCATTTTAAAGATTGAATTCTTTCCATAATTCTTCAACTTTTTTCCTGTTTTCTTTGGCTTTATCTGCATTTTTTTTTCTTATTTCCTTATACTAAATTTTTTTTAGAAGATTAATCAATATTATCTTTCTTTATTTTTAAAGTAAATTATAAATTAGTTACCTCCAATGTCAAACATTCATTTAACTCTTTCTTAATTCCATTACAACCCCCAAAATATTTATTAAAAAATCCTGATTTATGACATTCTTCCAATCGAAGAATAACATCAAGACATTCTATAATATATATAATATAAATAATAAATAAATTTATGTTAGAAAAAATCATTATAATTTGATAAACTTACTTGGGTGTTTATGATACGCTAAATTTGGATGCATTTGTAACAAATTAGCTAAGAATTAATGATTTTCTAATTTATTTATATTATTTAATCACGTGAAATAATTACGCCAACCAAGAAAATTTCCTGTATCGGTAATTAAAAGTTGTGTTGAATGAAGATCAGGATTACACAGATAACACGTGTACAGTATACGTCGTGTACTGTACGTGATCAGAAATCAGAATCGATCGAATAGTCAGTCAACCAATGATCAATCTATTGTATTCATCGCATTCATCTCGACAATTATTTCATGACTATCCCAGCCCATTTTCTGCATACTAATGCGATGAAAAGAATATGTGATAAAGAAAATTTATATCATGACAGAATGAATGAGTGTCATCCTTATTAAACTTTAATCAAGTGATCCATTTGTATTATACAGTAATAGCACTCATGAGTATATACTGTATTATGAATTATATATATATAATCATTTTAAAAGTTATGAAAATTCTTCCGTACAATTGTTTTTCTGTTGTATTATATTGATATAATGTAAAAAAAATGAAACGACCAATCAAGAAATTTTTTAACCGGTCACATCCTTACCAATATCATCAAAGAAATTTTGCTACTATACCTGAAGCTAAAAAAGCGGGAGCAATAGATCGTATAGAAAATGGAGAAACTAAATTAAAATTGTTAACTTTATTTCAAGAGAACATGAATTATATCAAATTAACAGAAATACCACAAACATATTTCTTGAGATTTGATCGTGCACTAGAATATACTGGCAAATTTGTAAGCATGTTGATTTCAAATTTCGTTTCTTTCTTTCTTTCTTTTTTTAATTCATAACGTAAATATATAAATATATATATATATATATGTTAATTTATAGATGTATAGAATAAATGATGAGATGCCAAATATCTTAACTTCATATGAAAGTGAAAACAGTAAAGAAATAATTGTTCGATTATCTGAACCATATCAAATAAAAAAATGTGATATTCTTCCGAAAATCAAAAACGAATCATATGATTCTGAGATGAACGAAGGAAAAGAAGTTAAATATCAAGCTTATCAGAATAGAGAGCAATCTGTTGAGACTGTTGGAGAATGGCTTAATAAACAACATACCGATGAAGAGGAAATAGATATGCAAAATTATGATAAAAAGAAGATTGAAGTCAAAGGAGCGATTAATTTGCGTGTTGTTTTTGATGAAGACGACTTAAATTATATTTCTCCTTTACAAAGAGATGTCTTGGAATTTTTGTTCAAGGAATTTTAAGTGAAGGATTTGAACTAATCTTTGGTACTATTAGTGAAATTATATTGCTATCAATAAAGAATTAATATTATTAGAAAATTATTTTGCTAATATATAGAATAAATGTCACAAATTAGTATTAAAACTTTTGGCAATACTAGCTTATAATATTCAAGGTTTAAACATTTTCTTTCATTATAATTAATGACTGTAAAGTATCATTTAAGCCATAAATGTTATCATTATCAGCATTAGCAATAAAATTCATTGTAAAATTTGGTTTTTGGAACCTCACCAGGAAAAACTATTTTAATATTAAACTAATTAACTAGTTAATAATTAGGTTTATTATGAAAACAGCTAAAACAAGGCGGAATTCCTCCGTATGGTCCAGTTATGATATCATCTGAAAAATCACCCCATGATTATCGGATCTTAGTATAGTTAGGATAATTTTTACCAATAACAACAGCTATATCATAACTAAATAGAATGATTGAATATTTTAGGTATGTTTAATTATTAAATAATGATATAATAATAAAGCTTTCATACCAAATATTAAATAGTTTATTTTAGAGTTGGCAAAAAAAAAATAATCTTGTCCTACAAATCTATTGATTCCTAATTAGGATTAAGGTGTGAAATAAGTTTAAATTGATGTGAAGATGTGATAATATATTTTCAAGGAACTTTTATTATTTACGAAAATGTCTATTAGCAATAAAATTTCAATTCAAGACGTTGATGTCAAAGATAAAAATGTTTTGATTCGGTAATGTGAATTTTATTAATTTATTTAACAAATATCATAATTCTTCATTTAGTTAATTTCTTATTTCCCATAGCGTTGACTTTAACGTTCCTTTACAAGACGGAAAAATATCTAATAACCAACGTATAGTTGCAGCCTTACCAACTATTAGATATGCATTAGATAATGGTAATTGAATGTTTCTACTTATTTTATAGTAACACCTTTTCCATAGTAATTAATATTTTTCAAAATAGGAGCTAAGGCTGTTATTTTAATGTCCCATTTGGGCCGCCCGGACGGGAAATCAAACCCTAAATATACATTGAGACCTATTGCCGAGGAAGTCAGTCGTTTACTTGAAAAAAAAGTTATGTTCTTAAATAATTGTGTAGGCCCTGAAGTCGAATCTGCCGCGAAAAATGCGACTGGAGGTAGATTTTCTCATATTTATGTTATTCACATAATACAATTTATGATACATTATGATGATAAAACCTTGTTATGTTAGGCCAAATCATCCTACTTGAGAATCTTCGGTTTCATATTGAAGAAGAAGGTTCTGGCAAAGATGATGAAGGAAACAAGGTACTTTACAACAATCATATTCGTTATATTACGTTTTTACTTAAATTCTTTATATAATTAGATCAAAGCCAGTCCTGAAGATATAGATAAGTTTAGAGCATCTCTTTCAAAACTTGGAGATATCTATGTTAATGATGCATTTGGAACGGCACATAGACCACATAGTTCTATGGTTGGGGTAAACCTTCCAGATCGTGCTGCTGGTTTCTTATTAAAAAAGGAACTAGATTTCTTTGGCAAAGCCTTGGAAAACCCGGATAGACCTTTCTTGGCCATTCTCGGAGGGTAAGAATAAATTTTTGTTGTATTTTATCCCCTTAGAATTAATGTATATTTTGTGTGTAATTAATTCATAGAGCCAAAGTTTCCGATAAAATTAAATTGATTAACAACCTTCTCGATAAAGTTGATTCTATGATCATCACGGGTAATTTATCCTGAACTTAATGATTTTCAAGTTGGACATAAATTCTCATATACATATATAAAAAAATTTTTTTTTCATTAATAGGTGGAATGGCTTTTACATTTAAGAAAACTCTTAATGGCGTTAAGGTTAGAATCGAAAAAGGATATGTTTACGTACGAAGGAAGACAGAATGATAATGAATCTTCCAATCCTTTTTTCTTAGATCGGAAATTCTTTATTTGACGAAGAAGGTTCCAAAACGGTTGCTGATTTAGTTGAAAAAGCTAAGAAAAAAGGAGTTAAATTAGTTTTCCCAGTAGATTATGTAACGGGAGACAAATTTGATAAAGATGCCAATGTATGTATTATATTTTATCATAAATTATATATTTTAAATTAATAATTTAATAAAAAATTTATATTCTATCAGACTGGATACGCTACAGATGAAACAGGAATTCCAGATGGATGGCTTGGGCTTGATTCGGGGAAGAAGACAAATGAACTTTTTAAAAAAACAATTCTTGAAGCTAAAACTATACTATGGAATGGACCAACAGGAGTATTTGAATTTGATAAATTCGCAGCAGGTACAAAATCAGCTTTAGATGCTGTTACTGAAGCTACACAAAATGGAGTTATAACTATCATAGGAGGTGGTGATACTGCAACTGCTGTTGCTAAATGGGGTGCTGAGGATAAGATTTCGCATGTATCAACTGGTGGTGGAGCGTCTCTCGAATTACTTGAAGGCAAAGAATTACCTGGAGTAGCAGCTCTCTCTGCCAAATTGTAGTTATTAATTATAAGTAAATATTTATTTAATTATATTAATATTGTTCTTTTTATTATCATAGCTTTTTGGAAATAAATTTGGTTTAACATTTATTATGCGATTCGATTTTTTTTTTTTTTTTGATTTTTGCTTTGTAAAAGTAATTTTTTTTTAAATTATCTACAAAATTAAAGACCCCAAAGCAAGAGATGCCATAAAAATACCAGCATTAGCCCAAAATACAATTTCTTCTATTCCGTAATTAACTCCCTGATTGTACAATTTATTCATCCATAAAGGGCTTAAAATACTTCCTACACTTTCTATTACACTAATAGCACCTAAAATTTGACCAGCTTGTGTTGGCAAAACATAAGTAGTAAATAAACTTCTCATAGCGGGGGAAGTTATAGTTGCCAAACTATTAATTACACAAGCAAAATAAAACCAAAAAGGTTTTGCAGCTATAGCAAATAAAATGAACCCTATTATTTCCATAATGAGACCACCTCGCATTGTCCATATATCTAAAGAACGAGCATATGATGATTGATAACGTGAACGAATTAAACGTAATAATGGTAATAAAACAATTAATGCTATAAAACGCGTAAATGCTTGTAATGATAAAAAATAACCATTTTCTAATGATGTCCAATCAAATTTATATTTTGTATATAAATTTATGATTTCATTTTGAGCTGAATGATAATAAAATATGTTAGTGAAAAAATTGGTGGCTTTTTGATAAATAAAATAATTTTGTTTTTTTTATAACTTACCAGCTTGTGAAATTCTATAAATAAAATAAATTACAGCTAAAATATATATGGTATTTTTTCCTCTCCATGATCTATTTCTATTTCTATCACTATCACCTATTTCAACTGGTAATCTAGTAAGAATAGTTAATGGCGAAAAAATGTGACTAAAAGAAGTGGGTGGAGATGTTGAATAATTTAGTTCGCGTATATTAGAAGAGACTGATTCTGGTACAATAAATGAAACTACAAATAAAAATATAATAAGAGCACCAATTGCTATATAAAATACCGAAAGAATCGATCCTGTAACCTTTATAAATAAAATAAAATAAGTATGTATATAAATAAATTAGCTTAATGAAGTGAAACGTTCTTACCTTTACAATTAAACCACCCAAAGTAGGACCGATAGCCATACCACAAAATGCCGAAGCATGCATCAAACCAAAAGCAACACTTCTATTTTCACTACTGGTACAATCACTTAAATAAGCATGACATGCCGTGTTTATAGCAATTACACCCCCAAGTAATCCTTGAATAATTGATCCAACATATAACATCTTAATTCCTACTATCCTCCAATAATGAGCAACTATTATTATATTTATTATACCCAATATTATACCGAATGTTGATAATCGAAATATAAATTTACGTCCAAAGTAATCTGATAACGTAGAAAGATATCCAATTGATAAAGTCACTATACAAGTTTATATAAAATAATTTAGTTTTTATTTTAGAATAAATTAAAAAGAACTTAATAATTATTAATTAACCTGCGATATGTGATAAAGTCGCATACCACATCACATAATTTGATGCTAATATCCGAATTTCACGTAAATTACAATCATCATCATTTGATAGATTTTTATGTTGTTCTTTGAACTCTTTACATGCCAAATCCGAAATAAAGTGTATTATGGGAGCTTCGATTGAAGTCATGATTATAGATAAAGTTATACTAAACGGTATCATCCATAATAAATGGGGCCTACGAAGTCTTTCTAACCATGATTTTTGAACATTGTCATTATCATCAAGTAAATAGCTGGTTTCTGAAACGTCTTGTGAATTAAGGTCTGTATCATTATAACTTGTAGAAGCCATTGCACAATATAATATAATTTAACAAAATGTTACAATACTAAAATTATTAAAGACATTTGACGCAAATGACGTAACCAAAGTTTTCTCTTTTTTTTGCCTTTTCGCTCAAAATTCAAGGTTAGGTGCAAAAAAAATTTTGAAACAAAAAAAAAATTATTCGATTGCAAGATTACGCTAAATTTACTTTGTACATAAAAACTTGTGCATTATGACCTTGTTTTTTGATACTACCAATAAAAATTCTGTGTAATCTTGGTACGATGTTGAATATTTCGTTTCTAATAAACTTTTTAAATAATACACTGTATTTTTTTCATAAAATAAAGTATTACTAAATGTTAAAAAAAAAAAAAACTTTAAACCCTACTTTTCTTTCTGGTGCTCTATTATATTTGTGGTCTTTCTAATACACCACCACCACCAGTTACTAATTGACGATAAAAAATATTTCCGCGTTATATTCACCCTATATACCATCTTTTACATTCTTTCTCTCCTCTCGACTTATCTTCTTCGCGGAAATCATAGAGTACAACCGTTTCGACTAATCCAACCAAATTCCTCACGATATATACATAATGGGCGGGTCAGTTTCAAAAGCCTTGGGCAGGATCTTTGGTAATAAAGAAATGCGCATTTTGATGCTTGGTTTAGATGCTGCCGGCAAAACAAGTATCCTTTTTTACTTTTCTGACGCTGTCACTTTGAAATTTTTTCTCTTTATGATAAATAAATTCATTATCAATTCCTATAAAATTTATAAGTGTAATGATTCCTTGCCAAATCGTTAAAGTCAGGGAATTAGTTTTGAAACGATCGTAATTTTCTTAAATATTTTATCTCTTAACTTTGAAATTTACAACTATCTATAGCAATTCTTTATAAATTAAAACTTAATCAATCCGTGACGACAATCCCTACCGTAGGTTTCAACGTAGAAACTGTGACATACAAGAATGTCAAATTCAACGTTTGGGTTGGTACATTATTATTAATTATTAAAAATTCAGCGTGTGTGGGTTTACTAATTTTAATTTTTATAGGACGTTGGTGGGCAAGACAAGATTCGTCCATTGTGGCGCCACTATTACACTGGCACTCAAGGACTCGTATTTGTGGTGGACTCTCAGGATCGCGATCGAATTGATGAAGCACGTCAAGAATTACATAAAATTATTTCGGATCGTGAAATGCGTGACTGTTTATTATTAGTATTTGCTAATAAACAGGATTTACAAGGAGGTATGTCACTCACTTTTTAATTTTCACTTTTTAACTTTTGTCCCATAATTCACAATGAATTAACCCGTAATAGCGATGTCTCCCGCTGAGGTAACGGAGAAACTTGGTTTACATCGTATGAAAGAACGATCTTGGTATGTTCATCCTTCTTGTGCTACCACTGGAGAGGGTTTATTTGAAGGATTGAATTGGTTAAGTCAAAATGTCAAAACGAAATAAAAGATTCTTTCAATTGTAAGGTTGTAAGGTTTATTCTTTTTGTTCGAATATATAGATTAAAGATATTGGCTGGACCTCACATACGAGTTTGAATATTTATTATTTTTATTATTATTTTCCTTCAATAAATAATAAAATAAATTGTAACAGTATAAACGATTGATGTTATTTCGCCAATTTATAATATAATGAAATGGTTTAAATCCTTGATTTAAAAGAATTAATTGAAATTGAATATTTACATCAATGTAACAAACATTTATGCGTCTTTTTTGTTGGAATAATAAACCAATAAAATGAAATAACGTAACTTTTTCGATTGGTAATTAACAAAATCATTTTTTATTTTTTGCATTCATTGAATGAAAGTAAATCTAGTCTATCTATAAAACACATATTGCATTAATACAAATAAATAAACCAAAAGAAGATAATTTAAGGAAATTAAACACATATCTAGCAGTTATCTAGTATAGTGACTTCAAAGCATGCACGATTATTTAAAAACGAAAAAACTATTCTTCAATTAACCTTAGTTGGTAAAAGTCTCATGAATATTTATTATGCTACTAAATACTTCCGTGAATAGGGTCAAATATAAAAACTACGTTTTCAAAACTAATAAAGAGAGCGAACATTCTCAAATCTAATTTATCTGAAATTTTCTTTTTTTGTCTTTACTAATTAAGTGTTAATTTATATTAAATGAATTAAGTGAGGGATGCTTGCATAATTTGAAATCCATATTTCTATTTTTGACATCAAATTTTTTTTTAACTAATTATAACCGAATATTAAAAAAGGATCGATGTCGTGTAAAGTATGCAAGGTAAGACAGGTAAGACAATTGTTTGTTATCAACAAAGAGAAAAATTTTGACATAAATTTCGGAAGATTAAGTTTGATTAAACTTCTTTCCATCAAAATTTTTGTTCCTGAACAAAAAATTTTCAAATATTATTTTATTTTAATTCATTAATAATGTCTACCGTTGTGTCAAAAAATGTTCTTGAAGTTCTCTCTCTCTCTCCTGAAGAATATAGAAAGAGAAAAGTTGCTTTGATAACTGGTAATTTTTTATTTGTTCTTGATATTAGTTTAATATGTCATATTGAAATATTTGAAATAAAATAATGTATCAACGCATTTTGACATGTAATATAAATTTTCTTTTTACGATAAGGTATTACTGGTCAAGATGGTTCTTATTTAACTGAATTTCTTTTGGAAAAGGGATATTCTGTTCATGGTATCATTCGCCGATCGTCATCGTTTAACACAGGAAGGATAGAGCATTTATACAAGGACCAACATGAACGTGAGTGTATTTTTAAATGAGTCATTCGGAACTCAATTTTTTTTTATTATTCGATCTGCCACTGGATAAACTCCGGTTTACAAAACACGTGACAATTAGTGATTTTAAAAAAAAATAATATTTTCTTTCAACATAGGTCCTAATATGGTTCTACATTATGGTGACTTGACTGATTCAACTAATCTTGTCCATATCGTTTCTCAGGTTCTTCCAACTGAAATTTATAATCTGGGTGCTCAATCTCATGTAAAGGTTTCATTTGATATGGCCGAATATACCGTAAGTAAAAAAAAAGATATATAACATTCTTTTGAAAAAATAATAAATATATATATTTTTTCATTAAATTGTAATATTTATTAAATCAGGGTGATGTCGACGGATTAGGCACTTTGCGATTGTTGGATGCCATTCGAACTGTCGGTCTAACCAATCATGTCAGATTCTATCAGGTAATAATAATATTTTTTAAAATATTTGATATTTTTAATAAACAGTATTTATTAAAATCTCTTTTAAATTTTAATTAGGCTTCAACTTCTGAACTTTATGGTAAAGTCGTTGAAACACCTCAATCAGAAACCACACCTTTCTATCCTCGTTCACCTTATGGAGTTGCCAAATTGTACGCATACTGGATTGTAACTAATTATCGTGAAGCCTACAATATGTTTGCTTGTAACGGCGTTTTATTTAATCATGAATCTCCTCGTCGTGGTCGTACATTCGTAACTCGTAAGATTTCACGTGCTGTAGCTGAAATTTCCTTGGGTAAACAAGAATGTTTGTGGCTTGGTAACGTTGATGCCAAACGTGATTGGGGTCATGCCAGAGATTATATTGGTGAGTAAATTAAAAATATTTTTAAAGAAAATTAGAATCCAAATTTTTAATTTTCAATTATTTAACAATAAATATTTATTAGAGGGGATGTGGTTAATGCTTCAACAAGACGAACCCGACGATTTTATACTTGCAACCGGAGAAACTCATACAGTTAGAGAATATTGTGAAAAAGCATTTGCCGTAGTAGGTAAAACAATTTTATGGGAAGGAGAAGGTGAAGCCATCGTTGGTAAAGAAGAAGATACTGGTAAAATTAGAATTCGGGTTGATCCAAAATATTTCCGTCCAACCGAAGTTGATTTATTACTTGGTGATCCTACAAAGGCTCATAAAAAACTTGGTTGGAAACGAAAAGTTGATTTTGATTCTCTTGTAAAAGAAATGGTTTTAGCTGATATTGAAGGCGCTAGAATTGATTCTAAAAACTAAAATTATAATATATACATATAATATTATATATAATTTTTTTTTTATTTTTATTAAACTTTTTGTGAAAAAATTAAAATCATTTTTTAACAAAATACCTGAAAGTCAGATTTCACGTGATTTGTGTTTATCTTTAGCAAACTTCTTTGTTGAATAAGATCGATATCATCTTGCGGGTCAAAAGGATAATCAAATGCACGTCGCATTTATTTTAATATCAAATTAAATTTTACTGTCACACAAACCTACGTTTAAATAATATACAGTATTAACATAATTATTCGCTTTTTATAATTAACTTTGATTTAATTAAACATTTAGCTGGCGAAAAAAAATTTTTAAACCACGATTTTAAAAAGAATTACTTATTTGAGAAACATGTTTTTCAATTTTACCGAGCATAGAATGTTTTACACGGTGGTTACTGATATTTTAGCGTTCTGTGCTGAACTGCTGATGTGAAAAATTAATTTATCTAAACTAACAAATTAATCTACTATCTTCAGTTTTAGTCTTCAATTTTGTTTTAGTTCATCGAAAGTGTTACCCTTTTGTTTGTATCTCAATAAATGATGTTTTCTCGATAAAAAATTAAAAAGATGCGAAAACATTTGGTTTAAATTTTACAAAAATGAATATTTTCATAATTTTTTTTAACATGAAATATTTCATAATTATTAATTTCAAAATTATTTGCCTGATGGGACATGGACAGGGTCACAGGAGTGTCACAGGGACATACCGTACGTCTGTACCGGAATGTCCCGTACAAAGAGGATAATATATGGTCAAATCACTTAAATTGGGTGGTTGGTACCAGCTTACCAGATGGAATTCCGTTTTATATTTTACGATGGGTCAGTCCTCCGATCTTCCTTGCAGTACATAGCAGAAATAATGCGTCATTAAAACATTCGAACTTTATTTTAAATAATTATCAATAAAATATGTAATCAATTTTAAAACTACATTGAAGTTGGTGAAGATCCAAATGTAAAAATATTTCGTGCACAATAGCACTTTCACACGTTACAATCCCGAATATTAGTAATTATATATTTTAATAGACTGTAAGGAATTTAACCCACTTTATGGGATATCTGAATCAAGAAATTTCTTTCTTGGAAAAATTAGGTAATAGGCACTACGAAGAACATTACTCAAAGCAAAACTACTGAAAAACAATAATACTGAAGATAAATATCCCTCATTACAATATAAAAAGAAACAAACATATCCCACATGTAAATAAATTTGAAAAATAAAAGGGTATATAAATATGTATAATAATCTGCCTTTATGAAATTTTTCCTTCATAATAAATATAAAGATACAAATAAAAAACAACGGGATTGCAAGCAATATAGAAAGAATACTAATCCATTGAAATACAATCATATATCCTGAGGGTGAGAAATTGATTTTAAAATAGATTTGAAAAATTATTTGAATAACGTAAAGCGGAACAAAGAAAAAGCCTCGGACAATATTACGCCAACGTCTATTAGTTATAACCTGCGTTAAAGTAATTACACCGCATAAAGAATACATTATGAGGGAACATATATTGATAAAGCTAGGTACGATTTTATCATTTAATGAGAAGAATCTGATCGTCATGTAGGTCATAAGGGCCAATAATACCATAAATTGTATTACTGCAGTTCGGATTACGAATCTTTTTAATTTAGCGATAAACCCTTCCTCGTCATCAGGAGGATTTGAGAAGAAAGTTAGCAGTAAACCAATGGTGAAAGATAAATAATTTCCGAATGCAACGTGTGCAACGTCACGAACTATGACATAGCACATAGTTGAGGCGGAAGATACGTTAATTAAAAACATAAAAAAAATGAACCATGAAAAAGATTTAATTAGATGTGATTTCTTCATCATAAAGTTACAATTATTAATCATTTAGTAATTCCTTAATTGACTTCAATGAAGAAATAATAAAAAAAGAGATCGTAATTAATTAATTAAAGAAATGATAATAATAATATATAAATTCAATAAACAAAAATTAAGAAATAGAGGTCATAAAATTCGAAGAAATGAGAAGGAAAAGGAAGGCTCATTTAAAAAATAAAAACTTTCGCGGTAACACTGCTTTCAAATTCATTCTCCAAATGACCATAAAATTGGGCTGTTTATCATTACTTTATGAAGAAGAATCATTGAAATCTAATTATATAACAAGATTTTATATTTAGGAACAAATGAAGGTAATTACTTATTAATATTTATACATCTAAATGGGGAAACAAATCCGGGAATCATATAAAAAAGGTCTTTCATTTGTAATTGTTATAATTTTGGTACAAATTTATTAATATTCTTAAAAAATGTATAATTTTCAAAATATAAAAATATTTGAAAGAAAAATACAATGACAGACAAACAATAACTATTTATAGAAGATATAAACTACAATATTATTAATATTATTTATTATTAATATTAAAAATTAATTTTGGTTGTGTCTTGTGATAAAGTTGCAGTGATGGTGACTAATAAATGCGCGGTCCCAAAGAAATTGTAATTGTAAACCAAATTTGATCATTATATTTAAAGACTAATAAACGATTGACAGTTGAAATAATTTATTCGATTTGAGAATTTTTGAATCTCAAATATCCGACTGATTTTTGTCCATCAACCATACACTTATATAAGTATATACATTATGCATTGAAAAACTAAAGGGAATTATAACTGGAAGGGAATGGAAAATCCAATTCCAATGAAAAGTTTCCAAGGAAATCACTGTCAGCATACCAATTAATAGTTAGTCATATCTATAATTAAAACTGCTGCTTTAATTTTCGTAATAATATTGGGGCAGACCTAATCGAATAATCGTATAATAATAATAATTCATCACTCTTTCAGATTGTAACTGCCGTTACTTTCGCAGGGTCTGTACGCAAACAATTGGTCTAAAACAGATTTTATTTATAAAAAAGACTACGAAATTATTATAATTAATACAACTTTTTAAAGCCCTATTTACAATAAAAAAAAAAAGACTAATAAAATTAAAATTGTTCTATAAAATAAAATACTATTCATAATTTATATTAATACTGATTTTAAGTTGTCTCAGCTTTATCGTTATTATCTAAAGTTTTTGATTGTTCTTGTTCTATTATTGGTTGATTTTGTGTCTCACCTGAATCATTATTGTTCTCATTAACTTGTTCATTTTCACTTTCATTTTCACTCATATGACTACTTGATTGAATACCAAGTTCCTCGCTAACGTATTCACTATTCACTCTCGAAGTTATATTTGTTGTCGCCGTTGAATCCCTAAAATGTACCATTCTAATTCTTTCCTCTTCTCCAAGGACATCGATTAAATCCCTAGAGGCCCTTACTTCTGGCAAACTTCTACGACGTAAACTGAGATCATTAAATTCAATCTTGGACGTACGCCCAATAGGGCCAGGATTTGTTTTACGACGTTTTAAAGGTGGTGCCATTATACGCCCTGTACCTTCTTCTTGTGAGAATGCATATCCTCGCATTGGTTCCGTTAATCCTGTTCGCATAAATGTCATGCTTGTAGGAACCTCTGATACTTCTAAATTATTATTAACATATTCTGGTGGTATAGGAGGAACAGGTGGTGTAGGTGATCGAGTATCTAAATTTGTACGATCCGTAGCAAAACTTGGACGTGTAGAATATGTCACTACTCCTCCTTCAGCAAATATGGGCGATATTGATTCATTTCTTGAATACAATGATTCTTTCGTTGATTGCCTGGCTAAGCTTACGCTTCTATATATAAGTGGATCTCTCGAGAAATTATGTTTTGGATCGGTCTTGATAATTTCTTGAATAATATTGACATCTATAGGTCTGTAGTTTCTTTGGTAATATTTCCAAGAATATCTTGGAAGCATGGAAATAATTACAGTTAATAATATACAGAACCAAAATACCCCTCCACCAAACACAGAATAGTTAAATCCATAGATCGCTGCAAACGGGATTAAACTATAGACAGCTATGTAAAGTAAAATTAAAGCTATCGATCCAAAAACTGAAATATAATGAAATATTGTCCAACATTGTGCATTGAATCCGGTGAACAAGTTTGCCATCGTGATACATGCAACTGCCATTGTCGTTCCCATTTCAAGATAATCAGGTGTACGTCCTTTATCATTGACACTTCCTTTTTGATAAGCAAAATATGAAACAAAGAAGCATATCACGGATTGATAAATACCTTCAAGCATATAATATAAAAATGTTAGCATCGTATAAGCTTCTTGGTTAATACCTCTCTTGTATAATTCAGGTACTTCAGTAGCAACATTATCGGGCACATCCCGATCGAATACACCAATTGAAAGTACAGCTACACATGTGAAAAATAAATTCCAAAATAATGTATAAGTATATTCAAAGACAATAGTTGTAGAGTACCCGCAAAAGAATTGATACCAAAATAAACTCCCAACCCCTATCATATTTTTATAAAAGAAATTGAGAATCATGGAGGAATTTCGAATATATGCATAATGTCCATGAACTAACAAAAGACGAGTAAGATATCGAAACTGTGCAATAGCATAATCTGATGCCATAACAGCCTGTAATCCTTCTTCTCCCGCAACTCCTATACCAATATGTGCGGCTTGAATCATACTAACATCATTAGCTCCATCTCCAATAGCACAAGTCATTACATTCTTTCCCTCCTTAACTAATTCTACAACTTTAGCTTTTTGTAATGGTGACACACGACAACAAATGACTCCTTTGCATCGACAGGCCAAATCTAATAACAAGTTCCTACTCCAAGGTTCTTCCAGGGCATACTTTAATGCTACTCCATCGATAATTAAAGCATGTCCTCCAGGTCTTGGTGAATTGGATACACCTGAAATAATGGAAAGACTTCTTCCCAAACTCATTTCACGTGCATGTGAAGTTGATGGTCGAGGAACACTGTTGACCGACATAACAGGAGGAACTTGAGAGCGTATATTATTTTGAATATCCTGATCAGTGGGAAAGAATTTTTCTACGGCATTACGCATTTGTTCGTAAGCGCTACCCGATTCTCCATAAGCACCTCCACGAACAATAATAAGGTTCATGTCTCTACTTAATAAGCATGTCGAAAATCCGATACTTATTGCAGTTTCCATCTTATCACCAGTCAAAACCCATATTTTAATACCTGCGCGTTTAAGAGTTGCAATACACTCTGGCACACCATCTTGCAAGCGATCTTCGATTGCGGTAGCACCAAGTAGTATTAAATCTTTTTCAATTTGATTGCTAACAATTTCAACTCTTTTGTCACGGTCTACAATTGAAGATGATGCTTCCCGAAACTCGATATTCCATTTTTGGTAAAAACCAGGATCAATATCTGCGTAACCTAAGCAAAGCGTCCGAAGACCTATTTTAAAAGAAGTTGTTAAATTAAAAATCATAACAAATTTGAAATTTAGATATTAAAAAAAAAAGATTTTACCTTCTTTTGCAAAATCTTCTAAGTGCTCGCCAGTTATATTTGCCCTATAATCTTGGCCACTCTTTAGTCTTTCAAAAATGACATTATCAGCTCCTTTACAATATAAGGTTATACGGCCATCCGTTGGTGATCGTACAATAATACTCATCCTTTTCCTTGAACTTGTAAATTCAAGAATATTTAATAACTCAAAGTGGACTTCCTTACCGTCCGGTGTAGTAATAGTAATGTTATCAGTTTCGCGAGAACGAAAAGTATAACCCACGTCTTTAGCAGCTTGTACAAGTGCAGCTTCATCAGGCGATTGGGCTTTATATTGTTGTTCTCCATCAGAATTTGTATTGACCAATACGGTATGACAAATTGCAAGAAGGGTGAAAAAATCATTAATAGTTTTCGAATAATCAGAATTAGTCATATCTTGTTTAAGCTCATGGTCGGTAAATGGCTTCTTTTCTTTCTTTTCTTTCTTTTCTTTCTTTTTTTCATTAATTTTTTTAGAAGATCCTGATTTAGGAATATCTGATTGAGAAGTTTTTGCATTTGATACTAGAGATGGTGTCGATTTACTATTATCATTGGTCGGAGTGGTTATAACACCTTCGGAGTCACTCTCTGAAACTTCACCTTGATAAACTTTCCCACCTATAGAACATTTACGAAATGCCATTACATTTCGTGTTAAAGTGCCGGTTTTATCGGAAAAAATGTATTCAATTTGACCTATATAATAATTATAAATTAATATATTAGCAAAAAATGTATCTATAAAATATCGCTTAATATAATGTACCTAAATCATCTGATAGATTCCAATTTTTAGGAACGCAAGGCGTATCAGTTTCAGGATAACGCATTTCATCATCCATGAAAATAAAGAATGCCTAAGAATATTAAATATATTTATTTAAATAATGTATTGAGTGTAATATCTAAAGCACGTGACCATACTTACTTGAACCGACTTAACAAATTCAATTGACAAATACAATGAAATGGGAACGATGTTTTGAAAAGCAATTAAGGCATTACTATAAATCAACACAGTTAATAAAAAAGAATAAATATAATATAAAAAGGAGAAGGCGAGAAATCAAATAATTATTTACCAGAAGGCTAAAAAGGCGTTTAGTTCAATCCCTCTACTCCCTTGTTCAATATAAGTTGCATTTCTTCCTAAATTATTTGTCTCCCAAATTTTGCTACCAATGGCACACAAAGCACACATAGATCCCATTATGGCCAAGTTCGCAAGGCTAAATAAAAAAACTTTACTTAATTCGACTACAATAGAATTTAAATAGCTACGTGAATAAAAATAAATAAACAACGTACACTTGCGGATTCATCATTTTTTCAATACGACTTCTTTTTGAAGGTGTATCACCAGAGTTTAATGAAAGCTTGGTATCACTGCCAGTAAAAACTACCAAACCAATGACCCATTCAGTATTTTTTAACACGCAGCCTCTTAATAACATAGAATTCAAATTTATTGGAATTTTGATAGGACCGCCGCGAGAGCGCGGTCTATCTGGTAGTCCAGAAGGAAAAACCAATGTAGCGTTATATGAAAATAAGTTTGTTGTAGGAGGTTCCGAGTCAACATAGAACCGAACATGTGTACAATCATCTGGTGTCGTTAAATGATCAATTTCTGGGACACTTGATCTTATTTTTAAATTTGTTTCACCATCAAGATTTTTTGTTTCAACATAACAAAGTGAATTAGGTTCGGATGTAGAAAGAATGATAATGTCTAACAAAAGGGTATGATTAAATAATTTTCAAAAAAACTAATCAATAAGGAGCATTAATTATTTTGACCTACCAGCTGGAATAAAATCATCATTATGTAATTTAATGAAATCTCCTACACGTACATCTTTGAATAATGTTTCCTTCCATTCCGGACTTTCTCTTCCTGCCGGTTCACCAACTGGGGTTTTTTTGTTAAATAAGGATATTATAAAATTAATGAAGGAATTAGACGCTGCACCAGTATAATTTACGTTCTTCCAATTCCCCAATGTCCGTGTTTTCCTATTGTTAACGGACCTATCAGTTACATGACGTTTAAAATCTTCAAATCCATCTTTAATTGAAGTTATACCCAAAATTATAAACATGGGCAATGCTGCAACTACGGGTTCAATTGTAGCAAATTCTGGGAACCATTGTAATACGACTAATAACAAGAAGAAAAAATTGGCAATACGCCGAAATTGTTCGTACAAATTTTTTGGGATAAAAGTAAAAATACTATATTTTGAAGTTACAACTTTATTTGTGACATATTTTTGTTTTGGATTTCCATTTTTATCAAGTTTTGCTTGAGGTAAAGGTTCGTTGACATATACTTGACGAGCATTTAATTGTGGTTTTCTAGGCCTCCAAAATTTTAGACGAGAGAACATCTCTTTTGACCCAATACTTTATTTAGATCGGGTTGGAAAAAAGAAAAAGATGTCATTTTGTCATTTACTAATAGTTAAACAATTAAATATTCCGAATTCGGTAAATACTATCATCCAATTTTTCCGGAAATTTCAAGTTACAGAGTTACGCTATTTATAATTAGATCTTGGAGACAGGATCTATTATTAAAATTTTAACCGGGTTATAAACCTGATTTTCCAAGATCACGTGAAAACTTAATTTGTCTTAAATAATTTTCCTTTTTTATCATAAATCAATTTATATTGTGTAACATTTCGAATTTTTAGGAAACTCTGAAATCACTCTTACCTCAACATTTTTTTTTGCGGTTCGAAGCATTTTGATATTTAATATGTTGGACAAAGACCAAATACGAAATCCGGCACCAAATTTTAACCGTTTATTTAGTCGTAGGAGTAGCACTATCAGGCTCACACTTGTTACTTTATTCATAGGCACAATAATATGGATCATGATCTTAAAACCTTTAGCTGAATCTGATACTTTAACTAGTGATACAGCGAAAATTAAAAAAGAATCTACACAACCAACATGGCAAATAGACTTGAAGAAAACAATTGATGAACGATTTAGTGTATATAAAAAGGAACAATTTGAAGAAGTAGCTTTAAAAAAGAATAGGATGATTCCAGTAACAGCAGTATTGTTAAATTGGAAAAGAATGGAGGCTCTGCAAACAGCAGTTAATTATATTTCAAAATATCCATTTATAAAAGAAATTCTTGTATGGAATAATAATAATAAAACTAGGATTTATTCTAAGGTAACTGTTACTTTTAATTATTTTGTTGGAGTCATCAAATCACTTGTTTATTCCATTTACCTTTTCTAGGATTTTAAGCTTAATAATAGTGATGTTGAATTAAATGTTTTTAATTCTGAAGAAAATCTTCATGATCTTTCAAAATATACAACTTGTTCAATGGCAAAATATGATTATTGTTATTTTCAAGATGATGATTGGTTAAATTTATACATGGATAGTTTATATACAAATTTCCTTGAAAATCCAAATTTAATTCACTCAAATTCAATGCCAGTTATCTATTTAGAAAGCAGAAGATGGATGTTTGCAAACGCAGATAAAAATCTTCATACAGGATTTACATGGCTTGGATGTGGTTCTTTTGTATCACGGGCAAAAGTTCAAAGATTTTTAGGGCAACTTGGTTCAATTTCCTTAATTAAAGATAGGTTAAAGCTTGCAGATAGGTATTTTTCTTTATGGACTAATCAATATCCATATCAGTTATCAAATCCATTAACACCTTTAGATCAAAAGGATGGATGGGGTGTGGATCAATGGAATATGGTCTACAATAATATTGTAAGTCCTAAATTTAGGCGTATTGTGAATATGATAGCATTTTATTAAAAAAATGAAACAAATACCTATATAATTTAATTTTCAGTTAGATGCAACTCAAAAGTTATATACAGCATTAGCTGTAAAATCGAATTCTGAATTTTTCGCTCGTGAAGAAGAGAAACCTTATTATAATGACAGAATTATCAGGTAATTTAACTTAATGGTTTAAATAAATCTTTATTGTAATTTTTAATTTTTTTTCTTTTATCAATATTATTATTATTAGGGCTCCATGTTTAAATGATAAATGCCTTTTTCTGACGAATATTGATCCATTTCCTCATCCATCTCGTGTTTATTATGCAAATAATATTACACATGTTCGTGATCAGGAATCAAAATTTAATAAATTAGATTTCCCTAGTAAATTTTTTTGGAATAATTATGCATATCATTATGCTGTTGATTCTGATGAAAAAACATGCTGGAATTCATTTAAAAGTAAGTTCAAAATACTTTTTAATTAGTTTTTTTAGAGAACAAAAGAAATCTCAACTTTTTTTTTAAATAAATTTATAGTTCCAAAGATTGGTGATTACTTTGGATTACAGTTTATTGAACCTAGATTTCCAAAAAAGATTACGGTTATATCATCAAGAGATTTTGATGCGTCTTTTTATATTCGAGTTTCTTCAGGCGGAAATAGATGGGTAAACAAAAATTATTATTTAGTCTCTTTCTTTGGTAAAAAATAAAAAAAAATTATTCATATATTATTTCTTTCTCCCAATTTAGCGGACATGTAATATAACTAGTTCCAATAATACCGATCACAAAAATAGAAATACATTTGAATTTGATTGTTCGAATACTGTTAAAAATAGACAACTTATTAGATTTATAAGGATTGAAGCTTCAAGGGATTTTCTTGAACCATTTGAAATTTGTTCTTTAATTTTAGATGAATTAAATGTATAATAAGTAATAATATTATATTTATAAAATTAATGTTATATATTCACAGATCCTGTATACATACACTTTGATAGTTTAGATAATAATAGACATCAGCAAGCTTTGTAATAAATCAATTGTATATTTTTTTTTTTTAGTTTTATTATTATCCTTTTTTAGAGGAGACATTAAAAATACAATTAATAATTTATTTCTTAAGTTCAATTTTCTCAACTAATCCATTACCCAATCTTTCTATTTCCAATATAATAGCTTTAGTATTTATGATAACCATTCTAGAATCATCATTTTTTTTCTTTTTATCATTTTGAATTCGTTGTATTTTAGAATCATCTTTATTTGCTAATACCTATTTAGGCATTAAAAAAAATAAACACGCAAATAATTATAAATAATATTGATACAAAAATTAAAAAAAAATTATAATTAATTAATTACTAACCTTGTTTCTTTCTCCACTTGGTATTAAACCAACGGGACAACTAGAAAATCCAGTATTAACCTTCCATGGTTTAGGAATAAAATTTATAGGATTCCAAACTAAACCAATAAATGATCCACCATATTTATCATAAAAAAATAATGCTGTATCTGAATATATCTTTTTTAATTCATTTACATAACATTCTACTGGATCAAATCCAATTAATGGCCATTCTTCCTCTTTTTTATTTACATTATTTTCTGAATCTTTCGATTTACCTTCATTTTTATCATCAATACTCGCATTATTATTACTAATACTATTATTATCATCATTATTATTATTGCTTCTATTACTAATTCCCGATTCCAATTCAAAAAGTTTTAAAATATTATTCGATTTTGTATTATTCAAGCTTTCATTATTCTTTTCAAAATAAGATTTATCAGGATTTAAGTTTTGATAATAACGCGTACATAAATTTGGATTCAAATGTATTATTGCATCATAATCTTGTAATGGTGTAATAAATAATCTCTAAAAGTATTCCATGACACGAAAAAAAAACCATTAAATATTTAAACAAATGATTAAAAAATCAAAATTACAAAAAAAAAAATTTTCTTTCCTTACTTTGAACTCTTTATTATCAACTTTTCCTCCTTTAAAGATAATTTTATCGACACATTCAATAGCAGCTTTAGCCAATTCTTTAATTCTAATAGCTACAACTTTACTAGGTTTTTCTTCTCCCCATATAATTCCTTCATTTGAAATTGTGTTAATAGTAGCCAAAAACATTGAAGAATGTTTATAATTTCCATCCTCCTTTCTCATATTTTTGAATCTCTCTAAGAGATTTTCGAAAATATTTTTCTTCGCCGTCTCGTTCGTTGCAATTGTATTACTAGAAGTACCGATTACAACATTACCTCCTCTTTTACTATCATTTGATTCATCTAAATCAACTATAACAGGATCATTTTTCAAATCCCATCCAGCAATAAACTTTAAAACCCTCAAAAATCCTACGAATCCACTTGAAGGCCTTTCCCACGGACTAGGACTTAAATAAATTACAGCACATAATATTTCAATAAATTCTTCTTCAATATGTATTGATGTTAATAAATGCGCACCAAACCATCTTTTAGTTAACCTAATAGCTAAAGAAAGAGATGGATATTTATTACATAGTGTTTGTATTTGTGTATTATGTAAAGGTAGGTGAATAAACTTTCTTTTTAAACGTAATAAAGCATTCGTATAAATATCTCTCTTAATTGAAGTAGTCATCTTATTTTTTATACCACGATCCAGTAAAATTAATTCCCGTTCATGATGTATAAAACATCTAAACGAGAATCCTGTTGTAGTAGAAAATACTTCCAAAAATGCGTCTGTTGATATAATCGTATCTAAATTTGGTTTAGCAACAACTCTAGTTTTTGTTTCAGGAAATTGTTTTTTAAATTGATTTGATAATAAAATATAAAAAGCTATCTTCATTTTCTGTATAGCAACGAGATCATCAGGCCACTTTGTTGAATATTCAAACTGGATAATAATGTCAATAGGTTCAATGTAATGAGATGGAAAAATAATAACTCCATTCTTTCGTTTCAATTTAATCGGTTGAGGTGTAAATACAGATGAATATCGAAGTGAAGGACTTGAACCTTTAATACTTGATACCCTCAAAAGTAAATCCTCTAATGCATAACATTGCTTTACCAAGTTATCATATGCATTCATGACATGCTGAAATCCTTGATTACTTAATTCTGGATTCCAAATATTTCTTGGAACATTACTGGAAGGCATAACAAATTTATTCAATTGTTCTGCCCAATATTGAATCCCTTTGTTCTCTTTAATTCTATAATGTAATGCCATCAAATGTAAAACTATTTGATTAACAATTAAACTTCTTGACTCAATTCCTTTTTGAGAATCCCAAACCATACATTCCAAAATATTTCCATCTTTAAATCTTCTAGTTTCTGCTTTTTTCCCCCATAATTTACGAAACTTCGCTACCGCGATTTCGTCTACAGGTGATGGACCATAATCGACAAGTCGATTTGATTCATCAGGATTAAATATAAACCCAATATAAATATGTATATTTGACGATGAATAAGTTTTTGGTTGTTCAGAGGTTAACCAAGATGATAATTTGCTATAATTTACTGCAATTAAATTGACCCTATTTGTAAGTCCTTGCTTAAGCAACTTTGGCATTGTCCTTGCAAAGTGTATAAAACTATCAGGGAAGTTCAATTTTGCAGATTCATCATATTCATTATACGACTTTGGTAGCTGAGTTATTCTAATATAGAAGGGAGGGAATTTAAGATTTTGAATCACGAAAAATATTTCAAAAATATTGTAAACCTTACTTTGCAACATTATCATATCTTAATTTAATATCATCAACCTTCTTCAAGAACAAATCTTCAAATCTATCAACATGAGACTCATTAAGATAATCCATCGCCAACTTAGCCTCATGTTGTAGCTAATTTAAATATAAAAAATCATTATATCATCTAATTTTTAATATATAATACCAACAATTAAAATTACCTGATCTAGAGAGGCTTTTGACATTCTACCAAATAAATTCAATGTTCCATAATCATCAACAAATACCACTTCAAAATTATCCTTGAACGTATTCTCATTAAACTATAAAAAGAATATAATGATTATTTTTATATTTATGGATATGGCACAAATATCATTTATCTATCGTTCCAAATCAAATGCATATTTCGTTCCTCTTATTATGAAATACATACCTCATCAGTTTTAGAACTCTTATTCATAAAAACAGGATTGCTAACAAAATCATGTTTCGCTATAGGAAAATTAATGGATCTTTTAATATTTGTTACAAAAAAAAAGACCTATACATATTGAAATGTGTTTTTTTACCTAAAAAATCCATAGTCCCTTTCATTAACTGATAAGAACTAAATCCATTGGCTAACTTTTTTTCTCCATTATGACCCCCACCTTGTAACAAATATTTCATCAGCATTGACCAAACAAATCCATTAAATCCACTAGATCCATCTTCATCTCCACCAAATCCTCTTTGATTAAGCCAAACTTTAGCTAATTTACATGCATCGGCGAAAGCAGCACATAATTTTGATTGTTTATAAAGATCATGTAGATTTCGTACATAATACATATCTGATAAAATTGCATTATTATATTGAGGCGTTGGTGGAAGATCTGAACCGGAATTTTGAGATTCATTTATCTCATGATATGGTCGAACGTTGTTACGTGAAGGCGATAATCTTTTAGAGGGAAATGTTTCTGGTGAAATGCTTGGCAACACTCTAATCACACAATTCAACTTTGAGAAATCTGTATCCGTATGATCTAATTTTAAATAATCTTTCGAATTTAATATTTAATTATATATTCAAATTATTATATTAATATTGTAGACATGTACTGACCCCCAGATGGTTTAAGTAAAAGGATAGGACGACGATTATCACCATCGAGTGTTCCAAATTCCACTTTAACATTCAATCCTAATTTATTATTTTTTAGAGCAGCGGCTAATACTGCAAGATAATATGCCCTCTTATGAAAATATCTATAATTCATATAATCTTTCTCCTGAAATAATGACTAAAATAAAAAAAGAAGAATTAAACATAATATTGTTAAGAGAATACATGACTAAACATAAAAAATTTACCCGAGGCATTATAACAGCTACATCTACATTAAAACAATCTTTTCTGCGAACTACAGATTTCAAAGGATAACTTCCGACTAGGTAGAAAGCATTCGGTTTCTTAAAACCAAATTTGTACTTGATATCATTTGTAGGACGTGGAACCGGAAAAGGAATGACAATCTTATGATGTTTTAACATTTTATCTGTGATCTCTGATATCTATCAAATAATAATGTGTAAGTTCAACATTAAATAAAATTTTTATTCTTACAATTGATTTATTGACTTAATTTACCGTAAGTTCTGGTTCATTATCAATATTCTCAAATATTTGTTTTAACTTATGTAAAGCATTCTCCAAACGTGTTGCTGCGTTGTAATCAATATTCACTTCAGATAAAAGTTCATCAATCTATTTAAAAATTTCGTATGTTAAACTATTTATTTATAAATTTATAATATTGAAATATTAACTTACCTGAAGTTTAAATATATTGGATTTAAATAAATCAGCGGTTTCTCTTAATTCTTGAATTTCTTCGTTAGTTGGAGCTTTAGTAATTGAAGAATTTTTAAATCCAGAAAACTTATTATTAGCTACTGCTTCATCTGTTTCATTGTGTGCCTCTTTCGTTTTTTCTTCGTTCAAATTATCTCGAATTTTTTGTAAAGAACCTATTCCTGTATAATCTTCTTCCTCTTCATCATTTTCGATATAATCATCATCACCTTCTTCCTCTGCTTCAATATCCATATACTTATGTACACCTTCATCGTCCTCGTCGTCGTCGTCGTCGTCATCATCATCATCCGCTTCAATATCCATGTATTTATTCACATCATCATCGTCGTTATCATCATCGTCATGATCCAGATACTTTCCGGCTTCAAGTAAATCAACATCATCATCACTTATAAAATCTACTTCCTGCTTGGAAATTTTTTTCGGTTGAGAAATTGAATCAGATTTTTTAGTAATTGATCGCTTCTTTGATGGCGGAGATAAATCATCATCATTATGCTTTGATTTCGAATTATTCGAATTGTTATTCTTGATTTTTTTAAAAAAAAATTTAAATTTTTTAAATTAATTTTTAAATTGAAAATTTTTTTTCGATTAGACACGAAATAAAAAATGAAAACGAGAATAATGGAATTAGTACATTATTTTTTTCCAATTCAGTATTAACAAAATTTGGATTTGATTTTCTTTTTCGTTTCGATCGAGCCATATTTTAATTAAATTTTTTTATCAGGAGAAAAAGTATTTGTTTTATAACTATAAATAAATTTGAAAAAAAAAATCGTGAAAAAAAAAAAATTTTCGATCAGTCATAAATGATATCTAAGAGTTTTAATTGGATGAAATCTTAACGTGGCGTAGTTTTAAAAATATTAATACAAAATAAGTATAAATGTACTAACTATATTTTTCTTAATTTTTGTAGCAAGTGAGGAAAATTCATGTTTGGCTGGACTGTTCCATCAATATATAATTCACTAATTCACGAATAACAAATATTACGAAATTCTTCATTCGAATAGAAACATTTCGCTATCCTCGGTGAACGAACTTATGGTCCATTTTCAATGGTATTAGGTAATCCTGTTTAATATAAGGAGATATATAAAAAGATTAATAAACTTGAATTCGAGTCTAAGAATGAATAAAATTTTTTGACATTTATATTTAAGTATTCGAAAGATTACGCGCGATTCTAAAGAAAGAAATTTAGTTATATATAAACGCAAACAAATAAATAAATAAAACAATTATGTGATACTTTCGACAGTCATATTGTAGCTAAATAAGAAAAAAAAGTGGAGTAAAATCCCTATTATTTGTTTTGCTCGTAAATAATTATATAATAAAATATCGAAATTTGCAACTACTATATATGTCCTGACGTTTGACAAGGTGATTGATTCCAAGAAATTCTTTGAACAGTCATAGGGCGAACATATGTCCTGTTTGGCGGTCCACTAAGAAAAAAAACATTACAAAATCTTTAAATAATCATTTCAAACCAATTTTTTTTGCAACACCTTATTACGATACAAGGTTTTTCATCTTTTTTCCAAGCAATTTTAGTGATGCCAAGTCGTGTATTTGTAGTGGACTTGGATTTAGTGAAATGTCTGGACTTCCGGAAGAGGGCGGACTTTCTGTTGGCTGTTTTAAAGAAACATTATTTTGCATTGTATTTGTGCTAGGATTGCGAACTGATGTCGATGCTGATGATTGAACAGGTTTGACTCGTTCTGCTTTACTCGACAGGAAAATTTGATGGATTAGCATTGTTAAAAGAATTTTGGATCGTTAGAAAGTATCATTGGTAGTAGACTTTGTATCGATTGTTCGGCTGTTAAATTTCGTATTGAAGCGGTATTGAATTGACTTGTCCAAAATCTAGAATAGCTTTAGGTATTTCTGTTACACATCTCATAAAAATAATAGGAAAAAGAAAATCTACCCTGTTTCATTATTTTTTAGAAAAAAAGAAAATTTTTTAAATGAGCAGGTTTGTAAAATTTTATTTCTATTTATAATTGAGCCAAGCAATAAAGACGTAATATTTGATTAAAATGACGGATATTTTTATGATTGATTTAAAATTTTTTTCTATTTCATTTGATCGTATCTTTTAAAGTTAGATAAGTTGTACCATACACGGTATTACTCCCTTCCGTTTTTCGAAGAAAATTTGCGTCTTTGAATTATCAATCTATCGGACTCTATCCTAGTGTGATCGTTATTTTTATAATAATAGTTGCCTTTGCCAATACTTAAAAATCAAAAAATCAATTTATCTGCGAGATTACTACAAAGTACTAGTACTGAATTGAAATCATTTTTAAGCGCACAGTCGAAAAGATTCACAGTAGCAATAATTACAAATCGTATGCTGTAGTCAACCCACGTTTTGCGAATATAAACAAGCAATGAGAAGAAAACTGTATACTAATATCTCAAGATTTATAGAATTGTCTATTCAGTTTTATTCAGTCAAACTCCAATATATAACGATATGTCGGGATCCATATGAAAATCTTTGAAAAATATCGCTATATTAAAATTATACCGATATTTATATGTTCTCACTTCTCACATATAGTGAGAAGTAAATTTTATTGTTATATCGAGTCTTTATAAGATCAGTATATCGATTGTAATAATGTCACTTTATAATTTTATTAATAAAATTAGGAGGTAACAAAATTTATCTGTACAAATTAATAAATATGGTTATACCAATTTTCAATTCATATTGAAACTTCCATCATTTCAACGCACATTTTTAATGATACAAACATAATAATCTCATGATTTTCCTCAATATTATCATACACTTCTTCCTTTTTAGTTGTATTTCCTTCATTCTCAATCTTATTCAACATAAGTAGAGCTAATCGAACAGATTGTTCCTTAGTTTTAGTCATAGGAAATATAGGAACATTCCATAGTGCATATTTATGTTCACCCTTTTGTTGAATACTTTTTATACATTGTGAAAGAACAATTTTATGTACAAGAATATTTTTATAAATAACCAAAGAATTAAAAGAATAGCTTGCTTTCATATCATCATTTGTACCAAAAATAAATGTAACATATCCTTCTTCTTTTTCCGAAAAGGAAGAAGTAGAAGATATTTCAGAAGATGTAATTTTCCTTAAAAATGATGTAAACATACATGTATAATTTGGAACTCTGATTTCTTTTGAAATTATTAAATCTATGTTGCTTAATATACTCCATCCACCAATTATAATCTTCTTATTCTCCTCATTAGATGTTGTACTATGAATTTTAACATTATCCAAGATTATAGGTACGGATTCTTCGAATGATACAATATTTTCATTTATTTGACTATTCATCATACAAATATTCCCCTTAATTGAATTTCTCTTATTTAATAATTGTCCTTGAGTAAATGATACAATTCCAAGTTCATCTTTAAATTGAGGATCAACATTAACATTTATATATTCAAGCATAGTTCCCAAATGATAAAATTTTGAATTATTCAATATTAAAACGTTCAATTCCCTATTATCAGATGAATAAAGCTTTTTTATTATTGTTAATTGAGCTTCTTCTAATGGTGTCATTTCTTGTGGTATAGAATGTGCTTCGAATTTAGTTTTTAAGAAATCTGACCATGCCTCTAATTCATATGTTAATGGTTGAATTTCATCCAAGATCTGTCGAATATGTTAATTAGAAAGTTTTTAGTAATTAAAATAATTGAATAATAAATTTATACTTACCTCGAGAAATATTTTAATTGTGTTATAATCAAAGAAATAAGTACTGTCAGTATATACAAATTCGTTTCCATTCTAATACAAAGTAAAAAAAAATAAATTAATTAAATGAATTTACTATAATAAAAGTCAATATTCAAATTATAAATTTACATTATCTAAGTGAATAATTTCTTTATGAAATCTCATAATTTCAATGGATGGTTTATGTAAATATTCTTTACACAATTTAATTAAGCATTCACGATCTTTAGGTTGTTTCTTTATATCATTTTGACATTGATTAAAATCATCTTGTATTTTGTATACACCATGTGTTGAACCAATGTGTAATGTAGATGGGTGAGCCAACGCTACTAATGATGTATTTTGCAAAGATGTTTCTTTCACTGTTATTAAAGATTTGAACGTAGCATTAACATTTTGTAAGAAAGAATAAAAAAAAAGGGAAAGAAATTAATTATACCGTTAATTGACATTAATTCAATTGTATCTGAACTAGTGAGAAATACGGTCTATTAAATTTATATATACATAAAAAAAACATTGTTAATATTAATAAATTAGAAATTAAAAATACGTAAATAACTAACCCCTTTTTTTAAATGTTTAATTAATTCAATATAAATAATTAATTTCAAATCAAATAATTCTACCCAATCTCGTTCTAAGAACAAAATTAATCGTAATTAATATAGATGGATGGATGGATGCTTTAAATTACGAAATAATTACCTCTTGTTGAGTCACTGCTAATTGGAACTTTCATAAATAATTTTCCTAATATACTAACATGAGGTAATCTTGTTGAATATCCTCCAGCATGAATTAGCAAAACTTTTTCTGTTAAAGAGTATTTAGTAATAAGCTTATCATGCAGATGTAATCAAATTAAGAGTACTTACTTCGTTCTAAATTTGATCCATACTTGTTATAAAGGAACTTAATTGCCAACAATGTGCTTCCTCCACTACCTATTTGCCTTCCAGGTGGATCCGCTATCACATGATATCTATATTGGAAAATTGTTGAAAAAAAGAAATGATTTGGTAAAGTGAAAATCAATCTTTAAAAAGAAAGAATATCAATATATACTCTAAATTTTCCAAATTTGGAATCTCATTATTTTCAAGTTTTCGTTTTATTTGACGCTCATACAATGATTTTTGGTGTAAGTTTCCTGATGTTAATACAATTATATCCCAAAATTCTTGATTATTTATGCTTTTTTGTGAGAGTAGATTATCATAATATTTTAAATTACGATTAAATGATTCATAAAGAGTATTATTATATTCATTGGCCATGTTTTAAATCTAAATTTATTTTAAAAAAAAAAATCAATAAATAAAAAAAATAGGTATATGTATTCCGTAAGTTGTGTAACAAATCATTTTCAGCCGCATTTTGACAATGTGCATACATAGATTTCATCCCATCTTTTGAATGATAAAGCACTTAGATAAGCAAAAAACGTTACTTCGACAATCATATCGTCAATGAGAAATTCATGACCGAATTTACGCAATTTAATTCGATTTACCAAAATTGTCTTATAAGACAATGATCTCTTTTTTAAACGTATATCCGTTTAATATCTCTTTCTTTTCTAAATTTGGTATAAAAAGAATATATATTTTGAGAAGATACCGCAACCTAATAAATCGTAATTATTTCTATGAAGTCTTCTGTCTCTAGACTTTTTCAATTCGCTTTTTCAAAATACAATTTACTTATCATAATAACATTAGCTATAATTATGCAAATCGGAAATATACATATATATATACATACCACATGGTGGCATATATTACGATACGAACTTTCATTCGATCCAACAATCTTTTACCTAAAAGAATACCTAACTAATTAGAGTTAATTTTAATAAAATTTTTATTGTTTACACCTTTTTTGTTCACTTCCCAAAATTAGTTAGACTTATTACACAAGCTCTAATAGGAGTTATCTATAAATATCAAGCGTAATTTTTTGATACAAAAAAAAAAAAAAAAATCGTTTAAATTCAAAAGGAATCGAAAAGTTCATATATAAATCGTTGATTGATTATAAGAAAAAATATTTTTTTTTTCCTTTGAATCTTATTAAATAATTGATTAAAGTTTATTTATACAAGACAATGACGGAAGATAATGGTAAAATTAATTAAATTTATCATTACCTTATTGTAATGATTTAATAAAAGATGATAAACTTATGACATATTGCATCATATCTCTAGCAAATCAACTTGAAGAACTTGTAAAACAACTGAAACAACTTCATATAAGTGGTAAGGCTCCTTTTGATCTTATGATATAATTGATCAATAATCGTTTTGAAAAATGATTTGATTTTCGAATTGTTACAATTTAGAATTTGATCATGCTGTATTGTCAAATCTTCCAAATTTAATATCTGGCCTTGAGTCATGTAAAAACATTATATGTGATAATACAACGACTATCGACGAGAAAGAAAAAGCTTGGTCTCAAGTAGTAGAAACTGTTGAATTATTGGCAAATGCCGCAAAGAGTGGTAAATTTTTAAGAGAAACGTTCTCTAGATATATAGTTTATATGTTTTTTTTTTGATAGAAAAGCTTACATATTTTTTTTTTTTGATTATAGACCATCCACGTGACTCTCTTGGCGCTTCAGGGGCTTTTGAGTTGATTGTTGCGTTCATGAATCTTAATGTTAATAATCGTCCTCGTGTCGATTATCAATGTCTTCGTGCACTTGCAAATTTCTGTATAACACATGGTAAGAATCAAATATTCAAATTATCTTATTTTTATTTTAGTAGGCTAAAAAAATTTTTTTTTGTAAAAAAATTCAATTATCGGTATAGATGTGAATAGGCAGAAATTTATAGATATCGGTGGTATCGATGTAGCCCTTAACTGTTTAAAACAAAAAAAAGATTTAGAAACAATTCGCGCGTCTAGTGCAACATTATTAAACGCGGGACTTAATTATAGTATGTTATTTGTTTATTCGTTTATTGTTTCCAATACTTATCCTTTTTTAATCATGTTTTATTTGTATTATATTTGTTTACATAGATAACGTGAATGTTGGAATAGTAAATAAAGATGGCTTAAATATTTTGGCTGAAATTCTGGATCCTGAGCATGTGTTAAAAAAATATGATGATGAAACCGCAAGAACATGTGTATATTTTGCTACTAGGGTTATAATAAATCTTATTGGAACAGGTTTGTAATTATTTGTTTAATTAAATTAATTTTATAATCAAACCTAATTTTTTTTTACATTTTATTTAGCTGAAGGAAAGAGAGAGATCGGAAAAACAAAAATTATTACCTCTTTAGTTCAACTTTTAAAATATTCATCTCGTGAAGATGCTGTAGACGATGACGTTGATATATTAGAAAATGTTGTGGAAATTTTAGAAACTGTTGCCTTGGAAAGTGGTGTGTATATTAAAAAGTAATTACGTATTTTCATGTACTTTTATTAAATTATTTTTTTTTAATTTGTTGTAGATGAAGTGCAACAAATTCTTGTACGAGATGAATTATTTACTTATTTATTGGATTTCTTGGAATTTTCAAAACCTCCACTTAATTGTGAACAACGTATAATTAAGAGCTATGGAAGTTGTAAAGCTGCCGTATTGAAAGTTATTGTCTCTACGGCTATGAGTGGTGAGAAAAAAATCATGAAATTTTTTTAATTTTTTATGTAGATTTATTGATTTTTCATTCTATTTTATAGATAGTAATATGGAACCATTGTTTGGTGATGATGTTATATTGCAACGATTTCTTCAATGGCTTAATTCAGGTCCAGAACGTGATGATTTACAAATGTGTTCTGCTTTATCTTTGGGAAATCTTGCACGAAGTGGTAAATATAGTTTTCAGTTTTTCGATTTTCAAAATTGATTTATTAATTAAAGTTTCCGTTGTTTTTTCTATACTATAGATACACATTGTACAAAATTGGTTCATCAATTTAAGATTGGCGAACCACTTGCAAACGTTTTAAAAACTTCGGATAATATCAAAGTGCAGCATGCTGTAATAAGTGTACTCAAGAATATATCACTGCCAGGTACATAAAGAAATTAATGAAATGCATATTTATAATATTATTAATTTTTTTTCAATTCTATAATTAGTTGAAAATAAGGCAATAATTGGATCGTTGGGAATTATTGGATTGTCAGCACCTTTACTAGAAAAAGACACTGTTCAACCTGTTCAATTAGGAGTTGTTGGAATTTTAAAACATTTATCATCATCTCAGAATAATAGTAGGTTACAAATTTTGTTTAAATAATGATTATATCAACCTTAATGAATATATTAACATTTCAAATATATATAAAAGTTTCAAATTCTGTAAAGATTATTCTAGGAGAAGATCCAGCTGATACAGAGACACCAACCCCTCTAAGTCGATTATTATCTTTAATTAAGAGAACAGACGAAATACCTGTTCGAAGTGAAGGAACTCGTGTTCTTGTTAACCTTGTAAAGAATCTTTGGAGTGAACTTCCTGACACAGAATCAGGTAATTATTATTAAAAAGAGAAAGATTCTTTAAATAGCATATAAATTAAAATTTTTTTCTTTTCAGGAGGAATTTCAATGAAAACTTTGCGACAAAAATTGAATAAACTGGAAATAGTTGAACCACTTGTTATTATGGTTATAGAATCTAAATATCCTATACTTCAAAATGAGGGTATAATTGCTTTAACGATATTATCAATGGATGATACTGCAAAAACTGGAGGCATGTATAATAGTCTCAAATATAATTTTCTCGATTAAAATTTACTTGTTATTGACATTTGAATCTTAAATTATAGAGTCAAATATTACTCTAGATTTTTTAACATCAAAGAAAGAAAAGACTCCTGCTGTTGTTGAAGAACAATCAAATGAAGAATCTACAACAGCCGCTTCATCTTCATCTGCACCACCATCACAATCATCTTCACCACAAATTTTAAATTTACTAAATGCTATAACTGATATCATACTAAATGAAAAAAATGCTTATCCTGATGAAATAAGAAGCAATGCTTGTATGTTTTTAGAGAAAGCTTCAAAAGCTTCTAGTGGTCACCGTAAGTACAATTCTAATTCTTTCTTTCTTCTTCTTTAATCCAATTAATCCTTTGCAAGATATTAAATTTTAACTTATTAATTGTTTAGAAAAACAATATTTACGTCAGAATGTACCACCTGTAATAGAGCCTTTGATTAAAAATATTGAACAAAATCCATTAAATAATAGATTAGAAGCTGACATTAAAAAAGTTTTAAAAAGTTTGGATTAATTTAATTATTTAATTTTGATTCCTTAAATTATTTACTATCTATTATATAATATTTGTATTTATATATAATATTCTTTAAATGATTATTAAAATATTATATCATTATTAAAAAAAAAAAAATTTTTTTTAATAATATATTAGAAATTTCTTATTAATAATTTGGAATCTTATAGCCATTTTAAATAAGAAATTAATTATTTATATAAATTGATTTTAAATTCAATGTAATATTTGATATGTAAAATTAAAATTTCTTCACATTCAATTTAATCTTTTTTAAATAATTAACTCTTTAAAATAAATAAATCTTAATTTTTTTATTATTTTGAATTACTTATAATTATAATTTGAATTGCCAAATGCCAATACTTTATAAACTAATATTCAAAAAAGTTGTATATATTATTTTTAATTTTATTTTTAATAAAAATATAAAGTAATGGATAAAAAAGTAATACTAATTACTTACAATTGAAAAATAGGATATTAAAAGTATAAATACTCAAATTTTTAAAAAGTTTACAATTTAATGGCTTTATTAAATAATTTCAATAGTATTATCTTTAGATTAAATTAACAAATAATATATATAAAAATACAAATTAATTTACATTTTAATTTATAATATATAACTAATAAAAATTAAATTATGCATTTTTTATATTTATTCTTTGTAATATTTTATTATTATAAAAAGATATCTTTAAAATAAGTTATAAATCACTCTTTTAACAAATTAGTCCATTTTAAGAAATTTAAAAAATTATTTTTTATATATATCTTATTCAATAACTGTATACTGAAATATATGCAAAAAATGATTTTTTTTTGAATTTTAGTAAAAAGGGTAATTTTAACTAAAAATTTATTATAATCTATATATTAAATATTTAAAATCCTATTATAAATATAAAGTATCAATTATTTAATTATTAATTAAATACAAATATTAATTGAGTGTTAGTTTCATCATAATCCGTACAAAATACTGAAATTCGAAAACCTGACAGTACATTATCCTGAATTTTAAATTTTGAAATGGCAAAATCTCAAAATGCCATAATCCTGAATTGTCAAAATCCCGAATTGTTATAATCCCGAATTTTATAATTCTGACACTCCCATAATATTAATTTTCTTTCTTTTATTAATAAATTTCAAGATTTTTTGTTTCAGTATTTTGAATTTCAGAATTATAAGGTGTCAGACTTATGAAATGTCAGGATTATGGCATTTTGAGATTTTGCCATTTTGAGATTTAGAGTTCAGGATAATATACTGTCAGGTTTTTGAGTTTCAGGATTTTGTACCAAATTCCCATTATAATAGTCCTAATCATGTGACTTCTTACTTAATTTTTATTGGATAAAATAAGCATAAAAATTTAAACAAAATCTGTTAACAAATTTATTGTTTTCTTTATAATAAAATGAAAAAATTTAAAAAAAATAAAATATAAAATTCATTATTAAAAATCAAATTTTAATAATAAGGTACACATTATTTTATTTAAAAATACTAATAATACTTTAAAAAAATGTAACATAAAAAAATTTGTGAGTAAATAACTCTATAAGTATTAAGTATATCATTATAAATTTAATATTCTAATAGTTCAAACAAATTGAACAAACTTCATTTAATAAAGAAAGTCAATTTACTTTGACTAAAATGCTCAAATTACGCTCTGAAATTATAGAACAAAAAAAAATAAAATTCATGAGTAAGTTAATATATAGGATCTTTACAATAGAAAGGTATAAAACTCAAAAAATATCAAAAATTGAATTAATATTAAATTTGCATTTATTTCAGTAAAAAAAACATAATTAGCATATAAAGTAAAATTAAAATTTTTTTTGAATTTCCTTTCTATTGCAAAGACCCCATATCTTGAAATTTATTAATAGTATTATATAAATTTTTTTTTACAAATATGTATTGAGAAAATTCTTTAAAAAGAAAATCATATTATTAACTAGCTTCTAATTGATAATTAAGTATGTAATGTTTAATCTTAACTAAAATTAATTGTGAAAAATGTAAATTTCTTGATGCTAATTTTATAGTTTTGATGTTATATTAATAATTATAAATGTTAACAAATTTGATAAGATGTATTTCTTCTATTTATTACTTTTCAAGATAGAAGCTAACCTGCTATAAGTAGCCATTTTACCAGAAGTATTATTATAATATTTTTTATTTTTTTTAATTTATTAATATCAAATTTCCAACATTTAAAAATACATGTCAAACTAGAATCTCACTTACTTATAATAAAGGTCACCGTAGAAAATTGGCCCTTTACTAATAGTTTTTACCTTACTTTTTTTTAAAATTCTATTGGTTAATTAGTTAAAAAGGAAAAAAATCATAATAATATAACATAAAATTTCCTTTTATAGTAGGATCTGCAAAGAATTTTATATATGATTTTTACCTTAAATCTGGGGTGACTTATCTTATAAGTAAGCAGAATCCTGTCAAACTATAGACTTATTATCACAGGTTAAAATGCTAAAAATCAGCAAAAAAATTGGCACGAAAAGCAGTAGCTATTTTTGGCTATTTTTGGCTGTTTTTGGCTATTTGCGAATTAACCTATACTATTTGTAAATAGTTTATATAAATTTGCGAATAGTTTATGCAATTCTAGCCATTTTTTTGCCTGTTTTTGGTCATTTGACGTGTGATTAATAGCATCAAAGTTTAAATGACATTTACTTATAATAAAACTATTATGTTTTGCATATGCATTAACTTTACTCTATCTTGAACCATATTTCAATCATTAAAAGAATCATTAACATGAAATTCTAATAGGTCTAATAATGGATCAGAATATATATAGACATTATCATTTACAAGTTCATTATTTTTAGCAAACAATAATATTTCTTTCTCTGAATTCTTGTTAACTTTATTAATATAAGTAATAAGTGGTTTCATTAAATAATGTTGAATTTTGTCTATATCTAAAAAAAAATCCTAATATTAGTACTTGAAGTATAAAAATAATGGTTAACTTTCTTGGAAATATAACTCACTTTTAGAGTAAAATATTATTTCATTAAGGTCATTTTATTTACCATAAGAAGAAAAAAAAAAGTCTAATTGTTCTGATTTCTAATTATTTCTAATTAACAATTAAATTAGTTATATGATCAATATATATACAAATCATATAAATAAACCACCAGTAAAAATCATCACAATTATACATAATAATATTCTAAAATATATATAATATCTAAATAATAAATATAGATTTGTTTTAATTATTATAAAATTTATTTAGCAATTTAATATAGTATTATTATTTTATATATCCAAATCTATTAAACTGTTTATTTTAATTTAAATCTAATTATTAAAATTAATTAACTTGATTATTCAGTTAAAGTAAATACAGTCATTTTAATCCAATGCTATTCAGTCTAATTTGGTTTAATAAATATAATGTAAAAATATTTTGCTATATATATTTTTAATTAATTATATAATAATACTATCTTTACATTTAAATTTAATATATTATTTAACTTTTTTTTACTTTTATATTTACCAAATTCTGTAATATATTAAAAAATAATATTATAAAAAAATTTTAAATATTTAATTAAAAAAGTTTATTTACAATTGAATGGATTATCAGAATGAAATTTTAAAGGATTTGAAAATTTCAGTTTTTAATTTTTTATATTTTAAAGGCTTTATCTATTTGAAAGATTTCAATTTTATTTAAAATATTAATATATTAAAAAGATAGACTGTGATATTTTATATATATTATCTGAAACTTACCAATATTTTTTCACAATGTTTTTTCCAGATTTTCCTATTTTTTGTTATCTGAATACTTATCTGTATGTATGTTAACAGATAATTACCAGGTGTTAACAGGTATTAGTAATAGATAATAAGATAATTATCTGGTATTAACAGATAAATTATTTGAATATTGACAGATATTTAAGACAAAACACACAATTTATGTAATCAGATCAGATCACAATTTTTTCAGAGAAACAGACAAAATAATAATTTTTGGAAACTAACAATATAAAAGTCAAATTAAGCAAACATTAGATCCATTAAAATACCTTTGTTTTTAAAAAATTTCACATTGTTAATTTCCAAAAATGATTATTTATTTAGATCGATCTGATTAGATAAATTGTCTGCAATTTGCCTTAAAAATCATATAATTATCTGACTCAGATAATTATCGATAACCAGAAAGAACATTTGGAAAGTTTCACAGATAATATATGCAAAATATCACAAAAAACTACCAAAAATGGCAAAAAAATAACTGTGATATTTTATCTGTACATTAACAGACTTTGTCTGAAATGGCGTGCCATAGATATCTGTCAAAAAAAAACTGGATGTCAGATAAACGGATTGAAATATTATGAATGATATTTTCTCATACAATTTTTTAAGACCTCAATAGCATCACAGAATTCAAAACAACACAAATTTTTTCATGACATTATTAAGGTTAATGTTGGTTATTTACACATTTTGTTTATCAAGTATAGATAAATGAAATCTTAGTGCTGTGATAATTGTACTAATATAGATAGTTTAGATTAACGAAAAACTGGTGTAGCTCCATTGCATTAGTATAGAACATTTCACTTTGACACTTTGTAAACAAATTTGTGCATCACCATGTAACCTATTTAAGCTGTATTTTAACGGTAAAATTGGAATATCATACGAAACTTCATTCATGAGATTCTGCTTAATCTCAATTACGTTGTGAAACCAGATTAACCTCTAATCTCCAAAAGCTCGATCATAACCGGTATTTATCGGTTCGGTTATCGATTCGGTTTCAGTTCAGTTAACCGTCGGTTTTATATATAAAAAAACCCGATCAAAAAACCGATTGGTTAATCGAGAATACCATTAAAAATTTTGGGTTAGTAATTTTTTTTTGGCAATACTTAATTTTACGTATTGATCACGTGATTATTCGTTTCTCTATTATTATAAAAAAAAATTGCGTGAATTTAAAGGACATTATTCAATAAAACTCTAATTAATACTTTCTAACTTTATTTATTGGTTTTGCAGTAGTTTTGCAATCGATTTTGTAGTCCAGTTTTATCGGTCGGTTTTGTGGTCGGTTCGGTTTTGGTTGACCGTTGGCATCCCTACTCTAATCTCGATATCAGTCGCGTTTTTTGTGAGAGTACTTAACATAAAAAAAATATCTCATATTTCATTGCCAAAAGTGTCAAACATTGCCTGATCCTCACAAAGCGCAAGAGCTGTATGATCTTAGTCTATGGCACCGAGATTGTGTATTACAGCAGCTTTTTTAAACCATTTTATAGCTTCTACTATAATATTATTCAATGACCAAGCCCTTGTTAACTGTGGCTATATTGAATAGTGATGAAATATATTCAAATTTATTATTATATACTTAAAAAAATGGATCAAGAAATTTTTTTTTGTATTTCTGAAAGATTATTTGTGATTGATAATTGAACATGAAAACGATTATAAAAATAAATAAATATAAAATAATTTATTATATAAAGGAAAATAAATGCTGTTTAACGTAATAAATAAATATCAAGTGTTTATCATGTGATGTATGACTATTTTGCTTATATAAAATTCATCTCATATTAATTCAAACCATATTACCTCTTGTATTTGTTACCTACATATAAATGATATAATTAACCTTTTCGACTACAAACCATATTGCATGTTTTTAAACTGGTGAGTATTCGCCATTTTAGTGATTAACAATTAATGGATATTTTGTTTGACTATCAAACATGGTTTACATATTTGGATCAGAGAGATGCAAGACCAAATAAATTTGATCCATTAAAGCAAATACTTTGGTTGTCACTTTCTATCCAAGTTACTTTAATAACATCATCTCTTTTATATATAGCGAGAAGAAAGAATATTTGTTGATCGATAAAGCATCGACAGAAAGAGGTCACCATGTTGCAATTGAAGTAGCGTTTGTTGCAGTCAGACTTTTTTAGTGATTTGTATGCACCTTAATTATGAACTGAAATCATTTCCTAAACAATCCAAAAGTTTTATGTATTCTAAGTTCGGACGATGTATTAAAAGACAAATTCGCTTTAGAGGAAACAATTTTTTACGTGACAGTACAGTATGAATTGAATTATCTTAGGTGAAGCAGATCATCATATGATACTATTTAAAATTACTTTATAAATTTATAGTAGTAATTTCTTTCGCAACTAATTTACATCCAGCACGTTCTTCAACTGAAAAAGTGGGTAAGAAATGTGGAGAAAGAATTAATTCACTATGAAATTGAATATGAAATTGATATTTATCTATATTTATTTATCACGCTTATCTGTTATTACTTTTTCATATCGTTTCATGAACTATTTTATATTACAATGAGTCTACCTTTTAAAAAAAAAAGATGGATTTTTTGTCAATTCATCTCTAATGCGTTTTGCTGTGTGTAAGAGTGATGGAGTTTCTGATGTATTTGATGTATTGAATATTGATCATATGTTATCCGATATTTGGCAAAATGAGAATCTTAATTTTTCGCACATTTAATCCTCTGAATCGTATGGTATTCGTTTTATGCGCTCATATGATGTGATAATGAAGTTTAGTCGTGTTCAAATATGTGTTTCCCGACATCGGGATTGTCTTATATGCGGTATGCGGTGTATGTAGCATAGCGAACATCTCTATTTTATCACAAATTTGCCGATCATTTGCCGATCATTTATTTGATCTTATCACATAATACAAATGTCGTGACAGATCAATTTTACACAATAATAAATATAATAAATGTTTAAAATTTACAAATAACTTCACAGAATTTTAATTTTAATTAAAAATTTATATAAAACATAAAAATTAATACAAATACTAATAATTATATTATAGTACTAATAATTTAACCATGTTTAGTATAATATTTCAAACAGATTATCTATATTACTTTCTATTATTTCTAAATTATTTTCAATATTCTCATCATTATTATCTTCACTTAAACTATTATCATCTTCATCTTCAACTAAAAGTTTTTCATTATCTTTAATGATGTAAATAATCTTTTTTATTAGAAATATATTAATAACAAATAATTGGCTAATTTCTCTATAAGCAAAAAACCTGCATTATGGGTCGAAACCTTGCATTATTTTTTTTACAGATTATATATAATAAAAGGAATGTTCATGCAAAATTTCAAGTTTCAGCTTTGCGTATTCGGCTTCGGCCTTCAATTTTTATCCCGAAACTTCAAATTATCACATATTAATAATTTTGCATATAAAAATTAAAAATTATATAAATTATTTAATCTAAAGTTATACAACAATAAAAGGTGGCATATTTTATTTTTTTCTTATTTAGGCATTTACTTTGCCTTGCACTTTTTCATAATTTAATCATTTTTTAATAAAATGAAACTTGTGATCGGCAAATGATCGTCAAAGTGATATAAAGCATGTTCGCTATGCTGGTGTATGTTGAATAAAATAAGACGTATGCTATTATAAATCGTTATCAAAATTGTAAAAATCGGAATGTGATACACTGTACCAATGCATTGGGTATATTCAAGTAAATAACTCGATGCCAGAAATACATGGGAAATGATTTGTAGACGCGGTAGGAATACTGTAGCATTATATTGTACATTGAGAAATTATATGCTTTAACAAGTATTATAAATCTGTATATATATGTCTCCAACATTTCAAATACAATTTATTATATATCTATACACTAATGGTGCTAATGACGTATTATCACATTTGAGATTGGACAATGGGGCATGTGTAAATGCTTCGAGGGAAAAAGCGGTTTATCCATGCTTTGTATGGTTGATAATTTCATTTCATGATTTAAATACTGCAGATTTTATGTTATGAAATCCCTTGACGTTGTTAAATATCATGATTTTTGCGTGCAAAAAAATTATTGCGCGCAAATTAATAAAAGAACTATCACATCCTGACCAATAATATAGTGTCGAGAAGCTATCCTTTAAGCCTCCATACCAGGGAATACAGTATGATATTCATAGACATTCAAAAGTAATATTTCACAAAATGTAACTGTAAAGAAATACTATACAATATTTTTTAAATTTACACATATTTCATTAAATTATTCCCGATATCAAAAAAAAAGAAAAAAAAATATCATAATACGACAACGTAAGTAATAAGTTCGCCACAATACAAAGGTAAATTAGTAAATTAATAAATTTTGTTCGAATTAGTAATTTAGAATATGCATGCACAAGTGAGCAAAAAATTTAATTAGTTGGAAGTATACAAATCTTAGGCAATTAGCAAGTTCTTACGCCATATTATTTAATTTAAATTCATTGGAAAAGAATGCGTATGAATAAAATGAAACAATTTCAGTCAAAAACTTGATAATCTCATGTCTAAAAACTTTATTACTGCATTGTACTCCGTAAACTAAACTTTTTGGTCAAATGAAAAAAAATTATTGAAGATCCATTGTTTAAAACAGACAGCTGATCGGAGAAATGTCTGATTTCCTCCGAAAAATTTCTATAAAAGAAAAATTATTTATTTTTTTTTTTTTTAATTAAACGAAATTTTTTTACTTTTCTATTTTTTTCTTAAAGATAAAAAAAAACAAATTGAGTGTAACCATGGCCTCAAAAAATGCGATAATTCTTGCGGCTGCTATGTCAGATGTAACAAATAATAGAGTTATTACTCATCACGATTATATAACTCGCAAATTAGGAAATGTCAGATATCAAGAATTGGATACGAACGCTCTTCATCAATCTCATTTAGTCGGTGGTCCAGTTCCAAATAATATTCAAAATTTAAATATTCAACAACCAAATCCCACAATTAACAACAACAACAACAACAACAATAACAATAATAATGGTGAAATTACCTTATCAATTAAACCTTTGAGTGGGAAAGCTTTTAAAATAAGAGTTAATCCTACAGATACAATTTATCAAGTCAAACAAAAAATTCAAGATGAACAAGGAATTCTTCCTGAAGTTCAACGTCTTTTATTTCAAGGGAACCAATTAGAGAATGGTAGAAGTTTAACCAGTTGTGAAATTCAAGATAATACGGAAATATTTTTGGTTTTGAGACAAAGAGGAGGAGATGAAATTTATTTTATTCATTCAGATCATCTTGACCCTCAATATGATTGTGACTTTACTACTATACGTGATGTAGGTAAAACCTTTATGAGAGGTCCATTCGAATATAAACGACCTTGTGGATGGAATCGTATCGCATTGAATGTACTTAATAAATATGGTGAAAATGTTTGGCTTGGAGTTGGTGGAATTAGAAATAGTGGTACAGCTTCTTGTCAAAATGAATGGCCTGTATCTTATCATGGTACTTCTCGTCATAATAATAATACAATCGCTGATGAAGGATTTAATTATGCAAGAAATAGAAATTTTAATTTTACTCATGGAATTTATTCTACCCCTGATGTTAATGTTGCTCTTAAATATGCAACAAGATTCGTTCATGAAGGTAATAATTATGCCGTTATATTTCAAAATCGTGTAAATCCTGTTAATTTAGAAAGAATTACTAATCAAGAAACTGGTGGTGCCGGTGAATATTGGATTTCTCGTAATGGTGGTGATGTTAGATCTTATGGAATTTGTATTAAAAAAATTTAAATTTTTGTGAAATTTCAAATCAAATTTATTTTTATGTATATATATATATATATGCGTATGTATGTGAATAATGTGATATTTTATTTGTAACATTTGTAACATTTATTATTATTATTTTTTTTAAGAAAAAATAAAAATTACTTTAACATATAAAAAATCAAATCTATTAAAAAAAAGAAGTATAATTCAGATTTTTAGAAGGATAATAATATATGAACGATTTTTAAAAAAGCAAGAAATAATTTAAAGTAAGTAATCAACTAAAGAAACAAAATATGAAACCGAAATATTCAATACATACAGTATATACCGACCGATTGTTCTATTATAATCACTTTCTAGAATGTTTTTTTAGGAAAGCTAGTAGTTCAAGAAAATACATTGGAGGATTTCTTAGATTTACTCAGAATGTTCAACAATTTGAATCAGCTTTATTAAGCTATCAAGTGAGATGAAGAAGACTTTGAAATTTTTACAAATGTGGAAAAGTGGTTTGTGGAAAAGTGGTTCACAGAAAGGCCAAGGTTCATTAATAATCAACGAAATTGTTGAATGGTTATTTGATGAGATACAAAAAACCAGAGGATAGAGAAATGTTAATAAAATTGTATAGTCATTGAGGATATACCGGCCTTGGGATAGAATAGAAATTTAGAAATTTTTGAAATGTATCAGTAAGCTACGTCCTTTTACGTGAATATAACGCCACTCGCAATCGTGTTATTTTGAGATGAATTTTCTATTTTTTAAAATGTTTTTCTTTTAGATGACTACTGTATATCGAATAAATCGGGTTACGAAGTATTTAGACCAAACTCACACTAAAAATAAACAAACATTAATTAATATTCACTAATTATTCAATTATTTTTACCAATTTACTAACCTTTGACTGTTCCTTATCAAAAGGAGTAATCTTCGTGCATCCCACATTTTTTTAACATTGATTTCCATGCATAGATATGTTTTCATGAGATACATCACTATATATCAAGTCTGACCGTATTCTGGAAAAGATTGCATTATTCTATTTCCACGTAATCACAAATAAATTTATCTAAATATTTTTCCTATTAATTCCTGTAGTTAAAAGACATACATTTGCTTTGCACATTTGCTACTAAACATTGGTAGGTTAATTATTGCATCCGGTAGATTTCTCAACTCTCATCATCTTCATTTACTTCGATATTTGAATCCGCATGGTTGTATTATCACAATTAGTGATTATAAGTGTTTACTGATTGGGATTATGAGAAAGATATTAAAAACGCGTATACTGTATAATTGAATAAATTTTAGGCATAAAATTTTGATGAGCCATATTTCCTCTAATTGAAATTTTGAGTGGCCAAAAGTTACGATTTGACCAATGAAAAGCTTATATAATCTATTTAAGAGAATATATGCGAATTACGACAAATGTATTTACAGAAATTCTCTCTCTTGGAGTATCTGCAGAAATTCTTTGACCATTTTTTTATATCTGTTAAAATTTCTTTTTAAAGAATACTATATTCTCCCAGTTATAAGAACCTTCCGCTTTTCACCTCATATTCGTTATTAGATTATAACAAGGGATATTTGATGTTAAATATCACGTGTCGGGCAATTTCGTTATAAAGCAGATTGTATAGTAATATTTATTATGGGATGTTGAATTTTTTTATTTTTATTTTAATTTTATTAGCTAGCAGATTGAAACATAATGATATAGTAACATAATTTTTTTTTTTTAGTTGAGAGAATCCAAAAATAAAAGTTTATAAATATAGTTTTTAAAATTATTTTTAAACCTATGTTTAGCCGTAAATACCCAATAAGAATGCAGCATTGTTTAATAATTGTGAATTGGTGCTGCAAGCATAATTATTGGAATTTTAATATCGTGTGAAATTATGATGTTATAATTAAACTTTAATAAACTTACATTACTTATATTAAACTTATAAATTAAACTTACTTTATTATTAATACTTCAAATAAAGTTTATCGTAATAATAGCTCAATTATAAATCAAACATCACGATAATTGATTAAAATTATAAGCCTTGCCTTTAAAAATCATGCAATTGGATTGTTTTTATTATTAAAGATGTTTCAACTAACTATTATTTGGTTAATTATTTTCTAGATTATTATTAATTCTATTAGTAATGCTTAAATTTTAAATCATTTGAACTGATGTTTGTGGTTCCGTTGTTATTATTGACGCGAGTTATTGTTATCAGTTTTTTTACAATTTAGGTTCATTATTTGATCTAAATTATTAATAATTCGAAATAGATTATTAGTAATGTTCCATGGCGCGAGTTATTGTATCAGTTTTTTTACTATTTAGGTTCATTATTTATTAATAATTCGAAATAAATTATTAATAATGCTTAAATTTTAAAATGTTGTGGTTCCGTGACGCGAATTATCGTATCAATTTTTTACAAATATTATAATGAATCAGTTTCTATAAATTAATCAATAAATCATTTAATCATCTACAAATTTTTTCACTTATTTCAAAAAGCTAAAATGTCTTTACAAAGATTATTATTATTAAAAAATTTAAAAGTTCGTCCCCCTTTTTTTTATAAATTCAAACCAAGTTCAATTCCTATTGACCGCCGCTATTATTTTAATCCTACCTGTAATGGGATTAACAGAAAGGAATGTGTATGTTTCAATTCCGTAGAAACTCGATCAAATCACTGGTCTCCCAACGATGTGTGTAATTTTCTCCAAAAAGAATTAAAAGAAAAGTGGACACCTGTCAAAGAATAAGCGGTAAAGATTTAAAATCTTTAGACATAGAAAGACTTAAATCATTGAATTTCCCGAAAATGACGTTTTTCAACATTATCGATATTATCAAAATTTTAAATTGTAAGTTTATTTTTTTGGTTCACTTTATAATCTGGTAATTTTTTTATACTGACCAACCATTCTTTGTTTTTAAAAGCAAAAACTATTTTTATACAGGATTATGGTGAAGATGGAAATTTATTAGAAACATTTAAAAAAATAGTATTCCATAGCGATACCGAAATTCAAGACTTCTTAAATTTGGTACAAGGAAAAGGTTTCGTGGAAATTATCGATGCTAAAGGCAAGAAATTACCAATCGAGGAAAAGCCACCATCAATTGTTAATATAGAAATGCAAGATAACTTGTGATTACTTAACAAAAAACAAAAGTTTTCCGCCCCCGTTACTAGTAATGATTCACCTAAAAAAGAGAAAATTAAGGAACGAGGTGATGTTTCTAATTTGGCCTGTAATTTACAAAGTATAGAAAATTTTAAACATTATAGAATTGAGTTCCATTTTATTTCAAAGATCAAATATGAATCAACATGGACCGAAACAGAAGACAAAGCCATGAAAGAAGAAACTTTATTAGCAATAATGGAAGCTCTCAATAAATATGAATCAGTACCTATCAAAATTTATCCTAAAAATATCATTAAGGATCAGCTTCAAACCCCGATCATGGGATAGGATAAAATCTTAATTGCCGGAGAAAGGATGTATTTGGTTGAAGCCGAACATAATATAACACTTGTAAGTATCAATTCACAATCATCTCTCTTTTGAATATTTGAATAAGCTAACTAATTATTTCCTATTCTCGCATTCTTTAGGAAAACATCAATAACCTCTCAGACGAAATAAAAGAATTCAAAAAATTGAAAAAGAATGATGTAAGTAGCGAATATCATGAATTATTGGATAAACTAATGATAGAAGGCATTATCTGTGGGGTTAATTTTCCAAAAGAATTTCGAAAAATGGCAAAGGATAGAGGTTTATACCCGGGCGGCGGAAGATACAAGGTTAGAATCCCTTATGATCTAAATCTCTTAAATTTCTCTGAAAATCATGTCGAAATTTCTTTAAAAATTAATTGAAAAATAGCCTTTTGGTCTTAAACAAATTCTTTTTCTTTTAAATTTATATAAACTAGAGATATTCTCATAATCTCGATAGTTTGGGACTTTTCAAACATAGTATTACTGTACATCACACGACCAATAAATTATATTTTTTTGTGATGATTATTCCTACTTTTTACCCGTCTTGCATAGTGTATCTACCGGGATATTAAATTTCCTGTCTCACAGATGAGGAATGATATGATCCTGATAGTATACATATTATCGTATCTTTATAAGTGAGCAAGTCCGTAACACAAAATCGTAAATGGTAAGGCAACCAGCGTACGATGTTTATTATAACAAACGCTGTTAAGCAATTGCGATCGATTACAGTCGGCGGCTCGGCGCTCGGTATAACGAAGTAGGCGTCCGGGCCGATCAGGCCTTCGTTATAAGTAAATTCGTTAATGCTATAACGGATTATTCGGTATAGCGGAAAAATTTGGTATAATACAATAAAATATAGGGAAATCAATACATTTGTAAAACGTCATGATCATGAAAGGAAAAGGAAACTTTTGAAACATAAACCACCCATCTTTTGATAAATGAATCAAAAGTGGTAAAATTGCTTATTTAAAAAAAATTTCATAAAACCAACATCAAATTGCCTTTTATATTAAAATTTATCTTGCAAAATACTAAGAAATTCGGGTCATTTACATATAAATTTTTCTTCGTTCAACGTTATACTGCATTTTATTAGTAAAATTCGGTGTAATAAATTTTTTTTCATATGATTAAATGCGTACCAAACTAAGGATTCGTTATATCAAAATTCGCTATAGAAATGGCTGACTGTACATGTAATTAATGCAATACCTGATACTGTAAATAAGACTAAAATAATATACATATATATAAATAAAACTGTTTTAAGAATAATAATAATGAATAAAATATTATACCGTATAGTGAGAAGGTGAGAGAGAGAGTGAAGGAGAATTTCACACTTGTTTTGTTTCAGGTTTTCAGCCGTAAACAATTTGCGTAAAAAAATAACAAAAAAAAAGAAAATACTATTGAGGCTAAATTCAAAAAATAAGATTTACTACAAAGTGATTTGTTTGATAAAAATAAATATAATTAATGTATAGAACTTTTTTTTCGAAAAAAACTCGGGTATAAAAAATTACAGTTTACAATAAATGTGACTCTCAATACAATTTCTTTTATTGTTATTACAATAATCCTCTTTTTGAAAATTATTTTCAATGATAAATATGAATGAAGTGTGCGTGTATATATATTTTATCCGCACAATTTATTTTTGAATTGTTTCGTCCATTTTTTGGGGGAGTTTTAGAATACCATCTTTATGTAACCTTCTTAAAATGAATAATAGGTCTTTTTGTACGTACTACAATTACAACGATAAAATATTTTCCTGATACACTTTTTTTATCGGACTACTCTTCCTTTCTTTGTTTCTTGTTCTATTGTAGAAACAATAGAAAAAATGATGATTGTTAAATGTTTCGCATATACAAATCAAAATTAGACGTGCTCAACAAAAGAATTCGGTTTAATAACCATTAAAAGCTTCATTATAGTTTGATTCTAGTTTGAGTGGTCGACCGATAGGGATATTATTATATTATTTTTTTTTCGATACAGTATATGATCAATTCCGCAACTCTGCGAAAAACAATTTGTGGCTTTGAGAAAGAAGGTTAGAACTTGAAATAAATAAATAAATAAACAAACAAACAAACAAACAAATACTAATAAAGAATTTTTTGATAATTTTTACTGCCTAAAAAGGAGATTCATTTAATTAGTGTGTGTCTCTGTAATAATTTAATTAATAGACTAATTGATTAAACCAGAAAATAATATTTCGTACATTGTCAGTTCTATTTATAAATTAGCCAGGAATATAAATATGTTAATCTCATTAAGGACATTGATAAAATATTGCGTTACTAAACAATGAATTTTGAAAGTAAGAAGATGCTTGCATTCCTTATGCGTTAAGCACAAGGAAAATTATGTAACGTTTGAAAGGCATCAAAATAATGATAATTATATAATTTATCTTTCATTTTTCAAAATTAATTTATTACCAGTTTACTTTAATTGGCTGTGCGTATCATTTGCATTTTACATAATTTAGTTTGCTAAGAACAATGTTGTATACATCATGTCGTATTGTAAGGTATTTCTTTCTTTTGATAATTGCTCTTCCGTGTAGACAAACGCATTTTGTCAATGACATTAAACCAATTTAAGTAGAATTGAAAGATTCTTTCGTTTTAATTTTATTAATTTGAACTCAATTGCTCTTGTATTTTATTTAATTTGAAGAAATAATACATTTATATACTCTATAAGCTATAAGCTAATAATATAATTAAGATATTAAGATATGATAAAAAGTAGAATGTTATATATTATTGGGGAGTACATGTAGAACCAACACCTGCGCATAATCCATCTATCACAACATACTTTACCACAGCAATTTTGTGCACCACCTGTGCATGGCTTACCATCAAGAATACAAGTAGGTGGTGGTGTAACACATGCAAATTTTGTATGCGTACAAGTGGCAGTTTTTGTACAATGGCCATCATCATCACCATCACCATCACCATGACCATGACCATGACCATGACCGTGGCCCCTTTTATCACGCTTAAGTTTAAGAGTGGGAGTGGCTTTGCAGGTTGAAGAGGTTTTAGTGATCGTTGTTGTTGTAGTGGTAGTTGTAGTTTTACATTTACCATGGTTACCATGGGCATCAACAATAATAGTCAATGCCAAAAATGCTAACAGGTAGAAAAGAATAATCGAAGAAAGTTTAAGAGACTTTTTATTCATTTTTAAAAATTAAATTATCTACGAGTCAAAATGTAAACTTTTAAAATAATACAATGTATTATATCGAACTAAAAGGAATTTCAACAGTTTATCAGTATAACTTTTGAACAGAGATTTTACATGGCAATGTGGTGTAATTCAAGCATCTAAAAATAAAATCGATAGAAATAAAATTCAACGAGCAATAAAAACCTTGGTTCGTTGTTCTTAGAAAAAAGTGAATTCATGATTTGTTAATTTCATATGTTGTGCCTTAAATCTAATTACAGTCAGACCTCTATAATTGCACTCTCCATAATTGCACTCACTATGTATACCCTCTCTAAATGCACCCTCTGGTTCGGTCCCAAGCTTATATGATCTCTAATTATTTTACCTCTATAAATGCACACCCTCTTTAAATGCACTATTTTGAAAATTATGCATATGGTCCCAAGGGGTGTGCAATTATGGAGGTCTGACTGTAATATAAAAAAAATACTGTACAAGAAAAAAATTTCCTTTTATATACAAAAAGGTTCAATAATATTTTTCCTAAATTAGTTATTTTCAATAAGATGAAACATGATGCATTATTATGCAATTCAAAATTGAAAGTTTGTTTGTATAGAACTATAGATATACTATATTTTCATATGACGAATATGCAAAATATTATTAGTAAATATTATTCGAGGACGTTCAATAGAGAGAAATATAAATAAAAATAAAAAAAAAAATTTAATTAAAATAAATAAATAACAAAAAATTTTCCTTTTATATAGTATTTAATAAGATTTACTAAAATAAATTTCGATCACAAGTATGTAGATTGGCTCCTTACTGCTACATGCTCTTATAATATTTTTTTTTCATTTTATGTTACGTTAAAGCACCTCCTTCAGAGACAGAATTTTTTCAGTGTGCGTGAATCTATTTTCACCAATTATTTGTCACTTATATACGCCAAAATGCCATTTTGTTGGCGATTGGCAAACAATGATATTTTGGTACGAAAGTCAGATATCGGCTATGCTTCCGGGATTAATTAAAATGAAACTAGAGGATTCGCCGCTACTAGTTTATCTGAAGGTTTTTTTTTTGTTTATATATTCTATTTATTTGTTTAACATAAGACATTTTTGCGTAAATTACATGATTAATACATATATACGATAATTAAATCGTAAAGTACTATCTACGTATTTACACAATTCCCTCCAAGAGGTAGCCGCCTGCTTAATTTTGACTGAGTCAAGAGGACTGGCCCAATGACTATGTTAATCTATCTTGGGTAAAGAAGGGAATAAAAAAGACACAAAATAAAAACTAATCTAGGTATTTTTCTTTCATTCCATGGATGCTGCGTGTAAATACTGCCAGATACAGAATGGTTTACAAATTTATTACAGTCGACTCTCGAAGCACGTGACATTTAACCAATCAAATACGACGTTATAACGAAGAAACCAATCAAATTCTTTAAAATTCTTCGCTATAGCCTTATAACGAATTGAGGTGAAAACCGGAGGGTTCGTTATCTGATATCGAGAGCCGACTGCATATATATGCTTCCCTGCTATAATCCTAGAGAAGTTTACACTAGTAGACTCTCAAACCAAAAAATGTTCAGAAAATGAAAAAAATAGTATGCATGCAAATATAGTAAACAGAACAAAAAAAGATGGGTTCATAAAGCCAAGGAGTACCATACTGAATGCATTAAAATTAATTTTAAATTATTTATTATAGTCATTGAATTTTACAAATGTTCCAACTTTGCAACTTTACCGTTATTACAGTAAATAAATGATACATGGTCTAAATTCGCAAAAAAATTAGCGACTATGAAGATTCAAAAAAAAATATGATTTGTTGCTAGTTCTTGAATTACAAATGCAAAAATAGAATTAAAAAAAATTATTTGACAAAATGAAAAAAAAAACTAAAAAATAAAGATATTTATTTTGACAGTATTTTGACAGGACCGGGAAAACAATAAAGGTCACCGGTTTTCTTGGTTCGAACCCATAATTAATTTTCAAAAAGGTCACCGTAAAAATAATTAATAAAAGTCACGTGTTGGTTCGCAAGAATAAAATTTGAGTGAAGATCTGTTTTTGGAGCGAAATAAATAGCCAATTGACCAATCATAAGATGGTTCGCATTTATATGATTTTCTGAATTTTTTCCGGTGACCTTTATATATAGTTTTCCCGGTCCTATTTTGACCCACACTTAAATAGTGGGTTACGCGTCGGTTACGGAATCGGGGTGATCCCAATTGCCACAGCCGCCGCACCTTTTCGTAGCAGGGTACGCTTCACCATTATGTACCATGGCAGCAAATAAAATAGCAGCAAATACAAAAATAAATCGGTTCATAGTGTTTCTGAAGATAATTCGTATTAGAGAGTTATTATTTTAGTAATTTTAATCTTATAGTTTTTAGTTTTTTTTCTGTGTTCTTCATGGCCACCACCTTTTTCACCTTTTTTATAATAAAAAAAAATCGTCGCGTGATTTTTCTTAAACATTTTTTTTCTGTGAATCAGACAAAATCATACGGACTAAACATAAGAAAAAGGCTAATAAAGTTTTCTTATTTCAATCTCATTTAGTTTTTTTTACAACATTTTTATGTGTCGTATTTGGAACTTAATTTTGATGATCGATGATCCAAAAACGTTTCTAGCTTTTTTTGATCTGATTTTATCCATATAATTATGTCGTTTACCACCACCCCCTTTGCTATGATTTAATTAAATTAAATTTAAAATAACCATTTTAAATGGGAATTTCCCATTATAATAATAACCAAATAATATTTTACCAAGTGATAGAGATCGCATGTTCGAGTCATATCATGCGCATGATGCATGTGATTTCATGATGCGCATGTGGCATGTGCATAAATAGAGTTTTGGTACGAAAATCATTTGAGCGACTGATACAAGACTGACAACAAAATCTCGACAATCCAATATCTTGACAAGTCAAAATCCCGACAAAATTATAACACATTTAAACTAAATATTACATATTGCAAAAATTATTTTATTAGAACACACATCACAAAATTGTCGATATAATGACTTGTCGCATGGGCTCGTTATGACGTTGCCAAAAATAAATATGATGATGCAAGGAAGAAACGCTCTGATATTCATAAGATTTTGGATTGCCGAGATTTCGGATTGTCGAGATTTTGTTGTCGATCTTGTGTTAGTCGTGCAAGAGATTTTGATCGGATACCCATAAATAGTTATTATAATTATTGTAAAAACGCGCACAAATTATTTGATTATATTTCATCATGTGCATGATAAATCACATTTTGCCCATCTCTAGTACAAATTAATGCTACATTTTTCTTATTAAAAGATTATTTATGGGTTTAGGGCAAATTATTCGAAATTGCGCATTTTAAATTGTTCTAATCGAATATTAATCTCATGTCATCAAATGAAATTTTGTACCATCGCGACTTGTGATTTGGAATATCGTATTTTCCCTAATTACATCATACATATTTTTTGTACAATTTCGACGCTAGAAGGATTTGAAATATGAAATCCTTAAATTTGATTTATATTAGTCATTAAATATGCTGATTCTTAAAAGATAAATAGATCTAGATCTTACAAACTTGTTACTATATAAAATTGGGCAAATACAAAAAAACATTAATTAAACAAATACCTTATCGCTAGTTATCATAATAAATATAAACCGGTTGTACAATTCGGTTCCAACCGGTTTTGTAAAAATTGGTTTTAAACGAGTCAAACCGTTTTAAATTCGGTTTCCAAAAATCCAACCGGTTCCAAACTCTAGTCATATTTCTAGGGTAGTTCTAGGGTAGTTCCAGGCGCTGGCGAGTTTCCATAAATCACGAGATGATCGGCTAATCAGAAAAAAAAAGCTAAGCCACCATTAATATTCTTATATTGATATGAGGGGTTAAATATCACGTGTCGGGTAATTTCATTATAAAGCGATTGTAATATTGTATAGTAATATACAATTATGGGATGTTGATTTTTTTTTTATTTTTATTTTTATTTTAATTTTATTAGCACATAATTTTTTTTTTAGTTGAGAGAATCCAAAAATAAAAATTTATAAATATAGTTTTTAAAATTATTTTTAAACCTATGTTTAGCCGTGAATACAATGCAGCATTGGTTAATAATTGTGAATTTGTGGCTGCAAGCATAATTATTAAATTTTAATATCGTGTGAAATTATGATGTTATAATTAAACTTTAATAAACTTACATTACTTATATTAAACTTATAAATTAAACTTACTTTATTATTAATACTTCAAATAAAGTTTATCGTAATAATAGCTCAATTATAAATCAAACATCACGATAATTGATTAAAATTATAAGCCTTGCCTTTAAAAATCATGCAATTGGATTGTTTTTATTATTAAAGATGTTTCAACTAACTATTATTTGGTTAATTATTTTCTAGATTATTATTAATTCTATTAGTAATGCTTAAATTTTAAATCATTTGAACTGATGTTTGTGGTTCCGTTGTTATTATTGACGCGAGTTATTGTTATCAGTTTTTTTACAATTTAGGTTCATTATTTGATCTAAATTATTAATAATTCGAAATAGATTATTAGTAATGTTCCATGGCGCGAGTTATTGTATCAGTTTTTTTACTATTTAGGTTCATTATTTATTAATAATTCGAAATAAATTATTAATAATGCTTAAATTTTAAAATGTTGTGGTTCCGTGACGCGAATTATCGTATCAATTTTTTACAAATATTATAATGAATCAGTTTCTATAAATTAATCAATAAATCATTTAATCATCTACAAATTTTTTCACTTATTTCAAAAAGCTAAAATGTCTTTACAAAGATTATTATTATTAAAAAATTTAAAAGTTCGTCCCCCTTTTTTTTATAAATTCAAACCAAGTTCAATTCCTATTGACCGCCGCTATTATTTTAATCCTACCTGTAATGGGATTAACAGAAAGGAATGTGTATGTTTCAATTCCGTAGAAACTCGATCAAATCACTGGTCTCCCAACGATGTGTGTAATTTTCTCCAAAAAGAATTAAAAGAAAAGTGGACACCTGTCAAAGAATAAGCGGTAAAGATTTAAAATCTTTAGACATAGAAAGACTTAAATCATTGAATTTCCCGAAAATGACGTTTTTCAACATTATCGATATTATCAAAATTTTAAATTGTAAGTTTATTTTTTTGGTTCACTTTATAATCTGGTAATTTTTTTATACTGACCAACCATTCTTTGTTTTTAAAAGCAAAAACTATTTTTATACAGGATTATGGTGAAGATGGAAATTTATTAGAAACATTTAAAAAAATAATATTCCATAGCGATACCGAAATTCAAGACTTCTTAAATTTGGTACAAGGAAAAGGTTTCGTGGAAATTATCAATGCTAAAAGCAAGAAATTACCAATCGAAGAAAAGCCACCATCAATTGTTAATATAGAAATGCAAGATAACTTGAGATTACTTAACAAAAAACAAAAGTTTTCCGCCCCCGTTACTAGTAATGATTCACCTAAAAAAGAGAAAATTAAGGAACGAGGTGATGTTTCTAATTTGGCCTGTAATTTACAAAGTATAGAAAATTTTAAACATTATAGAATTGAGTTCCATTTTATTTCAAAGATCAAATATGAATCAACATGGACCGAAAAAGAAGACAAAGCAATGAAAGAAGAAACTTTATTAGCAATAATGGAAGCTCTCAATAAATATGAAACAGTACCTATCAAAATTTATCCTAAAAATATCATTAAGGATCAGCTTCAAACCCCGATCATGGGATAGGATAAAATCTTAATTGCCGGAGAAAGGATGTATTTGGTTGAAGCCGAACATAATATAACACTTGTAAGTATCAATTCACAATCATCTCTCTTTTGAATATTTGAATAAGCTAACTAATTATTTCCTATTCTCGCATTCTTTAGGAAAACATCAATAACATCGCAGACGAAATAAAAGAATTTAAAAAATTGAAAAAGAATGATGTAAGTAGCGAATATCATGAATTATTGGATAAACTAATGATAGAAGGCATTATCTGTGGGGTTAATTTTCCAGAAGAATTTCGAAAAATGGCAAAGGATAGAGGTTTATTTAGTGTATACCCGGGCGGCGGAAGATATAAGGTCAGAATTCCTTATGACCTAAATCTCTCAAATTTTGAAAAATGTCGAAATTTCTTTAAAAATTAATTGAAAAATAGCCTTTTTGGTCTTAGACAAAATTTTTTTCTTTTAAATTTATATATAAAATAATTGTTTATGTTTAATATGTGTAATTATTTAATTTTACCATATACGTACTGGAATAATAATAAATCATCGTATAAAAATATACTGATTAAAAAACAAATATGTGAATCTATGCATAAATGAATATCTTGAAAATCAAATTCATTTGCCACATTTTATTATTTCTTTTCAACTTTAAAAATGAGTTAACCAAAATATCGTATTTCCCCATTGTTAAGAACGCCAATTATGCTGCATTATGCCGATTTTGACCAGCATTGTGGTCCGACCATTAAAAAAAGAGATGCTTAATAATTCTATACTTTGATAAATGATAATACTGATATTATAGCCTTTACCTTTTTTATAGTGACTTGTAACCAGCACTTAAAAAAAATCTATACTTAAATACTGGATTAACCTAGTTTTAGTTTAAATATGATATGTATTTTTATAATAAAGTTGACTAATAGCATCTGACATCTCTTTCGCTGTAAAAAAAAAAAATTTTTTTTTTTTTTTCTTTTGAAAATGGAAAAATATTTCCGATTAAAGTAGGATCAATAATCAATAATACGAAATCGGAATACGAAGTCGGAGATAAGATTTGATTAACAATAATACGCTACATCAACAAATTACGATAATTTGCACCAATTTATTTTTAATTTCAATTATTTCTTTTAATTTTAGAAAATGAATTAACCAAAACGATAGAAAACAAAACCATTTCTGTATTTAATAATACTAATATTAATACTAATATTATATATCCCTTAAATTTTTTCACTTGAATACAAAGAATTTTTCAATCAATCACGTAAAAGAAGGATTTTGGCAAAAATCGGATGTACATATTTTTTTTTCTTAATAAAAACATATGCAAAAAAAAATATTTCTGATTAATAATTACTCCTGTTTTTGTTGCCGTTATCTTATTATTATATTCTCATTTAAAAAAATTTGTTTACGTCATTTACATCAAAAATTATCATTTTTGGATTTAGTAATAATTATTATTATAATATCGTGTCACAAATATTGGGTATTGCGTCACTTATTTCTTATTTCTTTTTCAACGTCAAAGCACGTTAAAAGAGCTCAGCTGGCTTATATTAACCGCGCATTATAAGAAAAAAAAATGGAATTACAACCCATCTTTTTAAACATGTAAAGAAGGATTTTAATCAAAAAAAAAATCATCTTTTACGATAAAACGGAGATTAAAGGAGTATCTCTTTTTCAAATTTTTTAAGTTTTAACCAAAATCAAATCATTTCTGCACTTTAATAATACTAATAATATACATATATCCCTTAAATACATACAAATAAAAAATAATGGGCGAAATAAATAGAACATTATTATTTTCTCCTGAATTGTTGTAATTTTTATTGGTTAAATTTTATCTAATTTGCGACGATTCACATTATTATCATACATTATTGTATTTTTTGCAATCTTTTTTTTTCAATATCACAAGTTGGTTTTTTTTCTTACAAAAAGGCAATGTGATCGCGAATTTTTTCATAAACTTCTCGTGAAAAAAAATTTTGCAATCAGAAAATGTCGTTACTTGCATCTATTCGATCTATTCGACAACTTCAGTCACGTCAATCTTCTCGATTTTTTAGATCGACTACTATGTGCCTAAAAACATATAAGAAGGCATCTGATCCCTCTGAATTGTCGTCTGAAAGAATTGTCGAACGTTTAGGAACCTACCTGAGACAATATCATCATCGTGAAGAAGATTGGAACACTCAGTCATCGAACATCATTAATGTCATTCAGAATAAACTCACTAAGAACGACCTGTTAAATATAGATGATAAGGAATTCCAACATAAAGGAATTATATCACAATATGTTTTGAAAGCAGCCAAAGAGTTAAATGGTAAGTTACCAAAATTCTTGAGTGATTGTAATTAATTGTTTATTAAAATTATGACTATAACTCAATAATATTATTTAAATTTAACAGAAGATAATTCTATAAATGAAACGGAAATGCCCTTCCATACCAAAATTGATGATTTGAATGTTAAAACCTGGACACCAAAAGAAGTTAAACAATTTTTGAAAGAAAAATTAAGTAGTATGTGGACTGCAAAAGAAGAAAATTTTTTTGACAAATTTCAAATTAATGGACAAGATTTGTTAAATTTGAGAAGTGATACCACACGACCATTAGGTTTGGCTCGCACGTTCGATAGTGAATTACAAAAATTAGTAAAACCTCTCAATGGTAAATTACAAACATTAAAACATTTTCCTAAATGAATAAAGTTGTTTTTACAGTTTGAGATAACATTATTTTTTTTTTTTATATAATTTCATTAGCAAAAACGATTTATATTAAATCTTTTGACAAATCATTTGTAAAACATATTATACATAACAATAACGATCTAAGAAATCTTTTAAGAAAATTTTATGGAAAAGGTTTAGAACCTATTAAAGAAGATGCTGGAAACTATTGCGAATATCCGACTTTAATAAGATCGTTTCAAGGAATTAGAAATAATGAATTTTACCGAGTTGATCTTTCGGAATTTTTCCTTCGAAATAAGTTTTCGGAGAGAGTAAATTGGAAACAGATCGAAGACAAAGTAACAGAAGATGAATCATTTTCTGCTGTAAGAAATGAAATCCAGATACCAACTTTACTATATGATCGAATAATTACGGATGCTAGTGGGATAACAAAAATAGAATGGGATGGCACTTTTTATGATCATAAGAGATTATTTTTGTGCGAAGCTAAGCATAATATGTCAGAAGTAAGAATTTTTATTTTAAAATCATTTTGTAAATTACTGAATGAATGATTTTTGCTTATTAGCTTTGCATTCTTAGAAACATTTGACTAATCTTGTTAAAAGAGTAAAAAAATTTCAAAAAGGCGATTACGATGATCATATCACGTCCAAGGTTAAAGGGAAAACGTGTATTGGTGTCGCATGCGGTACCTATTTTTCACAAGAAGAACAATCTTTAGCGGACAAAAAGAAATTAATAAGCGTTTTTCCTGGTGGAGGCAGATATAGAGTAGACTTTCCGTTCCGTGGCAGATAGGCTTTCCGTAGTCAATATTTGCAAAAAAAATATATTTCTGTAAATTGTTTTTTGCATATATAAATTTCAAATAAAATTTCAAATTTTTAACAGTTAGTATAACCAAATTTTAAACTATTTTAGTAACTATTTCAAAGAGCAATTTACATAAAGAAATTTAATTTTGATTACTATTTAATAAATTATTAATATATTATCGGCTTAAATATAAATTTGTTTTATTAGTAAAATTGTTGCTTTACAATGTTTTAGATAAACTATTCAATAATTCAAAGAGGAAATATTATGTAGAATCAATCAAATAATATATATACTGTACAATGTACATGGTGAATCAATTTATTTCATGTGATAATTTCTAAATATAATCAAAGATCGTGAACCGTTAATCAATTACATGAGAAAATTTTTTACTTGTCTTGTAAATATGACTTCAAAAAAGATTTTATGTAAAAATCTTTATCAAACTCTCTCATATCCACAAAATTTATATTCCTCATCCCTTTTGAATTATTTTTTACGGAATGGTATTTCCAACAAATTTCTAACATTTAAAAGAACATTATCTATTACAAAAAAAATTGGCTTGATTATCTCTTCTCAAATTTTAAAAATTACATCACCTTATTTAAAATTTAATAAAAAACCTCAAATTAAAAATCCTTATTATTTTCAAGTTAAGAACTGGACATCAGAAGAAGTTAATCAATTTTTGAAGGAAAGAATGGGTGATAATTGGACTACAGAATTAAAGAAGTTTTTTGAAAAGCATAAAGTTACTGGAAGTGAACTTTTTATGCTAAATAATTATGGTAGATTTTCTAATTTATATGCTAAAGAAATTGGAATTACATATAATCTTAGAAAAATTATCAGCCAACTTTATAGTAAGTTTTAGTAATTTCTTATTTATTATAATTTTAAATTATTATATAACTGATTTATATTCTCTTTTAATAGCAAAGACAATATCTGTCTCTTATACACATCTAGATGTGTATAAGAGACAACAGATATACATGATGATTTGGAATTTTTTGAATTTTTAAAAAAAGCTAAAGGAAAAGGATTTGTATCTATTAATGATAATAATAAAATTCCAGAACATATTATATCTTTAAAAGATCTTCAACATAATCAATACTATTATATTATTAAAGATTGTTATTCACAAAAAGAATTAGATAAATATATATATCCACAACATAATTTAATCCATTCAAATAAAAAAATTAAGGAATTTAAATACTGGTCATCAGAAGAGGTTATTGAATTTTTAAAAAAGGAATTTGATAATCATTGGACTACAAAAGTGGAATATTATTTTAAAAATATGAAATTTACTGGAAATCATCTATCAAAATTAAATTTAAATAACATATTAAATTATGATAAAATATTTAATAGATTTTTACCAATTATGACTAGTATTAAATTTCAAGAAATTATTTGCCAGTTACAAGGTAATTATTATAATTTCTTACAATAACTTTTATATTTACTTTATATAACTAATTTATTTATTTTTAAAGCAAAAACAATATATATTCAAGATTATAATTATGAAGGTGAAATAAAAGATAAATTTTATAAATTGAAAATATATAATAATGAACATTTTAAAGATTATTTATATTTATTATGTAAAAGATATATATTAAAACCTATTAATTATAAAAAAAAATTGGTTGAATTTGGATCTTTTAGAAAACTTTGTAATAATCGATATTATCGAATTGTTTTAAAAAAAAATTTTTTTTTAAAAAAATTTTAAAATAATTGAATTACTAATAAAAGTTTTAATAATAATATTTTACATTTATATCTAACTTAATATTTATATAATTAATTATATATTATTACTACTTTTTATTTTTTTTAATTATTTTTTTAAAAAAGAAAATTAGCCAATTTTGAAAACCTTTTTTTTAATTTATAATTAATATTAAACTTTATAAAATAAAAAAATTTTCATTCAAATCAGATTACTAAATACTAAGATAATTGCAAAAACAATAAGTTTTATATTAAATGTTCAAGATTCTATTGAATTATAAAAATTAGTAAAACTTTTTAATAATAAATTACAAATATTTTTTTTAAATAAATAAAATTATTTGTTTTTATAATTTAAGATTATATTATTATTTTTTCTTATATATATGCAAAAATGGTTAATATTAAACTTTTTAACAAATTATTTGTAAAATATATTATATATAATAATAATAATCTTAGAAATCTTTTAAAAGAATAGATTTAAAACCTATTAAAAAAGATGCTAAAAATTATTGCAAATATCTGACTTTAATAAGATTATTTTAAGAAATTAAAAATAATGAATTTTATTAAATTGACCTTTCAGAATTTATCTTTTAAAATAAGTTTTTAGAAAAAACAAATTGAAACTAACTTAAAAAAAAAGTAATAAAAAATAAAATATTTTCTACTGTAAGAAATAAAATCCTAATTAAATTATATGATTAAATAATTACAGATGCTAGTGAAATAACAAAAATAGAATAGGATAGCATTTATATAAAGTATTTTTATGTAAAATTAAGCATGCATAAAATATTAAAAGTAAGAATTTTTATTTTAAATCATTTTGTAAATTATTAGATAAATAATTTTTGCTTATTAGCTTTACATTTTTAAAGTTATTTACTTAATTTTATTAAAAAAATAAAAAAATTTTAAATTGAAAATAATATGTTTTATAAATATTGCTTTTTGCATATATATATAAATTTCAAATAAAAAATTTCAAATTTTTAACAGCCAGTATAATTGATTTTAGTAACTACTCCATTAATTTGATTACTATTTAATAAATTAATATTATATTATCAGTTTAAATATAAATTTATTTTATATGATAAAATTTTATGTATTACAAGAAGTATATTAATCATTCAAATAATATAATATATTGTATGTCAGATGATGTCAATCTACATTATCAACTCAATATTATAATGCCTTAAATGGATTGGCTAGTATTACTAGCATAACATATATATGTTGAAATAATGAATAATTATACATCAATTCATTTCATGTGATAATTTCTAAATATAATTGAGGATCGTGAACCGTTAATCGTCATATAAGCAATTGCATGAGAAAATTTTTTTCTACTTATCTTATAAATATGACTTCAAAAAAAATTTTATATAAAAATCTTTATCGACCTCTCTTATATCCACAAACTTTATATTCTTCATCTCTTTTGGATTATTTTTCATGGAATGGTATTTCCAACAAATTTCTAATGTCTAAAAGAACATTATCTATTACAAAAAAAATTGGCTTGATTATTTCTTCTCAAATTTTAAAAATTACATCACCTTATTTAAAATTTAACAAAAAACCTCAAATTAAAAATCCTTATTATTTTCAAGTTAAGAACTGGACATCAGAAGAAGTTAACCAATTTTTGAAGGAAAGAATGGGTGATGATTGGACTACAGAATTAAAGAAGTTTTTGGAAAAGCATAAAGTTACTGGAAGTGAACTTTTTATGCTAAATAACTATATGTTTTCTAATTTTTATGTTGAAGAACTCAAAATTACATATAATCTTTATAACATTATCAGACAACTTTATAGTAAGTTTTAATAATTTCTTATTTTATTTTATTATAATTTAAATTATTATATAACTGATTTATATCATTTTTTAATAGCAAAAACAATATATATTCAAGATTATTTTAGTAATGATTTTTTTCAAACAGATATACAAGATGATTTGGAATTTCGTCTATTTTTAAGAAAAGCTAAAGGAAAAGGATTTGTATCTATTAATGATAATAATAAAATTCCAGAGCATATTATATCTTTAAAAGATCTTCAACATAATCAATACTATTATATTATTAAAGATTGTTATTCACAAAAAGAAAGAAAGAAATATATATATCCACATCATACTTTAATCCATTCAAATAAAAAATCTGATTTTCAAATTAAGGAATTTAAATACTGGTCATCAGAAGAGGTTATTGAATTTTTAAAAAAGGAATTTGATAATTATTGGACTACAAAAGTGGAATATTATTTTAAAAATATGAAATTTACTGGAAATCATTTATTAAAATTAAATTTAAATAACAAAATAAATCATGATAAAATATATAATAGATTTTTACCAATTATGACTAATCTAAAATTTCAAGAAATTATTCGACAGTTACAAGGTAATTATAATAATTTCTTATAATAACTTTATATTTACTTTATATAACTAATTTATTTATTTTTAAAGCAAAAACCATATATATTCAAGATTATAATTATGAAGGTGAAATAAAAGATAAATTTTATAAATCGAAAATATATAATAATGAACATTTTAAAAAATATATATATTCTTTATGTAATAAATCTACATTAAAACCTATTAATTATAAAAAAAAATTGGTTGGATTTAAATCTTTTAACAAACTTCGTAATAATCAATATTATCGAATTGTTTAAAAAAATTATTTGTTTAAAAAAATAATTGAATTATTAAAATTATTTAATAATAATAAATATAAATTTTGTAATAAAACCATAAAAAATAATTTAAATAATATATATTTATATAATTAATTATATATTACAAAAAATTATTATATAAAAAATTTGTATAATTATTATATATTATTATTAGGATGCTGTCAGATATTACTTAATATTTTAGGAGAAGGAAATAACTAAAAATTTTAGGTTACATACAATACTATATAAAGAATTATATATATAACATATCTTACTTAGGAAAGGGGGGTAAGCTCTTATATTCAAGTGATATTAGGTAATATCTGACAGTGCCCTTACTTTTTATTTTTTTTAATTATTTTTTAAAAAAGAAAATTAGCCAATTTTAATAAACTTTTTTTTAATTTATAGTTAATATTAAGTTTTATAAAAAAAATTTTTATTTAAATTAGATTAATAAATGTTAAGGTAATTGCAAAAAAAAAAATAAATAAATAAAAAAGCAAATTGAATTAATTTTAACAAAAAGTTATAAATTTTATATTAAATGTCCAAGATTCTGAATATATTTGGCTTGCAAATTCAAAACATTTTTTTAAATAAATGAAGTTATTTTGTTTTTATAATTTAAAATCTTTTTTTTATATATAAATCATTAGTAAATTTTGTTGTTAATATGTCAGCTGACTTTTTCTTTACAAGAGCTTTTAATTTTTCATATTGCATAATTGCAAAGTAGATAGTAAAATCTTTGTAAAGCAGAAAAGATATATAAATTTTATATTATTTACACCCAAAAGTACAAGTTTGTCTAAATAAGATTCAAAATAAAAGGTTCATAAAGTATTTGTATACATTTAGGACAACTCTTTTGAAATATGGCAGTATTGCTGAATACACAAAGTTTCTTCAGAAATACTTCAAAAATATTATAAAGGTCATTTCTAGTAAAGTTTTAAATTAAGTTGATAACTTCATCAAAGTTGAAATTTATTTCATTATTATTAGCAGCAAAACTTATTTTTTTAAATATTTTTTTAAAAAAACTATTGCTGAAATTTCATAAAAAAATGATCTATACATAGGATCATATATAGTAAAATTTTATAGTTATCTGATAGTATTTTATATACAATATCAAATATGAAATTTATTTTATTATTAATTATATATGCAATAAAATATATTTATATACATTATCAATTATATAAGCTAATTAATGTGGAAAATTAAAAGTATAGTTATTAAATATAAAATTACTCCTCTTAATAATAGTTAAAAATATATATATATATATATATATATATAATATATTTGTCTTATTTAATGTAGATTTATTTTTATTAAGGAATTGCTTTTTGACTTTTATTTAGTGCTCCAAAAAAAATCCGATCTGATCTGGAATCTGCAGATTTGATCTGAGTCAAATCGGTTCAGTTTTCAAAATTTTGATTCGTAGATCAGATCAGATTTAAAAAAAATCTGATCTGATCAGATTCAGATCGGATCAGATCAAACACGAGAAAATCTGATCTGATCTGAACAGATTTCAGATCAGATTTTTTTTTTAAATTTTTTAAAAAAAAAATTTTTTTTAAAAATCCTTTCCTAGACGAACGGACGCTGGACGACCAAGATTTATTGCCATTTTCAGAAATGTTGACATTAGAATGTCGATCATTTCTATAAATCGAACACACCGAACACACACCGAACACAGCAATTAAAATTAAAAAAAAACAAATTTTCCTTTAAAAAAAGCAAAATTAAAACTTTAGTAATATATTTTTAGGTAGTGTGCATAAAAAAATGTATAAAAATTATATTATTTGCATATATGTATTCACTTGTATTTGCTTGTATTTGCCAATGTTCGGTGTGTTCGGTGTGTTCGTTTGTATTCAGTGTGTGTTCGGTACAAATTTTCATATTTTCAATTTTATTCATATCTAAAAAGTGACAAAAATAGTTTTTATATAAAGTTATGCATGAATACTTCAAGTTTGCATAATTTTTTGTATGTGTTCACGGTGTGTTCGGTGTGTTCGGTGTGTTCGGTGTGTTCGGTATAAAATGGTCAAAATTTCAGATTGTCAACATTTCTGAAAACGGCAATAAAAGAACGAACTAAGTAGTATTTCGATTCGTTTCTAGTCCATCCAGATGAATCCGGATGAATCCAGATTTTTTTTCATCTGGATATCCGGTTTTGATCCGGATTTTGATCCGGATGAAAAATATCCAGATTCATCCGGAATCTGGATAGAAAAAAAAAATTTTTTTCTAATATTTTTTATAGATTTTGTAATAAATAAATAGTCTATTAGTTTCACAACTGATAAATAATTTTGTAATATATAAATTTTGTCATGAACAATGATAAATTGATGATTAGTAAAAAATTATTTATTTATTATTAATTTATTTAATATAATTAAAGTGAAAATTATTTTTACATTTTTATTAATCTTATTAAGTAAAATCATAATTTAAGACGTGATATTGTTTTTTAAGCCTGATTTTATCAAAATTTGAATAAATTTGTAACTCAGGCCAAATTAATAGTGCTGGCCCGAATTACAATAAAATAAGCTAATTTAAATTCAATAATCAAATCAGAAAAAAGGCTACAAAATTTAAAAAAACCTACCAAATTGTATTAATAAGTACCATTATCTCTAATATGGATCGTCATATGCAATCTAAAAAATTTTATATATGAAATCTGATCCGGATTCCAGATTTCACCCGGATTTCTGACCTGGATTTCAATCCAGATCAAACCGGATATAATCCGGATTTTTTTTGTATAATCCAGATGATGGATTTCATCTGGATCGAAGCACTAGAACTAGGTAAGTTCATTTCTTTTTTTTTGTTATTTTTATTTGAGAGAACTTAATTAACAGTTCCCTTCTTTTTTATTAGGAAGCCTGGACGAACGAAGCCTAACGACCAGGATTTAAAAAAAAAGAACGAACCTATGGTGAGTTCGTTCTTTTTTTTAAGGTTTTTTTTATTTTTTATTTAAGGGAACGTAATTAATATTCCCTTTCTTTTTTTTTAGGAAACCTGGACCTGAACGAAGTCATTAACGATCAGGATTTAAAAAAAGAACGAACTATGGTAAGTTCATTTCTTTTTTTAAGTTTTTTTTTTATTTTTACTTAAGGGAACGTAATTAACGTTCCCTTTCTTTTATTTTTAGGAAACCTGAACGAACGAAGTCGTTAAGACATTAACGATCAGGATTTAAAAAAAAGAACGAACTATAGTAAATTTGTTTTCTTTTTTTAAGTTTTTTTTTTATTTTACTTAAGGGAACGTAATTAACGTTTCCTTTCTTTTTTTAGGAAACCTGGATGTGGACGAAGTCATTAACGACCAGGATTTAAAAAAAGAACGAACTATGGTAAGTTCATTTCTTTTTTTAAGTTTTTTCTTTAATTTACTTAAGGAAACGTAATTAATGTTCCCTTTCTTTTTTTTTTTAGGAAACCTGGACATGGACGAAGCCATTAATGACCAGGATTTAAAAAAAGAACAAACTATGATAAGTTCATTTCTTTTTTTAAATTTTTTTTTATTTTTACTTAAGGGAATGTAATTAACGTTCCCTTTCTTTTATTTTTAGGAAACCTCATCAGGAAATTTGTTTAGGCGTAATTTAGTGTAATATTTCGAAATTTTACACTACCTTCGAAATATTACATTAAATTACGCCTAAACAAATTTCCTGATGCTGGACGCGAGATGAAGCTGAACGACCAGGATTTAAAAGAACGAACTATGGTAAGTTCATTTTTTTATTTTTATTTTTATTTTTTTTTACTTTAAGGAACGTAATTAATGTTTCCTTTCTTTTTTTTAATACAAGGACCAGATCCGAACCAGATTTGGATCAAATTGAACCAGATCTGATCAGATTCAGATTAGATCAGATCTATTAAAATAAAAATCAGATCAGATCAGATTTAAGCTAAATCCGGTCTAAACCGATCTGTTAGGAGCACTACTTTTATTATAAATTTATAAGAAAATAATGATAAAAAAAAATAGTAATGAAAGAAAGTACTTTATTAGACTATTTAGACTATTGATAAATATAATCATAGAGGTCTCTCAGATATAAAATTTAACTGATGGAAAATAATGTTATTTACTCTTTTCTATCAGATAACTATATAATATATATTACAAAAAATTATTATATAAAACATTTGTATAATTATTATATACTGTATTATTACTACTTTTTATTTTTTTAAATTAAGTAAATTAGCTAATTTTAATAAACTTTTTTTTTAATTTATAGTTAATATTAAGTTTTACAAAATAAAAAAATTTCATTGAAATTAGATTATTAGATATTAAGATAATTACAAAAAAATAAAAAATAAAAAAAAGCAAATTGGATTAATTTTAGCAAAAAATCAGTTATAAGTTTTACATTAAATGTAGTAGACTGCAAAGAAAAACATTTTTTGATAAATATATTTAACTTGCAAATTATTATTACAAAAATTAGTAAAATTTTTTAATAGTAAATTACAAACATTTTTTTAAATAAATAAAATAATTTTGTTTTTACAATTTAAGATCATAGCATTATTTTTTTTATATATAATATATACAAAAATAATCAATATTAAACTTTTTAATAAATTATTTGTAAAACATATTATATATAATAATAACAATTTAAAAAATCTTTTAAAAAAGAAATTTTAAACTTATTAAAAAAGATGCTAATAATTATTGCAAATATTCAACTTTAATAAAATTATTTTAAAAAATTAGAAATAATAAATTTTATCAAATTGATTTTTTAGAATTTATTTTTCAAAATAAGTTTTTAAAAAGAGCAAATTGAAATAGATTAAAAAAAAAGTAATAAAAAATGAAATATTTTCTATTATAAGAAATAAAATCCTAATACCAATTAAATTATATAATTAAATAATTACAGATGTTAGTAGAATAACAAAAATAGAATAGGATAACATTTTATATAAAGTATTTTTATGTAAAGTTAAGTATAAAATATTAAAAGTAAGAATTTTTTTTTAAAATTATTTTATGGAATTATTTGCTTAATTTAATTTTATTAAAAAAATAAAAAAAAATTTAAAATAAAAAATAATATATTTCTATAAATATTGCTTTTTGCATATATAAATTTCAAATAAAATTTCAAATTTTTAACAGTTAGTATAACCAAATTTTAAACTATTTTAGTAACTATTTCAAAGAGCAATTTATATAAAGATAATTTTGATTATTATTTAATAAATTATTAATATATTATCGGCTTAAATATAAAATTTGTTTTATTAGTAGAATTGTTATTTTACAATGTTTTAGATAAATTATTCAATAATTCAAAAAGGAAAATATTATGTAGAATTAATCAAATAATATATATATTGTACAATATACATGGTGAATCAATTTATTTCATGTGATAATTTCTAAATATAATCAAAGATCATGAACCGTTAATCAATTGCATGAAAAAATTTTTTACTTGTCTTGTAAATATGACTTCAAAAAAGATTTTATGTAAAAATCTTTATCAAACTCTCTTATATCCACAAAATTTATATTCTTCATCCCTTTTGAATTATTTTTTATGGAATGGTATTTCCAACAAATTTCTAACGTTTAAAAGAACATTATCTATTACAAAAAAAATTGACTTGATTATCTCTTCTCAAATTTTAAAAATTACATCACCCTATTTAAAATTTAACAAAAAACCTCAAATTAAAAATCCTTATTATTTTCAAGTTAAGAACTGGACATCAGAAGAAGTTAATCAATTTTTGAAGGAAAGAATGGGTGATAATTGGACTACAGAATTAAAGAAGTTTTTTGAAAAGCATAAAGTTACTGGAAGTGAACTTTTTATGCTAAATAACTATAGTAGATTTTCTGAATTATATGCTAAAGAAATTGGAATTACATATAATCTTAGGAAAATTATCAGCCAACTTTATAGTAAGTTTTAGTAATTTCTTATTTATTATAATTTTAAATTATTATATAACTGATTTATATTCTCTTTTAATAGCAAAGACAATATATATTCAAGATTATTTTAGTAATGATTATATTCAAACAGATATACATGATGATTTGGAATTTTTTGAATTTTTAAAAAAAGCTAAAGGAAAAGGATTTGTATCTATTAATGATAATAATAAAATTCCAGAACATATTATATCTTTAAAAGATCTTCAACATAATCAATACTATTATATTATTAAAGATTGTTATTCACAAAAAGAATTAGATAAATATATATATCCACATCATATTTTAATCCATTCAAATAAAAAAATTAAGGAATTTAAATACTGGTCATCAGAAGAGGTTATTGAATTTTTAAAAAAGGAATTTGATAATCATTGGACTACAAAAGTGGAATATTATTTTAAAAATATGAAATTTACTGGAAATCATCTATCAAAATTAAATTTAAATAACATATTAAATTATGATAAAATATTTAATAGATTTTTACCAATTATGACTAGTATTAAATTTCAAGAAATTATTTGCCAGTTACAAGGTAATTATTATAATTTCTTACAATAACTTTTATATTTACTTTATATAACTAATTTATTTATTTTTAAAGCAAAAACAATATATATTCAAGATTATAATTATGAAGGTGAAATAAAAGATAAGTTTTATAAATTGAAAATATATAATAATGAACATTTTAAAGATTATTTATATTTATTATGTAAAAGATATATATTAAAACCTATTAACTATAAAAAAAAATTGGTTGAATTTGGATCTTTTAGAAAACTTCGTAATAATCGATATTATCGAATTGTTTTAAAAAAAAATTTTTTTTAAAAAAATTTTAAAATAATTGAATTACTAATAAAAGTTTTAATAATAATATTTTACATTTATATCTAACTTGATATTTATATAATTAATTATATATATTACAAAAAATTATTTTTTTTATATAAAAAATTTATATAATTATTATATATTATTAGGGAAGTGACACATATGACGTAATTATTAGAGGGGGGGAGATAATTAAAATCTGATGTTACACTTATTCTATTTATATAAATTGTATAATTAAATTTAATTGGTTATTAAATCTGACAAGGGGGGGAGGGGGGTAGAATTCATAGTAAAATGAATATGACGTAATATGTGTCACTCCCCTTACTACTTTTTATTTTTTTTAATTATTTTTTTAAAAAAAAAAATTAGCCAATTTTGAAAAACTTTTTTTTAATTTATAATTAATATTAAACTTTATAAAATAAAAAAAATTTCATTCAAATCAGATTACTAAATACTAAGATAATTGCAAAAATAATAAGTTTTATATTAAATGTTTAAGATTCTATTAGTAGACTATAAAGAAATACATTTTTTTGATAAATATATTTGACTTGCAAATTTAATAATGAATTATAAAAATTAGTAAAATTTTTTAATAATAAATTACAAATATTTTTTTTAAATAAATAAAATTATTTGTTTTTATAATTTAAGATTATAGTATTATTTTTTTTATATATATTATGCAAAAATGGTTAATATTAAACTTTTTAACAAATTATTTGTAAAATATATTATATATAATAATAACGATCTTAAAAATCTTTTAAAAGAATTTTATTAAGGTTACCTACCTAATATAACATATGTAAATTTCAAATTTCTAGGATATATAGTTGAGAAACATGATGTGATTATCTCTGTAAAATTTTATAAAATTTGCTAATTTTTTTACCTATAAAATAACTATACAAAAAAATAATTTATATAAAGAAATAATATTTTTAACATAAATTTGATGATGTTTTTTATTCAAAAATAAAAAAAAATTCTAGATTAATTAATGCAATTTTACATATATAATTACTTAAACAATGCTTGCACAATTTTCTTATTATTTAAAGGATATATATTACAAAAAATTATATTATAGTAAAATAAATTATATAAAATTTTAATTATATATCAATTTATTTCAGTTTATATGATATTTTTACATATAATTAAAGATTATGAATCATCAGTTGTCATATAAGTAATTGTATAAGAAATTTTTTTTACTTGTTTTATAAATATGACTTCAAAAATTTTATATAAAAATTTTCATCAAACTCTCATTTTTACAAACTTTATATTCCTTATTTCTTTTGAATTATTTTTTTATGGAATGGTATTTTTAACAAATTTCTAATATCTAAAAAAACATTATTTATTAAAAAAAATTGGTTTAATTATCTCTTTTCAAATTTTAAATATTACATTACCTTATTTAAAATTTGATATAAAATCCCAATCTGAAAAACAAAAACTTCAAATTAAAAATCCTTATTATTTTCAAGTTAAGAACTGGATATCAAAAAAAGTTAATCAATTTTTGAAGGAAAGAATGGTGATAATTGGATTACAGAATTAAAGGAAGTTTTTTGAAAAGTATAAAGTTACTGGAAGTGAACTTTTTATGCTTACCTATTTATAAGCTTTTATATACCTATTCTCCAGTTAAATAAAAATATTTTATTCAAATTTATTAAATTTATTCATAATATTTTTTAATTCTAAAGAATGGTAAAACTGTGTAAAATGTATAATTCTAAATTAAATATGAAAGTTTTTTTATTTCTATGGTTAAACAACCTAGTTAATAAATAATACAAATTAAACAATTCTTGTGCAGTTTTAAAATTCAATTGCTTGATATTGTACTTGCTATACTCTTTATATTTATTAATAATTATGATAACATGTATACATTTGCAATGATCATGCTGATCTATTCTAATTTGTCACTTGTTAAATAAATTTTGCTCTTTATACATTACTCCATACAGTCAGTAGTCTTTCTTTTAAGTTAATGTTTCATTTTATTCTGTAATGATTTAGATAAGAAACACGAATTATTCATAAAATAAGCTACTATTTATATCATAATAAATAAATTTTAATTTGTGAATTGTGGTTTTTAATGTCCTTCAAAAAATACACCGGAAATTAAAGTCCCAAATACAACCCAACCAACTAAACCGGTAACACCATAAACAACTCCATTTTCTAGGTTTTTCCTTTGTCGAGTTCTTTTACTAATGCTTATTGCAGTGCTCGCTCTATCATCAACTTCATATAATCGTGTTAATATTGTTGTTAATGCATGATATCCATCCAATTGAAATGCTGGTAATATGTTTAATATACATAGTGCAAGTGAAAATGATACTGTATACCTATAAATAAAACGATGAAATAAATGTAATTTAGTATACAACATATTTTAAAGATTATTACCAATCAGGTTATTAGGAAAATGTCGATCCTCACGGACCTAGTAGTCTGACTGATAATATTATTGGAATGGAAATATCGGCCGAAAATCGATACTTTTATTACCTCATCCAATAATTATAACAAAATATGAACATTATATTTGCCTTATGATTATTTCTACAGTGAAAGGAATCCATAGAGGAACCCATGACCATCTTGGTTGAAGAGTACTAACTTGTACTATTTCCCACAAGTTTTCTAAGTCTCCAAGCCATAATAAAACTTGTTCTTTATTTTCCTTTTGATTTGCAATCCACGGAGGATGTTTAAAATAAATCCTCACGGGAACGGGGAACCCAGAAGGCGTATATGGTAATACGCACATAGGTAAAGGATTATCACAATCCAAATCCTTTCTACACCTTTGTTCATTTATGTTAACTAATATTGGTCTTGCATGAAGACAACTTAATTCCTTTTAAACAAAAAAAAAAAGAAAATCTTAATTTAGTAATTAATTATTATTAAAAAAGAGAATATAGTAACATTAGGTATAACCGTGAAGAATTCTCACGATCAAAATTCTTGTGTAAAAAGCCGTTCGAGATCTTTACCTTATAATGTGAACTATTTTGATCAGATCGTTGAAAACATGAAATTTCTTTGTTTTCTGAATTTCCATAAGGATGAACTGCGGTGATATCACAACAATCTAATGAAGGTGTAATATCCTTTTCTGATGCACAAAATCCATAATTACCTTTTGTTAATTCATAATTTTTTAACAAAAAATTGTTCCATTTATCCAATGAAGCCTCATTCAAGTCATAATCGTCTAATTTTGTTATTAATGTTGAAGGATATAATATTCCAGTTAAATCTGTACTCTAATTTAACATGAATATTTATACATATATATTTTTTTTAAACATCAATGGAAAAAAAAAAATCAAATAAACGAAACGTTAAATAATTATAATTTTTCTTACCTCGACACTAATAACACTAACTCCAGTTCCTTCTACAGACCTATATCCAGTGAGACTCATTGATAATGTAATTATTCCTGAATTCAATATAAACATTCCAAAGAGAAATATGACTATATTATGCCAAACTCCCGCACATAATATACGAAGTTTTTCTCTGAATAAACATTTGTTAAAATGCAAGTCAGAAAAACTAACGAATGCTCCAGGATAAAAAAAATATAAAAATATTCCTGTATAATCTATTGGCACGGATTCACTACAACACAATAAAAAATATAATTAGTTAACATAAATTTTAGTAAAAAATTTTTTTTTAAAAAAAAAAATACCGGTAAGCAGCAATGGCGTGTCCAGCCTCATGAATAATTCCACAAATCAAAAGCGCAATAAGATAATATATGAGATGTGAAGTTGGTAATGTCACTCCAGGTATCTTTATAACAGTGAAATGTGAATTTATAATCGATTGTGATTATTCACTTATAAACAAACACTTACTACGGGTATAAATACTTGGTGATCTTCATTATTCTTTTCAATTTGATGATTTATTTCTCCACTTCTTTTCACAAGTTTCGGTTGTAAAGAAAAATTATTATCATTAATATCATGATTCTGGAAATTAAATTCAACTGATCTAATCATTCCCATTAATAATTTCCATCCCGCTAAAATCATAACACCGATTCCAATTATCATTGCTGAAATTCCGACTAAAACTCCTATATCAAACCATATTTTCCAGAATTTTGGTGCTCTATTTGCAAGTGACTGGAAAAATGCATTAAATTTAGTTGTTTTATAGCGAAGACAAAAATAACTAAGTGTTACTGTTGGTGGTTTATGAAATACTAAATTTGGATTTGATACTGGAAGATGACTTAATGGAATATTTATTCTGGATAAATGTTGATGTGTACCATGCTAAAGGAAAAAAAATAAATAAATAAACTAGATTATTAAATAATTATGTTAAAATAATTAACTGAAAAATAATAAGTCAATACCAATGAATTTTGCCGTAATAATATACGATATATAACATGTACAAATGCCCAAAAACTTAAAAATGTTAGCACTAGGTCTGAAAAAACCATTGCAACTTGAAAAAATAAAAATTATCAAGAGAGAGTGGGAAAACGATTATGGATGACGATCAGTGGGATGATTTATTTGTGCATAAGATCAAAATCATGAGACACATCAACACATGGTAGCATGTAACAGATAAAGTTCTTGTAATACAGAACTTTTAACGAAAACCGAAATTTGACATGACATCTGGAAAACGTCAATTAGTTTAGTTTTTTACATGCAAATAATAAAAGGTGATCGTGCCCTTGTCGTACTAGTATCGTACTAATCATAAAAATTAAAGTAATTACTAGATCATTCATGATTTTCGCGAAAATTTTGGTTATAACAAATCTTTTCTTTCTCGAAATTTTACATATTATTAAAACAAAATTTTCTTATAAAAATCAAATTTTTCGCATTTCTCATTAAAAACTATTCTTTCCAAACTTAGCTTTAGAAATTTTCAATTAAAACGATTACAACAAAAGAGGAACCAAGTGAGAATTTTGTACAATTGGGACAAAAAAATAATAAAAGCGTTTATATGATATTAAGTTATCATAAATCATAATATGATAATACTGTATCATAAATACAGACTTAATTTCTCTAACCAAGATCATTTCTCTGAGATAAAAATATTCGCAAATGACAGTCGGAAAAATACACGTCGATCTTTTGTTCGGGTCACGCAAAATAGTATGTGGTGACCAGTGATATTGCACCTGATCTAACAACTCCTTCGAATTTTAGATAATCCAAATATGGTAACAAACAATAAGGGGGAATTCGAATTTTATTAAAAGAATAAAAAGAAAAAAAAGGAGATAATGATTCTCTAAAAAGTTCTTTCCCTACCTTTTACGCATTCAACTCAACAATTTATTATAATGTCTAAAGTTCGTCCAGTTGTCCCACCAAAGCCGGCAAGACTTTCTATAGGTCCTAAAAAACGAGATACAATTTCCTCAGCTTATTCAACTTATTCAACTTATTCAATAACTGAGTCAATAGTTGAGTCACCTCCGGCCACGCCAGTATCACCTAATGAGAAAACTGCAGACGATAAAACTCCAAGAGCTTCTGAAATTTTTACTCAACCAGTTGGTCGACAAGCTAGAGCTTTATATAACTTTGAGGGTGAATCATATCAGGAATTGTCTTTTAAAGCTGGTGATGTTCTTAACGTTTTGAAAGAGCGCTTATCTGAAGGGTGGTCGTTGGCTGAAAAAGATGGTATAACAGGACTTGTCCCTGAAGCTTATATAACAGTAAGTTTTTGCTTTTACTACATTTTACTATTATTTTTTTTTAGGAAATAAAAAATCACTAATCATTGATTTGATTAGTATACTACCGAGTTTGCGGAACTTCATAATTTAGCTCTTTCTCCCACATTATCTTGTGAATCTGATGATTCCATGGTTTCATCAACTACATCACCAATATCTAATGGTCCCTCCCGTAGTAGTACTATATTAGGCAGAAGACAATTGAATCGATTTAGTTGGTTTGTTACTACCGGCGTTGAAGAATTTATTTTAAGTGGCGGAGAACTATTTGCAGATAGTGATTCGGCTAATGAATCGAAGGGAGATAATGAAGAAGGAGATGAAATAACAGAGTCTGATAAACATTACATTCAGGTAAATAATTCTACGTGAATATGATTTTTAATTAAACTAACCCCAATTTGTTAATCTGTTTAGAGTGGACCAAGTTGGCATGAGAAAGCAGTTCTTTTCAAGGTTATAGTCCACAATCCTGAGAAACGTGTTAAACTTGGAGGTGTATCCGAGTACACAATATTCTATGTGACATCTTTGGTAAATTTTTCGGAATTCTTACTTTTTCATATATGCTTTGAATGTGTGACTAAATATTGGAATTACTTTGTCAGTTTCCGAATGGTGTTCGGGTTACTGTTGAAAGAAGATTCAGTCAATTTGAATGGTTATATAATCGGTTGTCTGCTAAATTTGGTGCATTTGTTCTTCCACCTCTACCAGAAAAACAATATTCCGGACGCTTCAACGAGGAATTCATAGAAAAACGTCGTCGTGCACTGGAACGATTTATTAATCGTTTAGCTCGTCATCCAGTTATTCGATACTCAGATTTATTAACTCACTTTTTGAGTTGTGAGGACGAATCAGTAACGTGTCATATTTTACTCTAAACCAGGTTATAATATCAAATCTAATAATTCATTTAACTTTTTAGGAATGGCGTAAACAAGAAAAACGGTTTGAGTCTGACAAGATAGTTGGTCACGCGTTTTTCCAACATGTTTATCATCCCGAATTTAATGTTGATGACGGGTAAGTTTCAATAGTTATATATGAATATATATAATAAATCTAATATATATGATCTAATTAGTGAGATTGAGACGATGGAACGGTTTGAAGCGCATGCACGTGCAATGGAAAAATTAATGCCCTGGATAAATGAAGCTTCACAAGCTCATAAGGATTCTCTTGATGGTAATTAATAATTCTTCTAATTTCGAGATGTTATAATTTTTAAATAACAATGGTTTGTTTCATATAGAAATGCAACATCAATATCGTAGAGTGAGTTTTGCTCTGTTGAGACTTATCACAGGTCATAATTCTGGGGACGGATTTGAATCTACGAATGAAGATGGTGCATGGTGTTGGAGGGATGGATGTTATGGTAAATATTCTAAATTATTTTGATTTTTGCTTGATTAATTAATATAACAGGTAATATTTTTTTAATTATTTATCATTTTTTTTTTTCAGCTTGTCTCAGTCTTACAAAAGCACTTCAGTCAACAGTCGAAAGCATGCAAACGATAGCAGATTTGCATGATTCACATGTAAGTCATAAATAAATTTTCATTTTTATATGAATTCCTTGATAATAATTACATATATTACATATTACATATAGGCAAAAGAAGCGGTAATTCCATGGATTGAAAATTTTAAAGAGCATAATTATCCATTTAGCAATAATGAGGTATTTATTAAATTACAATTCAAGGGAGAATAAATGGTTTATATACATAATCCAGGCCGATCATGAATTTCAGTACTAGAAAGTCAATGATTTACATAGTATTAGATTATTATATCATCTACAAAAATTGAATCAACTTAACCAAATAGATATTCCTAATTTTGTAGCCTTTAGTTGATATGCACACGGGCGCTTACAAGAAATTCAAAGAAGTATCCGAAGAAAATGAGAGTTTACAGCATTTGGGGGTAAGATTTTTATAATCTATAAATATGAAAGAAATAATATCTAATTGTTATTTATTACCTCAATAAGGACGTAGATATTGAAACGATTCGTTCTCGTTGTGATACGGTATTTAATGTTACACTTGCAGAAGTAGACCGAATTCACGATGAGCGTGTTCAAGATTTCAGGGAAAATACGAAACAATATTTGGACGGGCAAATCGAAGTTTATGAAAAGGTATTTATATCTTGATTATTTGATTATTGAAACTAAAAAGTCTATCAGTATTTTAAAATTGTATACGGGACGTTCAGTATCTCCGTGAAATAACTATTTACAATATATATATAAAAATTAATATTTAATCCTTAATTAAATTAATAGATACTTGAAGAGCTTCGCCAAGCTCGATCTGTTTTTGATGAACCTCATTATAGTTCCCTCTCACAATCCTCTCGAACTCCTAGTAAATATGAGTCGATGATTGAGGATCAAAGACCAATATTATCACGACCAGTTTCTGTAAATTCCGTTGGTTCAATGTCTGGTATGGTTGGAGGAGTTGTTGATGGTGTGGGAAGTATGGGAAATTTCTTGAAAAAAACAGCCAGAACTTCTATTGGAAGAACCTCAATGTTTGATAGTTGGTGGGGAAGAAACTGAACATTTTATTAGAATTAATATTAGAATTGAAATTATGAACATTAGTAACATTAGTAACATTAGTAACATTAGTAATATTTTAGTGTAATTGTAATTTTATATCATGATTGTGACTTTATTAACTTATGAACATTTGTATATTTATTTATCATTCATTAGTGTATTTATATGTTTAAAGACAATTTAAAAATTTGGCATTTATATAGTAATAATAGTATGTATATTTAAATTAAACAATATATAACATATAACAGATAGTGCAAAGGTAGTGAATGCAAAGATAATATATAAAGATAGTGAATGCAAAGATAATGTAAAGATAGTGAGTGCAAAAGATAGAGTAAAGATAGTGTAAAGATAGTGTAAAAGTAGTGTAAAGGTAATAAAGGTAGTGTAAAGAAACTATGGTACAGGTATTAAGGCAGGTTAAAAAAAAATTTAATCTGAAATTTGAGCCATTTGGATAAATTATTATAAAGAAAATATTTAAAGGTTTTACATTATTACATGAAATAAGTGGGATTTATGATTCACGTGAAAGCATAACTAAACCGACGGCAAGTATAGATTTTTAAACCTTGGTATTAAAATAATGTAATCAGTTTATTGTATCTTGTCAATGCGATTTCCCAATATGTACAGTATATGATCCGCTATTATAAATTATAAAATATACAGTATATATGATATGACTATATGAGTATACGACTATATGAGTATATGATCCAAGATCAAAATCTATTTCTATTATAAACTATAAAAAAAAAATGTATTTTTAGAGAGAAAAGAGAATAAAAAAATAAAAATACCAACAAAGTTTTCTTTTTCAAATCAAAATAATAAAAAAAAGTAAATATTTGCATATATAATACAGTATTACAATATCAATCTTGCATAAAAAAAAGAATTTTTTACTACGTATAATGAATGCCAAAAAATCTTATTTTTCAAATCTTAAATATAATTTATATAATACATCACTTTTATGTTTATTTAAACACGACATATAAATGAATTACATTTTACATTTCGGGGCGCGGAATATTTTTAAAACATACAATACAAAAAAAGTTCAATATTATTTTATAAGCCATTTTTTTTTTATTTTTTTTTTTCGAGTAACATTAGTGAATATATATATATATATATATAAAGGTTATTCTATAAAAAAGGTTATTCTATAAAAAAAGGTTATTCTATAAAAAAATTTATTCTATTTCTATAAAAAAAAGTTCGTATAAAACAAAAAATCCGTATATATAAAAAAAAAAAAAATAATAATTAATTATTTTTTGTAACATTTCTATTAGAAAATTCAGTTTATAAAATTTGTATAAGACGCGTAAAAAAAATTCGATTTCGTGATTTCATGACAAAAAAAACTTGGGAGAATATGTAACAAAATGTAACAAAATGTAACATAAAAAGGTGGCGAATTTACATCATATTATTATTTCATTTATTATTTCATTTTACATCATATACAAATTTTTTATGGGGGAGTTATTATTATCAGTTATTATAATTATAATAATAATAATAATAAAAAAGGTCCCTGAACATTTTTTTTAAAATAATTAATAAAGTTTTAGCCGGTAGCCGGTAGATCATAAATAAATTTGGTTTAAAGTAAATTTATTTTTTATTTTATTTTTTTTTTGAATTAATTATACTGTTAACTTTTCGGGATATACAATTTTAGGATAAACCTAAATTTTAAAAAATTTTTATAACCCCTCCTTAATAATAATAAAAAAAAAAAAAAAA